AGGACACAGGTGAGGACCACACAGGTGAGGACACACAGGTGAGGACACAGGTGAGGACACACAGGTGAGGACACACAGGTGAGGACACAGGTGAGGACACACAGGTGAGGACACACAGGTGAGGACACAGGTGAGGACACAGGTGAGGACACAGGTGAGGACACACAGGTGAGGACACAGGTGAGGACACAGGTGAGGACACAGGTGAGGACACACAGGTGAGGACACAGGTGAGGACACAGGTGAGGACACACAGGTGAGGACACAAGTGAGGACACACAGGTGAGGACACACAGGTGAGGACACACAGGTGAGGACACAGGTGAGGACACACAGGTGAGGACACAGGTGAGGACACAGGTGAGGACACAGGTGAGGACACAGGTGAGGACACACAGGTGAGGACACACAGGTGAGGACACAGGTGAGGACACAAGTGAGGACACACAGGTGAGGACACACAGGTGAGGACACAGGTGAGGACACAGGTGAGGACACACAGGTGAGGACACAGGTGAGGACACAGGTGAGGACACACAGGTGAGGACACAGGTGAGGACACACAGGTGAGGACACAGGTGAGGACACACAGGTGAGGACACAGGTGAGGACACACAGGTGAGGACACAGGTGAGGACACACAGGTGAGCACACACAGGTGAGGACACAGGTGAGGACACACAGGTGAGGACACACAGGTGAGCACACACAGGTGAGGACACAGGTGAGGACACAGGTGAGGACACACAGGTGAGGACACAGGTGAGGGACACACAGGTGAGGACACAGGTGAGGGACACACAAGTGAGGACACACAGGTGAGGACACAGGTGAGGACACAGGTGAGGACACACAGGTGAGGACACACAGGTGAGGACACAGGTGAGGACACAGGTGAGGACACACAGGTTAGGACACAGGTGAGGACACAGGTGAGGACACACAGGTGAGGACACAAGTGAGGCACACAGGTGAGGACACACAGGTGAGGACACACGGTGAGGACACAGGTGAGGACACACAGGTGAGGACACAGGTGAGGACACAGGTGAGGACACACAGGTGAGGACACAGGTGAGGACACCACAGGTGAGGACACAGGTGAGGACACACAGGTGAGGACACAGGTGAGGACACACAGGTGAGGACACAGGTGAGGACACACAGGTGAGGACACACCAGGTGAGGACACACAGGTGAGCACACACAGGTGAGGACACAGGTGAGACACACAGGTGAGGACACACAGGTGAGCACACACAGGTGAGGAACACAGGTGAGGACACAGGTGAGGACACACAGGTGAGGACACAGGTGAGGACACACAGGTGAGGACACAGGTGAGGACACACAAGTGAGACACACAGGTGAGGACACAGGTGAGGACACAGGTGAGGACACACAGGTGAGGACACACAGGTGAGGACACAGGTGAGGACACAGGTGAGGACACACAGGTGAGGACACAGTGAGGACACAGGTGAGGACACACAGGTGAGGACACAAGTGAGGACACACAGGTGAGGACACACAGGTGAGGACACAGGTGAGGACACAGGTGGAGGACACACAGGTGAGGACACAGGTGAGGACACACAGGTGAGGACACAGGTGAGGACACACAGGTGAGGACACACAGGTGAGGACACACAGGTGAGGACACAGGTGAGGACACACAGGTGAGGACACACAGGTGAGGACACAGGTGAGGACACAGGTGAGACACACAGGTGAGGACACAGGTGAGGACACACAGGTGAGGACACACAGGTGAGGACACACAGGTGAGCACACACAGGTGAGGACACACAGGTGAGGACACAGGTGAGGACACACAGGTGAGACACACAGGTGAGGACACACAGGTGAGGACACAGGTGAGGACACACAGGTGAGGACACACAGGTGAGGACACAGGTGAGGACACAGGTGAGGACACACAGGTGAGGACACAGGTGAGGACACAGGTGAGGACACACAGGTGAGGACACACAGGTGAGGACACAGGTGAGGACACACAGGTGAGGACACACAGGTGAGGACACAGGTGAGGACACACAGGTGAGGACACACAGGTGAGGACACAGGTGAGGACACAGGTGAGGACACAGGTGAGGACACACAGGTGAGGACACAGGTGAGGACACAGGTGAGGACACAGGTGAGGACACACAGGTGAGGACACAGGTGAGGACACAGGTGAGGACACACAGGTGAGGACACAAGTGAGGACACACAGGTGAGGACACACAGGTGAGGACACACAGGTGAGGACACAGGTGAGGACACACAGGTGAGGACACAGGTGAGGACACAGGTGAGGACACAGGTGAGGACACAGGTGAGGACACACAGGTGAGGACACAGGTGAGGACACAGGTGAGGACACACAGGTGAGGACACAAGTGAGGACACACAGGTGAGGACACACAGGTGAGGACACACAGGTGAGGACACAGGTGAGGACACACAGGTGAGGACACAGGTGAGGACACACAGGTGAGGACACACAGGTGAGGACACACAGGTGAGCACACACAGGTGAGGACACACAGGTGAGGACACAGGTGAGGACACACAGGTGAGGACACACAGGTGAGGACACACAGGTGAGGACACAGGTGAGGACACACAGGTGAGGACACACAGGTGAGGACACAGGTGAGGACACAGGTGAGGACACACAGGTGAGGACACAGGTGAGGACACAGGTGAGGACACACAGGTGAGGACACACAGGTGAGGACACACAGGTGAGGACACAGGTGAGGACACACAGGTGAGGACACACAGGTGAGGACACAGGTGAGGACACAGGTGAGGACACAGGTGAGGACACAGGTGAGGACACACAGGTGAGGACACAGGTGAGGACACAGGTGAGGACACACAGGTGAGGACACAAGTGAGGACACACAGGTGAGGACACAGGTGAGGACACAGGTGAGGACACAGGTGAGGACACACAGGTGAGGACACACAGGTGAGGACACAGGTGAGGACACAGGTGAGGACACAGGTGAGCACACACAGGTGAGGACACACAGGTGAGGACACAGGTGAGGACACACAGGTGAGGACACACAGGTGAGGACACAGGTGAGGACACAGGTGAGGACACAGGTGAGGACACAGGTGAGGACACACAGGTGAGGACACAGGTGAGGACACACAGGTGAGGACACACAGGTGAGGACACACAGGTGAGGACACACAGGTGAGGACACAGGTGAGGACACACAGGTGAGGACACACAGGTGAGGACACAGGTGAGGACACAGGTGAGGACACAGGTGAGGACACACAGGTGAGGACACAGGTGAGGACACACAGGTGAGGACACACAGGTGAGGACACAGGTGAGGACACAGGTGAGGACACACAGGTGAGGACACAGGTGAGGACACAGGTGAGGACACACAGGTGAGGACACAAGTGAGGACACACAGGTGAGGACACAGGTGAGGACACAGGTGAGGACACAGGTGAGGACACACAGGTGAGGACACACAGGTGAGGACACAGGTGAGGACACAGGTGAGGACACAGGTGAGCACACACAGGTGAGGACACACAGGTGAGGACACAGGTGAGGACACACAGGTGAGGACACACAGGTGAGGACACAGGTGAGGACACAGGTGAGGACACAGGTGAGGACACACAGGTGAGGACACAGGTGAGCACACACAGGTGAGGACACACAGGTGAGGACACAGGTGAGGACACACAGGTGAGGACACACAGGTGAGGACACAGGTGAGGACACAGGTGAGGACACAGGTGAGGACACAGGTGAGGACACACAGGTGAGGACACAGGTGAGGACACACAGGTGAGGACACACAGGTGAGGACACAGGTGAGGACACAGGTGAGGACACACAGGTGAGGACACAGGTGTGGTCGCTCAGGTGAGGACACACAGGTGAGGACACACAGGTGAGGACACAGGTGAGGACACAGGTGAGGACACACAGGTGAGGACACAGGTGAGGACACAGGTGAGGACACAGGTGTGGTCGCTCAGGTAAGGGTGCACCGATGGGGTGGGGACGCAGGTGGAGGCTGGGTAGGTCCGTGGCCCCTCAGGAGACCGGCCCTGTCCTGCCCCTCCCCTGCCCCTGCCCTTCCCCTGCCCAGACTCAGCTGGACGTGGTCACTTGTCTGGTCCACCCTCCACAGCGTGTCACCTGGAGAATGGCCCAAGCGGTGGCTGGCGGCCCCGGGTGCAGAGCTCGGAGCCGTGCACCGGGTCTGGTCTAGCGGGGGTGTGTCTCCCACCCAGAGCTACGTGTGCAGGGTTCGGTCCCGACCCCCGGCAAGACCTGAGCACTGTGGTTACTGATTAGGAATTCCTTCTGTGTTATGTCACACCCTCAGCTAGTCTCCTGAGCACAGTGGAGAAAGGGCTGTGCTCCTGTCACTGTGCCGGGCTCTTCGTGTGGACCAGCCACAGCCAGAGCCCTGCGGGGAAGAAAGTGCAGGAACCCAGCCATCAACCTGCCCACAGCTCAGGGCAGAACACAGAGGGAGGGAGGAGAAAGGGAGGGACAGAGGGAGGGAGGGAGGGACGGACAGACGGAATAAATGGACAGAGAGGGACAGAGGAGGGAAGGAAGGAAGGAAGGAAGGAAGGAAGGAGGGAGGGAGGGAGGGAAGGAAGGAAGGGAGGGAGGGAGGGAGGGAGGGAATGGACAGAAAAGGACAGAGGAGGGAAGGAAGGAAGGAAGGAAGGAAGGAGGGAAGGAAGGAAGGAAGGAAGGAGGGAGGGAGGGAAGGAGGGAGGGAAGAAGGGAGGGAGGGAGGGAGGGAGGGAGGGAGGGAGGGAAGGAGGGAAGGATAGAAGGAAGGAAGGAAGGAGGGAGGGAGGGAGAGAGGGAGAGAGGGAAGGAGGGAGGGAAGAAGGGAAGGAAAGAAGGAAGGAAGGAAGGAGGGAGGGAAGGAGGGGGAGAGGGAAGAAGGAAGCAGGAGGGGGGAGGGTGGGCTGTCTCCTCATACCTGCGGTAGATGGCGGTGGAGGCCATCTTGGCCCAGGTGTTGAAGAAGCGCAGTCTCTCCATGAGGTCGCTGACCCAGGAGCTCAGTGGCCGGCAGGATTTGTAAGCATGCTTCTAGAATGAGACAGCGTCAGAGGGGGAGGGCGTCTGCAAACGCTGGTAAGCGCTCCCCTGCCAGGGAGGAGGGCAGGCAGTCTGTGTCCTCAGCTTGGAAGGGGCGGCCGGCCCTGCTCCCTCCTGCCTCCCTGTCTGGCCTCTCCCAGTCCTTCTCCTCCCCGTCCACCAGTCATCTTCCACACACCAAGGCGGGGTGGGGAGGCCCTGGGCTTCTAGAACAGGCCTGACGGCCCGCCCGCCCGCCCCCACCCCCTGTCCGCGGCGCCCGCCCTGGACAGCTCTGAGCCCTGCATTTCTCTCCAGCTCTGCTAAGCCGAGCCTCTCCCTGGCTCTTCCCTGTGTTTACTAATCCTAAAATAGTTAAACATTTTTAGTTCAACAGTCAATGCCAATGCTTAAAATTTTATTCTAAAACCTGAATACAGTAAAAAAAAGAAAAAGAAAAAAGTCCCAGTAAGGCGGCAGACACACAGCCAGCGTAAAAGACCAAGTGTCTAGGAAAGCAAAGCTCCTCCTCCACCACAGGCTCCTGGCTCATCGCCGCCCTCACAGACGCCAACGCAACTTGCTTTCCTTCTAAACCTTCTACTTGTGTTTCTTGAATCTAAAACACACGTGCTTTTATAAAGAAATGGACACTTCATGTATGCATGTATATATACATATATATGCCAGTCCTGGGGCTTGAACTCGGGGCCTGGGCACTGTCCCTGAGCTTCTTTTGTTCAAAGTTAGCACTCTACCACTTGAGTTACAGCACAACTTCTGGCTGTTTTCTTATGTGGTACTGAGGAGTTGAACCCAGGGCTTCATGCACGCTAGGCCAGCACTCTACCACTGAGCCACCTTCCCAGCCCAACATGTGTGTGTGTATATATATTGTGGATTGTGGGGCTTGAACTCTGGACCTGGGCACTGTCCCTTAGCTCTTCAGCTAAAGGCAAGCACTCTACTGCTTGAACCACAGCGCCACTCCTGGTTTTCTGGTGGTTTATTGGAGATAAGAGTCTCAAGGACAGCCGGGCGCTGGTGGCTCACACCTGTAATCCTAGCTACTCAGGAGGCTGAGATCTGAGGATTGCGGTTCAAAGCCAGCCCGGGCAGGAGAGACCGTGAGACTCCTATCTCCAATAAACCACCAGAAAACCGGAAGTGGCGCTGTAGCTCAAGTGGTAGAGCGCTCGCCTTGAGCTGAAGAGCTGAGGGACAGCGCCCAGGCCCAGAGTTCAAGCCCCACAACCGACAAAAAAAAGAAAAAAAAAAGAGTCTCAAGGACTTACCTACCAGGGTTGGCTTTGAACTGAGATCCTCAGATCTCAGCCTCCTGAGTAGCTAGGATTACAGGCATGAGCCACCAGTGCCTGGTGCCAACATGTATATTTTTATAATCCTTAAAAAATAGATAGTCTCGGGGCTGGGAAGGTGGCTCAGTGGTAGAGTGCTTGCCTTGCATGCCTGAGGCCCTGGGTTTGATTCCTCAGCACCACATAAGCAAAAAGCCGGAAGTGGTGCGGTGGCTCAAGTGGTAGAGCACTAGCTTGAGCTAAAGAGCTGAGGGACAGCGCCCAGGCCCAGAGTTCAGGCCCCATGACTGGACCCCCCCCCAAAAAAAAAAAGTCTCGTAAAACTCTAAACCCATTTGAGCAGACCCCAGGGCTGCTCAGCGGTGGGCCGGCTGCTGGCGGGGTGGGCCATGCTGGGTGGGAGCAGCTCACCGCCACCCGCTGGCCTGCAGGCATCTGCCCTCTGCCCTTTGACCCCTTCTGCCCCGCCTGACACCTCATGCATGAATGGAATCGCCACACTGCTCTCAGAGGTGGCATTCACAGATACGTGTGCCAGAGTGTGTCATTGTGCTTAGCGGCTGGGTGGTAGCTCCATGTGGATGGCCGTGTGCCGTCAGCCTGGCCGTCCATACCTGCCACAGGGTGGGCACTTTCATGCTGAGCAAGCAGTCGTAGGCCTCCTCCATGTCCTGCGTGAGCACCTGCTCTCCCTTCACCGCACGCTGGACGTCCTTCAGTGACTGGCGCACCACCAGCAGCAACTTGTCAAACCTTTGTATTTCTTGGTTTAGGAAGGTTATCAGGGCGCAGTGGATGAGGGGGTCATGGCCTGGGGACAGAACGGGGCGTGTCGGCAAGGCGCTGCCCAGTGGCAGGGCTCTGACTACGGCGGGGGGGGGGGGGGGGGGGACTCAGGTCTCAGATGGCGGATGCCTCATTGTCGGAGGCCCCTGCCTGCTCTCCTGGCGGGGGGTGCACGTGCCACAGCCTGGGAACCGGCTGCTGCGGGCCTGGCGCCCACGGCCCATTAAACCATTAAAAATACGAACACCGCTTTAGCTTGCACAAGGTATGAAGGGCTGGATGCAGCGCAAAGCCCGGCCAGCGGCCCCCGAGGTCTGGTGATGCCCAGCCCGCGTCGGGCTTCACACTGATGTCACCCGGCCCCCCGAGCATGCCTGGCCCTGCCCTGGCCCACCTTGAATGCTGGTGTAGAGCTTCTGCCAGATGGAGCTGGCCAGGAGGCCTCTCAGGGTGGTGGGCTTGGACTCCTGAGGGACCTCCGCCTCCACTCCCAGTGGCAGCTGGGCCAGCAAGTTGGCCACGATTTCCAGCACCAGGTCCTCGTTGCTCTGCCCGGGACTGTGGGGAGAAGTGGGGGCTTCCTGAGGGCCGCACGCACGCACACGCACACATGCGTGCGCGCACACACACACACACATGAGAATGCTGTCTGGTGACATGGAGAGAGAAGGAAACAGGGATTTCTAAAGACGAAGAGCTCCTTGTGAAACAGATTCTGAGCACAGGAGAGGCGTCTGGGGCGGGAGCAGTGCGCGCTCGGTGCCTCGGTGCCTGCGGAAGGGCGCGGTGTGCGCGCGGCCGCCCTGCCCCGCGTGGTGCTGGTGGCCTGTTCTCACCTGACCATGAGCGTGAGGGTGGCTGCCCTGGGCCGCAGGGCCATCAGGCTGTCCACCAGCCGCTGGGCCTCCGCCTCCCTGCAGCTCCTGGCAGCCTCCGGGTGGATGGCCAGCACCTCGGGGCTGTCCTCCTCAGGCAGGGCCCGGACAAGCTGCACATAGTCCTGGAAGCTTCCGGAGCCAGGCACAGGCGGGCACGGCTGAAAGTCCAGGCACTCGGTTAGCTTCTGCCTAGTGAGTGACCTCCATGCTCTCACAACGCGGAGACCACAGGCCGGCCCGACTTCCCCACTGAGAAAATACCGAGGCAGAGACAGTGTGTTAAATGCCAGGGGCCGGGCAAACACTTCACTGACAGTGGATGCCACAGTTGGAACAAGCCATTTTACTTTGGGAAAACTGTGGGAGGAAAGCGAGAGTCCCGTTGTCAGGGTTGGGATGGAAGTGTATCCTAGGGGCATCTGGGAAGGCTAAGCCTTGGTCCCTGCCTGTCCCAGTGTGTCTCTGCAGAGGTGGGGGACACGGGAGAGGTCCTCAGTCTGCTCCCAGCTTCTGTGACAGCCCCCCTCCCCCTCTCCTCTCTCCCCCATGATGCACTGGGCCACCACAGACAGGTCATCGCAGGCCACCATCCTGTCACCTCCCTCACCCGCCTGGTCCTCCCCCTGCCCAGGTCTGCACAGCAGCTGTCCATGACCACAGCTGGGGCCACAGGCAGGGCCGAGGCCAGGGTGTGGGGGAGGGGAGGCCCAGAGGCCCAGGGTGTGGGGGAGGGGAGGCCCAGAGGCCCAGGGTGTGGGGGGAGGGGAGGGGCCCAGAGGCCCAGGGTGTGGGGGGAGGGGAGGGGCCCAGAGGCCCAGGGTGTGGGGGAGGGGAGGGGCCCAGAGGCCCAGGGTGTGGGGGAGGGGAGGCCCAGAGGCCCAGGGTGTGGGGGAGGGGAGGAGGCCTAGAGGCCCAGGGTGTGGGGGAGGGGAGGCCCAGAGGCCCAGGGTGTGGGGGAGGGGAGGCCCAGAGTGTGGGGGAGGGGAGGGGCCCAGAGGCCCAGAGTGTGGGGGAGGGGAGGCCCAGAGGCCCAGGGTGTGGGGGAGGGGAGGGGCCCAGAGGCCCAGGGTGTGGGGGAGGGGAGGGGCCCAGAGGCCCAGGGTGTGGGGGAGGGGAGGGGCCCAGAGGCCCAGGGTGTGGGGGAGGGGAGGGGCCCAGTGTTGGAACCTGAGCTTTGCTGCTCACCAGCGGCGTGTGTGGTGTGCTGTGGGCGCTCACCCGTGTGCACCAGGATCCACGCCGCTTGCCGCTGTTCCCTACTGCTCTTTTTTGTTTTTTTGGCCAGTCCTGGGCCTTGAACTCAGGGCCTGGGCTGTCCCTGAACTTCCTTTACTCAAGGTGAGCTCTCTACCACTTGAGCCACAGAGCCACTTCCAGCTTGCTCTGTGTATGTGGTGTTAAGGAATGGAACCCAGCTTCAGGTGTGCTAGGCAAGCGCTCTACCACTGAGCCACCTTCCCAGGCCTTGCCTTTTATATTCTAGTTCTCATAGGGCCTGGACCCTTTGCTGGCCCGGGCTTGAGCTCAGAGCCCTTCACCTGCTAGGTGTTGCTCTTCTACTTGAGTCATGCCTCCAGTCCAACCTTTGCTGACTGCTTTGGAGCTAAACCTTCACTGACTTTTCTGCTTTGGACCATGATCCTGTAGATCTCAACCTCTGAGTAGCTAAGATTACAGGTGTGAACCACTTGTGCGTGGCTAAGAGCTCAAAAACAGTTGTTTTTGGGGTGATACTAGGATTTGATCAGGGTTCCATGCTTGCCAGGTGAGCAGCTCACCATTGAGCCATGCCGGTATGCCGGTCATGTCTTTTTATTTTTATTATCACTGCTTTTATTTCCAGCCCTACTTAAGATGGTATTTAATAGAGGAATGGGGGGATTATCTTAAAAAAATTAATGTGGAAAGGAGGGATTCCAAAACATAAGAGTCATGCTTTTGATCATGAGCTGGAATAATCCCATTTTTTGCTTAATTTATCAAAACTTCATTTTCCCAATGTTTTCAATATCTCTGAAGTCAGAGTTACGGTTACAAAGGCACCATGCTACGTTTAATTGCAATAGTTTAAAGTCTTTCTCAGTATTACATAAACTTTATAGTCCACATCTCTTCTTTCTCTCACCCTTTCTTTCTCTCTCTTGCTTTCCCTCTTTCTTCCCCCTCCCTCCCTCCCTCCTTCCCTCTTTTCTTCCTTCCTTTCTTCTTTCTTTCCAGTCCTGGGGTTTTCATTCATGACCTAGTGCTTGCTGGCTGCTGCTCTACCCCTGAGCCACGCCTCCAGCCCCTCTGCACAGACTGCACAGGCTCTTGCTCTCCGCTTGGCCAGCGATCCTGTGTCGTCCTCCACACAGCTGAGATGCACGTCCAGGTTTTTATCGGTTGAGATTGGATCTCACAGGCATTCGCCTGACTTACCTAGAATGACAATCCTTTTGATCTCAGCCTTCAGAGTAGCTAGGACTAGCCACCATGCCTGGCTATAATTCATGCTTAGTGGGCAAGAAATAGAACCGTAACAGCTGGAAGAGTTTATAATTGTGGTGTCAGGATTAGCCAAGCCCAGATTTTATGTTACCTTGCTTAGTATCTTCATTTCTGAGACACAGTTTTCTCCCCTGTAAAATGAGATGATCAGAGTATCTCTGCCTCCTGGATTACTTGTGGCAAATTACCTTTGTGGCCCTGTCCTAAAGGTTCGCAAACACTAACGTTTATTTAAATACATCTTTCACACAACGTAACAATGCCCAGTTGGAGGAAACTGAGCCCTGTCAGGAGACCGCCTCTCTTCTCACCTCATAGCCAGCCTTGAGCACATCAGGATTGCAGAACTTGTAGAGCAGCGTGTGGAGGCACCGGCTGTCCCACACGTCCGACACCCGGCCGCCGTAGGTCACCTCTCCGATCATGTAGCGCAGGGCCTGCCAGGGCACGGCGGCGGCCTGCTTGCTCAGGGCCTTGTCCAGCACCTTCACCGACACCTTTGGAAGGGTCCGCGCGTCAGCACGCTGACATCAGCCCCCTGACCCTGTACCCCTCCCACAGGCTCCAGGCAAAGCGCGACACGGCTTTCCAGTCACTTTTGCTGTGTTGAACACTGAGCTACTTACATGACCTCTTCAAAACAAAATGTGGTGCTCGGTTCGCAGGCAGGGCCGGCCTGGCCCCCGACCTGGCCCTGACCTGCACCCCAACCCGGCCAGCGGGAGGCTGGTGGGAAGGCTGTCCCCCTCCACTCCTGCCTTCCTCTCCCTTCACCTGCTCTGCCGTGCTCACCCCACTTCTCCTTGCTGTTTTATTCAAAATGGCTTCAAAAAGTCATAAGAAATGCCTTCCCTACACCTGTTGAGATGACTGTCTAAAGAAGGATTGTGGGTTTCTAGGAGTGAGCCACGGATACACTGCTAGAATAAATTCACTTGGCTACAGCACACTGCTGAAATGGACCACTGCGTCCCCTGCTCTGACCGCGAATGCTGGCTGCAGGGCTGTGAGCTCAGCCGCCGCCCTCCTGCCCCTCCCCCTGTCCCCCCCTGCGGGAGGCCGTGGCTGCTGAAATGGACCACTGCGTCCCCTGTCCTGACCGCGAATGCTGGCTGCAGGGCTGTGAGCTCAGCCGCCGCCCTCCCGCCCCTCCCCCTGTCCCCCCCCCGCGGGGGGCCGTGGCTGCTTCTCTAGATTCATGCTCACCTCGAAGTCCGAGGAGCTGAATTTATAGGGGATATTCCACCCCAGCGTTCCATAGTTGCTCCTTTCTTTAATCACAGCATTGAAAAAGCACAGGCTAAAGAGAAGTGTTTTCCACGCTGGTCCACAGTCAGGGTTTTCAAGTGTCTCTTCCGTCACCACTCCACTTCCACCGCTCCCGAACATCTGTAGTAAATGGCTCTTCAGTCCCTGAGGAGGCTCCATGGCGATCTGAGGGTGAAGAGGGGTCGCAGGTCACCGGAGACCTTCAGGGTTCATCAACCAATCAAAACCTTGTCTACAAAAGGGCCGTCCCCGATGCTCTGCGTTGTTCCAACTCACAGTTTGCACTGCGGTGAAAAGTGCCTGTGTGAAGCTGGGTGCTGGTGGCTCATGCCCGTAACCTAGCCAGTGAAACCCTCAGCCTTCTGCATGTGTGCGACAGTGCTGAGGGTCTGCGGGGAGGAGGATGGAAGTCACAGTGCGGCTGTCAGCCCCAAACTGGGAAGGGTCTGATACGTTGCTCAGTACACACACACACACTGCTTCCATATTCCTTCTAAGTCAAAACACCTGTGGTATGTATTCTTGCTATACCTGGCTCATACCATTGTGTGGCTGTATACACAAGATGGCCGTAAGGCATGTGTGCGTGACCTGTACACACTCCTACCGCTCCCCGCGTGTGTGGTGGGGTTTGGACAGGATGGAGGACTGTGGTGTGTGCCATGGGGAAGATGTTTGCCTTGGGAACGAGGAGAGGTGTCTAGAGCTCTTCTTTTCCTATTTTTAAATAAGTTCGTGTGTGTGTGTGTGTGTGTGTGTGTGTGTGTTTTGGGACAGTCTCTGTGGTCGGCGTGGCCTGTGACTCTTGGGGCTGTGTGGCAGGAGAGCCCCGGCCACGCCCAGAGCGCGGGGTTCTCGCGCCCCTGCAGTGTCAGCAGAAGACAGGACAAACGTCCACAGAGCACAGCGGCACAGCAGCCCAGGCACCCAGCACTCCCTCCCACCGCACGTCCCGGACAGACTCCTGCCCTCCCCCGTGAGGCATGTACGTGCGGGAAGCTCCACGTCTCCTGCCTGCCCGACGGACCCAGCCCAGGGGTAGCCGGGTCCTCGCTCAGAGTCCCACGGACCGTAGAGTGGCCACGGACAGGCTGTGTGCAGCCAGCGTGCACATGCTGGAGGAGGAGGTGGAAGGTTCAATGAAATCCTCCAGCCCCAGCCCAGCCTAGGGCGTACAGGGAGACCAGCTCAAAAACACAAGAAGGCACATTTTGGTTTCTAGCCCCTGGACCCTTAGCATCCCTACTTGCTCTGGGCAGGAGCTACGCCATGAGTTCTGTGGGCTGTGTCAGCACCTTGCGGGCCTCGCCTGGGCCTGGGCCCAGCTCAGCCTGAGAACCAGCACCCTCTTCTGAACACGCATGACTTTGTTCTTACCTTCACACTTTTTTGAAGAATAGAAACTGGGAATGTACTGACTGACTTTGAGCTTAACCACAGCCTAAAGTCAGGGTCTACTGACACCTCTGGCCTATTAAATCTGCAAAACAAAGTATTTTAATATAAATATTCTAAACAACGTGTACTTAGAGTCCCAACATTTCAGTATTTGAAGCGACCTTAGAAATACCACAGAGCTTCCATGTTGTACAAGAATTTACATAAAATTCATCAACTCTCACTCTCCCTCCTTTATTTTTGCATTTAATTGTCCCAAATTTGACAAGTAGCACTCTTCATTTTGTCCACTCTTTTCCCTTATTTTTTTTTTTAATCTACTGACAAAAGTTTTGAATTCAGGGCCCCATGCTTGCTAGATAGGTGCAAATCCATTGAATGAAGTAGAACCAGCAAGTCCATACTTTTCTAAGTAGATAAATGAATCGTTCTAGCAGAATGCCTCAACATAAGCTGTCTTGCGTGTGCAGTGTGAGGACTGAGTCCACCTCTCCCGCACACTAAGCTTGCTGGTTACTACTGAGCTCCTTCAAGTAAATTTAGGAGCAATGGTAGAGTTAAAAAAACACCATTTGAGGGCTGGGAAGGTGGCTCAGTGGTAGAGCACTTGCCTTGCAAGCATGAGGCCCTGGGTTCGATTCCTCAGCACCACATAAGCAGAAAAAGCTGGAAGTGGTGCTGTGGCTCAAGTGGTAGAGTGCTAGCCTTGAGCTGAAGAGCTGAGGGACAGCACCCAGACCCAGAGTTCAGGTCCCATGACCGGACCCCAAAACATAAAAAAAGAAAAAAAAAAAGAAAAGCACCATTTGAAACCAATACAACAATAATTGTACTTCATTTGAAAGTCGAGGGATGGATAAACTGTGGGGTGACAGTTTAAAACATGTGCATGTGGCGGAAAGTTCTGGAAGTCAGAGGGGAGGGTGAGGCCCTACCGACCCTGCAGGTTTTCATCAAGTCTGAAATTGTTCTTTAAAAATGTACAAAGCAAAATAAGAGAAGCAAGAAAAGACCACAAAACACCAGAATGCCGCTGAATAAAAATGAAACAAACCTGCGACCACTCCTCTCGTGTCTAAAATAAGACGCAATCGATCCCTAGCTTTACTTGTTTCCTCTAGCAATTTATGATGAATGTATTTCTCTAACTTGTAAACTTGAGAACTATTTCTTCACACTTCTCTCTCCCACTTAGGTTCCTAGAATGGTAGCTTTCAACATGTTAAAGACGTGATGAATAAGGAAACAAATTCCTGTTCATCATAGTCTGGCTCCACTGAGTTTTTACATACAATATTCTGAAGATTTTCCTAATTGCTTCCCTCCCCTCTTTTCTCCCTCCCTAATCCTTTCTTCTTTCTCCTCTCATCTAGAGTGGGGTATGCTGCTGTGAGTGTCATCTTGGGTACAGCAAGGAGGATCGCAATCCGGGCTGGCCCCACCTGGTGGCTTCCGAGCTCCTAGGCTGGATACAGGGCTCTGATGGCAGAAGGCACTCTAGCAAATGCAAGGTCCTGAGGCCAAACCTCAGACCTGCAACATGCGCGCATGCACACACACACACATGCATGCACGCACATGCACACACACACGCACACATGCTCACGCACACATGCTCACGTACACACATACACGCACATGCACACATACACGCACAAATGCTCACGCACACACGCACACATGCTCACGTACACACACACGCACATGCACACACACGCACATGCACACACACACGCACGCACTCACGCACGCACATGCACACATACACGCACACATGCTCACACACACAATGCTCACGTACACACATACACGCACACATGCTCATGCACACGCACGTGCACACAGCAGTGAGAGGCCATCATGTAGACACGCTTATTCTACAACAGTGCCCATAAAACTAGACCGGCCGCTGGCCGGGAGCAGGAGACAGACCCCCCAGTTTCATGCAGTCACAGCAGCCCGCATTCAAGCCAGGAGAAGCCTGCTTGCCTCTCCCTGGCGAGGTGGTGGAGTGACCCAGGGGTCCTCCAGGGAAGGCCGGCAGACAGCACGTGTGCCACCCAGAGTCCCACGGGACGCGCACGCGTGCGGCGGACCAGAACCGTGTGGAACGTGCCTCGCTCTGTGACGGGCCTACCCCCTGCATCTGAGCCGAGTGCACAGGCCCAGAGAGCGTGCACAGCGGGGCCACACACCGCGGGAGTCCTGAGCAAGGACTGCCCTGTCTCGGCATGCTTTCTGGCTCAGACTCCCTCTGCCTGCACTGTCTGTCTGTCTGGCACAGTGTCTACAGCTGCTTCTACCTCTGTTGGTAGTTCTGACCATCCGATCCCTGACAGTGAACCACGGGGTCTTACGATTGCACTACCGCGCAGAGTCTGGGCATAAAGGAGGCGGCCAGGTGGCAGTTCTGCAGGAAGACCCACTGCTGCTTCTTGCCCAGTGCCTTGGAGATGAGATCTTCTGCCTTGGCGGCCTGGCCTCGGCCCAAGGAAATCATGGTCACGTGGCTCGTGGTTCCTTTCAACTCCAGCGCAAACCTCAGGAGCATGCCGGCCGGGTCTGTCCCTGTGCAGAGGGGGGCAGGCGTGTAACCCAGCACATGGCTCACGCCTGCAGTCCCAGCACTCAGAAGGCTGAGATCGGAGGCCTGCGGTCTGAAGCCAGCCCAGGCAGTTAAAACGTCTGTGAGACTCTTATCCCCAATTAGCCACCAAAAAGCCATGGCTCATGTGGTAGAGTGCTAGCCTTGAGCAAAAAGCTCAGGGATAGTGTCCAGATGCTGTGTTCAAGCCCCAGGACTGGCAGGCATGCATGTGCGCGCATGTACGCACACACACACACACGCACACACACACACCAAACAAACAAACCAAATCTTCAAACCCTCAAACCCCACAACTACTGAGCTCATTTCATATCCTCTTCAAAAACCAGCAGCACTTTGGTGCAGGGTGAGAGTGGGGGGGGGGGGGGGAGGAAGAGGAGGAAGAGGAGGAGGAGGAGGGAGAGGAGGAGGAGGGGGGGGAGGGGGAGGAGGGGGAGGAGGAAGAGGAAGAAGAGGGGGAGGAGGAGGAGGGGGAGGAGGAGGGAGAGAGGAGGAGTGAGAGGAGGAGGAGGGGAGGAGGAGGAGGAGGGGGAGGAGGGGAGGAGGAGGAGGAGGGGAGGAGTGATAGGAGGGGAGGAGGGGAGGAGAGGAGGAGGAGGGGGAGGAGGGGAGGAGTGAGAGGAGGAGGAGGAGGGGAAGAAGGGGAGGAGTGAGAGGAGGGGGATGAGGGGGAGGAGGGGGAGGAGGAGGAGGAGGAGAGAGAGGAGGGGGAGGAGAGGAGGAGGAGAGAGAGGAGGGGGAGGGGGAGGAGGAGGAGGAGGGGAAGGAGGGGAGGAGGGGAGGAGTGAGAGGAGGAGGAGGGGGAGGAGGGGAGGAGTGAGAGGAGGAGGAGGGGGAGGAGGGGAGGAGTGAGAGGGGGAGGAGGGGGAGGAGGGGAGGAGTGAGAGGAGGGGGAGGAGAGGAGGAGGGGGAGGAGGGGAGGAGTGAGAGGAGGAGGAGGGGGAGGAGGGGAGGAGTGAGAGGAGGGGAGGAGGGGAGGAGTGAGAGGAGGGGAAGGAGAGGAGGAGGGGGAGGAGGGGGGAGGAGGAGGAGGAGGAGGGGGAGGAGGCGGGCACAATCAGAGCACTGAGGCTACAGGGTTTGAAATTAGAGCCCAGACTTCGTGTTTGGTCTTTGCCCCCTCCTTGCCCTGTGACCTGGGTTTTCTGGCTCATGTGGGGAGGGGAGGGCAGGCAGGGGGTGCTGGGGCGCTGTCTGCTCCATGCCTGTCTGTCCTTCCTCCTCAGTAGCTTGAGGACAGCCAGCGGCTGGCCCTGTGTCCCGCGGAAACCCTTCCTCTCCAGGCCTGTGGCACCAACACGTTGTGCAGACCTCCTGTCTCCCTGGAGGAACAGTGCCCACGTCCTCCTTCCATTCTGTTCTCTGGAGCGAGAGATGGTGGCTGGAGGCCCAGTCCGTAAAATACCAAGTCTGCTCTGCTCTGTGTGTGTGCTAGGCCCGGGGCTGGCCTTCCCCAGCTGCTCTGGACCAGCACTCTGCGTAGGCCTCACAGCACCAAAGCAAAACGCCCCAGGCACACGCCTCGGGCGACAACCGTGCCCACCTGAGAGCAGCCCACGCGCGCTCCTCGGTGGGGGGGGGAGCCCACGCGCGCTCCTCGGGGGGGGGGGAGCCCACGCGCGCTCCTCGGGGGGGGAGCCCACGCGCGCTCCTCGGGGGGGGGGAGCCCACGCGCGCTCCTCGGTGGGGGGAGCCCACGCGCGCTCCTCGGGGGGGGAGCCCACGCGCACTCCTCGGGGGGGGAGCCCACGCGCGCTCCTCGGGGGGGGGAGCCCACGCGCGCTCCTCGGGGGGGGCCCACGCGCGCTCCTCGGGGGGGGGGGAGCCCACGCGCGCTCCTCGGGGGGGGGAGCCCACGCGCGCTCCTCGGTGGGGGGAGCCCACGCGCGCTCCTCGGGGGGGGGAGCCCACGCGCGCTCCTCGGGGGGGGCCCACGCGCGCTCCTCGGGGGGGGCCCACGCGCGCTCCTCGGGGGGGGAGCCCACGCGCGCTCCTCGGGGGGGAGCCCACGCGCGCTCCTCGGGGGGGGCCCACGCGCGCTCCTCGGGGCGGGCCCACGCGCGCTCCTCGGGGCGAGCCCACGCGCGCTCCTCGGGGGGAGCCCACGCGCGCTCCTCGGGGGGAGCCCACGCGCGCTCCTCGGGGGGGGCCCACGCGCGCTCCTCGGGGGGGGAGCCCACGCGCGCTCCTCGGGGCGAGCCCACGCGCGCTCCTCGGGGGGAGCCCACGCGCGCTCCTCGGGGGGGGGCCCACGCGCGCTCCTCGGGGGGGGCCCACGCGCGCTCCTCGGGGCGAGCCCACGCGCGCTCCTCGGGGGGAGCCCACGCGCACCGGGACACGCTGCGCCCTCCGGGAGCCCCAGCGCGCCCGCGCCCCGCTCCCGGGAGCCCCAGCGCGCCCGCGCCCCGCTCCCGCTCACCGGAGGGGTGGATCAGGAGCAGCGGGCTGCGGGACGTGGAGTCGTCGTAGGATTCCTTCAGACTCACTGTGGCTCTGGGGATATATTCTGGTCCCATGTGGTCACTGATAAAGCTTCTCACTGAATTCTTCAAGTGTTCGGGCCTAAGAATCTTTATCTAAAAGGAAAAAGAGCAGATGCGGTAACTGCCACCACCCGGGAGGCTACGGAGGGAGGACGGGCGCCGAGGGGAGGGCGGCCGTGTGCGGCCCGCAGAGGGGGAGGGCGGCCGTGTGCGGCCCGCAGAGGGGAGGGCGGCCGTGTGCGGCCCGCAGAGGGGAGGGCGGCCGTGTGCGGCCCGCAGAGGGGGAGGGCGGCCGTGTGCGGCCCGCAGAGGGGAGGGCGGCCGTGTGCGGGCCCGCAGAGGGGAGGGGGGCTGGGCCCGCAGAGGGGAGGGGGGCCGTGTGCGGCCCGCAGAGGGGAGGGGGGCTGGGCCCGCAGAGGGGAGGGCGGCCGTGTGCGGCCCGCAGAGGGGAGGGGGGCTGGGCCCGCAGAGGGGAGGGCGGCCGTGTGCGGCCCGCAGAGGGGAGGGGGGCTGGGCCCGCAGAGGGGAGGGGGGCCGTGTGCGGCCCGCAGAGGGGAGGGCGGCCGTGTGCGGCCCGCAGAGGGGAGGGCGGCCGTGTGCGGCCCGCAGAGGGGAGGGCGGCCGTGTGCGGCCCGCAGAGGGGAGGGGGGCTGGGCCCGCAGAGGGGAGGGCGGCCGTGTGCGGCCCGCAGAGGGGAGGGGGGCTGGGCCCGCAGAGGGGAGGGCGGCCGTGTGCGGCCCGCAGAGGGGAGGGGGGCTGGGCCCGCAGAGGGGAGGGGGGCTGGGCCCGCAGAGGGGAGGGGGGCTGGGCCCGCAGAGGGGAGGGGGGCCGTGTGCGGCCCGCAGAGGGGAGGGCGGCCGTGTGCGGCCCGCAGAGGGGAGGGCGGCCGTGTGCGGCCCGCAGAGGGGAGGGGGGCTGGGCCCGCAGAGGGGAGGGGGGCTGGGCCCGCAGAGGGGAGGGGGGCTGGGCCCGCAGAGGGGAGGGCGGCCGTGTGCGGCCCGCAGAGGGGAGGGGGGCTGGGCCCGCAGAGGGGAGGGCGGCCGTGTGCGGCCCGCAGAGGGGAGGGGGGCTGGGCCCGCAGAGGGGAGGGGGGCCGTGTGCGGCCCGCAGAGGGGAGGGGGGCCGTGTGCGGCCCGCAGAGGGGAGGGCGGCCGTGTGCGGCCCGCAGAGGGGAGGGGGGCTCATTAATTATGAGGGGCTCGGGGACCCCCCCCCCCCCGCGGTCCTTGGCGCACTGCGCATGCGCGTTCCGCTCCCCCCTCCACGTACGCGCCTCCCGCCTGAGCGCTCCCCCCCCCCCGTGTGCGCGTCCCACGTGTGCGCCCCCCCCCGCGTGCGCGTCCTCCACCCCGCGTGCGCGCCCCCCCGCGTGCGCGCGCCCCCTGCGTGCGCGCCCCCCCGCGTGCGCGCCCCCCCCGCGTGCGCGCGCCCCCCGCGTGCGCGCCCCCCCGCGTGCGCGCGCGCCCCGCGTGCGCGCCCCCCCCGCGTGCGCCCCCCCCCGCGTGCGCGCCCCCCCCGCGTGCGCGCGCGCCCCGCGTGCGCGCCCCCCCCCCGCGTGCGCCCCCCCCCCGCGTGCGCCCCCCCCCGCGTGCGCGCCCCCCCCGCGTGCGCGCCCCCCCCCGCGTGCGCCCCCCCCCCCCGCGTGCGCGCCCCCCCCGCGTGCGCCCCCCCCCCCCCCCCCCGCGTGCGCGCCCCCCTCACCAGGATGAGTCTTTGGAAGGGCGTCAGCTCCTCCCAGGGGAAGCGGGAGGGCTCCCGCAGCTCCTCGCCGTCGCCGAGCGGCTCTGTGGACGCAGGCGGGGAGGACCGGTTAGAGCAGCCAGGCGCGGCCCAAAGCCCGCGGGCAACGCGCCGCTCCCTGGCAGCTCCGCACACACCAGAACCGGAGCACGCGCGGGGCCGCCGGACCCGGGGAGGGGAGGGGAGGGGGAGGGGAGGGGGAGGGGAGGCTGGGGAGGGGAGGGGGGCCGGGGAGGGGAGGGGGGCCCGGGGAGGGGGGCCCGGGGAGGGGGGCCCGGGGAGGGGAGGGGAGGGGGGCCCGGGGAGGGGAGGGGGACCCGTGGAGGGGGGCCCGGGGAGGGGAGGGGAGGCCGGGGAGGGGAGGGGGGCCCGGGCAGGGGAGGGGAGGGGGGCCCGGGGAGGGGAGGGGAGGGGGGCCCGGGGAGGGGAGGGGAGGCCGGGGAGGGGAGGGGAGGCCGGGGAGGGGAGGGGGGCCCGGGGAGGGGAGGGGAGGGAGGCCGGGGAGGGGAGGGGGTCCCGGGGAGAGGAGGGGAGGCCGGGGAGGGGAGAGGAGGCCGGAGGGGGGAGGGGAGGGGAGGCCGGGGAGGGGAGGGGAGGGGGGCCGGGGAGGGGAGGGGAGGGGGTCCCGGGGAGAGGAGGAGGGGCCGGGGAGGGGAGAGGAGGCCGGAGGGGGGAGGGGAGGGGGGCCGGGGAGGGGAGGGGAGGGGAGGGGGTCCCGGGGAGAGGAGGGGGGGCCGGGGAGGGGAGAGGAGGCCGGAGGGGGGAGGGGAGGGGAGGCCGGGGAGGGGAGGGGAGGGGGGGCCGGGGAGGGGAGGGGAGGGGGGCCGGGGAGGGGAGGGGGTCCCGGGGAGAGGAGGGGAGGCCGGAGGGGGAGGGGATGGGGGCCGGCCAGACCCCAGAGGAGCGAGAAGGGCGCGGGGCTGCTGCGGGGCATCGCGGCCAAGTCTGCAGCGAAATGGAGAACCACGCGGCCAAGTCTTTTTTTTTTTGGGTCCGGTCGTGGGGCCTGAACTCTGGGCCTGGGCGCTGTCCCTCAGCTCTTCAGCTCAAGGCTAGCGCTCTACCACCTGAGCCACAGCGCCACTTCTGGCTTTTTTCTTTTTGCTTATGTGGTGCTGAGGAATGGAACCCAGGGCCTCAGGCATGCGAGGCAAGCGCTCTACCACTGAGCCACCTTCCCAGCCCCCAACCACAAACCAAGTCTGCAGGGAAATGGAGAGCCACGCGGAGGATAGGGGGGAGGTGCGGGAGGGGGGAGGTGCGGGAGGGGGGAGGTGCGGGAAGTGTGGAGAGGGGATCGGCAGGCCCTGCGGCTCAGGGGCTCACGCTCAATAGTTCAGAGGTGGAGGCTTGTGGACTGGGCCGTCTGGGCCAAGAGTTGCTTTTTGTTTTTTCAGTCGTGGGGCTTGAACTCAGGGCCTGGGCACTGTCCTTGAGCTTCCTGTGCTCAAGGCTAGCGCTCTACCACTTGAGCCACAGCGCCACTTCTGGCTTTTTCTGGGTATGTGGTGCTGAGGATTGAACTCGGGGCTTCCTGCAGGCTAGACAAGCGCTCTACCACAGAGCACCTTCCCAGGCGGTGGGCAAAGAGTTCCTGAGACTCCATCTCAGGAATGCGTGGAGCATACCTATATTCCTCCCTTTAATGACACACACTTAGGATAGAGGGAAGCTGAAGACCTTTTTGGTGTGTGCCTGTCTTGGGGCTTGAACTCAGGAGCCTTTTTGCTCAAGGCTAGCTTTCTCCCACTTGGGCCACCCTCTACTTCAGCCTTTTGGTTGAAGTCTCACAGACTCCTGCCATGCTGGCTTTGTGAGCCTCAGATTCCAGCCTCCGGCATAGCTGGAATTACAGGCGTGAGCGCCAGTAGCTCTTCTTACTTTCCTGGGATGAGCCATCCTTTGAGGAGAAGGGCATGCTAAGCAGCGAGTACACCGTCCTGCTCTTCCTGAAGGCCTCCCACTGCGGGGCATCTGACAGGAGGGACCGGCAGAGCAGCGCAAAGGCCCCCAGAGGTGATGGCTGACATACTGGCACTGCTTCCATCTGGAGGGGGTCAGCCACTGAAGATGTTGGGTTTTACAGGTCTCAACACGTCTAACAGAAAAAGAAACACGGTCATGTGACAAGAGCCAAGTCCTTTAGCTGTCACTCACTCATCACAGTAACAATCGAGTTATTTATTGCACAGCAGAGAAACAGTTTACACAAAACTTACTCAGGTTATTTTATTGTGGTAAGACGCACAAAAGTTTATCTAGACTACTATGAGTACACAGTCCAGGGGTGGAACCACATTCACACCCCTGTGAATGCAGACCCTTGTCTGCACCGTTACACAATGCACCCTGTTTCCCCACTTCTCCAAGAGCTTGGTGAGCAGTGCTCAGCTTCCGCAGTGGCCGCCTATCTGAGCTCATTTCAAATCTGTTCTACAAGGTTCACCCGTGCTGAGGCTTCCTCCGTCAGGCTGGACACTCTTCCAAGGTGTGTCTGTGTTACATTTTTACATATCAGTTCACTGCTCTGTGACATCTGAGATGCTTCTGTTGGCTAGATAGTGCTGCAGTGAATAGGTGTGCTCAAGCATTTCTCCAGACTCTTGCTTTTAACTTTTTGGATATATATTTGGAGTATATTTGCTGGATCATAGAGTAGTTCTATTTTTTTTGTTCTTTTCTTTCTTAGTGCTGGTCCTGGGGCTTGAACTCAAGGCCTGGGCACTGTCCCTGACCCTTTTTGCTCAAGGCTAGTGCTCTCTCTACCACTTGAGCCATGGCTGCATTTCTGGCTTTTGGGTGGTTAATTGGAGATGAGCATTTCAGGGACGATCCTGTCCTGGCTGACTTTGAACTGTGATCCTCAGATCTCAGCCCCTTGAGTAGCTACGGTAACTGGTGCCCAGCAAAATAGTTCTATTCTTAATGTTCTGAGGATCTTCTGGCTTGACACTGGATCTGTGGCTCAAGTGGAAGAGTGCTAGCTAGGGACAGTTCCCAGGCCCAGAGTTCAAACCTCAGAAGCGGTGCATGAGCGTGTGCACACACACACACACGCACGCACAGACACATGTGCAGGGGTTACAGTGATGGTACATGTGCACACATTGTGCTGGGCAGCCACATCTACATGGGTTTACGTCAGTCAACTGCAGAAGAGTGACTGAGGGTCACAGTTTGGCCACATCCAGAGAAATTACTTTTACTTACTGTCAAGTCCAGGTGTGGGCAATATACTTTTAATGTCTATCAATATGCCAGAATATAAAAAGATGTTCCATTCCTCCTCTGGCAGAGACCCGAGATCGCTCATCCAGTTTCCATCAGCGTTATTTTTCATGATCGTAGTACACAGTGAGAAGGAGAAGCAGAGTTTATGTTGATTAAACAAAGTGGAAGAAACAACCTGCGGGAGCACACAGCTGTCAGATCAGCCCAAATAAACACACCTCAGAATTCACAGCCACCAATCAAAAGCTCACCTTAAACACGTTTCTTGTCAACGCATCCATTGTGTGTTTGATATGCTTGTATATGCTACTGTTCCTGTGTTCCACGTCAGGCAGTGTTGTTAGACTTGTGATCCCATGAACTGGATCCGGAGGCACTGTCTCCTGTTTCACATCAATTTCTTGTTCTTCCCTTTTGGAAGTTACCGAAGAAACAAACACCTCCCGAAACCAGGACAGGGAGAACTGGTACATGTAGTTGAGCCGGGCGAGGTCGGCTACCAGGAAGTAGAGCAGGGTTCCCCGCGTGGCAATGGGCAGGTACTGCTCACGGGCTGCTTTGAGTTCACTCTCCGCCTTTTCCGTTGCTTTGATGCGTTTTGAAATTTCGTTTGATGTCATTTTACACTTTTTTAAAATATCTACAATCTCTTCATTATCTAATATGCACCCTAAACACATAAAAAGTGTAATGTTAACCAAGCGGCGGCCGGAACACGGTGTTTTTTTTTTTACTGAGGGCTTGTTGTCGTTGGGTCTTAGGCACTGTCCCTGAGCGTCTCTTGTTCAAGGCTAGCACTCTGCCCTTGAGCCATGGCTCAATCCTGGTTTTTTTCTGGTTAATTGGAAATGATAATCTCGTGGTTGGCTCTGAGCTGTGAATCTAGCCCCCTGAGCTGCTCACCTTCCATTTGCCAGCCACTGATGCCTGGCTGAAACCGGTCTCAGCACTCACCCTCTCTTCTTGATATTACTTTGGAGTTTGAGGTTTCTATTTTATTATGGGATCATAGTAACTATTTCATCCTAACAAATACACTGTGACCATGTATGTGAATATGTGTGTGTGTGTAAAATGTGATCCATTACAAACATTACAATAAAAATTCTAGAAAACCAGAAGTGGTGCCGAGGCTCAGGTGGTAGAGTGCTTGCCTTGAATGGAAGAGCTGAGGGACAGCGCCCAGTCCAGAGTTCAGCCCCAGGACCCCCCCCCAAAAAAAATTCTAGAAACAGCCAGCCCACCATCAGTTCACGTGTCACGTGGTATACCCTGCCTTTTGTTTTATATTCTTTTTTTGTTGTGGTTGGTCGTGGGCCTGGGCGCTGTCCTCAGCTCCTCAGCTCAAGGCCAGTGCTCTACGGCTCAGGCCACAGCCACTTCTGGTTGCCTGGTTCACTGGAGATCAGAGTCTCACTGCCTTTCCTGCACGGGCTGGCTTTGAACTGCGATCCTCCAGTCTCAGCCTCCTGAGTATCTGGGATGGCAGGTGGGCGCTTTGATCTAGGGGACCCCACAGTGGACGGCCGGCAGGTGTCCTTACAGAGAAGAACTTTCTGGAGGGGACAGGGAGGCAGATGAGAGTGAGTCAGGGGTCAGTGGCCCTCAGGGGGGTGGGATGGGGTCCGCCCAGACTGCTTAGACCAGACCGGACCGGGCCTCCAGCGCGGCCTCCCCCTCCCTCCCCCTCCTCCCCTCCCCCTTCGTCCCCCACCCCTCCCCCTCCTCCCCTCCCCCTTCCCCCACCCCTCCCCCTCCTCCCCTCCCCCCTCCTCCTCCCTCTCTCCCTCCCGCTCTTCCCCTCCTCCTCCCCTCCCTCCCCCCTCCCGCTCTTCCCCTCCCCCTCCCCCTCCCCCCCCCCCCCCCCCCCCCCCGCCCTCCGTGGCGCACCCTGGGCCTCGCGCAGCAGGCGCAGCGTGCGCTCCTCCAGCTCCTCCAGCGCTCCAGCGTCGGCCGCCACGCTCTCCAGCAGCCGGCCGCGCCGCTCCTCCAGCCACGGGCTCTTGTGGCTCACCACGGCCGACAGGAGCTGGTCCTGCAGGCTGCGGAACGTCAGCGAGAAGTTCACCAGCGTCACCAGGTTCCCCACGGCCGGCAGGAAGTGCGGGTTCTCCTTGTCTGTGGAGAGGTACAGCCTGCGGGGATGGGGGGGAGAGGGGAGGGAAACGAGTGCAGGAACCAGACCCACGCGGGGAGGACCGTGCGCGGCCGCCCGCCCTGCCCGGAGAACCGGGCTGGCGCCCACGGCCGGCCCCGCCCCCGCCGGCTCCTCCTGCCCCGCCCCCGCCGGCCCCACGGCCGGCCCCGCCCCCGCCGGCTCCTCCTGCCCCGCCCCCGCCGGCCCCACGGCCGGCCCCGCCCCCGCCGGCTCCTCCTGCCCCGCCCCCGCCGGCCCCACGGCCGGCCCCGCCCCTGCCGGCTCCTCCTGCCCCGCCCCCGCCGGCCCCACGGCCGGCCCCGCCCCTGCCGGCTCCTCCTGCCCCGCCCCCGCCGGCCCCGCCCCCGCCACCCCCCTCCCGCCCCGCCCCCGCCACCCCCTCCCGCCCCGCCCCCGCCACCCCCTCCCGCCCCGCCCCCGCCGGCTCCTCCTGCCCCGCCCCCCGCCGGCCCCGCCCCCGCCGGCCCCTCCTGCTCCGCCCCCTCCTGCCCCGCCCACCGCCGGCCCCGCCCCCGCCGGCCCCTCCTGCCCCCGCCCACGGCCGGCCCCACGGCCGGCCCCGCCCCCGCCGGCCCCGCCCCCGCCGGCCCTGCCCCCGCCCACCGCCGGCCCCGCCCACTGCCGTCCCTGCCCACTGCCGGCCCCTCCTGCCCCCGCCCACCGCCCGCCCCGCCCACCGCCATCTCCCCTCACACCCAACCCCACCCACCACTGCCCTGCCCACCACCTGCCCCGCCCACTGTCCCGCCCCTCCTGCCCCGCCCACTGAGCCTTCGGCGGGGCCCGGAGCGCACTTGAACTTCATGTTGTACTCTATGTCGGAGCCGTCCATGCGGATGAAGTCCTGCCCCCTCCTCTGGTACACGTCCTTCTTCAGCACGGCCTTCAGGCCGACCGACATCGCCTCGGGCACGTCCTGGAATGTGGGGCGCGTGTGACCGCGCGTGTGTGTGAGCGTGCCTGTGAATGTGAGCATGCGTGCGGCCCTCGTGGCGCGCTGCAGCTTGCGCAGGTGCGCGCATGTGTGCATGTGTGAGGGTGCATCTGCGCAAGCACGGCCGTACCTGCAGGAGCACGCTGCCGCCTGCGCTCACTGTCCAGCGCGGAGAGCACGTGTGCGCATGTGTGAGCGTGCGCACGCGCAGGCGCGGCCGTACCTGCAGGAGCACGCTGCCGCCCGTGCTGATGGCCTGTTTCAGATTGCGCATGTGCGAGCTGTCCAGCGCCGAGAGTGTCTGCAGGCGCTCGCCCTCCAGCGCGTGGATCCAGGCGCCGGCCTGCCGGTGCGGGTCCATCAGCAGCGGCCAGCGCAGGCTGTGCAGGATCAGGACGGCGTTCTCGGCCGCGTGCTGCCCGAGGGGCAGGCCCTGGCTGTGCCACAGGCGGACCTGGAGCACACCGGGCACGCCTGAGCGCTCACACCCACCGGACCCGGACCACACCTGAGCGCTCACACCCACCCGGAGCACACGGGGCACACCTGAGCGCTCACACCCACCCCACCCGGAGCACACCTGAGCGCTCACACCCACCCCACCCGGACCACACCTGAGCGCTCACACCCACCCCACCCGGAGCACACCTGAGCGCTCACACCCACCCCACCTGGACACGCCTGAGCGCTCACACCCACCCCACCCGGAGCACACCTGAGCGCTCACACCCACCCCACCCGGAGCACGCCCGAGCGCTCACACCCACCGGACCCGGAGCACACCTGAGCGCTCACACCCACCCCACCCGGACCACACCTGAGCGATCACACCCACCCCACCCGGAGCACACCTGAGCGCTCACACCCACCCCACCTGGACACGCCTGAGCGCTCACACCCACCCCACCCGGAGCACACCTGAGCGCTCACACCCACCCCACCCGGAGCACACCTGAGCGCTCACACCCACCCCACCCGGAGCACACCTGAGCGCTCACACCCACCCCACCCGGACACGCCTGAGCGCTCACACCCACCCCACCCGGAGCACACCTGAGCGCTCACACCCACCCCACCAGGAGCACACCTGAGCGCTCACACCCACCCCACCTGGACACGCCTGAGCGCTCACACCCACCCCACCCGGAGCACACCTGAGCGCTCACACCCACCCCACCCGGAGCACACCTGAGCGCTCACACCCACCCCACCCGGACACGCCTGAGCGCTCACACCCACCCCACCCGGAGCACACGGAGCACACCTGAGCGCTCACACCCACCCCACCCGGAGCACACCTGAGCGCTCACACCCACCCCACCCGGAGCACACCTGAGCGCTCACACCCACCCCACCCGGAGCACACCTGAGTGCTCACACCCACCCCACCCGGAGCACACCTGAGTGCTCACACCCACCCCACCCGGAGCACACCTGAGCGCTCACACCCACCCCACCCGGACACGCCTGAGCGCTCACACCCACCCCACCCGGAGCACACCTGAGCGCTCACACCCACCCCACCCGGAGCACACCTGAGCGCTCACACCCACCCCACCCGGAGCACACCGGGGCACGCCCGAGCGCTCAGAGCAGCACCCCTGACACGCACTCCTGGCACAGTGGTACAGGGTGCCCAATGGCCCGCCGTTAGGAAGGAACTTCACGAAGGACTAAGGACACCAGCAATTCCAAAGCCACGCAGATGACCCCATTGGTCAGGGGTGTGGCGGGCTCGTGTAATGCCCAGCTACTGAGGACTGGGGGCAGGAAGGAGCCTGGGCAAAGAGTGGGAGCTGGACGTGGTGGCTCAGCCACACACGTGTCCCAGGTAAAAAAACTGTGAAACTCATTTGAAAAATAACTAAAGCAAAACAAAAATGGCTCAAGTGGTGGGTCACCTGCCTAGCCAGCATGAGGCTCCTGAGCCCAGACCCTAGTATTGTCAAGATGAAAGCAGCCTGGACGTGAAACTTCTGCAGTGGTAGTAATTGCACAAAATGACCCCTTTCTGCTCATCAGCAAAGATGTTGCGGAGAAAAAGACATCTTAGAAGGACTGCATCCAAAGCTCTTAGGGGTGCCGGCATGCCTGGATCCTGCAGCTGTGCAGACCTGCTCCGGCCGCACGCAGACCAGGGCCTCAGCTGTGGACAGCGGCAGGATGCACGTCTGTGTATTCTTGGCAGATCTCTCCACATGCCCTCATTTCCCAGTTGGGGACAGGGAGGCTATAGGTCAGGTTCCCACACGGCGGCACACCCAGTATAAGGCAGGTGACGCATGCTGTAGAGACCTGTGGGCCAGTCACCGTTTCATGGCAGCATCGGTGGTAGCAGAAGGCAGCCACAGAAAGCCACGTGGTGAGAGGTGGCAAGTGGACCCCCCAGAAGCCCCGCGCACTCCACGGGTCTTGGATCCACCAGCACCCTCAGAGCGCCGGGACAGGGTGGGGGGTCTGGCTGTCTGGAGAGCTGCCCACCCAGGCTCTTGGCTGCTGTTTATTTCTGGCTTGGTTCCTACTAGTTCTCTTTATGTCCTAGATAGAGCTTTGCTGAAAATACATGTCACAAATAGTCATTTCCTGCCTTTGGCTCAGCCTTCTACCCTCTTAATGGTGTCTTTTGGTGAATGGGCCTAAACATTAATGTAATTGATCAATGTTTTACCATATGTTTTAGTTTAGTTTTTTTTTTTTTGTCGGTCATGAGGCTTGAACTCTGGGTCTGGGCGCTGTCCCTCAGCTCTTCAGCTCAAGGCTAGCGCTCTACCACTTGAGCCACTTCCGGCTTTTTCTTTCTCTGTGGTGCTGAGGTATTGAACCCAGAGCCTCATGCATGCAAGGCAAGCGCTCTGCCACTGAGCCACGAGTGGCCCCCGTAGGTGTTAGTTTTAAGAAATCTTTTGTCTTAACCCAGGGCCATGCACAGTCTCCTAACCTGTGCTCTACTTGAATTTTTGTGTGTGGTATGAAGTGAGGGCCATTTGCTCTTAAAAAATACTCAGTGACAGCGCCCATATTGAGAGGGATGGGCTTCTGCAGGACAGCGCCGTGGTAGGGGCCTAAGTGGGTTCTCCACAGTCTTCTATGGTGCCAGCCACCCTGGATTAGCGTGAACACGCATAAACTACACCATGGTCCTCATGATGTAGCTTTATTAAAGATTAATCCTGTCTCTGTGTGTGCGTGTGTGTGCTGGTCCTGGGGCTTGAACTCGGCCTGAACGCTGTCCCTGAGCTTTGATGCTCAAGGCTCACACCCCACTTCCGGCTTTTTGGATGATTAATTACAGATGAGTTTCAGAGATTTTTCTGCCCCAGCTGAGTTCAAGCCATGATCCTCAGATCTCAGCCCCCTGAGTTACTAGGATTACAGATGTGAGCCCATCAGCATCAACTGAAAGCTTACTTTTTAAAAAAAGAGCAAGAACAGTCCTACCTCATTCTTTTGTGCCATCACGTCCGGTAAGGAGAACTTGGAAGAAATGGAGATGTTGTTTTCAATGCTGAAACTCTCCCATTTACTGATGATCAGCTGCCGGAACTCGGGTGTCAAGGCCCCGCTGTAGACAATGCATGCTGAGGCCAGAAGCGTGTCCCCCAGAGTCCCTTCCAGCTTGCAGTCAATCTGCTCAATCGTTTCCTGCCATCGTATCTAAACAGTACGGCAAAAATGAGTTGTGTGCTGGGAGATGGTGCAGGGGGAGGTGATAATGCATGCTTTCACGGGGAGGAGCACTTGCCCTGTTCTTGGGCTAGGACAGATTCAAGGTCCGCCCAAACCCTAAGGGCGACGGACAGGTGGGGCTAGGTGTGACCACAGTGCTCCAGAGTCTGAAACAGGAGGGACAGCATCTGAGGGCAGCCTGGGCTACACAGTGGGCCCCAACTCACTCTCTGACCCCCCAGTCCTATGTCCATGCCTGGTGTTCCAGAACACTAAAGAACCCAGGCTTCCGGACTCCTTCTCGCTGCCTGTGGCCCATGTGTTGGATCAGTGCTGCACACACCCAGATCCTCAATCACTGGGATGGAACACAGCAGGGAAGCAGGCTTAAAAACTTATCAAAGTAACTTGATAAGTTACTTAAGTGCCTGGACCATTAAAGTCTGCACGTGCCAGGGCCCGCTTCTCAGCACAGCCAGGGCCTGAGGGCCTCGGCTTCCCCGGGTTGGCAGGGTTCAGTCATGGCCATGTCTCCCTGCCCCACAGGTCTTCCTTGGTATGTATTTATTTAAATAATTACATTAGAATTACCTTGAGAATTTTGTAAGAGCTGAAGTGTAACTTAACCAAGATTTTTGCCAGCTTACTTGAGACTCAAATGAGTTAGAGGCAAAATTAAAAAGAGATGAGGGTCAGAATACTGGCAGAAGGAAACGCAGTGTTCCTTTGCTTCTGTCACTCGGCTCCTCGCTCCTGCCCACCCGTGTCTTACATCCTTGGCCCAGGTGTTCCAGGATGAGGAAGGAAAACTCAAGAGTGCTTGGGACCTCATCACCGGACAGAAGCAAGAGAAGAGTGCCTCAGGCCTCTGCGGCCGGCCGCGGACTGCTAGGGCCAGACTCCCCGCGAGTGAGGAAGGGGCTGGGGCGGCAGAGCCCAGGCGGGGCAGCGGTGGGCGGGGCGCAGCGTGCCTTCTCCTCCCCCAGCACGCTCAGGAGGACAGCCGCACACTGCAAGCGCCTGGTGGCCAGTGTTCTTCGGTTCGCTAAGAGCTCTTGTTCAGCGACAGTGTCTTTGTAGGATGCCTGCAAAGCCTGCAAATGTTCTTCCACCTGAAGAATAATCAAAATAAGACAAAGCTCCTCACTGTTACTTTGGGTACAGGTTCTTTTGCACCACACTGTGCACCCACGCACGCAGATGCCCAAGCGCGTGTTCCAAAATGCTACCTTCCTCTCTCAAAATGTCCTTGCCCTGCTGCCATGTCAAGAGCCATCATTCTCTGTCTTTTCCCATCACATCTAGATTTTCAGCCGGCGTTGGCGTGCACCGCCCCTGCCTGTCTCCAGCAGTGCAGCCCCGGGAACCTCGTCTCCCCACACTCCCTACGCGCTCCCCAAGCATCTTTTACATTGGGCTCAGGTGGACAAAAGGGCCACTTCTAAAATAGGAAGAGGTGTGTGTGGAGTGGGGGACACCCTGGGGAGTGGCCTACTGGCACAGGGAACATGCGAGTCAGGGCTCTGGGCTCAGGGTCCTCCGCGCACTGCGCGCCCCGTGTGCCGCTGTCTCTGGGCTCAGGGTGCTCCGCGCACTGCGCGCCCGTGTGCCGCTGTCTCTGGGCTCTGGGCTCAGGGTGCTCCGCGCACTGCGCGCCCCGTGTGCCGCTGTCTCTGGGCTCTGGGCTCAGGGTCCTCCGCGCACTGCGCGTCCCGTGTGCCGCTGTCTCTGGGCTCAGGGTCCTCCGCGCACTGCGCGCCCGTGTGCCGCTGTCTCTGGGCTCAGGGCTCAGGGTCCTCCGCGCACTGCGCGCCCCGTGTGCCGCTGTCTCTGGGCTCAGGGCTCAGGGTGCTCCGCGCACTGCGCGCCCGTGTGCCGCTGTCTCTGGGCTCTGGGCTCAGGGTGCTCCGCGCACTGCGCGCCCCGTGTGCCGCTGTCTCTGGGCTCTGGGCTCAGGGTCCTCCGCGCACTGCGCGTCCCGTGTGCCGCTGTCTCTGGGCTCAGGGCTCAGGGTGCTCCGCGCACTGCGCGCCCCGTGTGCCGCTGTCTCTGGGCTCAGGGCTCAGGGTGCTCCGCGCACTGCGCGCCCCGTGTGCCGCTGTCTCTGGGCTCAGGGTGCTCCGCGCACTGCGCGCCCCGTGTGCCGCTGTCTCTGGGCTCAGGGCTCAGGGTCCTCCGCGCACTGCGCGCCCGTGTGCCGCTGTCTCTGGGCTCAGGGCTCAGGGTCCTCCGCGCACTGCGCGCCCCGTGTGCTGCTGTCTCTGGGCTCAGGGTGCTCCGCGCACTGCGCGCCCCGTGTGCCGCTGTCTCTGGGCTCAGGGCTCAGGGTGCTCCGCGCACTGCGCGCCCCGTGTGCCGCTGTCTCTGGGCTCAGGGTGCTCCGCGCACTGCGCGCCCCGTGTGCCGCTGTCTCTGGGCTCAGGGTGCTCCGCGCACTGCGCGCCCGTGTGCCGCTGTCTCTGGGCTCAGGGCTCAGGGTCCTCCGCGCACTGCGCGTCCCGTGTGCCGCTGTCTCTGGGCTCTGGGCTCAGGGTCCTCCGCGCACTGCGCGCCCCGTGTGCCGCTGTCTCTGGGCTCAGGGTGCTCCGCGCACTGCGCGCCCGTGTGCCGCTGTCTCTGGGCTCAGGGCTCAGGGTCCTCCGCGCACTGCGCGTCCCGTGTGCCGCTGTCTCTGGGCTCAGGGTGCTCCGCGCACTGCGCGCCCGTGTGCCGCTGTCTCTGGGCTCAGGGCTCAGGGTGCTCCGCGCACTGCGCGCCCCGTGTGCCGCTGTCTCTGGGCTCAGGGTGCTCCGCGCACTGCGCGCCCGTGTGCCGCTGTCTCTGGGCTCAGGGTGCTCCGCGCACTGCGCGCCCTGTGTGCCGCTGCCTCTGGGTGCCGCTGCCTGGCCACGCACGCTGCCCTCATTCGGGGTCGCAGTAGCTCTCACTTTGAGTCGAATGCTTGCCACCCGTGATTCCTGGCAGGGTGCCGGGCCGCAGACACCTGCAGGCGGCCTGGTGAGGCCTCCTCGGAGCTGCGCTCCGCCCCACCTGGTGACAGCCGTGCCAAGCGCTCCAGCATTTGCAAAGCGCCAAACTACATCCCACCCCCATGACTGCAAGTACCCCTGCCTTCCCCTTTGAGGTTGATTTAGTTGTGCTTGCAAGTTTTTTTTTATTAAACTTACCACATTTATAGTATTATTTTGAAAAGCTCCAAAAAGAATCAGCTGGCATTTTAATTGTAGCTGTTTCAAGTTTATGGACCAGTTTAGGGAAACTAACATCTTTAGAATATTGTTTTGTTCAAGAATATTTTGGGCTGGGAAGGTGGCTCAGTGGTAGAGCGCTTACCTTGCATGCATGAGGTCCTGGGTTCAGTTCCTCAGTACCACAAAAGAAAAAAAGCTGGAAGCGGCGCTGTGGCTCAAGTGGTAGAGCACTAGCCTTGAGCTGAAGAGCTGAGGCCCAGAGTTCAGGCCCCACCACTGAGAGAAAAATAAAATTTTTTTATTTGGTATAGCCTTATAGTTTCTGATATGCTGATACTGATATGCTGATACTGCCTATTTTGTTTTCCATTTTTTTTTTGAACTCTGGGCCTGGGCGCTGTCCCTCAGCTCTTCAGCGCCACTTCCGGCTTTTTTTTCCCTTCTGCTTATGTGGTGCTGAGGAATCGAACCCAGGGCCTCATGCAGTGCAAGGCAAGCGCTCTACCACTGAGCCACCTTCCCAGCCCTGATACTGCCTATTTTGTAAGAAAGTTTATTCCTAGATATTTTGTAATTGTAGTTGCTGTTTTTCTAGTGTCCATTCAACAGGACACCTGCTGGATATTGACCATTTACATGCTGGTGCTTGTAGTCCTGTTTCAATTCCTTTGAATTTCCTAGGTACTTCACTTATAGCCTCTAAGTTTGTATCTTCTCCAAATTCCCACGCTAAAATCCTAATCCTACAAATGATATATTATTACCACAAGTTTCACGTCAGGCCCAAAGCCACCCTCTGCCAGCCCTCCCAACTCATGCAGTTCTCACAGAACTACACATCTGCCGCTTTAATGATGTTATTATTATAAGAACCCCAAAAGACAAAATACTTCCTCTTCAAAGTTTTGGAAAACTTTGAGAGGGACCAATGCTGGTTCTTTAAATATTTTGGTTGGGAAGGTTTTGACCATCAATTCAATCTCTTGTTTATATGGGCTAATTTTTTCTCAGGTCAGTTTAGATAATCTAGGTGTTTCAAGGAATTGGTCCATTCTTACGTTGTCGATTTTTTTTGATGTATACTTGTTCATACAAAAGTTTTTTTAATCTCTCTTTTTAAAAATCTCTTTTCTGATTTGTATCTCCTCTCTCTGTCTCCCTTGGTCCTTCTCTGCTTACGTCAGAGGCTTTTCTGGTTTTAGTTATTTGCTTCTCCTCCCTCCCTGCTCTCTCTCTCTTCTGTCTTGCTCTGCTTAAACTAGAGATGTGTTAATTTTGATGATCTCTAAAAATCACTTAATTTTTTAAAAATTAAGTTTTTTTGTGTGAAAATACTGTACAGAGGGGTTACAGTTACATGAGCAAAGTCACAAGTACTTTTCTTTCTTTTTCTTTTTCTTTTGGTTGGTTCTGGTGCTTGAACTCTGGGCCTGGGCGCTGTCCCTCAGCTCTTCAGTTCAAGGCTGGTGCTCTACCACTTGAGCCACAGCGCCCACTTCCAGCTTTTTCTGTGTATGTGGTACTGAGGAATTGACCCCAGGGCCTCATGCATGCAAGGCAAGCACTCGACCACTGAGCCACCTTCCCAGCCCCAATGAGTACATTTCTTATCCAGCATTGTTGCCTCCTCCTTTGTATTTCCCCTACTAGCCCTTTCCTCCCACCTCCTCAGCTACAACCCTCCCCCCACCCCGACCTCCCAATCCTTTAATTTTTTGCTTCACCAATTTTCTACATTGTTTTTCTGTTTTAATTTTCTAATCCTTTTTTGGGGGGTCGGTCGTGGGGCTTGAACGCTGGGCCTGGGTGCTGTCCATCAGCTCTTTAGCTCATTGCAATCACTCTTACCTCTTGATCCACTGAGCCACTTCTGGTTTTCTGGTGATTAATTGGAGATAAGAGTCTCATGGGACTTTTCCGCCTGGGCTGGCTTTGAACCTGGATCTTCAGATCTCAGCCTTCTGAGTAGCTAGGATAATAGGTGTGAGCCACCAGCGCTTGGCTCAGTTCTAATTTTCTAATTTCTTTTTTTTTTTAGCCTGCTTTGAGTTTAGTTTGTTCTTTTTCTAGTTCCTTCAGGTTACTGATTTGCAATCTTCCTTCTTTTTTTCCCCCAGGATACAAACACAGCATGAACATTTTATCAGCTTAGTTTTAAACAGTTCTCACTAAGACATCTTGTTAAAAACAGAAATAATGTAAAAGCTGGGAGTGTGTATCAAGTGGAAAAGGTACAAGTGAAGAGACTACTATTTAATTTCTTGGTTCACCTATTTATAAATGCAGAATTATCTTTTCTGGAAAGCTCTATCTGCCTGAGAGATGGTTACAGCAGGCAGGGGAGCACAATTCTTGTTTTTTTTTTTATTTATTTTTTGTAAAGGAGATGTACAGAGGGGTTACAGTCAGGTAATGAGGGGAGTCGGGGCAGGGGTGATACTGTTGGATGAGAAATGCACTCATTACCTTACTTATGTAACTGTAACCCCTCTGTACAGCACCTTTCCTTCTTTTCAACTTAGTTTTCTCTGGAACACTGCCCTTGTTCAGTTGTCTCTGTGCATTTGCTAATTTCCCTTGTGCCTTCTTCTCGGATCCATTAAGATGTGTGATTTACTTCCTGTGTATCAGTGAGTTTCCCAGTTTTGAGGTTTTTCAAACTTCATCCTCTGTGGTGGCGTGGATTAACGTTTGAGACTGATGCTGTGGCCCAGCGCAGACTGAGCTGCAGGATGCCTCGCAGCACTGCAGAGGAAGGCACTGGGTGCTTGGCGATGCGTCTATTACATTTGTCTGAGTCACTGTGTAAATCCCCGGTCCTCACTACAGCAAGTTGGAGGCTGGCTGCTGCCCGCCACAGGGTGCCGGCCCGGCCTGTCCCGCCCAGACCTCATCTGTGAGCTCAGCAGTGGGGGCTGCGCAAGGCATCCTCACTGGTTGCTGGCTATCTTAGGATTTTACTGTATAGTTAAACACATAGGCTTCAGATTGCACAGATGTGAATCAGAGTATGTCTACTGTTACCCCAACAGCTTGAGCGCTTAAAGAAATGCTTTCAAGTTTAGTTCTCTCCTTTGTAAATACATAATTCTAAATATTGTTTTGAAGATTAAGTGAGGAAAAGGTCCATACAGTGCCAGCATGGCACTCAGAGGACAGCAGAAGCTCAGCAAACATTCGCTGTCCAGCACCTATCAAAACAAAACTATACAGCTAAGTTACAGTAAAACAAATACCATGATATACCAATGTGAAATGAACCAAGGCCAAATTCACTGACTTCCTTCACAAACACTCAATTCTGTGTGGATGTAGGAGTATGCAAGAACCCTTCCAGGACCAGGCAGTCCATGGACTGATCACAGCCAAGTGAGGGTAGGGCTCTGCCAGGTGCCAGTGCCATGCCTGCAATCCGAGCTGAGATCCAGTCCAGGCAGACAAGTCTGAGAGACTATTATCTCTAAAAAACAAGCAAATATCCAGAAGTGGAGGCGTGGCTCTAGTGAAAAAGCTGTGTTTGGTTGCCAGGTTTTCTGGATTCTGAGAAGACAGAGGTCTGGATTTTAAAATGAAACACCACCCCCTAGGTGTTGATGATGACGTGAAGGCACCAGGCAGGGCAGGTGCTGGCGGGAGGTAGGCCTGGCTGCCTGCTGGCGGTCTGGCTTCTACACGCTCAGGATGAGGGCTGCACAGGGACTGGTGTGGCGGGCCTCCGCACGCTCCCACTCAAAATCAGACATTTCAGAAAGAACCATGCCTTTCCAAGGTGGCAGAGTAACTGATACAAACAGGTCGCGCGAGGAAGACACATTGTCCCCACTTACGTCTTTCTCCCAGAGAAATCTGGTGAAATGCTAAATTAAAATGCTATTGCACAATCATTACCGTTACTGTACGTGTTACTACGCAGCGAGCACTAGGAGCTTTACATGTGGATCTGTATTGTTTACTCAGTCTTGCCTTGATCTTTTGATCTTACCTTTGTGGTGACGCTCGTCCTCCCTGGTGCCGGGAGGGTGCCAGGCCTCGCATCTCAGGCAAGAACTCCAATACCCCCAGCATCTCAGCCCCCCCGAGGTGGTCGCTGTCTCTCCATGCTTTTGTATAGTTCATAAAAGTACTGAGAGTTTAATAAGTAAAAAGAAAACTTCTTACCAGCTGTACACCTTTTTGTTTTTCAGCCAGTCTTTGCCTTGCAATTCTAAGGACATTTTGCGCCTCAGCGACTTGGATTTGTTTAGGGCCCACTACCTGAAAGAGAAGGACGGGACGTGTCAAGTGGACTATTCAGCATGCCTTTCATGAAAACCAGACACTCGGGCTTACAGAAACACCTGAGTATAGCCAAGTTGTAGAATCAGTTTAGATGCCCAACAACTAAAAGATGGATAAAAATGTGGCACATTTACATTGTGGAGTATCGTTTAGCCACAAAGAAGAATGCAGTTATACCATTTTGAGAAAGATGGATGGAAATAGATGCTATATTGAGCAAGAAGCCAAGTCACAATGCCTTGGTGCATCAGATCTTATAACATTCATTGAAATCACATTGCCAATGTGCATTTGCTCATATAAAATAACATACATCAAAATGAACTCGAGAAAATGGAAACAAGCTTTTTTCCTTTTTGCTCTTGTCTTTTTCATTTACCTGTCTTTGGGAGTGTAAGAGGAGGCACACACACGGAGGGACAAAGGGGAGCAAATGCAGCAGCGGTGCTCACCGGACACCTTGTAGAAGATGAACTGTATAACCGTGGGTGGGGAAGGGAGGGAAAAACTGGGAGAGAGAAAGGGAAGGGCGCCACTGTCCCAAAAGAAATGTGCTCTGTACCCGACTTGTGTAACTGTCACCCTTCTGTACATCACCGCTATAACAACAGTAAAAGGAATTGAAAATAAAAGGGCCAACTCAAAAAAGCTAAGTATTGCATGTTTTCACTCAAATATAGGATCTAGACCTAATGTGATCATGATGATGATCATTAGTATAAAAAGGCAACTGTCTGGAGGGTATCAGCAGGAAATGAGCGGGAAAGGAGAGGCACATGCATGCACACATGCGCACGCACGCGCACACACACACACGCACATGCACGCACACACGCACACACACACAAAGATGGTTCAATAAAACCCACCAAATGCTGTTCGAAAAAAGGGAAGGGAGGGAGAGAGACTAAGGAAATACAGCAGGTGTATTTGTTCAAAGGATACTATAGGCATCTACAAGACTTGTCACAAGGAAAGCTGTATTAATCATATAGGCTAACAAAAGAGTAAAATAGGAAAATTTCCCCTTTTCTTTGAGATGTGTGTAGGTATCAACTGCTAAAGAGAACTTTCCAGGGATGCTGTATATGTACAAAGTAGTTCATTATGGTCAGAATATTACAACAAATAAGAATATAGCATTTGCTGTCTTGGAAACTTTTAAGAAGAGCTAATAGGTGAGCTCACACAATGCATCTGACTGAAGTGTTTCCCTCTGAGAGGAGGATTCCTTCTGAGAGGAGGATGTCTCCTTCTGAGAGGAGGATCTCTCCTTCTGAGAGGAGGATGTCTACCTTCTGACAGGAGGATGTCTCCTTCTGAGAGGAGGATGTCTCCTTCTGAGAGGAGGATGTCTCCTTCTGAGAGGAGGATGTCTACCTTCTGAGAGGAGGATGTCTACCTTCTGAGAGGAGGATGTCTCCTTCTGAGAGGAGGATGTCTACCTTCTGAGAGGAGGATGTCTCCTTCTGAGAGGAGGAGGTCTCCTTCTGAGAGGAGGATGTCTCCTTCTGACAGGAGGAGGTCTCCTTCTGAGAGGAGGATCTCTCCTTCTGAGAGGAGGATGTCTCCTTCTGAGAGGAGGATGTCTACCTTCTGACAGGAGGATGTCTACCTTCTGAGAGGAGGATGTCTCCTTCTGAGAGGAGGATGTCTCCTTCTGAGAGGAGGATGTCTCCTTCTGAGAGGAGGATCTCTCCTTCTGAGAGGAGGATGTCTACCTTCTGAGAGGAGGATGTCTCCTTCTGAGAGGAGGAGGTCTCCTTCTGAGAGGAGGATGTCTACCTTCTGAGAGGAGGATCTCTCCTTCTGAGAGGAGGATGTCTCCTTCTGAGAGGAGGATGTCTACCTTCTGAGAGGAGGATGTCTCCTTTTGAGAGGAGGATGTCTACCTTCTGAGAGGAGGATGTCTCCTTCTGAGAGGAGGATGTCTCCTTCTGAGAGGAGGATGTCTACCTTCTGAGAGGAGGATGTCTCCTTCTGAGAGGAGGATGTCTCCTTCTGAGAGGAGGATGTCTCCTTCTGAGAGGAGGATCTCTCCTTCTGAGAGGAGGATGTCTACCTTCTGAGAGGAGGATGTCTCCTTCTGAGAGGAGGAGGTCTCCTTCTGAGAGGAGGATGTCTACCTTCTGAGAGGAGGATGTCTCCTTCTGACAGGAGGATGTCTCCTTCTGAGAGGAGGATGTCTCCTTCTGACAGGAGGAGGTCTCCTTCTGACAGGAGGAGGTCTCCTTCTGAGAGGAGGATGTCTCCTTCTGAGAGGAGGATGTCTCCTTCTGAGAGGAGGATGTCTCCTTCTGAGAGGAGGATGTCTACCTTCTGAGAGGAGGATGTCTCCTGACAGGAGGATGTCTACCTTCTGACAGGAGGATGTCTCCTTCTGAGAGGAGGATGTCTCCTTCTGACAGGAGGAGGTCTCCTTCTGAGAGGAGGATGTCTACCTTCTGAGAGGAGGATGTCTACCTTCTGACAGGAGGATGTCTACCTTCTGACAGGAGGATCTCTCCTTCTGAGAGGAGGATGTCTCCTTCTGACAGGAGGAGGTCTCCTTCTGAGAGGAGGAGGTCTCCTTCTGACAGGAGGATGTCTCCTTCTGAGAGGAGGATGTCTACCTTCTGACAGGAGGAGGTCTCCTTCTGAGAGGAGGAGGTCTCCTTCTGAGAGGAGGATGTCTCCTTCTGAGAGGAGGATGTCTCTTTCTGAGAGGAGGATGCCTACCTTCTGCACCTCGTGGTAGTGGTTCAGAGCTATGACCCACTGGCATATGGAGCAGCAAGCCATGGAGACCAGGGCGACCTTGCTTGGGTTGAAATCAGGAAGGCTTAAAATCTTCTTCAGTCTCAGAAAAACCTAGAGAGAATTATTCGTGACAAAAATGTGTTCATCTGGAGTTTTCTTTAATGCACATGACAATGGCGTTTTACTTCAACTACTTTTCAGCTAAGTCAAAGATGCTCAAGAGCAGGAAGAGCCTGCCCGGGCTGGCTGGGGCCGGCTGGGGCTGGCCTGCCAGGGAGCTCTTCTGAGGACTCCCTGAAGGAGCCCCAGCACGGGAAATCTGTGCACGGAGGCCTGGCGTCCGACTGCATCTCCTTGGGAGGGGACAGCATTCTGCTCCCCCACCCCTGTGGCTCGCAGAGCCCTGCGCCCCAGGGCTCTGGGAGGCCTGGCCACGCTGCGCCACATGCCCTGGCTTCACAGCGGCCCACAGCGAGACATCTGGAACTTGGTCCACCCGTGGGAGTCACATTACAATGAAGCTCTTCTCAGGCATCCTTACCCCTCTTGCCTGGAAGAATGATTTTACTAGGAAGTCAAAGAGTAGGCAACCCCTCTCAGTTTTTCACTGGTGTGTTCTTTTCTCTCTTTTTTCTTTTTACAGGCCCAAGGCTTTTGGGGGACAGACCTGCCAGACGCTCCAAGCTGGAATGGAGGGGGCAGTAGTGGACAGATGGGTGGAATTCAAACAAGATTTTAGGGGGCGGTCACATGGGTTGTATTATGTGGATATGGGACTTTTTGGGGAGTCAGTTCTCAGAAGGAGGTGCTATATATGGGCTACAGGAATTGGGGGGAGAGCCACCTTCCAAAAAAAAGGGTGTAACTTGTGTACCGGGGTGTTCTTATTCACGTAAAGTATTGCTTGCTTTTTTTCTCCCTCCCTCCCTTCCTCCCTCCCCCTTCTTCCCCACCCCCTTTATCTCCTTTGCTTTTAATAGGGCTTAAACTCAGAGTCTAGGTAGTCTCCTTTAGCTTTTCACTTGGGACTGATGCGCTACCACTTAAGCCACAGCTCCACTTTTGCTTTTTATGGGTGGTTAGTTGGAGAGAAGAGTCTCAGGGATTTTGGGGCCTGGGCTAGGTTCGAACTATGATCCACAGATCTTAGCCTCCTGAGGAGCTTACAGGTGTGAGCCACTGAGGCCTATAACTTTATGTAATCATTGTACACTCATAGCATACCACATCCAGCCAAGAGGTCCTCTCTACAATGCTGCCCCACGTGAATCCTCGGTATGTTAAGAGATGCAGAGACATCTGTCCTCTGGTTTCAGGCATCGGCTGCTTTGCTGGACATTTCCAAGCAGTTTCTTCTGTTTCTTCTGCAACTTGCTCTCTGGTTGTTTATCTCTAACTACTTTCTTCCGTGTGTGTGTGTGTGTGTGTGTGCTAAAATTTGTTTTATAACTTAAAAAAATCACAATCTGGAATTTTAATTCCACTGTGTCTATTTGGCTTCATAGATTAGAACTACGGAAAGCATCAATCTTGTACTCATCTTGGGAGAATTCTTTACCTTATCAGGAATGCTGTCCTTGTCCAGGTTAGTCAGTCTCCTCAGGAAACCAGTCTCTGAGAGCAGCAGCTTTGCTGTGGCCCAGTTGGGCTTCTTCTGAAGCAGGATGCACACTGCATTCATGACAGTTAGTACGAGGAAGGGTGGGCGTGTGTACACCCTGCGACAGACAGGAACGTCGACATGCAGCTCCGTGGAGGCGGCCTCAGGAGCTAAGATGAGGACTACCACCCAATCCTGCTGCACCACCCCTGGCATGTATCTCGTATGAATCAACACACAACACACACACCATGTTTATAGCAGCACTATTCACATCAGCCAAGATATAAAACCAGCCTAGGTACCAACCAATGCCTGGAGAAAGAAAATGAAGTTGTACACAACAAAGTATTATTTGCTAAATAGTAAAATGGAACTGCAGCATTTTCAGGAAAATGGATGCATTTGGAGATCATCATGGTATGTGAAATTAGTAAATCAAGTTCAGAAAGACAAATCTCACATTTTTCACCCGCAAAAGGGAGACTGTGAGGGAAGGGCAAAGGAAAGGGTGTGTGAGATAAAAATTACAAAAGCACACTCGTGTACATGTGTGAAAACGGTACGACAAACGTTTAAAACCGATGTGAAGTAGTACAGATGGGGTGAATTTGGTCAAAGTAAATCATAGACGTGTTAGAAATATTACAATGAAGCCTCTTTGTATAATAATTTGTGCTAATAAAACCTAAGAAAATCTCTAGTTCAAATTTGAACTAACAGGACCCAGCCTTGGAGCCTGAAGTGTTTCATGGCTTCCAGTCTTTTCTCACGTGCTGTCTTTAGCCCCTCTCCCTCCCTCTGGGAGGGCACATAAGGTGGAGGTGCTTCTGTGTGTGCCCTGCCCTCCATCCACAGCCCCGGGGCCCAAATGGTGCACACATGGGGCTCTTGGTTGGAACTGCAGCTCAGCAATACTATCAGCTTGGAGATGGAGATTTTCACACCTCAGGGACTAGGATTCAGTGTAGGAAATGACATTGCACAGCTAATGGACAGCGTTCTTTTCTCCTTAAAATCCTGGTATACCTTACAATTGATGGTATCATAAAATGAGTAACCCACCAAATGTGCCAGATGTAATGAAACACAGCCAAATGTGTAAAAATAAATGCAAATTGGAATATTTTATAATATTTAACCTAGATCTCTGTCTCTGTCTCTGTGTGTGTGTGTGTGTGTGTGTGTGTGTGCTGATCCTGTAGCTTGAACTTGGGGCCTGGATGCTGTCCCTGGACGCTTGCTCAAGGCTGCACTCTACCACTTGAGCCACTTCCATTTTTTTGGTGGTTAACTGGAGATAAGAGTCTCATGGACTTTCCTACCTGGGCTGACTTTGAACCATGATCCTCACACCTCAGCCTCCTTAGTAGCTAGGACAACAGGTGTGAGCCACTAGCACCCAGCTTGGATCTATATTTTATTCTGTTTTTCCATCTCAAAAGAAATAGGTGACCTACTTACCTTAACTCAGCAACATCAGCTTTATCCAATGAATTTAGAGCCTCAACAGCCTTTTCTAAGATTGGCATCACACTTCTTAGCTCATTGGCAGTTTTCTGCAATAAAAGAGTAAGCCCCAAACACTATGACTGAATATAGTTAGTTGCCCACTTAAACTTTTTTTTTTTTTGGGTCCAGTCGTGGGGCCTGAACTCTGGCCTGGGCGCTGTCCCTCAGCTCTTCAGCTCAAGGCTAGCGCTCTACCACTTGAGCCTCAGCGCCACTTCCGGCTCTTTCTTTTTGCTTATGTGGTGCTGAGGAATCGAGCCCAGGGCCTCAGGCATGCAAGGCAAGCGCTCTACCACTGAGCCACCTTCCCAGCCTTCCATTTAAACTTTTATGTGTTGAACTGGACATTTTACAATGCACGAAGTTCTGCATCCGTGTGATTTACATATGTGCACCCATGTTTCTTCTTCTGGAAACATGCCACAGCCCTATGTGTAGAGTTATGCAGTCTGTGGAAGAGAAAACACACAGCTTTCTCATTCAGACTTAGGGTTCCATTTGGATGCCCATTTGAAGAATGGTGCAGCTCATGAACTCTTGCTTCATGTCTGAAGGACTGCCCACGCCTCTTAAACCTGCTAAGTGAGGTGTTTAACACACTCAGGTCTCTGCCCCTCTGAGCAGGCAGGAGGTACTGGAGTTATGGGGAGGTAAGGTGGAAATAATATTTATACTGTTAATAGTGACTTCACAGTGTAAGTCATCTGCAATAGAAATGGTTTTCAGAAACTTCTTTTGTCTACTGTTCCAATTTTCCTGACCACGTGACAGTAAGATATAGAGCCCGAGTCACCTGGACGGGTAAGCCTGGCCTACAGGTCCTAGCCCCAGAAGACTATGGGCAGTGTTTTGCACCTTTTGAGTTCAGTGAAAACTCTATTTATTAGAAGCATAAAACTGTAAAGGGAGAGTTTGATTTTCATTTAAATGTACGATCCACTTTTTTTTTTTTTTTTAAAGGAAGTTGTATAGAACAGAATTAGTCAGAATTTCTAGGTTTTTTGTTGTTGTTGTTTTGTTGGTTGTGGGGCTTGAACTCTGGGCCTGGGTGCTGTCCCTCAGCTCTTCAGCTCAAGGTGAGCGCTCTATCGCTTGAGCTACAGCACCACTTCTGGTTTTCTGAGTGTTTTATAGGAGATAAGAGTCTCATGGACTTTCTTGCCCGGGCTGGCTTTGAACCGCAATCCTCAGATCTCAGCCTCCTGAGTAGCTAGGATTACAGGCATGAGCCACCAGCACCCGGCTGTTTCTAGGTTTTAAGTAACAATTGTTGCATTTGGAATGATGTATTGGAATGTTCCAACAAAATCAGGGAGAGAGTACAGATTTCCACACAGAATTGTAAAAAGCACCTTATTGCATGATCTTACCTTTTATTTATAAGTATATATTAAAGACAAAAATTTGTGGAAAATTAACTAAAAGTAAATGTCTGATAAAATCACTAGCCATTATCCTGATACTGAGGAGCAAACGGTGATAAAGAATTTCATACCATACCCAAATCAGTAATTTATTAAGGAAAAATAAATTTAGGATGAAGTTGACAGTGGTTTGTTTAATCAGGCAATCATATGATTAAGGCAGATATGGTGGTACACACCTGTAATCTTGGCACTTGGGAGACAAAGGCAGGGGGGCTACATAGGGAGACTCTGTCTTCAAAAACGAAGGGCTATAGGTGTAGCTTAGCCAAATGCCCTTGCCCAGTAAGCCCAAGGCCCTGGACTTAATTCCCAGCAACATGGAAATCATATGATTTTATTGGGAACATTTTTTATTTCTTGGTGAGTTTATGATAAATAGCAACATTACCAAAAATAACATAACTATTGGAATATATCTCTGTAATGAGAATGATCCAAAGCTGGCTAATAAATATAATCAATTTAAACAATATTTAAAATTCATCCCTCTACAAAAGCCTGGAAAGGCTGTTGCTGCTAATACCCTCTGATAACAGTTCTCAAAAGGTTGGCAGCTGAAAGAAATTTCCAAACTATCAAAAATGGCAGTAGCTAAAAAGATTTCTGAAAAGCAATTTGGACTGCCGAGAGTGGGATGGGCTGACTGCTTTTGTTCCTGACACAGACAAGAAGACACCAAAGCACCTCCCATGACCAGAGCCATGGGATGCTTTCACAAAACCTCATCTGTCTCATGCTTTGTAATTTCAGCCCATGATAGTAGCATGTGCGTGTGACTGGTAGTTACATACACGTTGGGAAATAGCCATGTATACAAATATATGTATCTCTCTATATCTGTCTATCTACACACACACACACACACACACACACACACATAAGACAGGAGGTATAGCTCCATTCCAATCTCTGGTCAGACTAGAGTAAAACCATGTGGGCTCCTGATGAGCAAGTCAAGGCAGGGAATGGGAGAATGGCCAGGTGAACGGTGAACGGTGGAGGTGGCAGGTCCCAGCAGCCCTGGGGCGGCTCATGTCTTGCAGATGCTTCTCCTAAGGGCTGGGTGAGTCTCGTGGAACACAAAAAGCCTCCAAAGCTGACATCTTTTCTCCCTACCTGCCATCTAATAGTGTCTTGTGTGTGGTGAGGACTCAGTAAGTATTTGCTAGGATAAAAAGTATCTCTGGCTGGGCACTAGGCACTAAGGACAGTCCACCCTTTTACACCTGGAGGCTCTCGGAGGGGCTTACCTGAGCATAATCTTCCACAATCCTTACTTCTTCAGACATAATTTCTTCATCCTGTTTAACAAGCATCTGAACTTTTTCAACTACTTGTGAATCTTTCTGTAGTTTTTCCATTAGGGTTTCTGTTTCCTAGTCAACCAAATGGTTATTAGAAGGAATTTAGAGGCATGAGAGAGTCAAATAGCTTGCTTTATTACTATTCAATTCATCACAACCAGCATGTAATAAGTTTTTAAGAGATTAATTTGGATGAACACAATTAGTATTATCCCATACAAGACACAGGGCTGGGAGGAGCTCACTCCCTGGGCCCAGCCCCTTCGCAGCCCTACCCACGGGCAGGGGCCCACTGTGCCCTCTGGGATACTGGGCAGGCGGCAGCGCTCACATCACAGTTCAGATGAATTGCGCGTGGACCACCCACGTTTATAACATACACATGCTGAATGTATTCATGCTTGTTCACCTCGTCGGCCCTCCTCCTCCTGCTGACGCCGCTTCCCACCCAGGACCCATGTTACTTCCTTATCATTCTTCTTTTTAAATTGCACCAAGGTTTTTTTTTTTTGTTTTTTTTTTTTTCCATTTTCAGATACACATTCTATATTTTGCTTTGAATAACTGTCTCTATGTCTTTCTATCTCCCAAGTCCCTGTTGACCAATAGCTTTCACTGAGATTCCTTATGTCACTTTAAATGATTAAGTGTAATCACATTACTATTTTTCTGTTCTTGTTGCTGTTTTGCCCTCCTTTTCTTGTCTTTTCTCTGGCACCTGGGCTTGAATTCGAGGCCTCCGTGTTCTGTTCTGTACTCAAGCCGTGCCTCCAGTTTCCTCCCTCATTTTACAGATAAGGAAATTGAGACCAAAAGAGGTTAAGCATTTATTCAAGGCTGCACAGCTACCCTGGAATTTGAACTCACTTTTGTCAGAGCCTTTGCTTTCTAACACTGGGTCTTCAAGAACAATTTCAAATAAAACATACCTTTGTTTTTTGCTCTATTTGAGGGCCAATAATCAAGAGTTCCTCCTGCATATCTTTAACTAGTGAGGTTGCTTCCAGGATCTTAGACAGACCCACAGAGAAACGCTTCCTGTGGATGAGAGGGAGCATGGGGCAGTGATTTTTTTCCTCTTCTTTAACTCTAAATGTATAGGGGCAGAAGCATCAGATTTTGGAGTTTTCAAGTGTTAATAAGGTTGCGTGAGCACACAGACTGTACCAAGTAGACGTGCAGCATTCTTGTGTGCTTTAGCACATACCTGTCTGTCTTTAAAAAAATATTTTTGTAGGTCATGGGGCCTGGACGCTGTCCCTCAGCTCCTCAGCTCAAGGCTAGCACTCTACCACTTGAGCCACAGCGCCACTTCTGCCTTTTTCTACTTATATGGTGCTGAGGAATCAAACCCAGGGCCTCATGCATGCAAGGCAAGCACTCTACCACTGAGCCACCTTCCCAGCCCCTCTTAGGCTTTAACTGTGAATATTTCCAAGGAAGGTGCTTCCATTGCAAATAGATTACATGATCAAGAGTGTGGGAAGAGGCCTAGATTGGCTGTAAGAGATCCAGGTCTTGTGAACAGGTATGGACATCGATGGTAAGAAGTTGTGAATGTACACAGACAGCTGCACTCAAGGGAGTCCTGGAGAGAAACGTCCCAGGGGAGGGGGGATGGGGAGACGTTCCAGGAGAGGGGGGATGGGGAGATGTCCCAGGGGAGGGGGATGGGGAGACGTTCCAGGAGAGGGGGGGATGGGGAGACGTCCCAGGGGAGGGGGATGGGGAGACGTCCCAGGGGAGGGGGGATGGGGAGACGTCCCAGGAGAGGGGGGGATGGGAGACGTCCCAGGGGAGGGGGGGATGCGGAGACATTCCAGGAGAGGGGGGATGGGGAGACATTCCAGGGGAGGGGGGATGGGGAGACATTCCAGGAGAGGGGGGATGGGGAGACATTCCAGGGGAGGGGGGATGGGGAGACATTCCAGGGGAGGGGGGATGGGGAGACATTCCAGGAGAGGGGGGATGGGGAGACATTCCAGGAGAGGGGGATGGGGAGACGTCCCAGGGGAGGGGGGATGGGGAGACATTCCAGGAGAGGGGGGATGGGGAGACGTTCCAGGAGAGGGGGGATGGGCAGACGTTCCAGGAGAGGGGGGGATGGGGAGACGTTCCAGGAGAGGGGGGATGGGGAGACATTCCAGGAGAGGGGGGATGGGGAGACATTCCAGGAGAGGGGGATGGGGAGACGTCCCAGGGGAGGGGGGATGGGGAGACATTCCAGGAGAGGGGGGATGGGGAGACGTTCCAGGAGAGGGGGGATGGGGAGATGTCCCAGGGGAGGGGGGGATGGGGAGACATTCCAGGAGAGGGGGGGATGGGGAGACGTTCCAGGGGAGGGGGGGATGGGGAGACGTTCCAGGAGAGGGGGGATGGGGAGACGTTCCAGGGGAGGGGGGGATGGGGAGACGTTCCAGGAGAGGGGGGATGGGGAGACATTCCAGGGGAGGGGGGATGGGGAGACGTTCCAGGAGAGGGGGGATGGGGAGACATTCCAGGGGAGGGGGGATGGGGAGACATTCCAGGAGAGGGGGATGGGGAGACGTTCCAGGAGAGGGGGATGGGGAGACGTCCCAGGGGAGGGGGGGATGGGGAGACATTCCAGGAGAGGGGGGATGGGGAGACGTTCCAGGAGAGGGGGGGATGGGGAGACGTTCCAGGGGAGGGGGGGATGGGGAGACGTTCCAGGAGAGGGGGGATGGGGAGACGTCCCAGGGGAGGGGGGATGGGGAGACATTCCAGGGGAGGGGGGATGGGGAGACATTCCAGGGGAGGGGGGATGGGGAGACATTCCAGGAGAGGGGGATGGGGAGATGTCCCAGGGGAGGGGGGGATGGGGAGACATTCCAGGAGAGGGGGGATGGGGAGACATTCCAGGAGAGGGGGGATGGGGAGACGTCCCAGGAGAGGGGGGATGGGGAGACGTTCCAGGAGAGGGGGGATGGGGAGATGTCCCAGGGGAGGGGGGGATGGGGAGACATTCCAGGAGAGGGGGGATGGGGAGACATTCCAGGAGAGGGGGGATGGGGAGACGTCCCAGGAGAGGGGGGATGGGGAGACGTTCCAGGAGAGGGGGGATGGGGAGATGTCCCAGGGGAGGGGGGATGGGGAGACATTCCAGGGGAGGGGGGATGGGGAGACATTCCAGGGGAGGGGGGATGGGGAGACATTCCAGGGGAGGGGGATGGGGAGAGGGTCCAGGAGAGGGGGGATGGGGAGATGTTCCAGGAGAGGGGGGATGGGGAGACGTTCCAGGAGAGGGGGGATGGGGAGACATTCCAGGGGAGGGGGGAGGGGGAGACATTCCAGGGGAGGGGGGATGGGGAGACATTCCAGGGGAGGGGGATGGGGAGAGGGTCCAGGAGAGGGGGGATGGGGAGATGTTCCAGGAGAGGGGGGATGGGGAGAGGGTCCAGGAGAGGGGGGATGGGGAGATGTTTCAGAAGAGGGGGACAGAGGGAAGGAATGTCCTCTGGACGTGGGTGGCAGGAGGGAGGAAGAGGAGGGAGATGCAGGTGTGAGGTGGCTCCTTGGGTGTAGGGAGACGCTGATCACCGCTGGGTTCTTCTCTGGGGGTCTCTGGGGAACCAGGAAGCCTCTCATAGTAGAACCTGCCTGCAGCAGCAGCTGGCGAGGGCCCCCTGCCTCCGGAATGGGCCCCGGCCTCACGGTCCTCACGGTGCCCCTGTGCTGGCCAAGCAGGCTCAGCTGCCCCACACCCCACCGACTGCAACAAAAGCTCCGTAAAACTAGACCCAAGGCTGCTACGGAGGCTTCTCCTCCTGTCTCCTGGGGGAGGAGCCCCTGGCAGCTGAGAGGTGGGTGGCCATGCTGCGGCCTCACCACCCGGGTGGGCACAGCACAGGCCCTGCGGTCATCCTCCAGGTTCCAGACAGGTGGCCTCTCCCCTCCCTCTTCCCCTCTCTCCCTCCCCCCCCCTGAGATGCTTTGTTTGTCCTCAAAATGGCTTTTACCCTATATGGCCTCATTGTTTTGTGCTTCTCTCTCCCCTCTTCCTTCCTTCCTTCCCTTCTTCCTTCCTTCCTTCCTTCTTTTCTCTTTCTTCTTTCTTTCCTTTCTTTCCTTCCTTCCTTTCTTTCTTTCTCTCTCTCTCTTCCTTTCTTCCTCTCTCTCCCTCGCTCCCTCCCTCCTTCCCCTCCCTCTCTCTTTCTCTCTCTCTCATGTAAAAGTGCTGGCCAGGTGCTTTTGCCTTGTGGCAAATGCCTGCAATCCCAACACTAGACACACAGAGATGAGCTAGTCTCATCTCAAAACACAAACAAGTTCCACAAAACAAAAATAAAACAAAGAATAACAGCACCAATATAAAATGCATGCATGGAAATAAAGTCTTACCTCTTTCTTTCCATCTCCTCTTCTTGTGACCTCAAAATATGTACAAATGTTTCCATGAACTGTAAATAGCTACTAGGAGTGATATAGTAGTGCCTTTTAGTTTCTTCAAGGTATTGTGTGCTCAAGTCTCTTACACTTTTGTGGATCTGGACACACGTTAGGGCAAATCTTTCTCTTAAGTGCTGAAGAAAAATATTTTTTAAAGAATCAAGGGCCAGCAATCTGAATATACACAAGCAGAAGGGTGATAACTGAAAGTGGTTGGTCACTTCTGAGATGTAGGGCTGTGTGTCTAGATTCTGGACAAATGGTACCATGGGGTGGCTGGAGGAGGCAGGCAGAGGAGGCAGCCAGGCAGCGAGTGTGGTCTACGGCTGTTCCCAGGCCTCGCCCTCAGGCTTGATGTAACTGCTGGCGGATTTAGGGCACCAGGACCATGCCAAGGGATAATATCTCAATTCCTTTGTAAAAGTACTTGAGAATAGCAAGATGTTGAGGGAGGAAATTTCCTTGAGTCAAACAATGTTGACTCCAAGATATTGGAGGAAATTTCCTTGAGTCAAACAAGGCTACAAAAGTGTAAGGGCCCAGAGAAGAAGGAGTGCCCAGCGCGTATAGACATAACCCCATCTTGGTTGCTTGTGCGTAGTCGCAAGCCCAGAGGATCACTGTCAATCCAGCAGCAGCTTCCCCTCCTCCCTCCACACAGACGGCTCTCTCCAGCCCTCTTAGGAAGCATCTCCTCAGCACCCCCTCCTCTTCACCCTGGAGGAGCTCCTCACCACTGGCTCGCCAATCATGCACTAAGTTCACACTGTGGGGAGAGTTCTTATTTCTTTGCTGTAGATGTGCCAGAACAATTCACAATGTCGAGTAGACATCTTACCAAAGGGTCTGCCAACAGACCCTCCTGTCTCTCCACAGACACCTTTCTGCTTACCACAGGGACAGAGCAGAGAGGAGAACCAGGAAGCACAGAGCTGCCATCTTTAAAATGGGCTGGTGAGCGGGGAGGGAGACGGGGGGCTGACAAGGAGTCAAGATAAACAGATGAACTCACTTCACCATCTGGCTTAGAGCTGCCTGTTCTGCCCATCTAGAGTTCAATGCTGTTCAGAGCTCAAATACTGTCAGGGGTGATGAATAAAGTGAGCCCTTCACGGGCAGCAGGTACCTGTCTGTGCTTTAAGTTCACTTTCTCCCTTAGGTAAGAGTTGGCCACCAGAAGGAGAGCTTCTTCAGGCCACCTCTGGTACCAGTCGATGGTACACGAGTTAACCATGGCCGGATACCGTCGGCAGGTCTGGCGAAACTGAGATCCTGCAGGACTCATGACCAGGCAGATGTGCAGGTTTTTAAATAGTCTCTGAAATTAATAAAAATATGTTATCAACATCTTTGAAACCTGGTTCAATCGGGTAGGCGAGAGACAGACCAATTGTGCATGAAGTGCGTGCTAGCCACAGAGCTCTTCTGAGGGAGCTGAGGCATGAGGCCCACCCGGCTCCACTCTCGAGGGGAGATGCTTATAAATGAAACGTGTACCTCATCAACGCACAATTCAGACCCCAGAAGATGTCCAGTGTGACAGTGGAAGAACCCTGCCTCTCCCCCCCCCCCCCCCCCGCAGCTGCCTTGTACACGCGGTGTACACGCACTTGCACACGAGAGCTATCAACCTGACAGAACCACATACATTAGCCTAATTAACCAGCCCAAATGATTAAGACATACATTAGCCTAATTAACCAGCCCAAATGATTAAGACATACATTAGCCTAATTAACCAGCCCAAACAATTAAGACATACATTAGCCTAATTAACCAGCTCGAACAATTAAAACATACATTAACCTAATTAACCAGCCCAAACAATTAAAACATACATTAACCTAATTAACCAATAGAACAATTAAAACATACATTAACCTAATTAACCAGCCCAAACAATTAAAACATACATTAACCTAATAACCAATAGAACAATTAAAACATACATTAACCTAATAACCAATAGAACAATTAAAACATACATTAACCTAATTAACAATAGAACAATTAAAACATACATTAACCTAATTAACAATAGAACAATTAAAACATACATTAGCCTAATTAACCAACCCGAACAATTAAAACATACAGTAACCTAATTAACCACCCCAAACAATTAAAACATACATTAACCTAATTAATCAACCCGAATAATTAAAACAGATTTCCCTTCTCCCATATACTTTTTTATTGGCACCAGTGAGTTGCAGAAGGGAGTTTTGTTTTGACATGTCCATAAAATAGATTTCTGGCTGGGATTCATGGTTTATTACTCTTTGAGTTCACTATTCACCACACCTGAATCAGAATTTCTCTGTTCTTCCTTACCACTCACAATCTAGTTAATAAATCAGACAACTTACCAGACAAATGTGCTATTTTAAAATGTAGCTCACACCTGGGTCACAGAAGAAATTAAGGAAGAAATTAGAAAGTTCTTACAACTCAATGAAAATGAAAACACAAAACCTCTGGGACATAGGAAAAGCTGTGCTGGGAGGAAACTATCGCTCTAAGCACACACATAAAGAAAATACAAACAAGTGGCGCTGTAGCTCAAGTGGTAGAGCGCTCGCCTTGAGCTGAAGAGCTGAGGGACAGCGCCCAGGCCCAGAGTTCAAGCCCCACGACCGACAAAAAAAAAAAAAAAAAATTAAGAAATAAACAATTCTTTAAAAAAAAAAAAAAAAAAAAAAGAAAATACAAACAAGTAAATAACCTCCTGATGCAATTAAAACTGCTAGAAAAACAAGAACAAACCAAACTCACAACTACTAGACAGAGAGAGATAGCAAAGATTAGGGCAGAAGTTAACTAAGTAGAGAACCCCCACAAAAAAAACCCAAAAACTAAACATAAAATCAATGAAAGAAAAAGCTGGATTTTTTTCAAAAAATTAATAAAATTGACAGACCACTAGTGAGATTGATGAAGAAGAGAGACAAGATCAAATCAATAAAATCAGCGACGCCACAGGAAACATTACAACAAACATCCAAGAAATCCAAATGATTGTAAAGGACTACTTTCAAAACCTATACTCAAAAAAAAAAAAAAAAAGGAGCCGGGCTGGTGGCTCAGGCCTGTCATCCTAGCTACCCAGGAGGCTGAGATCTGAGGATTACGGTTCAAAACCAGCCTGGGCAGGAGAGTCTGTGAGTTTCTCATCTCCAATAAACCACTAGAAAACCAGCAGTGGCTCTGTGAGTCAAGTGGTAGAGCTCTAGCCTTCAGCTGAAGAGCTGAGGGACAGTGCTTAGACCCAGAGTTCAGGCCCCACGACCGACCAAAAAAAAAAAAAAAAAAAAAAAAGGAAACCTAGCAGAAATAGACAAATTTCTAGAGACATACAAACCTCCTAAATGGAACCAAAACAATAAAAAAAAAAAACCAGTTAAACAGTCCAACAACACACAACGAGATAGAGGAAGTAATCAGAAGTCTTCCAACAAGGAAAAGCCCAGGACCAGATGGATTCACTGCTGACTTCTATTAAGACTTTTAAAGATGAACTAACACCAATACTCCTCAAGGTTTTCTTTTCTTTTCTTTTTCTTTTTTTTTTTTTGCCAGATGTGGGGCCTGAACTCTGGGCGCTGTCCCTCAGCTCTTCAGCTCAAGGCTAGTGCTCTACCACTTGAGCCATAGCACTATTTCTGGCTTTTTTCTGCTTATGTAGTGCTGAGGACTGGTACCCAGGGCCTCAGGCATGCAAAGCAAGCACTCTACCACTGAGCCACCTTCCCAGCCCCTACTCCTCAAGGTTTTCTGTGAAATAGAAACAGAGGGAGAAATTCCAAATTCATTCTATGAAGGCAATACCATACTCATCCCCAAACCAGGCAGGGATCCAGCAAAAAGAGAGAGACACAGACCAATTTCTCAAATGAACACAGATGCAAAGCACCTCAATAAAGTATTGGCCAACATAATCCAGAAATTTTAAAAAATCAAACATTATGACCAAGTAAGCTTCATCCCACAGATGTAAGGCTGGTTTAACATATGCAAGTCAATAATTGTAATTCACATGAACAGAGCCAAGAACAAGAACCACCTGATCATCTCAGTAGATGCAGAAAAAGCCTTAGACAAAATACAACAGCCATTCATTTCTTTGGAGAAACTAGGAATGGAAGGAACATTCCTTAAACAATAAAGGCTATACACAACAGACCAACAGCCAACATCATACTAAATGGGGAAAAGTTAAAACCATTTCCCCTAAAATCAGAAACAAGGCAAGACACCACTTTCTCCACTCCTCTTCAATATAGTTCTGGAAATCTTACCAGAGCAATAAGGCAAGAAAAGGACATTAAAGAGATTCACATAGGGAAAGAAGAAATTCAACTAGCCTTATTTGCAGATGACATGATCTTATATCTAAAGGACCCCAAAATCTCCACCCTCAAGCTCCTAGAGCTAATCAACCACTTTGGCAAAGTAGCAGGACACAAAATTAACCCACAACAATCAGTAGCCTTTCTGTATGCCAACAATGCACAAGCAGAAAGGGAAATCATGAGAACAAGTCCATGCAATAGCCTTAAACAAACAAACCTAGAAATTAACTTAACCAAAGATGTAAAAGTCTCTATAGTGAAAACCATAAAAATCTCAAGAAAAAAACCCGAAGAGGACACCAGGAAATGGAAAAACCTTTCATGTTCATGGATAGAATCAGTACTGTGAGAATGGCCATACTGCAAAAATTGATACACAAATTCAATGCAATCCCCATCAAAATCCCAATGATGTTTTTTACTGAGATAGAGAAAACAATCCAAAAATTCATATGGAACAACAAATGACCCAGAAGAGCCAAAGCAACTCTAGGCAAAAAAGCAACATAGGCTGGATCAAAATTCCAGACTTCAAACTCTACTACAGAGCCTTAATAACAAAAACAGGGTGGTATTGGCACAAAAGCAGACCCGAAGATCAATGGAACAGATTAGAAGACCCAGAAATAAAACCATATAGTTACAGTCATCTAATATCCAACAAAGGAGCCAAAGACATTCAGTGGAAAAATCATAGCCTCTTCAATAATTGGTGTTAGGAAAAACTGGGCAGCAACATGCAGAAAACAAAGTGGATCCCTGCTTGTCGCCACGCACTGAAATCAACTCAAAGTGGATCAAAGACCTCAATGTCAGACCCCAAACTCTGAAACTACTGCTGGAGAGAGTAGGAGAGACATTAGAACTTATGGGTACAGGCAGGAACTTCCTGAATAGAGTCCCTGGGGCGCAATAGATAAGAGAGACTTGGCAAGTAGGCCTACATTAAAATAAATAAAAAGTTTCTAAAGCTGGGTGGCACCGGTGCCGCACGCCTGTAACCCCAGCTACTCAGGAGGCTGAGATCTGAGGATCAGGGTTTAAAGCCAGCCTGGGCAAGAAAGGCTGCGAGACTCTTATCTCCAATAAACCACTCGAAAACTGGAAGTAGTGCAGTGGCTCAAGTGGTAGAGCACTAGCCTTGAGCTGAAGAGCTGAGGGACAATGTTCAGGCCCAGAGTTCAAATGCTATGACCAACCAAAAAAAAAAAAAAAAGTTTCCGTATAGCTAAGGACATAGTTACTAAACTAGAAAGACAGCCAACTAGCAATACATTAGACAAAGGCCTAATATCCAATAGATACAAGGAGCTCAAGGAACGAACCCCTCCCAATCCTAATAAATCAATCATTAAATGGGCAAGAGAGCTGAGGAGAGACTGCTCAAAGAGGTAAGAATGGCAAGGAAACACATAAGGAAACGCTCATCCTCCTTCGTCATGAAGGAAATGCCAATCAAAATGACCCTGAGATTCCATCTTACCCCAGTTAGATTGGCCACATTGTGAACTGGAACAATAACAAATGCTGGCGGGAACGTGGGGAAAAGGAACCCCACCGCACTGCTGGCGGGGATGTAAACTAAACCACCACTCTGGACAGCAGTCTGGAGGTTCCGCAAAAAAGCCCAACAGCGACCTTCCCTGCGGCCAGCCATTCCACGCCTGGGCATCTTCCTGAGCACCACAGCCAGGATATGAGGACACCCGCACACCCATGTTCACTGCTGCACTATTCACAACCGCCAAGATACGCAAACAGCCCAGAGGCCCCACAACAGGTGAGTGGATCCAACAACTGTGATACCTACACACAATGGAATTTCACACAACCACTAGAAAGAATGTCATTTGCAGGGAAGTGGATGGAACTAGAACCAATCATATTACGTGAGGTAAGCCAAGATCAGAGAGACAAACGGCACAAGTTCTCTCTGATATGCAGAAGTTAGATCTAAAACGACAAACTATGCAGGATTCTAGATACTCACACAGTGAGACCAAAAGAGGATGTTCTTAGGAGAGCCGGCCATGCCTCCGGGCCTCTTCACGTTTATATAAAACTATACACATACTGAAACAAACTCCAAGGTGTGGAAACAGACTTTTGGTTAGTTTTTATTTTTTGATGATTCTGTCTTCTTTTCCTTATGTATGGTGATTCTCATGGATAGCTTTGGGGGTGGGGGAGGGTACAAATGAGGGAAAGGGTGAAAAAGTGGCGGTGGAGCTCCCTGGACACGGATGGAAGTGGGTGGAGACAGGAGGGAGGGAGGGAACAGAAGACACCATAGAGAGAGAATGCACTCATCACCTGACTCACGTAATTGTAACCCCCTGTACATCACCTCTATAATAACAATGAAGTAAATTAATTAAAAAATAAAATGTAGCCAATCTTAGTAGTCTCTTTTCCTTTTGTTCTCCATGGACTGTGGACTCCATTTCCGGGATTTAAACAAACCAACTTCTTCCAAGCAGGGACCTGCTGAGGAATGGCGGGATCCAGGGTCTGCCTCCAATGAGTCCAGCAAAAAGAGGGACCCAGGAATAAGCCAACCACGGCTCTTCCCTGGATTTGGGAATCATGCCTAATTGTCCACTAAGCCACGGGCTGCTCTCCCTCCCTCTGCCTCTCCCTCCCCCTCTGCCTCTGTTTCTCCCTCTCCCTCTCTCTCTGCCTCCCTCCCTCTCCCCCTCTCTCTTCCCCTCTCTCTCTGTCTCCCTCTCCCTCCCTCTAACCCTCTCTCTCTCCCCCTCTCCCTCCCTCCCCCCTCCCCTCTCTCCCTCTCTCTCTCTCCCTCCCTCTCTCTCCCCCTCTCTCTCCCTCCCTCCCTCCCTCTCCCTCTCTCTCCCCCTCTCTCCCCCTCCCTCCTCCCTCCCCTCTCTCCCTCTCTCTCTCCCTCTCTCCCTCCCTCTCTCTCCCCCTCTCTCTCCCTCCCTCCCTCCCTCTCCCTCTCTCTCTCCCTCCCTCTCCCTCTCTCTTCCCCTCTCTCCCCCTCCCTCCTCCCTCCCCTCTCTCCCTCTCTCTCTCCCTCTCTCCCTCCCTCTCTCTCCCCCTCTCTCTCCCTCCCTCCCTCCCTCTCCCTCTCTCTCTCCCTCCCTCTCCCTCTCTCTTCCCCTCTCTCCCCCTCCCTCCTCCCTCCCCTCTCTCCCTCTCTCTCTCCCTCTCTCTCTCCCTCTCTCCCTCCCTCCCTCTCCCTCTCTCTCTCCCTCCCTCTCCCCCTCTCTCCCCCTCTCTCTTTGCCTCCCTCTCCCTCCCTCTCCCTCTCTCTCCCCCCCCTCTCTCTCCCTCTCTCCCCCTCTCTCTCCCTCTCTCTCTCCCTCCCTCTCTCTTTCCCTCTCTCTCTCCCTCTCTCCCTCCCTCTCTCTCCCCCTCTCTCTCCCTCTCTCTCTCCCTCCCTCTCCCTCTCTCTTCCCCTCTCTCCCCCCCTCTCCCTCTGCCTCCCTCTCTCCCTCCCTCTCTCTTCCCCTCTCTCTCCCTCCCTCCCTCTCCCTCTCTCTCTCCCTCCCTCTCCCCCTCTCTCCCCCTCTCTTTGCCTCTCTCTCCCTCTCTCTCCCTCTCTCTCTCTCTCCCTCTCTCTCCCTCTCTCTCCCTCTCTCTCCCCCTCCCTCTCTCCCTCCCTCTCTCTCCCCCTCTCTCTCCCTCCGTCCCTCTCCCTCTCTCTCTCCCCCTCTCTCCCTCCCTCTCTCTCCCCCTCTCTCTCCCTCCCTCCCTCCCTCTCCCCCTCTCTCTCTCCCTCTCTCCCTCCCTCCCTCTCCCCCTCTCTCTCTCCCTCTCTCCCTCCCTCTCTCTCCCCCTCTCTCTCCCTCTCTCTCTCCCTCCCTCTCCCTCTCTCTTCCCCTCTCTCCCCCCCTCTCCCTCTGCCTCCATCTCTCCCTCCCTCTGACCCTCTCTGCTGTCTGCTCTCTCTTGTAGATGGATTGTTTCACCCATTTCACACTGCCGCAGGTCCATTCCACACCTTCTTCTGGTCGTGTCCACAGCTGTTGAAAGGACTGAAAGAATTTTCTTCTTTCTTTCTTGACTTGTTAGTTACCAACACAGTTAAAGTGAAAACTTCACTAACTAGAAAGGAATCTTAGTATAAGAAATAATCTCAAGATGATGTTTTTCTTTCATTGTCCTCAGCTGTTATGATGATGACAAACAAATCAACAGTGAACCAGACTCATACTTGTTGGCATGTGTTGGGAGGACAGTCATTATTTTAGCTGTAAAATTCTCACTCCATGATCTAAACAAGTAATATTGGACTTGAACATTACAAGCAGAATTGTACAATGTGGTCCACACTCACAAAACAATTTACAAAAAAATTACCTTTTGGAAGAATGAAAGTAAAGTCCGTCTGTCATCTACAAAGCCAAACTGTTCAACATAACACCTAATCCTCACTGTGATGGAATCCAGCTCCTCACTTTCAAACAAGTCAGGTATCTTCCCCAAATTGATAATATAGTTCAAATCTTCCAAAAATGATTCCTTAGGTGAAAGATGTATTTAATTAGAAATGAGTAAACTTTATATATAAGGTCATATATATGACCTTAGGAAGACACATTTGAAAGGTAACTTCTCTATTTTTTTTTCTGAGTCCAAGCCCACTCATGTATTCAGCCCTCTGTGCCAGGTCCTCAGCCTGGCCCCTATCCCGTGCCCGATGCCCGTGTCAGGAAGTGGGCTGCTGACAGGCCGGATGGAGCCCAGTGTCAACCAGTCACAGAAGCCCTCAGCACAACCTCTCACGAGTTAGACTAGAAGGTAAAATAGAGATAACTTGGGAGAGGGCTTCATTTAACCAAGCTCACTGTCTCTCTCCATCTCTCCATCTATCTGTCTGTGTCCATCTGTCTCTGTCTGTCTGTCTCTCTGAAAGAGGGCCTTGGAACCTGGCCCTCTGGCCTCAGCCATTCCCATCTGGACCCACGGGCCTGGTCACTATGCCCAGCCTTCACCAAGTGCATTTCTATCTCACAGGAAAGGCAAAGCAGAGGACAGGCCTAGAGGGAGCCTTCTCATAAAGGTGTAACTATTTACAGTGGGAATAAACACAAGCTTTCTTTACAAAGAAAAAAAGAGAATCCAACTCTCTTCAGGACCCTTCTCAAACACTCACAGACTTGTGGTGGGGAAGGTCAGAGACCTGTGGGTCGTGTCCAGCTTGCAGAGGTCCAGCTGGGGGCCCCCGAGGGGGGACCCTCTGGTGAGCAGGGATGGTAGATGGACAAGGCTTCCTAGACACATGGGCAGAAATGCCGTAGCCGGATAGCAGGACCTGGAGTCCTGAGTGGTGTGGAAGTGGGGGACACAGTTCAGTTTAGCTTTGTCCTGAAGTGGTTTTCTGAAGAATGCTTTATTAAAAGACAACGCTGGGCTGGCCTGGGAGAGGTGACTGCTGTGAAGTGTGTGCAGAGACTCTACTGATCAGTAGAGCAGGGAATTCAAGCTTGAGGAGGTCATACAGAAAGAGCAGGTTTAATACAGCAGGTATGATCTGGTACTTGGATTTACCCTTAAAATATGTCATAAAGCCAGGCACCCACGGCTCATGCCTGTCATCCTAGCTACTCAGGAGGCTGACAGTTTGACGCCAGTCCAGGCAGGAACGTCTGTGAGACTCTTATCTTCAATTAACTTCCAGAAAAGCAGCACTGGAGCTGAGTCTCAAAGTGGTAGAGGGCTAGCCTCGAGCAGAAAAGCTCAGAGACAGCACCCAGGCCCTGAGTTCAAGCCCCATGACCAATAAAAAAAATTGTTATGAAGGACAAATAACTCTATGGTAGAGACTGAGCATTAGAAGAAAAATCAGGACAAGAGTTTGCAATAATACTCATTACATGTCAAATTACAAATGTGAAACAATGTTCCCTTCAATCTCATCATAAAATGGAGTAAATATAATCTGAGGTGTATTCTTAGTTGTGGTTTTAAAATACAACACAATATAAACACAATAAATTATGTCTTAAAATGAAACAATATATACTAGCACTTTTAGCTTGCATGCAAAGAAGAATTTTCTCCAAGGAAAAACTGACTGTGTCTGATGGTGACCAAGGAAGGAAGAGACGGAGCCCCAGCACTGTGGAGACACGTTAGATCACACACACTGCACACCGCCGACAACGTCTGTTAAAATGCACATAGCATAGACTAGTTCTGATATAAAAAAATCAAGTCCAGATCAACATATATATTACTTTGGACCTTTACATTAAAATGAAGATGGTAAAGTCAGAAAAACTCTGGCATGACTACAATATATGCTGATGGTGCAGAGCACAGATGAGGATGAAAACAACAGATAGGGCAGCAGTAGGACCTACACAATCGCATCCACATCCGCAAGCTGTACGGCCAGGAAGTACCTACGTGCTCTAGGTGCAGCGGGGCGAGCATCAGCATGGTAGGGTCCCCTTCCAGCCCCGTCTGGATGAACACTTTCTTAAACATTTCCTTGAATTCCACGTAGGCACCCAGGTAAGGTGCAGGCACATGGCACAGTTTGTGCTCTTCCAAGTAACAAGCTAAGGTTGCACACATTTCTTTTCCACACCCATCAATTCCAATCTTCGAAGAAAAAAAATCGAACATATGATTCCTGTATATTTTCTGGGATTTAGCTTTCTGTTTATCTGTGCTGGAGATTTTGACAATAAACTTACTTCAGGTCGTAAGGCATTCGTCCAGGTCCCTGTGTTTTTACCTGAAGACCTCTTAGTTGTGTCTAGTATTTGCTGATCATGAATACGGTTGATGTCATCATTCATTGGAGGATTCTGTGTGGGCCTAAGTTTTCAGTTCAGTTGGGCACATATGTAGCTGCCCGGTTGCTGGGTTGTTCAGCTTTGTGAGACACTGCCAAGAGCAGGTATTGTAAGAGAACCTGCGCTCCCGACTCTCTTGTGTCCTTGTGCACACAGTGGCCCTGTGCTCACGGACACGTCTCCTCAGTCCCTCTGCCTGTGTGGTGCTGCGAGGCCCCACACTGTACTGCTGTCAGCCTCTCGGATCCCTCTAGCTACCGGAACCAGAAGCCAAATACACATGTTTACTGTGCAAGTTACCAGGCCCAGGTATTTTGTTGTAATTACTCCAAATGGACTGTTTTAATTTTTAATTGCATAATGATCTTTTAATTGCAAATGATCTTTTGATTACACTTACCTCCACTCCTTCTCCGCCCCCCTCCCTCTCTTTTGGCTCTCTGCTGGCTTGGGGCAGACTGGCAGACTGCACACATCCCCCCAAGTCTTTAATTTCGGATCATTTTACATCTCTGAATCTTGTTAAGAACATGCATTTAGAGTTTGTTCTTTTTAAGCTATGGTTTTAAGATCTCTCCCTTTTTGAATATTTGATGAATTTATATTGATGTTGTGATTGATATAGTTTGACCTTTTCCCACCTCTTTGCTGTTTTCAATGTTTCATTTCCTTTGTTTTTCCTTCATTATATTAATTTTTTTAAGGTTCTACTTTAATTTTTCCTTTTTTATATGTTTATATTTTGGTTCTCTATGTGAGAAGATTAAATTTAAGCTCTGCCCTTTTACTAAACCTCAAGGAAATTATACAGTGTCATGGTATAGATTAGAGCTCTGGGTCTTACTAATCTCGCATAACTGGATGATACTTTATAAATTATAAATGGCAATCTACTTCAGATGAATACAAGTTTAATTCCAGTTAAGTCAATAAGGTTAGTTCCAATAAAGCTCTGTTTCCTCTATCTTCTTTTATTTTTGAAACCTCTATTACCTCTTCATATTCTATAGAACTAACAATAATTTTTATGATTATTTTGTGCGGTTATCTTTTTTATAATTCCTGCAAATACTAGAATTTGAGCTGTGGGCTTTGTGCTTGCTACCACTTGAGCCACATCTCTAGCACTTTTTCACTCAATTGTTTTTAAGGCAATTAGGAGAAAAAGAGTAAAACATAGTTACTGTTTTTGGTAGGCAGATCCTGAAACCCGCGAAGGACAAGAGAGACTTTGCAGGTATAATTAAAGGCCAAGGATCTTGAAAACTTGCAATGTGAGATTACCCTAACTCATCTGGTGACTAACACAATGATACTGAGAGCAAAGCCCTCTCCTGGCTGTGGCCAGGGAGGGTGAAGAAGGTAAGGGGGGTGTGGCTGCTGGAAACACAAATGCAACTGAGTGGATTCTCCTCAGAGTCTCCAGGCCTCATCTGCAGGTGACATACTCATGGAGAAGAGAAGAAATGGGGAAATTCAAAATAATAAATACTGAAAAAAGCCAGACTCAGAAATTAGACCCAGGAAGTATAAACTGAAGGCTCAGAAAAGCACATTCCCCTCCTACCATGTGCTTTTAGGGATCAGCAACAAGAATAGGAGGAATACAAGGTCTATTTACGTCTCCCTTCTCCCTGAGATGTTAAGAAGCACACACTCTGCATGAGTGCATGAACAGAACTTGCAGGCACATCTGGCAAGGGAAGTCTTAAAGTTCACGTATCATCCCTGTGTTCTGAGCGGGCACAGGTCACTTCTCCACATTTTGAGATGAACAACAGCACCCATATTGGCCATTAACAAAATAAATCTTTTTAGCTAATTTTGTTGCATGTCAATTTAAATAAAGGTTGTTTGTTTATTTACTTATTTCAACTACTGGAAAGGAATCCATGGCTTTAATCACTTGATTTATGCTTCTGCCCTTTTTGTCTTTGTTTTTGAAATAGGGTTTCACTCAGTTTGTCCAGGCTACCCTTAATTCCTGATCCTGCCTCTGCTTCTTGAGTAGCTGGGATCACAGGTGTGCTACCATGCTCCGTTGAATAAAGGGCCCTTTAAATAAAGCTCTACTTCAAGGGGGGAGTCTAGCAATATAAAACATATAAATCAAATAACTAGTTGTTTATAAATATGCTGGAATTTTCTTAGTTTTCCAAAAATATTTTTAAAGTATTTGGGAATTTTCCAAGAATTTTGCTCCTGCTCACTGACTCTGCCATTGCTCCCATTTCTAAATCAACATTCAAGATGATGCATTATTTCTGAAGCCAGGGACCACCTGTGCAGAGCCTGTATTTCATCCAGGCCACATGAGAGGGGGCAGCCTTGTTAGTTTTATTCATAGCAAATACCTTCCAGAAACAAGCACCATTTTTGGTATGTTTCTTTTGTAAACTAGTAAGGACAGATTCTGTCCTATGACTCGATTATTCTGAGTTTTCATAAAGAAGGCATGAGACTTTTCTAAATCGATTATTTGGCGTTAGAATTAGTTTACAAACACAAACACTAGAGAAACTTAAAGCCCTACCAGGAGCATGTGGCTCCCTGGCTGTCTGAGCACTCTTGTAACTCTTGCAATGTGTTCAATGGCTTCCTTGAAAAACACCGTGGGGTGAGAGACCTGTCAAGAGAGATGAGACGATCTTATGGAGGAATCAGATGTTTTCCCCATGGTCCTAGAGGTGAGGTTGGTGTGCCCCTGGTCTGCACCTTGGGGCACAGGAGTAAATTATAACTGAGCAGCCTGGGGACCCTGTACACTCAGTGGTTTGGCCAGTGTTTGGGCTGCCCCTTGGCTCACACTGTGGTGAGCAAGCTGGGCAGTGGAGAAGAAGAGCATCTGGCCTTGGCCATCTTGGCAGTGGTGGATGATGGGAGCAAGACATTTCTCAGGTGTCTGTGCTTTGGTGGCCTTTTGCCTTTTAAGCACACTTTGCCCATAAAAGGGAACGATGTAAAGATGTTTCCCTTTGTTACCTAGGCCCTGCACCACCGTCTTGCGTTTCCTAATTTCACTAACGCCATTCATTCAGCTCCCACAGCCTGTGTGTACTGACTGCAAAAGTATATGTGCTGAGACAAAACGATGAAAGAAATGTAAAACTGTACAGCTACCATTTGCTTTGAATCTGAGGACATGTTTTCCCCTCTACCTCTTCCTCACACACCTTACCCTTACAATTCTGGGTAAGTAAATACGTGTGTACCTAAAGAACACATCCACACACACAGCACTATGTGGGTTTCTGTATGTCTTTACCTCCAAAGGCGTAGAACTTAACTTCATTTGGAAATCATTAAGCACACTGGCAAGTTTCCCATAGTCATTGGTATTCTGATAGGCCTTTTTTCTGTGAGGCTTGTTGATATCCAAGAAGTCCACGAATATAGTTGAGTCATCCATTAGCTTTTGGTAATTCCACTCAATCTGCGGTAAAATAGGAACCCAATTATCATTTACTTCCTAAAATTCAAGTTTTCCATCATCATAGTGCAGTTATACTTCTCACCCCATGTTGGAGAAGGTCCTGTGGCAGGGGCTGGAGGACTGGGCTCTGCATTCCCTGTGCTGTGGACTACCTTTGGTAGTGAAGCCTCTAGAAACCGCTCAGAATAACGTATTTTTTATTAGGATGCAGCAGTGTCTGCACATGTCTACAGAGTGCTCTAATCAATCTCCCTCCTCACTTCCCCACATGCCCCATCCCCTCACAGTGCTCCAGTGCAGCTGGGATTCCTGGGTTGTTCTCTGAGATGGAGAGCCTCCATGTTTCTGCCTCCTAGTTAGCTAGGGTTAGAGGTTTGAGCCACGGAGCCTGGCCTAGCCAAGCCTCGAGCGATAGCTAGGAGTGACTGGAAGGAGGGGCTGTCAGGTGTAAGGGAAGCGGTGGTGAGGATACACTGTGTTGCCTAGAATCAAGGGTCCAGCCTGGATAGAGTGGGGGGAGTTGGGCAGGGAGTCTTGATGGTGGAGAAGCTGCATGGATGGACATGCACATGTTGAGCATGAAATGCCCAGAGTAGCCAAGTAATGCAACACAGATCTAGAGGCCCGACTAAGGTCTGTCTCTGAAGTTCAGGTTTGGGTTCATTGAACTGTCTGCCTGCACAAGAAAGTAGATACAACGTCTAGCTTACAATTACCGAAGATAAACTATCTGCCAGAAGTTAGTCTAACTATTCTATTTAAGCTGGTGCTATTCATTCTCACCCAGTCCTACAAGGCAGCATGAACACAGCCTTACTTCAGGGACAAGAAAACCAAGACAGGAGTGGTCCCTTGCCCAAGTGCACAGGGCACCTGAAAGGGGGCTTTCAACACAGGCAGGGCCCTTGTCTCTGGCCACTTGGGAAGAAGGGTGAGAACAACAGAGCGGTGGGCGACATGACTGAGACCTGACACAACGCAGCCGGCGAGGCCACGCAGGACGGGCTGGAGGACGGCACACGGGACGCGGAGGGGGACACCAGGATGAAGGTGGAACACGACTCTAACAGATGTGGCATGGATGATTATATCATGGTGAAAATGGCATGAAAAACAATGATGGGAACATCTTAAAGTTTTCAAAAAGATGTATTTCTTTGGTGATAATGAGGTTTGAATTTGGGCTACTGTGCTTGTGTATGGTTTGAGCCACACCCTCAGTCCGTCTGTGTGTGTGTATACACACCTACACACCCACAGGCAGATTCACACATCATTTGCATGTGGTATACAATGTGTCCATGGCTACCTTTCTTTCCATGCATGACATTTATAGTCTTAGAATTCTTTTTTCGCTCGTATCAAGTACAGTTGTGTCCTGTAAATTATTCTGTTTCTCGGAGTTCTATGACTAGGGTAGGAGGAGATAGCACTAGCAAAGAGGAGACGTGGGACCAGAGGACTGCTGGCTGGAGGGACGCATCTCCCAGCTCTCTCAATGAGAGGTCAGACACAGGCCCCGCAGTGGCCTGCTCAGACGCTGGCCTTCCTGTGAGCCCGTTTACTGAGACCCTGAAAGACAGCAGCGGGACTAAAACTCCAGGGGCTGAGGGGGCAGAGTCTCAGGAGGCGCCCCGGGCAGTCCTCAGGCCCGGGGGACAACGGGCCATTGTGGGCTCCAGAGAGGCAGCAGTGCCCACAAAGACATCACCCCATCACCTCCACAGTTCTTTACATACACTCCCAGAATTTTTCAAGTCAACAGTGGAATTATTCATAAGAAAAGTTGCTTTAACCGAAGGAGCCCCACTGTATTGTTGGTGGGAGTGTAAACTTGTTCAACCACTCTGGAAAGCAGCATGGATGGAGGTTCCTCAAAGACTCCACATAGAGCTCCCCTAGGACCCGACAATCCCACTTTTGGGCATTTACCCAAATGATCACAAACAAGGCCACACTACAGCTACCAGCACAACTATATTCACTGCAGCATTATTCACCATAGCGAAGATATGGAACCACCCCAGATGCCCCTCAGTAGATGAATGGATCAAGAAAATGTGGTATATATACACAATGGAATTCTATGCCTCCATCAGAAAGAATGACATTGCCCCATTTGTTAGGAAATGGAAAGATTTGGAAAAAATTATATTAAGTGAAGTAAGCCAGGCCCAAGAAACACAGATCCCATGGTTTCCCTTATTTGCAATAACTAGTATTCGTCTGAGTCAAGCAGAATCACTCAGATAAGGTGATGTTAGGGAAATGAACCCTAAGATATGTATTCAAATGTTTTTTTTCTTTCATGCGATTGTTTTTTTAACACATTTATATGATTATTTCTTTGTTGCTTTGTATGTCCCTCCCCCACAGTATAATCCCTGCTTTCACTGTATTTGATGTCAGTATAATTTGTAGAGGGGAAGGGAAAAAAAAAATCGTTGCAACAATGACACATACAAGTCGTAATGTTGAAAAACGAACTTTACAACTTTGGTCAGGCAGGGGACAGGGGGATTGAGTAGGGGGAGTGGGGGGGATGGGGGGATGGGAAGGGATGGGAAGGGGAAACAAAGGAGGAGGCAACAATGCTTGATAAGAAATGTACTCATTATCTTGCCCATGTAATTGTAACTCCTCTGTATGGTAGTTTCACAATAAAAATATTAAAAAAATATTAAAAAGTTGCTTTACTAGCAGAGAAATGAAAACTTTCAGGAAATGATTTTGCCATTTGAAATAATTCTTATAACATAAAGTTTACCTGAAAATAGTTCTCGAGTTCCTTTGAAAGAGCCTGATGGAAGAGGCATTTTTCAGTGGCTTCGATTAAGCGATCATGAAATACTCGGGTGGCTTCGTGAATGAAGAACCTTGCGGCCATCTCTGGGCTGATGATGACATTCTTGTCAGCTTGCAGCAATCCTAGGAGAAGCTGTTAGGGATTTATAAAGGACAGACTCTGAAATATTAGCAGGACTATGTGTGAAATAAGGGCATACGTTTTGCAGGTTTATGTTCCATAATAGAAGCCCTTGTGAGGTGGCCCTGGCTTCTGCCTGGAATCCTAGCTACTAGGCAGGAAAGTCTCCGAGATTCTTAGCTCCAAATAGCCACCAAAAGCCAGAAATGGGGCTGTGGCTGAAGTGGCAGAGTGCTAGCACTGAGCAAAAAAGCTCAGGTTCAGAGCCAAGGCCTTGAGTTCAAGCCCCAGGACCAGCAACACACACACACACACACACACACACACACACACACACACACACACACACACACACACAAACACCAAATAGAAGCAATCTGCATTTTGATGACATGGGGGGCTCTCCTGAGCCTCTCCTGAGGACCCTGAGAGGAAAGGGCTCAGGAGCAGGCAGTGAGCTGGAGGAGGCCGGGCAAGCACTGCTATGTTTATATGATGATGAGCCTGCTAACAAATCTCATAACGCGTCTCAAGGTTGTATGCGCTAGCTGAAGCTGAGCTCTTACAGAAGGAAAGAAGATCCATATTCAAGAGTTGTTTTCACCTTTTCTGCTTGTCCTAGACTTATACCAGTTATTGCAAAAAAGGGAAACCATGGGACCTATGTTTCTTTGGGCCTGGCTTACTTCACTTAATATAATTTTTTTCAAGTTTCCATTTCCTAACAAATGGGGAGATGCCATTCTTTCTGATGGAGGCATAGGATTCCGTTGTGTGTGTGTGTGTGTGTGTGTGTGTGTGTGTGTGTGTGTGTGTGTGTGTGTGACATTTTCTTGATCCATTCATCTACTGAGGAGCATCTGTGTTGGTTGCATATCTGGTCAAAAGCTATGTACATATGACCATATAAGATGATATTAAGTGAAATGAACTCCAAGATAGGGACACAAGTGTTTTTTTTCTTTCTTGCTATTGTTTTTAATGTATTTAAAATGTACTATGTGAATTTTTGTTTCTTTTGTATGTTCTTCCCCCACGGTATAACCCCTGCTTTCACTGTATTTGATGTCGGTGCCCTGCATCTTGTCTATACATTTTTCTAATTTGGGGAGGGGAAGGGAAATAACAAAATGTTGAAATAAGGATGCAGGTTGACCCATTGTAACAATGAGATGTACCACACATTATGTTGAAAATGAACTTTACAACTTGGGGGGGAGTAGTTGTAGAGGTGGAGAGGGAAGGATGGTAGGGAAAAACTAAGGAAGGATAACAATGCTCAATAGGAAATGTACTCATTATCTTACTCATATAACTGTAACCCCTCTGTATTTACAATAAAAATATTTAAAAAAGGTTGTTTTCATTAACACTGTCATTTTTTGGCAGGTTAGGGTATTCTACTACTTGAGTCATGCTTCTAGACATGCTATCTTTGCTGGTTATTGTGTAGATGTACAGACATTTTTTTGACTAGGCTGGCTTTGAACCACGAGACTTTAGATCTCAGCCTCCTGAATAACTAGAATTATAGGCACAAGACCCTGGTGCCAGGAAACACTGCAACTTTGAAAATTATTTAACCAAAGTTGATGACTCAGTCAGCATGGGTGGTAAAATCTGTGACAGTGTTCATGAGATGTATAATGCTTTGATTTTCTAGTAGGCACAATAAATCTCTAAGACAAAGCAAAATTAAATCTGTGTTAGACCTTGCTATTTCTTTCCTGCTGAGTAGCTCAGACAATTCTAGTAATTTCATTATTGAATTCCTGCTTGAAATTATTCAAACAGTTCTTTTCAACTTACTCATTGGCTTATAGCAAAACTAACCACATGAATTTTACAATTCTGTTTCTAAGAATTTAATTTTGAAAACTCAACCAGGAGGAGGAAGAGGAGAGGTTCAAAGCAGTAAACTTACATGTCAACTTAAAATTTAGAAATAAATCTAGAAAACGAATTTAAAAGCAGACCTTAAACATGTCTCGAAGGTTGAACGTGTAGTGGCATTTTGCTGGCGTTGGTAACATAGTCTTACACACAAAGTAGTACACAGCCAGGGAGCAAGATGCCATCTGTTCCCTACATCTCTGAATGTCAGGCACAAAGCCATTGTTGGAGAAATAGATTCCCAAATGAGCCTTTAAAAAAGAAGCATGAAAACTTAGCTAATTAAAACCTATAGACCCTTTCTGACTTCTTCTGTGAAGAAGCAGACCTGTGCACCTCACTAGAAATGTTAATAACTAAAATCCATTTAGAGTAGGGTGAGGGAATATGTACAAAGACACCCTTGAGCTGCAGATGGCCCTAGTCTGGAGCATGGTCTAGAATACCAGATCCCCGAATGCTGAGCTTGGGGACAGTGTATGTCCCATGTCCATACAATCAGGTGTGCCTGTAACTCTCACTTCCTTGCTCCCTAGCAACTGCTACTAGACCTGCAAAGTGATAGAATATGATCTCATTTTGGAACAGTTTCCATTCATGCTTTCTTCTGAAAATTCTAAACATCTTATTGGGAAATGAGTCAACTTGAAATCTAGCAAGGCTAGAAAAATATATCCTATGCAAAAACTGCTACATTCTTTAAAATATATTGTGAAGAATCTTTTAAAAAAATTTTTATTGTGAAAATACTGTACAGAGGGGTTACAATTACATGGGCAAGATAATGAGTACATTTCTTATCAAGCATTGTAGCCTCCTCCTTTGTTTCCCCTTCCCATCCCCCCTCTCTCCTCCCCCGCCCCCCTTCTCCTGCCGCCAAAGTTGTAAAGTTCGTTTTTCGACATAACGACTTATACATCTCATTGTTGCAATGGGTCCACCTGTATCCCTATTTAAATGATTTGTTTTTTCCCTTCCCCTCCACAAATTATACCAACATCAAATACAGTGAAAGCAGGGGTTATACCATGGGGGAGGGACATACAAAGCAACAAAGAAATCATCTTATAAATATGTTAGAAACAATCACAAGAAAGAAAAAACACTTGAATACTTATCTTGGGGTTCATTTCACCTAACATCAACTTATCTGACCTTTTCTGCTTGTCTCAGACATATACTAGTTATTGCAAATAAGGGAAACCATGGGACCTATGTTTCTTTGGGCCTGGCTTACTTCACTTAATATAATCTTATACTTTATTCTTTATAAAATTTAAAGATAAATATATTTTTCAAAATGCCCTTGATAATTCTGATGCTAATGGTCACAGGGTCCACATCTAAAAAATAATCTGTCTTAGAAGAAAGTATCCAAACATACACTAGTCCAGCTTGATGGTCATAATTCTCATTCTATATGAAAATGAAAAGAACAAAATTCAACTACTTTAAGGCATGCGCAGATTCCCCAGTTCAGACTCAGATAAACTGGGCCCCAAATCTCTAAGAATGAAATCCTGGTATTTGTCTTTTAAATATACATTGAACATTAATCAATTGTGTTACTTATGCACATTAAATTATATTTAGATACATTAGAACAAGAGGAAGGAAGGGAGGGAGGAAGGGAGGAAGGAAAGTAGGAAAGCAGAAACGAAATGAGCTAGATGCTTTTACCTGGAAAATCGTAAGTAAGGCATTTTGTGGGGGGTGAGGCAACACCAGCATGGAGAAGTGTTTGAGGAGGCGTGGACTAATGTCACTCCTACCAAATGCAGGGACACAGGAAGCAATTATGGAAAGATCTTGAATAGTCTGTGCGAAAAGCAAAACAGAGAATATCTAAATGCATCTGAAGGAAATGAAATTTACTTGAGCAAATGGATTTAGATGACTATTTACTTGAAATGCTAGTAGAAATCTGTGTTTTCACCATTGGAACCCTCTCCTGAATCTACCATACTTTAGTTAACACATTTTTATCTATGTGCATATGACCTTGCATGTAGTTACATACATATTTATAATTGAGATCTAACTTCCACATATGAGAGAATACATTCCATTTCTGCAACTCCTTGGAACAACTAACTTACAGTTTAACAAAAAGAATACCAGGAAGGTGGGTCATGTGTTATGGGAGGGGTAAGGTCAAGGGAAGGGGAGTAGAGAAATGGAGAGCAGAAGGACCGAACACAGTCATAATATATATAAGTATGGGAAGTAGTGGGTTGGGAGGGGCTGGTGAGAATGTTGAAAGGGATGGCATTCATCAAGATGTACTGTATTCATAAACTGTTTCAGTGAATGGCAAAGAAAAAGAGGAGGAGGAGGAGGAGGAGGAGGAGGAGGAGGAGGAGGAGGAGGAGGAGGAGGAGGAGGAGGAGGAGGAGGAGGAGGAGGAGGAGACGACAAAGAAGAAAGCAATTGCTGGTCAGTGGCCAGTGGCTCATGTATTCAATCTTAGCTACTTGGGAGGTTCAAATCTGAGGATCAGCAAAATTGAGAAGTTTCTAAGGCAGACAATCTGAGAGCTAGAAATGTGGCTCAAGTGGTAGAGCACCACTTGTGAGTGGAATCTGAGACCATGAGGGATTGAGTTCAAGCCCCAGAACTGCCCCCACTCCCAAAGCAACCACTTGGAATTATATAACTACTAGAAGAAAGCATGGATCATGTTTCATGATATTGGTGTGAGATTTATGGGATAAAATTTCAAAAGCACAGGTAACAAAAACAAAGAGATAAATGGGCTTCATCACAGCAAAAAGCTTTTGTACAATCAGTTAAAATAGTGAACAGACTATGAAATCAGAGAAAATATGTATAAATGATGGCTCTAACAAGAGCTAATATCCAGCATATATTAGGAACTTAAACAGCTCAACAGAAATTTCCAATAATCCAATAAAATAGGCAAAATATTTTAACAAAAGATAATGTAAAATGGCATCAGTTATGTGAAAAAATGATCTATGCATCACCAGGAAATATGCAAATAGAAACTACAGTAAGATATTATCTCACCAAGTTAGAATAGCTACTATCAAAGAGGCAGAAAATAACATTGTCAGCGTAGCTGTGGGGAGAAGGATGACTCTCATATGCTACTGATGGACATAAATTAGCATAGCCACCATGAAAAAAGCACAGAAGTCCCTCTGAAAGCTAAAACTAGAATCATCACACGGTCACACAATCTATTGAAAACATGTATTAAAAAAATGAAATTAGCCAGGTGCTGGTGGCTCATGCCTGTAATCCTAGCTACTCAGGAGGCTTTGATCTGGGTATTACAGTTCAAAGCTAACTGGGGAAGGAAAGTCCATGAGACCCTTATCTCCAATAAACCATCAGAAAACTGGAAGTGGCGCTGTGGCTCAAGTGGTAGAGCACTAGCCTTCGCTGAAGAGCTGAGGGACAGCGCCCAAGCCCAGAGGTCAAGCCCTACAACTGACAAAATAAACCACCCTGAAATTAGTATGTCAAAAAGGTACTCATACATAGCACTGCTCACTCTAGCAAAGATATGGAATCAAACAATATGTGCATTAGTGGATGGGTGGATAAAGGAAATGTGGTAGATAATGGAATACTATTTAATCTAATAGGATGCCTTGCCATTTGCAATAGCATGGATTAATGCTGAGTGAACAGGCACAGCCAAATATCACAGGATTTCACTCAGTCGTGCAATCTAAAGAGCTGGTCTTACAGAGGCGAGGAGCGAGTGTGGAATGGCTGGACCACAGGCATCAAGTACAGATAGCAGAAAAATCTATTGTGCAGTAGGGCAACTATATTGAACAACTATCTGTGAAACATTCAAAAGAGCTAGATGATTTTGAATGTTCTCATGACAAATGTGAAGATACCTTAATTCCTCAAATATGACTGCCATACACTGTGTATCTGTATTCTATATATGTCTCACCCAACATCTGTGTACAATGATTGTCTATAAATGAAAGAATAAAAATGCAATCATTGGAAATAGGACATATACTTTTTCTTTCAAATTCTTAAACCTTATTTACTTTGTTTAATGTAACAAAAATCGCTGCACAGGAGTCTCTCGGATTTTTTTGACTAATATCTCTAGGAATGCTTGATGTATGTGGTTTGCTGTAGACATCGGAAGTCTTTCATGCGTTTGTTAGCACATGTGCATGGTGCTGTGGGGTTTCATCATGATGTGTATGCCGTGCGTGTGCAATGTGTCTTCCACAGACATTTAGGAGGCACTGGGCAGGCCTTCGCTTCACTGGCCTTCCTCAGCTGAACTAACTGTTAAGACATAAACATTCTCATAGTCATGATTCTGTCAACAGCAGTAAGCATCACTAGACTCAGAAATGAAACTTTTAGGACACTCTTCTCGCATCTTCATTAAGATCTGGACCTACCACAACTAGACTTTTTTTTTTTTGTTGGTCATGGGGCTGGGTACTGGGCCTGGGCGCTGTCCCTCAGCTCTTCAGCTCAAGGCTAGAGCTCTACCCCTTGAGCCACAGCGCCACTTCCTATTTTCTGAGTGGTTTATTGGAGATAAGAGTTTCATGTCCTTTCCTGCCTGGGCTGGCTCTGAACTGCCACCCTCAGATCTGAGTAGCTAGGATTGCAGGCGTGAGCCACCGGTCCCAGCTGCAACTAGACTTTCTATGAACCCTTACATCTGTGTTAAACTGGAGATAAACTTGATATGATCAGCTCAGGGTCTCAACAAGTCCATATGGCTAGACTTTGAAGATTTCACTCAATATTAGTATAGACAGGGGGGCGAGGGGAGGATGGGAAGGGATGGGAAGGGGAAACAAAGGAGGAAGCTACAATGCTTGATAAGAAATGTACACATTATCTTGCCCATGTAAATGTAAACCCTCTGTACAGTATTTCCACAATAAAAAAGAAAAAAAATATTAGTATAAGCACTGAATTTATAGCAGGTATCCATGTCTGACGTGAGCACTGTACCTTCCACGTGTTCTGCTCGGTATCGTAAACCCCTCCCATGTCCAGCAGCTGTCTGATCAGCTCCAGGGGCGGCTGTGCCCCCCCGCCTGGGTCTGCTGCTGGCGTGTTCATGTCATCAATAAACACTACAACCTTGAGAAAGACATCGTGCTTCAAGACACAGTCATTCTTTAAATATGAAGTACAAATATTAAGTTATGCTATAGTTCAAGAACAAACATAAAAATGAAATATCTTTTTCTATTAAAAAACAGATTAAATTGTATTTTGAAGATATGGTTTTTAGAAAACAAGTGTTCAAAATGCCAAAAATTCTACCTATCCTTTCTAGATCTGTAGTAGTTATGCCTGACAATATGCTTCCTTTACAAATATAATAAATTTCAAGAAGGAATGTACCATTTATTAAGCCTTTATTATTAAGCACATACTATTGGCAGATGTGTAGATGTTTAAGCTGTTCATTTCCCATGCACCCTGGCTTGATGATAGAAGCATCATCTAGAGATAGATTTTACATCTGTTGCAAGTGGTGTCATGAACACATAGCAGAAAACTCAGGCACATTTCCATGTTTAAAAGTGTTACTTTTCAAATTACAAAATAGCTATTTTACTTTAGCGACCTAATTACTCAATCTTAACAATCAATACCAGTTTTTAGTAAGACACTCAGTTTCCCTGTCTTGTATCACAAATAGACATGAATATTTCTTGCTTACACTTTCTAGTTGTGTGATGAGGTTGCATCCTTATTAGCCTTTTCAAAATCCCTAAAGTTTACCCATGTATCAAGTTTATAGAAGTGAAAATCAAAGTAGTCTGAGGCCCATGCACAGAGCCCTGAAGTGGATAGTTACAGGGTTAAAAGCACAGGGCTCCTCAGGGACTGTGTGTTTTTCTTATTCGTGAGCCTTGCAAGTCTTTCATCCTGACCGATTTCACATGCTGCAGAGAATTTGGTTAAACTAATGGACAGTTAATCCTGTTCTAACTGACCAAACGTAAGAAGAAGAGACATCAGGTCTTTGTGTGGCTCCCTGGGCCCCTGGAGGGCTCTCGAGCCTATTCCTTGGGGATGACACGATTCCAGGCCATGAAGAGAAAACCTCACAGAATGCACATTAACAAAGCAATAGCATGCAATGTCATTTGCAGATTTCAAACTCAAGTTTAGACTTCTTCACTCAGATTTCAGTGGCTTTTGGTTTTAGTTTATCTGCCAATTAACCAGCATGCTAGAAATGGAATTGTATTGATTTGAAAACCATAGTGTCCGTTCTAAAATGCTCTTCTTGGAATGTCCAGTGACAAACATTCAGTAAAAGAAAATCACTTTGTTGCTCTCGCAGAACCACAGATGCCGACCAAGGGTGGGTGCGTACCTTGTTGTTCTTAGGGGCTCCGAGGGTATCTTTCTTTCTTCTTACTAATTTCTTAAGAATCATCTCCTTGATTTTGGTGGCTGTGAGACTGCCGCTGAAGTTTATTGTGGTTGCTGTAATTCCTTTAAGTGAACTGTCATCAGGGCTACCTTCGAGCTTCTTAGTGGTAGCATCTATGTCAACTATGAAAAGGAAACAAATTTAGAACATTTGGTATCTTTGCTTTATTTTGGGGTGTTAAGAAATTTGGGAATGATGTAATTTTGCTATGCTGCTGTCCTTTTTAAGAAATTTCTCTGAAAGAAGGCTGACTTTAGAACACTCAGCACTGATTTTGGAGGCAAAAGTTTTGAGCCACAGCTACGTGCAGCAGTGGGAAAGCTCAGCAGACCCTCTTCCCATCTGTGCACGTCAGACACACAGAACTTAGATCCCAAAGCAGCACGCAGCGGCTGTGCCAAGGAAACCCAAACAGAGTGCATTCCCTGAGCAAGAACCACACTTCAACACACAGATGCCTCTGGCACATCTTCTGGCGGCCTTTCCCATTGCCCTGCCCCAGCTTCCCACTGCCACACCTTCCTTCCTGGGAAGCACAGCTGTTACTCCTGAGATCCCATCTAATGTTCCTGTCTTATGGCCAGATTTGAGGGCTACAGAATCATAACTTTTGCCTGTGCCAAATCTAAGTGAGTGAAAGAGAAGCGGATTGTTGGCAGGTGTGAGCTGGATGTCAGGTTTTGATGGTAGCCTCTGCTTTCTGAGTGGCCTCAGATGCTTTGGGAGGTACTGGATACATTTACCAAGTACGGTTTTCCCTCTGAGTGGCTTGTGTATGGCTGTGTGGCTGCACCATGATCCCGGAATGGTTGTTGAGCGGCACTATCACACGTACCTGGGCTTCCGCCCTCCTTCTTGTGAGTCTTGGAGATCAGGATGCTGAGATTTTGCTTTAGACTATTGGAATCAAATGATTTAAGGATCCAAAGTTAGTTGATTACCACCGTAGTTGTAGTAAGAAAAAAATAGTAACCATAACAGCATATAGCTTATTTTGTTTCCATCTCCCACAAAAAGCCTTATTTTTCTCTATTTACATTTTTAGAGATAAAATCAGTATCACTAGTATAATTGATATTCAAATTTAAGAAAATATTGGATTAAATTGAAAAAAACCCAGGACACTCACAACATACCAGTTATTGGACATTTTCTAAGGTTAATTAAGCCATCATTTCCTTGGGCCTTTATAAAATGCATTTTGCTCTACAGATCAAACACCAAAAGACTCATTTACCTAACACTAGGGGGTTTATTTTACAGTAAAGTTTTTGTGTTGGATTGAAAAGAATTGTCTTTCTCTGTGTCAAAATCCATTTAAAATGTTAAGTGTACATATTTTTTATCAGATTCCCAATTATTTGTGCTAGCAATGTATTAGCTTCAGAAATAATTTCCACTTTAAAAAGGAGGTATTGAAGTGAAGTAGGTGTCAGCGGGGGAGGGGAGCAGGATCACAGGGGCTTTGGACACAGACTGGAAAAGATGGGAAATGACCCACACCCCATGAGCCCTGAGCCCCAGGCCCCAGTATGGAGTCTCATTTGCTGGAATGAAAGCCATGGGTGACGGGGCCTCGAAGGGATGTAAAGTCAGGTTTTGGATGTGTTAAGGTCAATGCACATGAGATGTCCAAGCCCAGTGACATGGAATACAATGCTATCATCTAGAGCAGGGCTTCTTGTTCAATCCAAACAACAACTGTTTTCTCTAATACATCAACAGAACTTGTAGTAACTTGTAGTAACACTTTTTGCTTGTACAACTTATAATTTTTCTTTTTTCCCCCAGTAAGAGGTGGGAAATCCCCTGCATTTTTATGTTTGATAAGTAGATCTTTTTTTTTCTAGTGCAACAATAGTATGAAAAACTTGATTTGTACAGCTTAAGTGCTTTATTCTAGGAGGAAAAAGTTTACACCTGTCTTTCTTTTTCCTTCTCGTTGTCTTTCTCTTTCTTTCTGCCTTTCCTTTTCCTTCCTTTGCTTCCTTCCCTCCCTTCCTTCCTTTCTCCGTCTTTCCCTCCCTCCCTCCCTGCATTCCTCCCTCCCTATTTCCTTTTCTCTCTCTTTCTCCTTTCCCCCTCTCTTTCTTGTTTCCTTCCTTTCTGTTTTGTGCTGGTATTGGTGCTTGAACTCAGGGCCTGACATTAGTGCTTGGCTCTTTTGCTCAAGGTTGCTGCTCTACCACTTGATCCACACTTCTGCTTTTGGCTGTTTTTTTTTCCTGGCTAAGTGGAGTTAAGAGTCTCTCAGACTTTTCTGCCTGGGCTGGCTTTGAGCTGTAATCCTCAGATCCCAGCTTCCTGTGTAGTTATGATTACAGGTATGAGCCACCAGTGCCAGGCTTGCAGCTGTATTTCATGCTATATAATAATTGAGATTTAAAATTTTGCTATATTAAAAATAAATGTAAGAATTTCTGACTCAGAGGAATGAATCTCATTGCTAGTAGTTTGGAAAAATAACTATTTTCTTTTAAACAGAAAATCTGGGTAAACGAATGAAAAGCAAGGAGGTGAGGTTAGTAGTTAAAACCCTCCTGCCAAAGAAGGGCCCAAAACAGCATGGCTCCATAATGAATTCTACCAGTCATTTAAGGAAGAGCTGACAGACTGGCTTCCTAATGAATTCTGCCAATCGTTGAAGGAAGAACAGGCACCAAACCTCTCACATGTTAACAATGAGTGGAGGTGGAAGGAATACTTCCAAACTCAATTCACAACGGTAGCATCTTCATGACATCAAAGCCCAAAAATAACACTACAAGAAAAGAAAATTTTAGGACAATATCTTAGATAAACACAGGGGTAAAAATCATCAATGAAAGGTTAACAAAACTGAATTCAAAAGAACATTAAAAGGATCATTCACCATGATCAAGTGGTTCAACATACAGGGTTCAACACACAAAAATAATAAATGTGATACATCACATCAGTAGAGAGAGGGGCAGAGGCTGTGTGAAAAAGCATGCCACAAAAGTTAACATATTCCATTATAACAAAACATTTACAATGTTAGGAAGAGATGTGCCTCAACCTAAAAATCACATGCAAATCCACAGCCAGCCTCCCACTCAGAGTTCTTCCTGTGTGGTCAGGGCACCAGCTACTTCCTTGTAAGTTAGTGCTAGATGTCTCCATCAGAACAACCAGGAAAGAAAAGAAACAAAGGCATATGAAGAGGAAAGGAAGAGGTGAGATTATTTATGCTGATGGTATCATTTTATTTGTACCAATAATCAGAACTGATAAATGAATTTAATAAAGTTGTAGGATTTACAATCAAAATACAAAAACCAGTTCAGTTTCTATATGCTAACAGCAAACTATCTGAAAAAAGAAAAGCTATTTCTTTCACACTATCACTAGAAAATAATTCAGATACCGTACATCTCAGAACTCAGAGGCTGAGGCAGGTGGGCTCCCAGGCTAGGCTGGCCTGGGTTACAAAGACAGACTGTCTCAAAAAAACAAAAACAAAACAAAACTCCAAGGATTGGTAGCTTAGTGGTAGATCACTTGCCTAATATGAGCAAGGAACAGGGTTCAATCCCTATGACTGAAAAGACATTTAGGAGTAAATTTAATCAGGAGATGAAAAATCTACATATTAAAACTATAAAGCACTAATGGGAGAAACTGGAGAAAACACAAATAGATGGAAAACCCTGACCTGTGTTCACAGACTAGAAGAAATAGTTCTGTTACTTCACCCATCCTATCCTATCCTGTGAAATCACTAGCAAAATTCCAGTGCTACTTTTCATTTTTCCTTTGGAACACAAACAACTCCAAATAGCCAAAGCAATTCTGAACAGAAAGAACAAAGGCAACATAGCATGTGGCTTCAAAATATACTGCAAGTCAAAAGTAATGACAGTAACATGGAACTGGCATGACAATAGAGAAAGCAACCAGGCATGGAAAAGTAAATACTTCATAACCTTCATTATAGTACTAATTGAGAAAAGCCCGGTGAAGAGATGCTGACAACAAGATGTTCTTGTCAGGAGCTGATGGCAGGGTAGCTAGAAATGGGGAGATGCTTATCTCACACCAGCTTCAGTTCCATAGAAGGAATGAGATTTCATGGTCTACTGTACAGCATGGAGATCATAGTAATTAATAATGTATATCTAAAAGTTGCTAAAGGAGCAAATTTTAAGTGTTTTCATTAAAATAAGTGTCAAGTGTATGGGGCAAAGGATGTTAATTAGCTAACAGCTGTTTCCTAACTATATTGTAGGCAAAATAGATAACACTTGTTGTCTGTCAAACATGGACAGTTGAGAATAGTAAAAAATTATTTCATTTGAGTAATTTTTCATTTTTGGATAACAGATTTACTTTAAAACAAGGTACACATATATTAAGGCAAACATTTTATCAGACAAATAACATTTGGAGTTTAATATATACAACCTTGACTTTTTAATTTCATTATATAATAGGACATCTCCTAAGATGGACCCATATTTGATATCCAGTGCTCCTGGGACTTCTAACTTCTCAAGCATTTGGTTAATGGTCGCCGTTTTCCCAACACCAGACTCGCCTAGGAGGAAACACACGTTAGCACACTGAAGTGAAGCAATAGCACTCTCCTGCCTTTGAAATTTGTACAGCCTCCCTTACTACTGGAGGCTGAATGCAGGGCTTTACACTCTCGTTCAGTGTGCTTGTGCATGGTGCCATGTTATCACTTGATCCACGCCTCCAACACAGCTTTTTGTTGGTTAGTTGGAGATAGAGTCTCATGGACTTTTCTGCCTGGGCTGGTTTTAAACTGTGATCCTTTTTTTCTTCTTTCTTCTCTCTTCTTTTTTTTTTTTTAGTTAAAGCAGGAGAAGCTAATTTAAGTGGTTAATATGAACCTTTCTCAATCTGTTTGATTTACATCCTTTATTAGAAGTAGATTAAGAGCTAATCATTATTTCTATTGCAAATATTTTTGCTTGTAGCATACTAAAAGAGATACTACTTGTAGAGATACTACAAGAAATGAAATCTCCATTTGTTGGGAGCCACCTGTAAAGTTTAAAGGTCATCTTGACCCTGATGCTCACTTGAAGGCACGTACAAGGAGCTGGCTTTCTTGAAAAACACCAGGTGCCCGGGATTGCTTTCCTATGTCTGCAGAGTTTGTTTTACTTTCTACCAGTTGACCTTGTCCTGTTTTTACTGCACTCTGTTTTTACTGAAATATTCCTTGTTTTTCTGGACTACTGTAACCTTACGTTACCTCTTGACTTCTAATAGTATATATTAGGGAAAGTTAAAAATAAACGGTGCTGCAGTCTTGAGCTGCCGACCTCCCGACCCCATCCTTTGTCTTATGTCTTTATTTTTCTGTCCTCGCCCCCTAATTCAGGATTCCCTTTCGTTGCCAGCAGGCTCCGGCATCCATTAATTCGTGTGTGTGTGTGTGTGTGTGTGTGTGTGTGTGTGTGTGTGTGTGTGGCAGTCTTGCTATGAAACACAGACAGGTTTCAAACTCATGATCTTTCTGTTTCAAAACTTCCCAAGGGCTGGGACTACAGCTGTGTGCCAGCATTACTAGCTCTTTGAAAATGTTCTACCAGCACAGTCTGCGGGAGAAATTTAGTGATACATTTCTTTACTTTTTGGTAGTACTGGGATTTGAACTTGAGGGCTCATGCTTGCTAGGCAGGGGTTCTAGCACTAAAGCCATGGGCCTGGCCATGACTTTCTTTCTGAAGCAGAAAGGGACCTGTGACTTCACATTCCACTAAGAAGTACAGTAGAAACAGTGATTGGCACGCTATGGATTTTCAGAGTTACACTGCCAACTTTTTGTTTTTGTTATTTTCTTTTTTGTTTTTTGATTGGTTGTGGGGCTGAACTCTGGGCCTGGGCGCTGTCCCTCAGCTCTTCAGTTCAAGGCCAGTGCTCTACCACTTGAGCTACAGTGCCACTTCTGGTTTTCTGGTGGTTTATTGGAGATAAGAGCCTCATAGACTTTCCTGCACTGTATGGCTTTGAACTTTGAACTCAGGTCTCAGCCTCCTGAGTAGATAGGATTACAGGCGTGAGCCACTGGTGCCCGGTTTACTGCCATGTTTTTGAAGGTAGAAATAAAAATGTCATTCAATTTGCCTCTGTTGATACACAAGTTAGAGGATTGGTAAAGGTAACTGGTAAGTTCAAAGAAATGTTTAGAGTAGGAGTTACATCAAATTACCCTTTAGTGACAGTAGAGGCTGAAAATATTTGTGTAATAATGTTTAATTAAACCAATTGGGACTTGAAAGCCCATTGTCTATTGAGGTCAACCCAATGTTTTATAATACTTCTAATTCTAGAATTAGTCCTGGGGGCAATGACAATATAGAAAGATTTATAATGCCCAAGCTGCACAAGGAGGCTCAGGGTTGTAATTCTCAAACTCAGGAGACAGAGGCAATAGAGAGTTCTAGACCAGCTCTTATTGTAGTGTCCATACTGAAATGTGGGTGTTCATGAACTGCTGTGTGTCTATCCTGTACTGGAATAGTTTGGTTAGAACAGAAATCAATATAAACTGCCCAACCCTTTCAAGGGCCTGTTTATTCACCCACTTCAAAACTGCAAAGAATAAGTCATCTTCAGACCTCTTCTTACCTCTGACACGGTGTCAGTGACACATTCGTCTTACCTATGAGCAGCACAGGGCTGGAGCTCCTCAGGAGCAGGCTCATGAGGAACGTGAGGCAGGTGGTGTCCCTGGTGGCGGTATGGTTAATCCACCCTCCGTACTCCATCAGGATGTTCTCACCAGCTCCTTGGAGGTCACTCAGCAGTGATGTCCCTAAGTTCAAAAACCTTTCAAGTTTCCAATGGCCTAGAAGGAAATGCTAATCTAGTCTTTTAGGTACTAGATGCTTTTTGGTTCCATTTAATAGTAAGCTTTTCACTCATGCTACACAAATGGACTTTGCTATTACAAATAAATTAGATTTATGTAATATTCATAGCGTTTCACATATGCATGGAATCACTTCTTGTAAGTAGAATTGTGGTCAACATAAATTATAAACAGTACACTTTATACTTTTAAACACAGGGCCTCACATTTGTTAAGCTTGTTTCTTCTCTTGGCAGGTGTTCTACCAGTTAAGCCACACTTCTAACTGTGTGCCATTTGCTGGTTATTTTGGAGATGGAAACCAGTGAACTTTTCTGCCTGGGTTGGCTTCAGTCATGACCCTACAGATTCCAGCCTCCTCAGGAGCGGCACAGGTGTAAGCCACGGGCATCTGGCTTTTGATTTTGATGGACATTGATAAATTGCTTGCCAATACTGGAGTCTTTATACCTTCCCAAAGTAACCAAGACCTTTGCCAAGGTTAAAGATGAAAAAAAGAATCTCTATTAGTGTCTCTGCACCTATTAACTAATTAACCTAGTCCACATTTACTAGGGGAACAGCACATCAGCCTAAAGTTTGTGTGTGTGTGTGTGTGTGTGTGTGTGTGTGTGTGTGTGTGTGTGTGTGTGAAAGAGAGAGACAGAGAGAGAGAGAGAGAGAGAGAGAGAGAAAGAGAGAGAAAGAGGGGGGAGGAAAGCAGGCAGCTCTGGCTTTCTTTTTCTTGGCCCTCAAACAGCAAACCTGAGTCTTAACTTGACCAGTTTGTTTAATTTCTCCAGTAATCTCGCTGGGTTGAATTGTAGTGTTATGAAATTCATATTTCAATGTCTCAAGTGGGATGGGAAGCCTAAATAAGGTGTGTGGCTTATCTCATGCTTTCCTCCAGTCCCCTCTCTACTGTGAGAGTGGAAAGAGAATTCTGCAATCCTCTGGACAGAGGCCTAGCCCATCTTTTCCCTTTCAGTCAGTGCTATAACCAGACAAGGATGCTAAAAGGTTTTACCTGTTGTTCTGGGTCTTGGGGCATGGCTCAGGGGTAGAGCAAGCACTGGGTTTGCCCTCACTCTTTGCTTTCTGTACTCACCCCATTTGCTTATTCTCCCCCCAAGTTCATGAAGGCAGCCACAGGCCCTCGTGGAGGGACCAACCCTTGTTGTGGAGAGGCACCCACCTAGCAGAAAGCATTGGACACAAGGCCCCTGAGAAACGCAAGGCCCACACTGCAACCTCTGAGGTCTGGGGGCAGAAGCAGCGCTGTTTCCCGAAGTACGGCCCAGGCCCTTCGCTGTTGGGCGGTGGCCCCACAAGGCCCTGCTCTCCCCATCCTCTCCTGCAGCTCGCGTGCATTTATCTAAATCCACTTCTCTCTTACTGGACGTCAGTACAGGCGCCTGAAGCAGTCAGTTCCCATGTGCTTATTCTCCGCCAAGGTACCACAGGCAACAGGCTGCTGAGTGTGTACCAGGCCACGCCAATGTCGCAAGGGTCTCCCCAGTGACAGGCCCTCATCACCAAGCCTCTGTCAGCAGTGTCAGCTACGTCAAGGACTCTTTTAATGTCATCACTTCATGTCCAACTACTAAAAGGTGTATTTAGGGTGATAAAAATCCTATTTTTAGCTGGGCCCTGGTGGCTCATACCTGTAATCCTAGTTACTCAGGAGGCTGAGATCTGAGGTTGTGGTTGAAGACAGTCCAGGTGGAAAAGACTGGGAGACTCTTCATCTCCAATTAACCACCAAAGCATGGAAGTAGGGCTGTAGCTCAGGTGGTAGTGTTAGCCTTGAGCACATAAGCTCAGGGTGAGAGCCCAGGTCCTGAGTTTGAGCCTCAGAACCAGCCAAAAAAGGAAAAAAAAGGAAAAATGTATATTTTTCCTGTTTGCCATAACAGCTCCACATGTAAGAGTAGCTTATGTTGAAAGGGGTGACATGGATCAAGATGCATTGTATTAACAAACTGCTTTGTTAAGTGGCAATCCCTCAGTACAACTACCTAAAGATAACAAAAACTTAAACAAAAAAGAAGACTGCCTTTCAAACCATGGACTCATTCTTCTGTAAAGCTATGTCAGCTGCTCAGGGTCGGGAGTCTGCCCAGCTTTAGCTTTTCGCCCTGCTATCCTTGAACGTTCCCATTCAGGTCCTCCATGGGAATCTTTTTTCTATTACATATCTGCAACCAGGAGCAAAAAGGGCAAAGAGGAGGAGAACATATATACCCTCCTCTCTTTAAAATTATTTAAAAGGATCATCATCTTCCCACTTTTCTATGGAAGAATGAACCATTTATCATTGATCTTTTTTTATATTCCCACAAAAATAAAAAGGCATGTACATTGAGAAACTGATTGGTTAATGTGTCCTGCATCTCCTGATAACAAACAATTAGGATTATTCTTTTTAAATACAAATTCTGTGAGGAAAAGCCTCAGTCACTAAGGGTGGTTGCTGAACAATCCTACAATGCTTCATATGTAAACTGGTTTTCCCTGGAAAAAGGATTTTGTGAAAAATTCGGTTACAGATTCAGCTTGGAAACCTGTTTGCATGCAGAAAGTTGCAACCAGAAGGAAGCAATGTCTTAGAATAGAACTGGAGAAAATAAGACTGGTTTCCCAAAGAGGAAGATATATTTTATTCATAAATAACTATCATTCATTGGATATTAGAGTTATGAATAAATGCTATTAGTTATACCTTTTCTCAATAACAGCAAAAATCTAAGGATAAAAATGACCAATAAGCTAGGCATTGGTGGCTCATGACTGTAATCCTACCTACTTAGGAGGCTGAGATCTGAGGATTGTGTTCAAAACCAGCCCAGACAAAAAGGTCTATGAGACTCTTATCTGCAATTAATCACCAAAAGAGCCATAAGTGGAGCTACGGCTCAAGTGGTAGAGTGCTAGCCTTGAACAAAAAGCTAAGGGACAGCACTTTAGCCGAGTTCAAGCCCGAGGACTGGGGAAAAAAGCAAACTAAACCAAAAAAAAGCACAACACTCCCAAAATCAATAATAGCTCTAACATGAAAAACTATGTAGGTGTTTTAAATAACTAAGTCTACTAATATGTACTGGGTGGTAAAATATTGTACAATATAATCTTGGTGTTTCCAGCCAACATAAATGTAGAATGAGATCTTTCTGAGAGTTTTATAATTGTGATAGCCTTGGTTTTTTTCTCTCAAAACTTCCTGCAACCAAACTTTGAAGTTCTTTGGTGAGAGAAATGTGACCTTAAAGCAATTCAACTGTCATTTATTAAATGTCTTACCCACATGCTCTTACACACAGGTGATGGGTTACATTCCAGTAAACCTACAGTAAGTTGAAAATAGGGGATTAAAAAGTGTACTGCCTAATCTAGCCTTCTGAGCATCCTGCCTCGGAACGCTATGCTGAGTGGTGGGGGCCGTGGTGTGGCCCCCACGCTCGGCTGACCCACAGCTTTGGCTTGCTGCACTGCCCAGCACCAGGAGAGAGCCCTGCGGCTTGTTGCTAGACTGGGAAAAGATCCAAATTCAGAGTTCAACATATGGGTTCGACTGAATGGCAACTGTTTTCACAGTCATGGAAAGTTGGAAAAACCATAAGCCAAGGACTCTAAAAAGAGCTTTAAACTTCTACCCAGCTCCTGAAGTGTGGCTCATTTCTGTGTCTCCTGTGACAGGAGACAATTGAGAGAGTTACTGTGGATGGATGTCTATGTCATAAGTAGTAAAAGTATGACTACTCTTTTGTAAATTATTGGCTTTCTTTATAACCAAGCAGAAGATCTTTCATACATGTTTTTTCTGTTTCAGAAGTGGTCTTTGCCATTTTCTCCTTTCATGTAGTCACAGCAAATTAAAAGAATAAATACTACCACTAATAAGAGTTTTAATGCATTATAATTTTACAATGTGCCTCTAAACAAATATACTCCACCCGGGCTAGGAAGGTGGCTCAGTGGTAGAGTGCTTGCCTTGCATGCATAAGGCCCTGGGTTCGATTCCTCAGCACCACATAAGCAAAAAGCAGGAAGTGGCGTTGTGGCTCAAGTGGTAGAATGCTAACCCTGAGCTGAAGAGCTGAGGGACAGCGCCCAGGCCAGAGTTCAGGCCCCATGACCGGACCCAAAAAACAAACAAACAAACAAAAAAAACCAAATATACTCCAAATTTCTCAAAAAGCAATATTCAAAGATTAATAAGGCATATTTAATAAACATAAATTAGAAACCATCTGTATACAATCTGAATCTATTAGTTCTCAAAGATGGAGACATAACTACTTTTTTTTTTTTTTTTGGTCAGTCATGGGGCTTGAACTCTGGGCCAGGGCACTGTTCCTCAGCTTTTCAGCTCAAGGCGAGTGCTCTACCACTTGAGCACCATGCCACTTCCGGTTTTCTGGTGGTTTATTGGAGATAAGAGTTTAAAGGACTTTCCTGCACTGGATGGCTTTGAACTTTGAACTCAGATCTCAGCCTCCTGAGTAGCTAAGATTACAGGCGTGAGCCATCGGCACCCGGCTAATATAGCTACTTTTAATATAGCACTCTCAGAATTTCAGAACAGTTCCAAATATGATTTTTAAAATATTCTTACCTTTATGAATTAGTGTATGAGCACTAGGAACTAACTCTGACCAAGGTACAAATTCACATTGCTGTATATCGACAAAATATCCAAAGATAGACCGGTCGCCAATTGGTAGATTGATACCTAACTCTGAAAATGATGAGTAAGAAAATCCAAGTAAGATTAGGGCTCAACTCAGGAGTGCTCACCAGCAATATGAACTCTACTCAAAAGGTAGTTTTTGAAGTAGAGGGTATATATTTTGAAGCAAAGGTTTATCCAACTATATAAAATAGGCCTGTGTTTCCCCTAATATTGAGTGGTACAAAAGCAAACTTACATTAGCTTTTTGTTCTTTCTATTCACAGAAAAGGTAAAATTATTGTCTGATGTCCTTAGAAATCTTAGTGCAAAGCCCTGCCTACCACCCTGTGCCTGGAAGCTAGCAAATGCTCATCATGTGCTGATTGTGGCCAACCCAATGTGTCACTTATTTGTCACTCAGCTACTTTCCATTGTAAAAGTAATACTGTTTTTTAGTGGGAAATTCTGACATAAAAGGGCTAGGAGTGCAGTGCTCTCACTGAAAAGGCCCTGGTTCCAAAGCGAGCGTCTGGGAGAAGGGGTGAGCAGGACATGCATTTTCAGTATCATGTTTTAGTACTCATCCTAGTTAACAAAATTCTTATAAGTAGATTCATATTTTATCTGTTTGATATCAGCTCCAACAATCTATATGTTTATAGCTCTTTCAATCAGCAATAGTTGATGGGGAGGCTGCTATTTTAAAGTATAAGGTGGATTCCATTTGTTGCAATTGACCTCAAAACAAATACAGAGTAAATCCCAGGCTTTATAAAATAACTGGAATTAAAAAAAATTAACAATCTACTATTCTTCACCTCTAGAAGTTTCTGCTTCACCGTGGTTGGGCTGCGGTTGGCGAGTTTGTGATTTGAGTGGAGTGAGGGTAATGCTATACTTATTTAATAACTTTGTTTTTACCTTTTATCTTCACACATTAATCAATCAGAGCCCATCACAGTTTCTAATAAATATTCTAAATAAGCACAATAATGATTTTTTTCTCCCAGAACATACCTCTATGTGAATCGTGTTCAAATATTTCACGAACAAGGCTATCAAAATTATAGGTTACTTCTGCAAGTGAATTATTTCCAAATGTTGAATGAAATATTACATCGTGTTCATGTTCATCTTCACGTTTTAAAGCTCCTCCAAAGGCCCAGGTAAATGCAAATACAAAAAGCTTTTGGAGCATTATTGCTAATTTATCTGGATTTTTCTCCAGAAACCATGTACTTTCATCCGTGGAATAGCTGCTTCTGGAAGGTAAAGGGTAAAAATTTTAGAAAAGAGCAAATAAGTTTACTTTAATATTCTGCCAGTTTCATCCTTAAATACTACAATTAAATGTTGATATAAAAATTTTAGGGCCAGGCACTGGTGGCTCACGCCTGTAATCCTAGCTACTCAGGAGGCTGAGAGACAAGCCAGCCTAGTCAGGAAAGTCCACGAGGCTTGTCTCCAATTAACCACCAGAAAACCAGAAGTGGTGCTGTGGCTAGTCTTGAGTGAAAAGAGCTCAGGGACAGTGTACTTACTAGATTACACTCTGTTAACAGGAATTATACAACTTATGGGCAGGACTAGGAAGGAAAACTGGAGAAAGCAAAGGAAGAGGTGACATTGTCCAAAAAAAAAAATGTACTCATGCTGGGTGTGGATGGCTCATGCCTATAATCCCAGCTACTCAGGAGGCTGAGATCTAAGGATCAGAGTTCAGAGCCAGCCCTGGCAGGAAAGGCCATGAAATTCTTATCTCCAACAAACTACTAGCCCAGAAAAACCTGGAAGTAGTGCTGTGGCTCAAGTGGTAGAGCCCTAGCCTTGAGCAAAAGAAATTCAGGGACAGCACCCAGGCCCAGAGTTCAAGCTCTAGGCCCAGCACCAATAAAGGGGCGAGGGAGGAGAAGAGAGATGGGGGGAGGGGCAGGTAGGATAGAAGTACTCATTACCAAATTTACAAAATAGTAATTCCTCTATACATCACCTTTATAATAACAATTTCTTTTTAACTAAAAAAAAAGATGTTTGAGGGTACCTATGAGAAGACAGAATAATTGCTCTGTGCAGTCAAACTGCCACACCCTGGGATGGGGCAGAGATGAACAGAAGGCAACAGTGGGAATTTTTAGGGTCCCCTGGTAAAGGATGAGCCCAATAGGGGCTCAGGCTTGGATGACAAGAGTCAGCCTTGCAAAAAATCCAAGTCATCTCCAGGCCTGAAAACTCACAGGGCCTGGAGAGGACAGAGTCTATTCAGAGGACACTATTCTAGGAAGGAAGAGAAGAAGGAAGGGGAGACCAGGAGGGGAAGTGAGGAGAGAGGAGGGAGGGGAGGCTGGAGACATAGCTTAGTTGGTAGAGTCACTAGCCAATGAACAAAAGTGTCAGGTACGGAGCTCAGCTTGAGCTCATCTCAGACAAAAATGAAAAAGAACGGAGAGGGGAAGGAGAGAGGAAGGGGAGGGGAGGGGAGGGGAAAGGAAGCAGAGGACAGAGAAGTGACACAACAACCTGGCCTCAAGGAGCCCCTGGCTGACCCCACACACTGCAGCCACAGAACTCACAGGACTCTGGCTTTATGAGTGAGACAAAAACTCAAAGATGTAGTCACTGCTTCAACCTTTTACATCTTATAAATGGCAGCTTCATAAAAGAGATTCATATCAATTTTATAACTTTCACAAATACATACAGAGGATGGACAATTAGTCATAAAAGGCGCATTATTTTCAAACAGTATGCAAATTGTTCTTTGTGAGGTGTACTGAGGTCTCTAAGTTGGAATGAAGTGCATTCAGGTGGGTTTTCACATTATGGCAAAACCTAGCAGGGCTCCTCGGCCACTAGTCCTGCGTGCATTGAGCGCAGGACTACTAGAACGTGACTGACCTCCTCTCATCCTTGAATTTGATTTTGGGAGCTTTTGGCTCCTCAGCTGGAGTGTCATTCTTGTAATTCTTATCACCTTAAAAAGAAGATTTTGCACAATTAGCAACAGCTGGTTAGTGAAGGAGGCTGAGCCTCCAGTGCTGCCCCTTCTCGGAGCTCCACATCCCCACCACTTCCTGGTGTCCAAGTCACCAACCCAGGCAGGAAGCCATTACTCACCCTTCTTACCTTATTTTTCCTACTATTTTTAAAATACTGAAATAAAATTTACCTTAGAAAATACAGAAAATCCCACGGGAGAAAATGCACACAACTTTATCACTCCCAGATGGCAGCCGTAAAAATGTTAATGTACTTCTTATATACTGGCTTATAAGTTACACACACATTTTAAATTTTAAACTTAAACACATTTAAAAACTTGTATTCTTATCTAGCTCTTCAATTTTAAGCTGCTAAAACCCTCCACAACATACTTTTGCTGCACTGTAATTTACCAAGCTCTTCCCCCATTTTTCGAATTTAGGCTGTCTTATAATTGCAAATAAGTCTGCAATATGTGCAAACCTCCTTGTGCATAAATCTTTGTGCACTTCTTGGATTATTTCTTTACATCATGGCTCCACAAAAAGTGATACTAAGGCAGAGTACACTAATATTGTCTACAAACATTTCCAAATAGCTTGCCAAAGAAGGAAGAATCACTGTACTTCAAGTACCTTACGTTAAAGTTTATGTGTCAGCACATTGTAGCCACTGATGTGTTTTGTTTTAGAAAATCCTTCTATTTGACAGAAAAGATTCATCCTACTTTCAAAGAAAATTTACTTCTATTTCTTGTAACACTATTTTCCTAAAAGCTTTATTGAAAATGTTAGTAAATGTTTAAGTTGTTCAAAGAAGTTTTCTATCTGCCTCCTCCTCCTGCATTACTTCACCTATTTTTTTCCTTGCTGTATTTTTTTTTCTTTTTTTTTTTATTCTTTTTTTTTTAATTTAATTTTATTTGTGAACATACTGTACAGAGGAGTTACAGTTACATGGGCAGGATAATGCGTACATTTCTTACCAAGCGTTGCAGCCTCCTCCTTTGTTTACCCTTCACATCCCTTCCCAGCCTCCCCCCTCCCCCCCTAATCCCAATCCTTCTCCTTCCCCTCCCCCCCCCCCCCCCCCCCCCCCCCCCGCACCAACGTTGTAAAGCTCGTTTTGGACATGACAACTTGTGTATTTTGTTTATACACTGTCCCACTGACAGACAAGATGTTATGTTGGTTTTCCACCTTTTATCTAGATGAATATTTGTGTACAAATACCTGTCTGAATTCCTGCTTTCAGTCATTTTGAATACCTGTTCAAAATTGGAATTACCATAATCCTTTCCATACTGGCTCATAGTATTTTATTTTTGATGAGTTTCTCCACTGCTATGCTAATATCTGTTACTGTTAGTAACATCCATCCCAGTGTGTGTGAAGTGGTATCTCACTGTGGTTTGGTTTCTATTGCCATAGTGAGTAGTAATACTAAGTGCTTTTCCACCTGCTTGCTGGTCATATATGTCTGCCTTCTTATAAAAATTGCCTATTCATAGTCTTTGCCCATTTTTGAATTGGTTGCTTATGAGTGTTTGTGGATGTTCTTTATGTATTATGGATATTAACCTCTACATGTGATTTGCAAATATTTTCTCCCATTCTATGGGTTATCTTTTAATATGTATCTTTTGGTGTATAGATTTTAATTCTGATGTCTAATTTTTCTTTTGTGCCTTATGAGGAGCAACTTTTATAATACTGTACTGTTGGCTTTTCTTTGCTAAACTTAGCTAAGTGGTAGATGAAACAAATCTGATGTATTTTTGTTTCTGTATTTGTTTAATTAATGACTCTAGAGAGAATATAGCTGATACAAACTGGATTTGTTTCCAATTACATAACTTGAACTAGTTGCTCTTGTTCAGCAGTTATAAGACACAATACGAGAAAGCAAATGGAAGTCTTGTGGACTGACCATGCCTCACATACAAGAGAGTTACCCGAGAGCTTCCGGAAGTCTTCTAACATCATGTTCATTCTTCCCCACAGGAAAGCTCAAATGAGCCATCAGCCTAAATCATCAATTCTTCATTTGGTCTTGATTAACATATTTTCTTAGTCTTTTAATGATCACCTACCCTTTATCACTTACCTCAAACCTACCTTTCATCTTTGGATTAAGTTCCCTTCTAATTTTGTAGGAAGAATTGAACTCACCAGAGGTGACAACTTTCAGGTTTCTAAGTCCTTACCCAGACACATTTGTAATGCTCATCTCTCCTAAGGCCTATGAGAGGCCTTCCTATAGTTAACTGATGTCCACAGGCATCTTCTAAGGTCTATTTTTTTGGCCTCTATCTGCTTGCTTGCTTCCTATTCTCAGCTTCTTCCTCTGTGGGTCCTTCCCATTCTGGGTATTCTTGGATGACCTCATTCACGCTCATGCTGATGAATGCCAAATTTGGACCCGCTTTGGAGCTTACCTTCCTGTTGTATTAAGTCAACTGAATATCCCACACAATCTACATGTAAAAACTTAATCCATTATTTCATAGAAACTAGCCCTCTTGAAATTCTGCTTCAATTGGTGACAACTCAAGCTCCTTAGTCAGACACTAGAGACTGATTCTTGCTCTTTCCCTTTCCCCCTCTCTCATTTACATATGCACTGTTTTGGTGTCTGTTTACACTCATACCACCATACTAGCTCAGGATTCTTCATCACTGACTTTCCAGCCTGCCTCATTTCCATTTTCTTCCACTCAGATGCACTTTCCACACCATTACTGGAGCAGTCAATTTAAACAGCAGTTCTCACTTCACCATGTTCCTCCTCCACTTAAAGTCCTCTTTTTCTATAAGTGATTAGTTTTTTTTAATGCACAGGTCTGCCATTGGTTCAAATAGGCTGAAAATTCTTGGCCTCTTGTTTTATTGTCTTTCATAAAATCTATCATAAATTGATAAAGTGTCACAGACTAGATAACACATAATGTCATTATCAGAATTAGGAGAATAAAAACTCACCTTGTCCAAAGCCTCCTTTTGCACTCATGAATTCAAAGAAAGAATCAAGAATTCTGCATAGGGTTGTAACGGCTGTTATGCTGTGCACAGGGAAGGGCTGGAATTTCTGAAATTTCTTTATAAATTGCAGACCCTCTGGGACACTTTTTTTAATCAATAATTCAAGACAGTTCACTCCTGATTGACTCATAATATTAGAAGTTTTCGAAAGCCATGTCTGAACATAAGGCTCCCATCCCAGGTCAACAGGGTCCTGATACAAAATAAAACATAGAATGTCTTATGAAAATGCAACAATTCTCCTACCTTCTACTATCTTTTTACTGCATCACACCTGTGATGAATGACTATTCATTGAAGGGAAAATGGTCATGGGATGATGTGAGATTCTTAAGCATGGTATTTCTTAAGACATCAGGCAATGTATGATGATCAGCAGGCATATGCTGAGATCCTATGCAGGTGTGGGCTGTTTCCTGAGCATCTACAGGCCATCAGCACCTGGCTCAGACTATTAGATCAGAGCTAAGACTAACCATAGTTAAGTTTCTTGCATAGACAAATCCTTTTTTTTTGTGTGTCTTCTCCCTCTTCACCAGTCTCAGTGATGTGTTTCCCACGTTATAAGAAACATGGGATAATAAGGGGCCTCGGGAAATCTTTCTTCTATTGGAAATGCAATTCCTATCAGCAGCTTAGCCTGTCTACATAAAAAGTCCTGCTCACTTAGAGCTATGGACATGCTGACACTCGGCCTATGGGAGAAGAGGTCACAAGTATGATTATAAACTATAACTCAATCACAAGGCTTTATGGGACATAAACGTCTGAATTATTGGGGGTCACTTTACTGGTCCAGAGGTAAAAGTAACTTAACCTACTGCAGAAAGTAGCTAGTTACTATTATAAGCAACACACATTGTTAAAAAAAATCTGTCTTGAAAACTCACCGCACACACCATTGCACACCACCTATGAGAATTCACCATGTACACCATCACACACTGCCTTATGAGAACTCATCACATATACCATCCATCACACACTGCCTTATGAGAACTCACCACGTACACCATCCATCACACACCGCCTTATGAGAATTCACCATGTACACCATCCATCACACACGGCCTTATGAGAACTCACCACGTACACCATCCATCACACACGGCCTTATGAGAACTCACCACGTACACCATCCATCACACACGGCCTTATGAGAACTCACCATGTACACCATCCATCACACACTGCCTTATGAGAACTCACCACGTACACCATCCATCACACACTGTCTTATGAGAACTCACCACATACACCATCGCACACTGCCTTATGAGAACTCACCACGTACACCATCCATCACACACGGCCTTATGAGAACTCACCACGTACACCATCCATCACACACTGCCTTATGAGAACTCACCACGTACACCATCCATCACACACGGCCTTATGCGAACTCACCACGTACACCATCCATCACACACGGCCTTATGAGAACTCACCACGTACACCATCCATCACACACTGCCTTATGAGAACTCACCACGTACACCATCCATTACATACTGCCTTATGAGAACTCACCACGTACACCATCCATCACACACGGCCTTATGAGAACTCACCACGTACACCATCCATCACACACTGCCTTATGAGAACTCACCACGTACACCATCCATCACACACTGCCTTATGAGAACTCACCACATACACCATCCATCACACACTGCCTTATGCGAACTCACCACGTACACCATCCATCACACACTGCCTTATGAGAACTCACCACGTACACCATCCATTACATACTGCCTTATGAGAACTCACCACGTACACCATCCATCACACACGGCCTTATGAGAACTCACCACGTACACCATCCATCACACACTGCCTTATGAGAACTCACCACATACACCATCACACACTGCCTTATGAGAACTCACCACATTCACCATTTATCACACACTGCCTTATGAGAACTCACCACGTACGCCATCCATCACACACTGCCTTATGAGAACTCACCACGTACACCATCCATCACACACTGCCTTATGAGAACTCACCACGTACACCATCCATCACACACTGCCTTATGAGAACTCACCACGTACACCATCCATCACACACTGCCTTATGAGAACTCACCACGTACACCATCCATCACACACGGCCTTATGAGAACTCACCACGTACACCATCCATCACACACTGCCTTATGAGAACTCACCACATACACCATCACACACTGCCTTATGAGAACTCACCACATTCACCATTTATCACACACTGCCTTATGAGAACTCACCACGTACGCCATCCATCACACACTGCCTTATGAGAACTCACCACGTACACCATCCATCACACACTGCCTTATGAGAACTCACCACGTACACCATCCATCACACACTGCCTTATGAGAACTCACCACGTACACCATCCATCACACACTGCCTTATGAGAACTCACCACATACACCATCGCACACTGCCTCATGAGAACTCGCTGCATACATCATTGCACAATGCCTTATGAGAATTTACCACATACACCATCGCACACACCTTATGAGAACTATGTACACCATCGCACACTGGCTTAAGAGAACTCACCATGTATACCATCGCACACCGGCTTATGGTAGCAGGACTGGCTTTGGAGAGAGTGTCCACTTCAAATATCAGACGCACTGTGTTAGTCAATGCAATTCTCTCACTATTTGCCAGGCACAGTGTCCTTGTATCATCCAACACCGAGTTCAGGGTCTCCACCCACAAGATGTCTACTGGGCCATCAAAGACAACCCACTTCCAATCAAGATCTGGAGAGAAAAGTATTGTTAATGTGGTCAGGAGCAGTCTCAGCTGCTCTCATTGCATTTTTAAAATTTATGATTTAGATGAAAACTGATGTTCTGGGAAAACACTGATGTGTGTATACTAGTCTGTATTGCACTGGAGCCCGGTGTTAGACATTCTTTACCTGTACAACAGTATGAGAGTGAAAAGAAGTGACACTTACATGTGGGCTCTAGTATGCATTACATGTGGAGATTCATGATATATACTTGATAAGGCCTTGAGCATTCTTAGACTGTCGAATGGGATAATGGAGAAAATGGAGATTGATTTTATCTTTTTCTTAATAGTATGATTTGTGAATATTTCCTTTTTACTGAGAAACATTTTTTAGATGTCCTGCCCCTGGTGAACAGCAAAGGTAAACAGACACCCTTTGAAGAAAGAAACAAATCACGTTTGGAACTAATCCATGCCTCTTTATGCACCGGTTCCATTTGGGCTGCTGTGGAATTGGTGGCTTATAAGCAAAGAAGTTTACTTCTCGCTGCTCTGGACCAAGGTACTGGCATATATAGGGTCTGGTGAGGTTGGGCTTCTTGTTCTCAGGAGTGCAAGCGTGTCTCCCCTGGACTTCTTCCGCTGGAGCATTAATTCCATCCACATAGGTTCTCATGACCCATTCTCCCCAAAGCCTTACCTCCTAATAGCCTCACCCTAATGGTTAAGATTTTAAGACTTGACTCTTGGGAAGGATATAAATTTTCAGACCACAGCACACATGCTTGTGTCCACCACTGCACTCCATTGCAGAAAATCTATTCATCAGGAGAGGGGAACATGTATAGGTTACACAGCAGACAGAAGAGTTACCACTAAAGGTATTATCCTAGCCCAGGAGAATCAGAGAGTAGAGTCAGGCTCCATAAAGAAGCCAGTGTGAAGATGGGCTTGACTGGCTGAAAACCCTGTCCTACAGATTGTTCTAAAAACTCCATAAGAAAACTCAATATCTAAGTCACTGTACTCTTTTCAAAATGACAGGTAAAGCTTCAGGAAGGTAGAGCAGCAATAGAAGTCTCTCTTGAAGTCTGTGTCATAAATGTGCTGCTGAAGAGCACGTTGTTAGGTGGTTCAGTCTGGACCAGGCAAAGCAATGGCTTGAACTCCTCCAGCAGGCCATCAGCTCTTAAGGACCAGGGACCAGACCGTATGCACATTTCAGTTTCTGGGGCATGTGGCCAAATATCCAGCATGTATCAATCAGATGAGCAACTCATTGAGACAATCTGTTGTGGATGGTCACAGAAAGACTGCCTGGAGTCCCAGTTCAGGAGCATTACCATGGTGTGTGTGTCTGCTGTTCCACATGCCTTTGCCACCGTTAGTATCTACTTCGTTCTAATGGCAGATTATAGTCACTTATAAAATGAAGGGCTAGGTAGGCCTTAGGAGATAAATAATAATATATATATTGCAACAGTGTATGTGGTAATACTATACACATTTTAAATAAATATTGGAGGGAAAAAGTTGTATAACACAGAATATCACTAATTAAAAATGCACTTAAAGGGGCTGGGAAGGTGGCTCAGTGGTAGAGCGCTTGCCTTGCATGCCTGAGGCCCTGGGTTCGATTCCTCAGCACCACATAAGCAAAAAGAAAAAAGCCGGAAGTGGTGCTGTGGCTCAGGTGGTAGAGCGCTAGCCTTGAGCTGAAGAGCTGAGAGACAGTGCCAGGCCCAGAGTTCAGGCCCCACGACTGGACCAAAAAAAAAAAAAAAAAAGCCCTTAAAGACATAAAGATGGCTCCTATTGGCTCAAAGTTCGTTTTCTATAGTAATGAATCATCTTTACTAATAATACTCACTGTGATCTTCTCTAATTTTAACATTTTTCTCTGTATTATTCACAAACTTATCAGTATCTGTTGTATCAGAGGAGTCAAGTTGGAAAACCTAAAATATGTAAATTTACATATGTAAATAAGTAAATTTTTACTTTGTGATACTTTTCAATTACAATGATATAGCTGATAAAATTTGCCAGTAATCTAATTACTAACAAGAATAAGACTTTTAAAATGGTTTGCCATTTGTAAGACTCTTTGAAGAACCTTCCATTGTTTTATTTACTAAAGCGATTTTATCTTACTGGCTCAGGATGCATCGCTGTGCAGGGTAACCAGGATACCTCAGGCACACTTAATTCACTTTGTGCTCCTTTGGAAGCAAATGTCTTCATCTCATGTTACTGGCTATTGAAAAACACAACAGCATGCTCTGTCTTTAATAATACTTTTTTCTTTTAAAAACTGCTCATAATACCTTTAAATTTACTCATATACTAACAGGTATCCAAAGATACTTTAGTCCTGGTCTTTGAATATGTAATTGTATGTTAGTCAAATGAAAATACTTATTCCATATTAAACTTACTGATAAGGTTTTTGACTTTAGTTCAGGACCACCATCATTTTTTGAGTAGCTTTCACTATTCAAACACACATAACTTCGAATTGCTGCTGTTAATAACCCATCAGTCCATTCCATAGTGTTAGGATCTAGTTGTCCAAATAGCTCACCAAGAGTAATACACTTTGGATTTAAAACACAAATATCTACTTTTCCTTTTCTTCCTGGAATCTGAGAAAAATTTGGTGTTATTTATAAGACAGTAACTATGATAGAATTATTTAATTTTTGCACTGTTATTATGAAGGTTTTTAAGAGCCTCTCATTAAAGAAAAATCTTCTGAAAAGGTAGCAATTTAAAAGGAACAGTGAAAACTGACATTGTAAAATTATCCATAATATATAGTCTTTTTTGAACTACTAATTATTCTTAAATAGGTGATAATGGCTATCAAATTGCTATGTTATTCCATTAAAATTTTTACAATTAAAATATTTAATGACAGCAGCACTGGAACAATTGGAAAATAAAAAAGACAGGAAAACAGCAGCAAAATACAGAAGTCTTTCATTATCGGTATTATTTTAAATATAGATTACTACTTAAAAGAGAATAACACAGAGGACTAAAAAAAATCCCAAACCAAAAATAATATTTGCTGCATATAAGGAGACTTATTCCAGACTCCCAAACAAGAATTTAAGTAGTTTGAAAGTGGAACTATATGAATCATTTTAAAAGTTTAAAAGAGAAAACATGATAAAATTATTCCATATACAGTAACTGGGAGAGGGGCTAGTAGCTATACTAATTTTGGAACCCCTAGAGTTTAGGGTTCTGGTATGGGACTGATTTTATATCAGGAAAATGGATTTTAGGTCAAAGATGCTATATATTGATGAAAAAAAGTATATTTGTCAAGCAAATAAAACAATTATTGTACACATGCACATCCAATAACAAAGACACAGATTGTATGACAGAACTGGAGAAAATGTGTGGTTGTGCATTAGCACTTGGAGTCATCAGTACCCATCTTCAGTAGTAGACAAAACACATAGATGGAGATCCATAACAAAACTGTGACTCAGAGTTAACACTGTACAAAGCACTCTACTCGAGCAGCACATGCTTCCTTTTGAAGTACACATGGAGCATACTGCTGGACAGATCACCTGTTAGGCCACGTTATCTTAACCAACCACAAAGGTATGAAACTAGAAACAGAAGCAAGACTAACAGAAAATGCCAACTATTTAAACAGCCAATGGGTCACTGAATAGATAGCCAGGATATTTAAAAAATACTTTGAGATGAGTGAAAATGAAAACCCAAAATGCCAACATTTTTGAGATGCAATGAAAGTACTAAGAACCAAAATAACACTTATTAAACACATTAAAAGAGAAAAATGTCAAGTCAACTCAAAGTCCTAGCCAAGTAATTGGGCAAGAAAAGAAATAAAAGGCAAACACAGAGGACAGGAAGAAACAAAACCATCTCTATTTGCATATAATGTGATGCTATATATTTTGAACATCCACAAGAATTCATAAAGCAACTATCAGAGCTAATCAACAAATTTTTAAGGTGTAAAATGAACCCCAAAAGTCAGTTGTTTCTGAACAGCAACAGAAAGCAATCAAAAAAGGAAATTTTAAGAACAACTTCTTTTACTACAATATCCAAAGAATAAAATGCTGAAAAATAAATTTACTAATAGGAGAACTTCAAAAATATTGCTAAAAGAAAGACATAAAAATAGGAATACATCCTTTATTCATTGATTGAGACACTACTGTTAAGATGGTGATGTGTCCTAGAGTGATGTATAGATTCAAGGCTGCTGTGGTTTGGATACGGGTTGGGGGCGCGTCCCTCAAACACTGCTGAGCTGGAAACCTGGCCCCCTGCTCGCAGTGTTGAGTGAGGAGCCGGGAAGGTGTGGGGTCGAAGGCATGGTTATCACCCTCAGAAGGGATTACTTTCAGTCTCATAGAGTGACTCCACTCCTTTTTTTCTTGTTGATACTGGTGTTTGACCTCTGGGCCTTCCGCCTGCTCGGCAGGTGTTCTGACACTGAACCATGCCTCCAGCCTATGACTTGGTTCTTTTCAGAGGGTGTTACAAGCAGGAAAGCCCAGCCCCTGCACCCATTGCTTCCCGTCTCTCACATCGAATCTCAGTCTGTGACTCCACTGGGATGCAGTGGAGTCTTGGGAGAGGGGTCTAGGGAAGAACACTGGGTCACTGAGACTCTGGTCTCCTTTTGTTTCTTGGCTACAGTGAACAAGCAGGACTTGACCACCACATGCTCCTGTTACGAGGCACTGTGCCTCCACAGGTACTTTGTCCTAGTAATAGACTACAGACTCACACACCATCTCACTACATCTCTATTTCCTCATACAAGCTGCTGCCAAGAGGTCAAGACACCATCGGCTACATCATGGTTTTTCAGGAAGGCTCTAACCCTGCTAAACTGTAAGCTGAGTGGATCTCTTTATAAAGTCTTAGGCTTGAGTATGTGGCTATGTCAACAGAAAACAGACTAGGACAAATTCAATCCCTATCCAAGTTCCAATGGCCTTTGTACAGAAATGAGAAGGATTCAAAGGGGCCTTCAATAGTCATAACAACATTCCAAAGGGCAGTGTGGTAGAGAACTCACATTTCCCACTTTCAATATCACTATAAAATCACATGACAATCAAACCCCAGACATTATGGCATCAGGATAGAGATATAGCCATGGCCTAAAAGCCAGAGTCCAGAAATAAACCCAAGCGATGTGGTCTTGACATGGGCAGCAACCCCTTGCAAGAGGGAGAGAACAGACCAGGACAGCACACAGCCCGTGCAGAAGAATGAAGGTGGGTCCCTGCTTCACTGCATATACAAAAGTGAACTGAAAATGTGAGAAATAAAATTGTAAGCCATTATAAACAAGAAGTATTTATGATTTAACTATACATTCTTAGATCTGACACCAAAAGCATAAACAATAAAGGAAAAAATAAATAAATTGGATTTAATAAAAATCAATGGCTTCTGTACATCATCATCCAGAATGGGGAAAGATAACTCACAGAACACAAAAATAGGTAAATCTTACATTTAATCACGTTTCATGTCCAGATTATACAAAGAATTCAACTGTGAAACAAAAAGACAATCTTTTTTATAATAATTTTGAGATTAAATGATTACATAAATTTCACAGTATTGTAGGATAATGATACTTAGTTAAAGTTATAAACACATTTTAACCTTCACAAGGCAAATGGTCATTGTGTTGGTCTATAAAGTTTGTGAATTCTACAAGCAAAAAGATAATCTTTAAAAACAGGATAAAACTGGACATTTCCAAAGAAGATAAACAAATGGCCACTGCATACATGGGAGGAGAGTGGATGCCCACCCTTCATTAAGAAAACGTAAATCAACCTCATCATGAGATATTCATATCTGCTTGAACGGGGAAAGAAAAAATGTTAAGAAAGATGTGGAGAAAGAGAAAGTCTCCTCTATTGTTAATGACAAGTTGAAACAGTGTAAGTACCGTGGAGAACATTTATGATGGCTCCTCAAACATTAACTATAGATTTACCATACCCAAGAGCAATGAAACCACGTATCCCCTTCCCTGCTCCTGCCAAGTTCATATACGAATGTTTGTCATAGCAATATTTGGTACATCTAAGAGGTAGAAACAACCTAAGTATCTATCTACTGCGTAACAAGTAGTGATGAATGGATACACAATTACTGTAATTGTTCAGGCCTATACTGAGATGAAATACTGATACATGATACATGCTGCACCTTGGATAAACTCCAACAACACATACCGGACAAAAGGGCCTTCTAAGTAAAATATCCAGAGTAGGAAATCCATAGAAACAGAAAGGCAGTTGGTCGCTGTCAGAGAGCAGGGAGGGTACAGAAAGCGATTCCTTATTGGAGGAGGAGCTGATTGTCACCAGGAGGTGGTAAGAAGGCTTTGAAATGGCAGAGGGGTGAAGACTGTACAGCACTGGGCCTCAGGAAATGGCATGTACTCTATGCTCTTCAAAGCAGTTGCTTGTGTGCCAGGAGTGGTGCTTATGTATAATCCCAACCACTCAGGAGGTAGAGGTAAGAAGTCTATGAGTTCGAGGCCAGCTCAGGCAAAAGTACTGAGAGCCTATTCCAAAAGTAAAAAACAAAAGGGATAAGTGGTGCTTATGTATAATCCCAACCACTCAGGAGGTAGAGGTAAGAAGTCTATGAGTTCGAGGCCAGCTCAGGCAAAAGTACTGAGAGCCTATTCCAAAAGTAAAAAACAAAAGGGATAAGGGCGTGGCTCAGGTAGCGAGGCCCTGAGTTCAATCCCAGGACACTTAACAATTCATGCACAAATGTTTATAACAGCAATGTTGTATGAATTTCTCTTTTTTGTGCATGCTGGTACTGGGGTTGCATTTAGGGCTTCACACTCTTAGCCTTCTTCCTCAAGGCTGGTGCTCTATCACTTGAGCCACGCCACCACTTCTGGTTTTCTCCTGGTTAACTGGAAATAAGTATCTCTTGGATTTGGCTGTTCAGACTGGCTTGGAACTAGATCCTCAGATCTCCATCTTCAGAGTAATTAAGATTCTAGGTTTGAGTCATTAGGGACCAGCGTGTGTGTGTGTGTGTGTGTGTGTGTGTGTGTGTGTGTGTGTGTGTGTGTGTGTGTGTACATGTGGCTGTGAGCATGTGTACAGGTGTGAGCATGTGTGAGTGTGTGTGTGAGAGTTGAGTGTGTGTGAATTTGATCTGGCAGAGTTACACTGTGATCCAGAAGCACACATACATACCTAAGAACACACAATAAAAGCACTAAAGAGCATTTCAATGATAAAGAGAAATGAGACCAGATAATAAAAACAAAAAGACAGATTAAACTAAAATACAAATATCTTGACCAGACTAATGAGAAGTTGTGAACTAAAGAGGATGAACCAAACAACAATAATCCCTGTGATTCTGCCTGCATCCTAAATATGCTTCTTATGAAATACACACATAGCCATGTGTAGGTGTATACACACACACGTACACATGTGTATACACACATGCACACATTCACACACACATAAAACTAAAAATGAGAAATAATAGTCAATGAAAACACAGTGAAAAAGAAAATGTTAACTGAAGTATAAAATACAATACAAACAAATCGAGAAATATTTTAATAGAATACTTACCTTTGAAGTAGATCGCCTCTCTGTGATTGATAAGGTGTCTATAATTGGTAATAATATTAATACTTTTTCTAAAATTTTTCTGGCTGCTGTCTTTCCTCCACCTGTTGGACCCACTAACATCACACCCATGCAAGCCTAAAAGAAATGTGCACATTTATTCATTCATAAATCATCTTAACAATTTATGTACAAATATATCTCTTTTTATATCCTTGATCTTCCTTCCAATCATTGTTCCATTACTGTACTCTGGATTCTGCTGTTTCTGAATAGGCTAACGTTTAAATCATATAAAGAGTCCTAATTTCGAGATTCAAGGCTGACTTAGTCTTGAGCTGTTTCTATCCTACTTTCCGTTTCTTTCTAGTTGCAGCTGTGTAACATTGTTTGTCAGGACTCTGCAGTCTCCTCTCCCTGGGCTCCGATTCTCCTCTGCCTGAGGTGCTCCTGCAGCACTGTGCCTTTTGGTCATATCCACAGGGCCTTGAACTCCAGCGGACCCTAAGAGTTCCCCAGGGCACGCACCTATCCCAGTCTTTAGTTCCAAAGGATACACCAGATTTTCAAGACTTAATAGTTCCAGCTGGATGTCTCATAGAATTCTTAAACTGTAACATAATCGAACCTACATCTTTTCACACCATCACTACTATTATTTCCCTAATCTCGTGGTCAAATCCCTGTGTACCAATTCTCCAGAGTAAGATATTAATGTTTTGCATCCCCTTGTCTCTTACAAAGCTTTTTCCTGGTCCTGTCTCCTGTCCATTCCAACTCCAATTACCTTGTGTTGCATTGTAGTGAGGGCCTGGACCCTCCTCACATCTGCATGCTGAGGGTCTGCCCCATGTGGTGGCACTGGAGCTGAGAACCCTGCGTGCTCCTGTGTGCTTACCAGGTCCCGGCCTGTCAGCTCTAACCACCCCTGCCCTCCTATATGAGGATGAGCAATAAGGTGACCACTCATAATCCTACAAGAGGGTTTAGCAGACACTGAATCTGCCAGTACCTTCATCTTGAATTTTTCCAGGTCCTACAATGTTAAGAATCAAACATGTAAGCTGGATACACTTATAATCCCAGCACTCAGCATCAAGATCTCAAATTGAAGATAAGCAGGACACCCCAAGGACAAACCATGGTGGGTCATCAAGGAATGGCAAAAAAAACCCAAACAACCTTGCAGTGAATGTCACCTAAAAGAAAGCTGTTGGTTCAACCAAACTTTTACTTTCCAGGTTTACCACCTAGCTACACCCTCAGTTTTGCTGTGTTTTGTTTTGCCTCAGTTAATTTTTAGATAGGATTTTGAACTCTTACATCTGGGTTGATGCTGAACCACTACCCTCCCAATCACTACCAGGTAGTTGCAATAACAGGTACAGGCCACTGTGTTCAGCTTTCTTGGGACTTTTGATTCACAGATATTCCTCATCTGTGTGAGTCTGGCTTATCAAGGGCTCAGCAAACTAAACCTGGATTGTTCTCACTGTGTAGCTCGGGCCAGCACACACATTCCCTCTGATCAGTGCGCAGACATTTCTCTTGGGCTTTGCCAATAGTGTAGCTACATGCTCTGGCTCTAGGAAAACTTAGGGCTGAATATGCCACCTCTTTGGGAGGTTAAAAAGTGTGAAAATAAATGACAACTATCAACCAAGCAAATGGCCAGACTCCTGGGCCCATGGTGAGATGACTCAGAATCCTCTGCCTGCCTGACCCCCTGGGTCTGTGGTGAGATTACACAGAATCCTCTGTCTGACTGACCCCTGGGTCTGTGGTGAGATCACTCAGAATCCTCTGTCTGTCTGACCCCTGGGTCTGTGGTGAGATCACACAGAATCCTCTGTCTGTCTGACCCCTGGGTCTGTGGTGAGATCACTCAGAATCCTCTGTCTCACTGACCCCTGGGTCTGTGGTGAGATCACACAGAATCCTCTGTCTGTCTGACCCCTGGGTCTGTGGTGAGATCACTCAGAATCCTCTGTCTGGCTGACCCCTGGGTCTGTGGTGAGATCACTCAGAATCCTCTGTCCCACTGACCCCTGGGTCTGTGGTGAGATCACACAGAATCCTCTGTCTCACTGACCCCTGGGTCTGTGGTGAAATCACTCAGAATCCTCTGTCTGGCTGACCCCTGGGTCTGTGGTGAGATCACACAGAATCCTCTGTGTCACTGACCCCTGGGTCTGTGGTGAGATCACACAGAATCCTCTGTCTGGCTGACCCCTGGGTCTGTGGTGAGATCACTCAGAATCCTCTGTCTCACTGACCCCTGGGTCTGTGGTGAGATCACACAGAATCCTCTGTCTCACTGACCCCTGGGTCTGTGGTGAGATCACTCAGAATCCTCTGTCTGGCTGACCCCTGGGTCTGTGGTGAGATCACTCAGAATCCTCTGTCTTGCTGACCCCTGGGTCTGTGGTGAGATCACACAGAATCCTCTGTCTGGCTGACCCCTGGGTCTGTGGTGAGATTACACAGAATCCTCTGTCTCACTGACCCCTGGGTCTGTGGTGAGATCACACAGAATCCTCTGTCTCACTGACCCCTGGGTCTGTGGTGAGATGACTCAGAATCCTCTGTCTGTCTGACCCCTGGGTCTGTGGTGAGATCACTCAGAATCCTCTGTCTCGCTGACCCCTGGGTCTGTGGTGAGATGACTCAGAATCCTCTGTCTGGCTGACCCCTGGGTCTGTGGTGAGATGACTCAGAATCCTCTGTCTGGCTGACCCCTGGGTCTGTGGTGAGATCACACAGAATCCTCTGTCTGGCTGACCCCTGGGTCTGTGGTGAGATCACACAGAATCCTCTGTCTCACTGACCCCTGGGTCTGTGGTGAGATCACACAGAATCCTCTGTCTTGCTGACCCCTGGGTCTGTGGTGAGATCACTCAGAATCCTCTGTCTGGCTGACCCCTGGGTCTGTGGTGAGATCACTCAGAATCCTCTGTCTGTCTGACCCCTGGGTCTGTGGTGAGATGACTCAGAATCCTCTGTCTCACTGACCCCTGGGTCTGTGGTGAGATGACTCAGAATCCTCTGTCTGTCTGACCCCTGGGTCTGTGGTGAGATCACTCAGAATCCTCTGTCTGTCTGACCCCTGGGTCTGTGGTGAGATCACACAGAATCCTCTGTCTGTCTGACCCCTGGGTCTGTGGTGAGATCACACAGAATCCTCTGTCTGGCTGACCCCTGGGTCTGTGGTGAGATCACTCAGAATCCTCTGTCTGGCTGACCCCTGGGTCTGTGGTGAGATCACTCAGAATCCTCTGTCTGGCTGACCCCTGGGTCTGTGGTGAGATCACACAGAATCCTCTGTCTGGCTGACCCCTGGGTCTGTGGTGAGATCACTCAGAATCCTCTGTCTCACTGACCCCTGGGTCTGTGGTGAGATCACACAGAATCCTCTGTCTCACTGACCCCTGGGTCTGTGGTGAGATGACTCAGAATCCTCTGTCTGGCTGACCCCTGGGTCTGTGGTGAGATCACTCAGAATCCTCTGTCTCGCTGACCCCTGGGTCTGTGGTGAGATCACACAGAATCCTCTGTCTGTCTGACCCCTGGGTCTGTGGTGAGATGACTCAGAATCCTCTGTCTCACTGACCCCTGGGTCTGTGGTGAGATGACTCAGAATCCTCTGTCTGGCTGACCCCTGGGTCTGTGGTGAGATCACTCAGAATCCTCTGTCTCGCTGACCCCTGGGTCTGTGGTGAGATCACACAGAATCCTCTGTCTGTCTGACCCCTGGGTCTGTGGTGAGATCACTCAGAATCCTCTGTCTGGCTGACCCCTGGGTCTGTGGTGAGATGACTCAGAATCCTCTGTCTGGCTGACCCCTGGGTCTGTGGTGAGATGACTCAGAATCCTCTGTCTGTCTGACCCCTGGGTCTGTGGTGAGATGACTCAGAATCCTCTGTCTGTCTGACCCCTGGGTCTGTGGTGAGATGACTCAGAATCCTCTGTCTGTCTGACCCCTGGGTCTGTGGTGAGATCACACAGAATCCTCTGTCTGTCTGACCCCTGGGTCTGTGGTGAGATCACACAGAATCCTCTGTCTCACTGACCCCTGGGTCTGTGGTGAGATCACACAGAATCCTCTGTCTCACTGACCCCTGGGTCTGTGGTGAGATCACTCAGAATCCTCGGTCTGGCTGACCCCTGGGTCTGTGGTGAGATGACTCAGAATCCTCTGTCTGGCTGACCCCTGGGTCTGTGGTGAGATCACTCAGAATCCTCTGTCTGGCTGACCCCTGGGTCTGTGGTGAGATCACTCAGAATCCTCTGTCTCACTGACCCCTGGGTCTGTGGTGAGATCACACAGAATCCTCTGTCTGTCTGACCCCTGGGTCTGTGGTGAGATCACTCAGAATCCTCTGTCTGGCTGACCCCTGGGTCTGTGGTGAGATCACTCAGAATCCTCTGTCTCGCTGACCCCTGGGTCTGTGGTGAGATCACACAGAATCCTCTGTCTGTCTGACCCCTGGGTCTGTGGTGAGATCACACAGAATCCTCTGTCTCACTGACCCCTGGGTCTGTGGTGAGATCACACAGAATCCTCTGTCTCACTGACCCCTGGGTCTGTGGTGAGATCACTCAGAATCCTCGGTCTGGCTGACCCCTGGGTCTGTGGTGAGATGACTCAGAATCCTCTGTCTGTCTGACCCCTGGGTCTGTGGTGAGATGACTCAGAATCCTCTGTCTGGCTGACCCCTGGGTCTGTGGTGAGATCACTCAGAATCCTCTGTCTCACTGACCCCTGGGTCTGTGGTGAGATGACTCAGAATCCTCTGTCTGTCTGACCCCTGGGTCTGTGGTGAGATCACTCAGAATCCTCTGTCTCGCTGACCCCTGGGTCTGTGGTGAGATCACTCAGAATCCTCTGTCTGGCTGACCCCTGGATCTGTGGTGAGATCACTCAGAATCCTCTGTCTGTCTGACCCCTGGGTCTGTGGTGAGATGACTCAGAATCCTCTGTCTCACTGACCCCTGGGTCTGTGGTGAGATGACTCAGAATCCTCTGTCTGTCTGACCCCTGGGTCTGTGGTGAGATCACTCAGAATCCTCTGTCTGTCTGACCCCTGGGTCTGTGGTGAGATCACACAGAATCCTCTGTCTGTCTGACCCCTGGGTCTGTGGTGAGATCACTCAGAATCCTCTGTCTCACTGACTCCTGGGTCTGTGGTGAGATCACACAGAATCCTCTGTCTGTCTGACCCCTGGGTCTGTGGTGAGATCACACAGAATCCTCTGTCTGGCTGACCCCTGGGTCTGTGGTGAGATCACTCAGAATCCTCTGTCTGGCTGACCCCTGGGTCTGTGGTGAGATGACTCAGAATCCTCTGTCTGTCTGACCCCTGGGTCTGTGGTGAGATGACTCAGAATCCTCCGTCTGACTGAGCCTCCCCTGCCCATCCTGCTCTGTGGCCCTGTGCACACAAAACTTTTCTCAGCATCGAGTCTGGGGTCTCAGGTACAGTAAAGGACTCGTACGTGTGCTGCATAGCTACAGCTTTGTGTCAGACTTGATTCCGCCATAAGCTTTTGGAGTGTTCTCACATAAGTGCAGGAAGACTGGACTGGACTCCAGCCCACAGGCTCTCTCGCATACTCAGCACCGCACATCTCTGACCCCTCAGCTCAGGGGTGAGTAGTGGTGCCATGCTGAGGCTAAGGTGATTTCAGAGGAGTCCCTGCTCCAGGCTAGTCAGGGGACACTGGCCACATCCTTGGCTCTCGAGACTAATTTGTGCATGTACACTTCCTGCAGCCCAGAGGTGCTTGATAGTGCAGAGCTCTAGGGTAGACATTCCAGACTCTACTCCCTCCACCTTTTTTCTGCTCCAACACCTTACACACAGGCAAAGAACTGCCAACATGTAAGTCTATCCATACCTGTAGTTGAAAATAAAACTGTATGATCTTCTCTTTCTGAGGTGGCCAGTGTTGAAAGCCTAATAGTTTCGTTGAAATGCTTATTGCTTTCTGAAAGGAAATAAGTATGTTAAAGTGCATTGCAAATGAATCCTTTAGTCTTTTTGGAGTAGAAGGGCTATCTGGGAATCATATCTAGCACTATGTACAAGCATGCCAAGCAAGGCCACTGAGCTGCACCTTTAGTTCAAACCCTTTACATTTTAATCCTTCAAAGTCTTGAACTAGGTACCATTTACTGCACCGTAAGATGGTATTTCTTTGAACTCAGGGCCGTGTGCTTGCTGGATGGATAGAATTCTCAGTTTTTTAGTTCACTGACCTCCATCTCTGGAATAATGAAAATTATTACTCTCTATACAAAATTTTATATTCATAGACTTCTGGTAGCAAATTCACAAACCCTCTCAGAACTCTTGCTCCATAATAGTTTAGGAACTAGCTATTGCCAGAGTACCACCATCTCATTACCCTGGGCCATTAAGGGAGCTTTTTAAATGTTATAATGATTATTGTAATGTTTAGGTGTTAAGAATGTTCTAAGATAGCAAGCAAAACTGGAAAGTTCAAAAACATGATCTAGTTATTCGCTGAAATGTCCAAGGGGTGTCCTGCAGCTAGCAAAGGCTTCTTAATTTTCTAGCAAAGGGATAAATGTTAACACATTTATCTACACAAAGCAAGTATCACGCTTTCTTTCTGCCGGCTGCTCCTAGTCCCTTCTTCATTCCTTGCATCCCTACAATGAGACAGAATGGAACAGCTGCAGGAGTAGAAGAGATACTCAGCAGAGGTGCATCTCTGATGGCAAGACTAACTGCAGGTAGGCAGTCAGCTGAGAGGTTTTTTAAAAGAAGAGCTCTTTAGAGACGATTAGATGTCCACTAATCACCCGGACTAGGAGTAGTTTTAGACAAGGAAACTGAATTCTGTCTAGTTAGTAATGCGAGCCTTGGTGCCTGCCAGGATGTGAGCAAGAAGTCACAGAGGCGTCGAGTAAGAGCCACATGTGATGCAGGAAAGATCAGCTCAATCACGACAGTCACAAAAAAGACACTGAGACAAGTCACCCCTCTCAGCTAAGTAGGTTTTTGAACATCCTACTTTGGAAGGTTTCAAAATAAAGCTATGTAGGATGTTCCTTGTAGTCAGTTGGATTGTGACCTGTACATAGTCATCATTATTTGATGTGGTTTCTCTAAGTAGTTTTCAGCCAATCTCTTGGCTGCTCTGGCTAACATGCACACTTCTTGTTGGAGACACATATGTGAACAAGTTGGGCAGAGTACAGTCGCCTCTTGCACAGACTGTGTGCTTAATGAGACAGAGCCTATGCGGCATGTGAGGCATAGCTGCTCACTCTACGGTCATCAAAACAGCAGCACTAAAGACTGTATTACTTCAAATTTAATATTAAAATCATCACAACTTGAGCCAGGTGCCAGCAGCTCATGCTTGTCATCTTAGCTGCCTAGGTGGTTGACATCTGAGGATCATGGTTTGAAGCCAGTTAGGGTAGGAAAGACTGTGAGATTCTTATCTCCAATTATCACCAAAAAGTCAGAAGTGGAGCTGTGACTCAAGTGGTAGAGTGCTAGCCTTGAGTTCAGGGACAGCTCCCAGGCCCTGAGTTAAACCACACACACACAAATGTAAAAATGTAACACTAGAGGCACCTAAATGTTGTGACTAGGTAAAGGGGAATGGAGTCTGGCTCTCTCTGGGAAATACAAAAAGATGCTCATATCAGACAGAAAATGAAACTTGCCATTTCCATTTTTTCCATTAAAGTGAAAATCCTCAAAATGTAAATATAAATCAAAATATTTAAGATTTTGTTAGTTGATAAACAAGTACCAACTGTATTTCTCTTGGAAGCCTCACAAAGCAAAACAGAAAAATAAACTTGCATTTTTACTAAAGTAAGGAACAAGGAAAATCTACAAAATCCTACACACAGGTGAGCATGTTCGGATCGCTGAGCTCCGTGAGGCCTGTGTCTGGACACAGCAGGGTTAGGAAAGCCCAGCCCAGTCAGGTGGAAGCAAGGACTCCTGTTCAGTAAGGGCACTGGAAGTGAAACAGTGATTGAGTGACGGTACTCAGAACCATTTAAACGTGGGCTTGGTTCCCAGCACTGCAAAACAAGTGAAAACAAACTTGTTAGCTAACAACCGTCATGTCTGACTAAATAGAAATAGCTTATGGGCCAGGAAGGGCTATAATATACTAATGAAAAAGAAAGCATGTACATAACTTAAAACTTTAAAGTCCCTTAAGCCACAAAGACGGAAGTACAAGAAAGCAGATTTATCGATGAGATAGAGCCCAATAATCCTCCCTCAGAAACTGATGGATCAATAAAAATAAGCCAATACCAAAGCTCTGACAAAAAGGCTCTCTATATAAATCAAGCATAGAACACACACTGCTTCTGGCAGTATCTGAAGTTTCTGTAATAAACACCTATTCCTTATGTGATACACAAAACTCTAGCAAATATAAAGGACAAACTAAAGAGCATATTCTATGACCAAAATTAATAACAAAAATGTTAAAATTCAACCAATATTGATAATAAAAATAACATTAAAATCTCATACATTTAGGAACACAGTAAACTCCTGGGTTATACTTCCTGTTACGGAAGGGAAAATGGAAACCCTCATGCACACACCTGTAATTACAGAGCTCAGCAGGCCGAGGCCAGGGGACTTCTGGTCTGGGCCAGCCTGGCTGCACAGTGAGATACTGCCTCAAAATGTATACTCACCATCCCCAGGACAACCAAGGACGTTCCCCCACAGCAGCACACAGAAAACTCTTTAATATGCCACAGAGTTGGCCACAAACAGCCTCAATATTTTAACAACGGAAATCATGTCAGTATCATATCTGATCACAATGGTAGAAGACTAGAAGTTGATAAGAATTCTGTTACTAAACAAATACACAAAATTAAACAAGATAGTCTGGAAGAATCAATGTGTTAATGAAGAAACTGAAATCATAAAATTTCTTGAGACAGATAACCACAGCAACATAGCAAAACCTACAAGATAACAGAAAAAGCAATTCTCAGAAGGACGTTTGTGGGAATAAGCACCTATATCATAAAAGCACAAAGATCTCATTTAAATAACCTGTTATACATTGAAAAGAAAAACAAGAACAAACCAAACCTCAAATCAGTAGAAATAATAAAGACTAGTACAGAAATAAACCAAAGTATTTTTATTCCTACTTGTTCTATGTAAATAGAACATTCAAGAATGACTAGAATTTTTAGGCCACCTCTGCTGTTTAACCTAATTTGTATTCCCCAGCCAAGTAACTTGATTGTTTTCAAAGGTCTTATTACCTCCAAGCTAGAGTGGCTTTCTTTCGAAACTTTCACTTCAGGAAAAATATCTGCTATAATCTTTTCGAAAAGTGGGACGTCTTCAGGAGGAAACTTTGATAGACTGCCTTCTCTGATGGCTTTGATCATGACCACGGTTTCCTCGGCTTCACAAAGACTGCTGCAACTATCCCTTCAATGGTGGAAGAAGAACAAGTCAAAAAGCCAGCTGTGTGGCATTAAAGTCCCTTCTACGGGCCTTTCCACCCTCCCTTGCTGCTGCGCAGCCAGGCTGAATGGCGGGATTACTCTGGTCTCCTGCTCCAGGTCTCACTGGTGTAGAACTAATATGGGAATGCCATTCCTTAATCAGCAATCTGGGGATGAGCACAGTATCACTGAGATTTTACTATCAAATAACAAATGAATATAGGCTAATATAAAACAAAAAAAATTCCCCTGATTTATTAAGAGTGTCTAGGAGGGGGGCTGGGAAGGTGGCTCAGTGGTAGAGCGCTTGCCTTGCATGCATGAGGCCCTGGGTTTGATTCCTCAGCTCCACATAAGCAAAAAGAAAAAAGCCGGAAGTGGCGCTGTGGCTCAAGTGGTAGAGCGCTAGCCTTGAGCTGAAGCGCTGAGGGACAGCGCCCAGGCCCAGAGTTCAGGCCTCACGACCGGACCAAAAAAAAGAGTGTCTAGGAGGATGAAAATGGAGCAATGGCCGAAATCATGTTCCGTAACTGGTCTGTGGAGACCAGAGTGACAGGACTGTCACCACTGGAGGGCTGGGCAAGCCTGCGGGACACACGCACTGCTGGACTCCCTGCTACTTCTGCCGACTGTTACAGAGAGGGTCGGCTGTCACCACACCACAACAGGCCGTGTATCTGATTTCTATTTTCACTAGCTTCAGGTAGCTGTCATGGCTTACAAAGATTGTTCATCAAAGCCATAGTTACAAAGGAGAAGCAAATGTGTGGTATTACAAACATCCACTCAAGAAATACAGATTCAGCTCTAGCCATAGTTACAAAGGAGAAGCAAATGTGTGGTATTACAAACATCCACTCAAGAAATACAGACTCAGCTCTAGCCCCAGGGTGTCGCAGCTCTTTACATAATGACTCAAGAGTCGAAACAAAGAACGTACCTGTTCAGCGTGAAGCTCAGGACTTCAGTTCAATTACATGGATAGACTGAAAGTCATCTTGCTACAACAGACACTAGCCTAATATAAGCCAGAACTCAAAAGACTGCGGTGTTGGGAAGACTATCTCAAGGAAATGAAGCTGAAACTCTATTCTGCCCTACTTTCAGACTTCCTAATTTGGCCAGAAAGCAAATTCTTTCTACTATTTAAGCCCACTTGAGTGGGTTTCTTTGTTTTGTTTTTTGTTTTACTGGTCCTGGGGCTTCAACTCAGGGCCTGGGCACAGTCTCTGAGTCTCTCTGTGCTCAGGGGCAGCGCTCTACCACTTGAGCCACAGTGCCACTTCCAGCTTTTTCTGAGTAGTTTATTACAGATAAGAGTCTCGTAGACGTTCCTGCCCCGACTGGCTTTGAACTGCAATCCTCAGATCTCAGCCTCCTGAGCAGCTAGTGAGTGCTTTGTTATTTTTTTAACACACTCCTTCGTGCCCCTCTATTACCTCAACATGCATCTATTACTCTGTGAGGAAACCTGGGTATATACGTACTGTATGTATTAAGCATGTGACCAAAAAGGTCAGTAGGTGACTGTGTGGGGCATGAAGGGATTTTGGAGATGGAAGAAGCTTCCTTTGTATAGACCTCTATCACATGCTCTTGTCTACTGATACCTGATGAGGACGTCAGGAAGGTAATAAGTTTTGTTGTTTCTAGGGTGCTGGGCTTTGTACATGCTACACAAGTGCTCTATCACTGAACTATAGTCTGGCCCAGTGAAAGGTTTTGTTTTTGTTTTTTAAAATTCCTAATAAAATGACATTTATTGAGAACATCTTACTAGGGTGTATACCTAATTTTCTTAACAAGTACTGTATTAAGCTTTCTGATAACCTAAGAATCGGGAAGAGTGATACTGATAAGAATGAGGAGGCTGGAGCTGTGGAGAGATGGACGCAGGCCAGGGGGGCCCGTGTTCTCTGAGGTCACGCTGCTGTCCCCTGCTGGGGTGAAGTCGGTTTTGGCTGTTTTGTTTCCCTAAGAATATATCTGAATGTGCTTCAGTAGAGAAAGTGCAGGCGACCCTCTGACTTTAAGGGAGAGGAATAGCTCATTTCTAGCTAAAAGATGTCAGTGGAAAAGAGGTCCAGGTCCCTGTTGGACCTGTCACTTTTTAATATTTTTCATGAGACATTTTCTTTTATTTTAAAAGAAAATGAGAAATAACCGGAAGTGAAAAGTACATATAGTTGAGGGGAAGTATTAAATATAGCTATTTAGAGCCAATTCCATTACAATATAATAATATCTAATATAAACCTAACATTTCATCGAAGTCCGTAACAGTAACTTTGGGGATAGCAGGCTAAATTACACTGGTTCTGGTTACAGAATAAACTAGCAAGCTTTAGATAAATGCAAACAACTAAGATTCAAGGAAAGGTCAACTAACGTAACCTTATTTGACCCATTATTGTGCTCATGATGCCTTGTCTTTGGAATTAGCTGGGGCTCATTTTGTGGCCTGCACTGGTGTAAGACTCCTAAATTTTGGAAGTGGACATGTGAGCCAGGTGCTGGTGGCTCCTGCTGTAACCCTGACAGTCAGGATGTTGAGATCCAGCGGCCACAGCTTGAAGCCCAGGCAGAAAAGGTCAGGAAACTTCGTCTCTAAACAAGCAGTAAAAATCTGGGCTGGAGGCAGGCTCGAGTAGAGAGAGTTACGTGAGTAAGCCCTGGGTACCAGGAGACAGAAAAAAGAGAGTAAGAGAGAGAAAGGAATTACAGGAGTTAACATGCAAATCTTTTCTACTAAGGGGTCTTAGGACTGCACATTTTTGAACAATTAATTTGTTTCCCAAATGAAAGAACTTTGGAAAATTCTTTTAGGGGGAGACTTTCTAAGGGAACCAAGGAAAAAGGTGTATGCTAAGCACAAACAAATTCGCTCTCCCTGTGTCCACTCACGTCTTCAGCTCCAGAACCTGTGAACAGTGATCGCCCAGCAAGGCAAAACACCAGTATTGTCTCATAAGGGACAATGTGACTCAGAATCAGATGTTTATCCAGATCCAGGGCTAGAGGTAATTGCTGCTGTGGGCAGTAAGCTGCAAGCATCTTTCATTCAGAAAATATATATGGTGACCATTTATAAATCTTCTGTTCAAAAGCCTCTGTACTTGTTTTTTTTCCCCCAGATATTTTTTTGTTTAAATTATTTTACTGATTCTGGCAGATGACTGGAATGATTCCATCTTAGTCTTCCGCCCGTCGGCTTCGCCTTCCTAGAATTGCTCACTACAGAATCATTACTGCCCTGGTTGGGAGTGCCCAAAGGAGAAAATCCTACTGCAGACTTTCTATTCTGTTCAGCTGCTTGCCTTTCTACTCAGCCAGTATCACCAGTTTCAATGATTAAAGCTTTATAACACGACTTGGTATTTTGTGGGTTATTTTCCTTTCATTGCTCTTGTTTTTCTACCCGGTTTTATTTATTTTTCTGTTTAAGTTTCAGGATCAGCTTGTCTAAAAACACACAAGCAAACAAACAAAACCACCTTTTGGTATTTTTAAGGAGAATATTCTTATCCAAAAATTAATATTAAATAATTTAACTCTTCATGATGTTAAGCTGTCTGTTTTTTGGTCCATACTGATGCTTGAACTCAAGGCTCATGTATTTGCAAGGAAGGCTCTCTACTACTTGAGCCATGTCTCCAGCCTCATGCTATGTTCTCTAAAATGCTATAGCTATGAATGGTGGTGTGTGCCTGCAATCCCTGCTCTCGGGAAGCTGAGGTGGCGAATTGTGAGTCCCAGGGTAGCTGGGACACAAAACATTACAAAGGCAGGGTATTGTTTTAGTTACCCATGTTTTCCCTGCCCAGGTTCTGCACACGTCTTACACAGATCCTGCCACCCCTTACTGTCTGTGCAGGGTTGGTTCTACGACTCCACCTGCATCCAGGTCTGAGAAAGTCCCAGTCTGCATGTACACGCACAGTGCTTGCATAGAACCTACACACACCTTTCCATATGCTCTTTTTGTGGTTGTTATTTGTGCAGGTACCAGGGTTAGAACTCATGGCCTTGTGTTCTCACTTGGCTTTCTTGTTCAAGGCAGATGTCCTCCTACCTGAGCCAGGCCTCCATCTAATTGGAGATGAAATCTTACAGACTTTTCTGCTTAGGCTGGTTTGGAACTGCAACCTTCCAGTTCTCAGCCTGCTGAGTAGCCAGGATTACAGACAGTAGCCATTGATACCTATCTTCTTTCCATATACATTAGATCATCTCTAGCTTACTTAAAATACCTAATGCAACATAAATGCTCTGTAGATAGTTGTTAAATTGTATTGTGTAGGTGTCAATGACAGAGAAGTCTATGCATGCTCTGTATAGATGTATTTTTGCAAATATTTTCAGTCTACACTTGGTTGACTCCCCACTTGAAGAACCTCTGGACACGGTATACATTTTATGTTCGTGTAAGTTTTATAATTTATTTCTCTTCTAAGTAAGGTCTTTTATTCCACTATGTTTCTCATTGTGTAAAGGTAAAACTTATTTTTTCCTTATAGAGTGATCTTATGCATTTTTCTTTTGACTTTTAAAATTTGTATGTGTACTAGGAGCTGAGCTTAGGGCCTCACACAGGCTGAGACAAGCATGCTGTCACGTGAGCCATACCCAGCACCTTTCAGCGGGTTTTTTGCTTGTCCACTAACTTTGCTCAGGCCGGCCTCTGAAGAAGCTGTGAGCATAGGTCTATAAACACACCAGCTTATTTGACATCCTTCAAGAATCTTTTTTTTTTTTTTTTTTTTTTACTGTGACACTGACTAACCTCTCATTTTAACTTACCTTCATTATATACAATTCTACAAATTATTGTTCTGACTTCCTTGGACCTAATACTAAATTTAAATTTGAACTGACCGTTTAAATTCCTGCTTCTTCTTTTCTGCCATTATTAAAACTGTCTTCAAAGATCTCATGCCAAAATCATAATGATCCTATAAAACAAAAGTTTTAAAAAAAATCTGTGTTTTTATAGGTTATGTAGGAAAAGTGAAACCACCTGAAAGTAATTGCACAAGACTATGAAGTGCTGGCTATCTATGCTGTGAAGGGAAAGAGCCATGTGATCCCAGGATGCTTGTTTGCCACTCCCGCTGCTGCCAATATCCCACCCGCCTGCACTGGAGTTCCTTAAAGCCTCTCTCCATCCATGTCTTTCCAGCTCTCCCTTAGGATATTAAAAAATTAGCTTACATTATTCGTAGAAGCAAGAGTTTCTTTGATCATGGTGTATATCTATCTTTTTAATATTTTATTGAATTCAGTTTTCAAGAGCTTCATTGAGGACTTTTGTAGGTTTTGATTTTGGCATCATTCTCTCCCTTATTATACAGGGAAGAGTTTGAGGAGTATTTGTGTTAGTTCTTCTATAAAGGTCTGATAGAATCTGACATTGGATCCATTTGGTTCTGGGCTTTCTCTTTGTTAGGAGACTACTGTTTCAACCTCAGTGCTTGTTATAGGTCTGTTAAAGTGGTGTATGTCTTTTTGGTTCAATTTTAGTAGGTTACATATGTCTAGGAATGCATCCATTTCTTTTACCTTTTCCAGTTTTTGTGAGTAAAGGTCTTCAAATTATTCTCTCATTATCCTATTTTTCGTGTCCTTATTTTCATCTCTAATTTTACTCATTTGGGTTAGTTAGATTGGCTAAAGTATTAACAATTTCATTTTTGAGACAAAGTTTTGATATCTTACCTGGGCTGACTTCAAACTCCAGGCTCAAACAATTCTCTTGAGCTTCTGGGAATACAGAGGCCTACCACTGTACCCCCCCCCCAAAATCTCTTTCTTATGTGCACCTGTCCTGGGGCTTGAAGTCAGGACTGGGTGCTGTACCTGAGGTTTTTGCTCAAAGCTAGCACTCTACCATTGGAACTACCGCTCCACTTCCAGCATTTTGGTGATGAATTGTAGGTAAGAGTTTCATAAGCTTTCATGGGCTGGGAAGGTAGCTCAGTGGTAGAGCACTTGGCTTGCATACCTGAGGCCCTGGGTTCGATTCCTCAGCACCACATAAGCAAAAAGAAAAAAAGCTGGAAGTGGAGCTGTGGCTCAAGTGGTAGAGCGCTAGCCTTGAGCTGAAGAGCTGAGGGACAGCGCCCAGGCCCAGAGTTCAGGCCCCACGACCGGACCCCCCCCTCCAAAAAAAAAGAGTTTCATAAGCTTTCTTATGAAAGCTTGTAAGAGGCTGGCTTTGAATCATGACCCTCAGAGCTCAGCCTCCTGAATAGCTAGAATTACAGGTGTGAGTCTGCCCAAATGCCTCATTCTCAAAAGGAAAGGTAAGAAGAGTATTAACAACTATCAGCATCTGAATTATCTGTGAACTGGAAAGAGAAATTTGGAGAATATTTTGAAAGTGTATATCTTTGGAGAAAGTAGATTCTCGATCCAAATCATTTTGGATTAGACATAAATTTTTGATTTGCAGAATGGTGATTCTCAAAGTGTGGGACTCAAATCAGTATCATTAGAAACAGCCAAGGGGTTCTTGAAACTGCACAGTTCCACATCAGACACAGAATTACAAACCTGCACTTGTGTTCTGACAAGTCCCCCAATTATTCTGCCATACAATAAAGCTGGAGAATATTGTTCTAGATGTGAAGTTACTTAAAGCTACAGGCGCATCATCACTCTCTAGATTCTCAAACGAAAGGCCTAGATGTTAACATTTTCAGATCTTGCGCTTGCCCTGCGCTGACTTCCTTTTCTCAGCTAGCTGACATTACGATGCGAACTACCACATCCAGATTGTTTGTTTTTTCCTTCAAACCGTGTGTTTTATTAAAATGAAGTATATCATGGGCTGGGAAGGTGGCTCAGTGGTAGAGTGCTTGCCTTGCATGCATGAAGCCCTGGGTTTGATTCCTCAGTACCACATAGCAGAAAAAGCCAGAAGTGACGCTGTGGCTCAAGTGGTAAAGCACTAGCCTTGAGCAAAAAAAGCTCAGGGACAGAGCACAGGCCCTGAGTTCAAGACCCAGGGCTGGCAAAAATAAAAAAAATTGAAATTAAAGCCAAGTCTATCTAAAAACATACAACTATAGGCTCATCATATTTTCAAATAAAGTTAGGTTTTATCAATGACTACAGTGTCTGCTTGTTTTCTGAGATAAGGTTTTGTTAACTTTTGCCCATGCTGGCATCAAGCCTCAATTCTCCCCTGTCTGGCCTCTGCTTAGCTGGGTTCACAGGAATGTGACACTATGTTCAAACAGCACCTTCAAATGGTTTGAGAAAGCCAGTTCCTTACCTGCTGTGAAAGCTGCTTGCTAGCTAACTCATAAAGATGAACTACCTTCCCAGAGAGTACTTTTGCAGACTTGAAGCCAAATGAAAATAGTATTACTTCAGTAATCATTTGGAAGTTAGGTGTCATCATTATTATAGGGCGGAACAATGATTTTAGGTTGTCTGGGAGCTCCACTCGACCACCATACCTTAAGAGCAAAGAAAATGTAACAAGGATAACAACATATAAACCCCTACTCTGAAATTTTTCAAATGAAGAACCACATAAGGTACTTTCCTCGCAAATAATTCTATTGGCTCTCTGTATGATCTTTATCTTAAAGTGAGTTCACAGAGTGGTTCACAGTGTATCTTTCATCTCATGGAGCACCCTGGAAAACCATACTTCTTCCCATGCTCTATCCCACAATTAATCACACCTCAGCTCCCAAGTTCCCTGGACTAATATGGCGTTCCATCAGCATTCAATAAGTTGACAAGTGAAGTGGCCTAATCGCACGGTGCCCCTGCCTGTCATCAGCTTTTCTGCCTGTGTCACCATGGTGATGAACAGCTGACCTCTTCCTTTCTTACTTGAGATGAAGAAATGGAAATGTCCCCTGGCCAGAGACCAACATATGAACAAGTGAAGAGCTGTTATGAAGTGCCGGTTCACAATGGGTGTGGGTACTGGGGGAGGTGTGAGGGGTCTGGAGGGTTTGGAAGTCAGGTACATGATGTCAGGTAATTCTGTCTATGATTAAAGTTTAAGAAAAGTGAGCTTATTCAACCACTCTGGAAAGCAGTGTGGGGGTTCCTCAAAAAACTACACATAGAGCTCCCCTATGACCCAGCAATCCCACTTCTGGAAATCTACCCAACTGTCCACAGACAAGGCCACACTAAACCCACCAGTACAACGGTTTTATCGCAGCATTATTTACCAGAACTAAGATATGGAACCAGGGGCTGGGAAGGTGGCTCAGTGGTAGAGCGCTTGCCTTGCATGCATGAGGCTTTGGGTTCGATTCCCCAGCACCACATAAGGAAAAAGAAAAAAGCCGGAAGTGGCGCTGTGGCTTAAGTGGTAGAGCGCTAGCCTTGAGTTGAAGAGCTGAGGGACAGCGCCCAGGCCCAGAGTTCAGGCCCCACGACTGGACCCCCCCCCCAAAAAAAAGATATGGAACCAACCCAGATGCCCCTCGGTAGATGAATGGATCAAGAAAATGTGGTACATATACACAACGGAATTCTGTGCTTCCATTGTTCCATTCATAAGAAAATGGAAAGGCTTGGAAAAAATTATATTAAGTGAAGTAAGCCAGACCCATAGAAAAGCAGGTCACATGATCTCCCTCCTCATCTGTAAGAACTAGAATATGCAGAAGATACTCTCAACAGGGGATCTCCAGATCCCAAATGATTAGTGCATTTTAGAAACATATTAACATGAACACCAACTTTCGCAAAAAGAAGAGGCTCTCATTAGCCCCTCTATATAGTTCATTCTTTTGCTCTATTGTTTTTCACCCCATGGTTTCCCTCATTTGCAATAATTAGTATACGGCTAGGATAATTTTATCAGATGAGCAGAAAAGCTCAAAAACTATGTGTTTTTTTTTGTTTTTTTTGGGGGGTCTGGTCGTGGGACCTGAACTCTGGGCCTGGCGCTGTCCCTCAGCTCTTCAGCTCAAGGCTAGCGTGCTCTACCACTTGAGCCACAGCGCCACTTCCGGCTTTTTTCTTTTTGCTTATGTGGTGCTGAGGAATCGAACCCAGGGCCTCAGGCATGCAAGGCAAGCGCTCTACCTCTGAGCCATCTTCCCAGCCCAAGCTCAAAAACTATGTACATATGACCATACAAGATGATGCTAAGTGAAACAAACCCCAAGATATGGACACCAGCAGTTCTTCTTAGTTGTTGTACTTAATGCCCTGGGAGACCGTTTTGTCTCCTTTGTATGTTCTCTCCCTATGGTATATCTCCTGTTGCCACTGGACTTGATAGTGGTGCCCTGCATCTTTGGGGAGGGAAGGGGAAGAGTGAGATGCTGTAGCAAGGACACAGGATGACCACTGCAACAATGATACCCCAAGACAGTAGACTGGAAACGAACTTCACAACTTTGGGGGGAGGAGGGAGTGAGGAGGTGCGGGAGGGATAGTGGGAGAACAACAAAGGAGGGAGTAACAATGCTCAACAAGAAATGCACACATTACCTTACTCATGTACTGTAACCCCAAGAAATGCACACATTACCTTACTCACGTAACTGTAACCCCTCCGTACAGCACCTTTATAACAAAATAAAAGTTAAAAAGCCCAGAACAGAAGATTTTCTAGAAGGAAAAACTACTCCAATGATACTCCAATCGTGGCGATGTATCATAATGCATCTATTCAAATGCATGAAACGTACGTCACGGGCAGTGACTCTGAGGTGTATTATTGACTTTGGACAATGGCGGGATAGTGGCAGGCTGTGGGTTGTGACAGGTTTGCTCCTGTGGTGGAAGACACCAGTAGTGAAGGAGGCTGGGGGAGCGTGAGTGCTCAGTTTTGTTATGAAACTGAAGTTGATCCCCAAAGTAAAGTTTGCTAAATAAAAATGATAAAAACCAAAACAAGGAAAGAACAGCCTTTCAGTCAGTGTCTGCCCCTTCCGCGTGCACTGGTACTCACCTAGGGTTCATGGTGATAAACACTGCACAGGACATGTTCATGCGTATTTCTCTTCCATCCAGCACAAATCTACAAGACATTACAGTATTCACCACTAAAATGAATTGCTTATCTAGGCCAAAGTCTGTGATCTGTAGCAGATTTAATTCAAACAGTAAACACTAGAAAAAACAGTGGTGAGACAAAACAAAGGGCCCATGCTGAGCAACGAGGTGACCTCTGCTGGCACGCACATGTGTGCAGTCCCCTCGAAAGGCGTTGAAAGGGTCTGGAAGACCCTTCTTAACACTAGAAGGTTCCATCTGGACAGATGACACAGGCAAGAATGAGGGAAAATGTTGGGGAGAACAGACACAAGAAGGGGAGCAGCTCCCGGTTCCATCTTCAGATAAATACAGCATGGCTACCACATCACCCTTTCCCTAGGTACAAAACCTCAGACAACCGTGAAATAAACCCCTGGCTGAATACTGGCACCATGACTGGCTTCTTAGATGACTGCTACCAAAGATGACGGTGAAAACACGAGAGGAAGGACAGCCAGGGCAGAGCCTGGGGATCCATGGCAAGCACGACGAAGTTTTGTAGCGGCTGAGGCACACACTTGAATGGTGTGATCTGGTTGCTGCAGGGCCAGTTTCATCTACAGGTGTGCACAGCCTACTGACAGAGGCTTTAAAGAGTAAAATGACAAGCTACACCTATTTCCATGAATTAGAAATGTTTCATAAAAACTGAAACCCACAAATCCATAAAGTAAATCATGTGAATTACTGTTTATCTCAGAGAGTAACATCTTGTTTGTATTACTCAATTTACATATATTGTTACTGCAGGTTTTCTTTTTCAATGAAAGCATCTTAATTTAGAGCAACAAGACAAGAAGGGTTTCAGGGGATATTTGCTAGCTATACATCCGATGAGAATCTAATAACCTGAATATACAAAGAGCTAAAAAAATCCTAAAGCCTCAGAGGAACCAATAAGTAAGTAGGCAAAGAAGCTAAACAGACCTTCCCAGTAGCAGGAGAACAAAATGGTCACAAACCCATACAGAATGTTCATCATCCCTGGCCATAAGAGAAGTGCAAATGAAAACCACACTGAGATTCATCTCACTCCAGTTAAGAGCGGCCATTATCAAGAATACATACAGCAACAAGTGCTGGTGACTATGAAAGAAAAAGGCAGCCCAATGCACCGTTGGTGGGGCGTGCGCCAGAGCAACCACTGTGGACACCCGGATAGAGTCCTCAAAAAGCCAAACACAGAGCGGTCCTAACACCCAGCAGTACCACTCTTAAACTGCATTCCACAATGCAAGAAAGGCACCTCCCTGAACACACCCACCTTCATCACAGCACGGCTCACACAGACAAGGTACAGAATAGCCCAGGTGCTTCACAGTGGATGACAGGATTTTAAAAAAGTGACACAGACACAACATGGAATTTTACACAGCTATTAGAAAAAATGAAATTATGGCCGGGCGCACGCCTGTAATCCTAGCTACTCAGGAGGCTGAGATCTGAGGATCGCGGTTCAAAGCCAGCCCGGGCAGGAGAGACCATGAGACTCCTATCTCCAATAAACCACCAGAAAACCGGAAGTGGTGCTGTAGCTCAATTGTAGAGCGCTCGCCTTGAGCTGAAGAGCTGAGGGACAGCGCCCAGAGTTCAAGCCCCACGACCGACAAAAAAAAAAAAAAATGAAATTATGTTATTTTCAGGGAAACAGATGGACCTGGATAGTATACTGAGCAAATAAGCCAGGCCTAGAGAGATAAATGACATATGCCTTCTCTCCTATGTGGGTCTTAGAGCCAGAACACAAACTCCCCACATGATCATACATAAGAGGCATGTTTTCATATGCTTTTCACTGGCCAAAAAAAAATAAATAAATAAAGAAGAGAGAGTAGCTGACATATATTTGCATCCTTGATCTGGCAGGCAGCTCCAGAGAGTGTGTTAAAACCTAGCTGGGTGTCAGACACCTTTAAGTTCATGGGAAAGCAGCACCAACCAGCGGAGTCGGTAACCATGGGCATGAGGCTCCAGGCATGCCCAGGATGCAGAGTCCAGCTCTGTGCTGCAGATGTTGGAGTGCAAGCCTGCTTTCAGCGTGGCCTGCCCAGTCCCCACCACAGACATGCTGCGTGCTAACACATCCCCAAGGTCACTTCAATGACGCACACTCTCTTTCACCTTGCTGTTTGGAAAACAGATTTTCACAAAACTCAGAGCAGAGAAACACATAGAAGATCACGTGGTTTAAACACAACTGATGATTATGCAGGACAAGCTTCTCCACATTAAGTGACTTGTGCAAAAATTTAGTTTTGACTTTTGAATAAAATTTTTTTTCTGTGCACCAGTACTGGGACTTGAACTCAGGGCCTCAAACTCTTGCTTAGCTTTTTTGCTTAAGGATGATATTCTACCATACATCCATTTCTGGCTTTTTGCTGCTTAATTGAAGACAAGAGTTTCTTTGATTTGGCTGCCTAACCTGGCTTTGAACTTGATCCTCAGATCTCAGCCTCCTGAATAACCAGGATTACAGGCATGAGCCACTGGTACTGGCTAATTTTTTGAATTATGATTTATTGTTTTTCTGACCATACTTGGTCAGAGTCATATGTAATAAATCCATGAATAAGGCAAAGTTCCTGTAAACTTTTCATATCATTTGCCAAGAAATACTCAAACATTCCATTTGATACATGCTTTAAAAATGAATAAGCAAGCCAGGCACCAATGGCTCATACCTATAATCCTGGCTATTCAGGAGGCTGAGATCTGAGGATCGTGGTTCAAAGCCAGCCAGGGCAGAAAACTCTGTGAGACTCTTATCTCCAATAAACCACTAGAAAACTGGAAGTGGCGCTGTGGCTCAAGCGGTAGAGCGCTCGCCTTGAGCTGAAGAGCACAGGGACAGCGCCCAGGCCCGGAGTTCAAGCCCCACGACCGACAAAAAAAAATAAAAATAAAAATAAAAATAGTCTTGCCCATGTAATTGTAATCCCTCTGTATGGTATTTTCACAATAAAAAATAATAAATGAAAATGAATAAACATAAAGCCCCAAAGACCCAAACACTTACAGAAGAAAAACAACATTAATTAAACAACAATACCTGATGGAATAGTTGTCTTTTGCTGCCTTGATTTCCAGGATCTGAGAGGCAATGACGGAGAGGACTTCCACATCAATTAGGTTGAATTCATCAAAACAGCACCAGGCTCCTGACTGAACCAAGCCAAAGAAGAATTTTCCCAGTACCTGAAAACAAACAAACAAGCAAATAAACAACACACAACCAAAAAGTTGAATCTCAGTCGGTCATCATCGCCGCAGCCATCACAGCCACTGCAGCCGCGCTCCGGCCGCCGCACTCCGGGCAGCTGCGCGGGCAAGCATCCCCTAGCTAACCCTCCAGGTGGGCACCATGGCTGAGAAGTCTGACTGCCACTATTGCAGAGATCCCTTGCAGGGAAAGACGTATGTGGAGAAGGATGGCCATCACTGCTGCCCGAAGTGCTTTGGCAAGTTCTGTGCCAGCACCTGTGTGGAATGCCGCAAGCCCATCGGCCAGACTCCAAGGAAGTGCACTACAAGAACTGCTTCTGGCATGACTCTTGCTTCTGCTGTGCCAAGTGCTTTCACCCTTTGGCCAGTGAGACCTTTGTGGCCAAGGACAGCAATATTCTGTGCAACAAGTGTGCCACTTGTGGGAAGACAACCCTAGGTGCAAAGGGTGCTTCAAGCCCTGGTGGCAGGAGACCAGAACGTGTAGTACAAGGGCCTCATGTGGCACAAAGACTGCTTCACGTGCAGCAACTGCAAGCAAGTCATCGGGACTGGAAGCTTCTTCCCAAAAGGGGAGGACTTCTACTGTGTGACTTGCCATGAGACCAAGTTTGCCAAGCACTGCGTGAAGTGCAACAAGGCCATCACATGTGGAGGAATCACTTACCAGGATCAGCCCTGGCATGCCGATTGCTGTGTGTGTGTTACCTGCTCTAAGAAGCTGGCTGGGCAGCTTTTCACCTCTGTGGAGGACCAGTATTACTGCATGGATTGCTACAAGAACTTTGTGGCCAAGAAGTGTGCTGGATGCAAGAACCCCATCACTGGGTTTGGTAAAGGCTCCAGTGTGGTGGCCTATGAAGGACAATCCTGGCACAACTTTTGCTTCCACTGCAAAAAATGCTCCGTGAATCTGGCCAACAAGGATTTGTTTTTCATGGGGAACAGGTGTATTGCCCCGATTGTGCCAAAAGGCTGTAAATTGATGGGGGCGTTGGTTCTGTGAAACGGAATTTCAGTCATGTTTTTTTTTGGTGCCCTGTTCTTTTCTCTGCCCCACACCATTGATAGGGGAAGAGTGGTTTTGCACCTCTTTAAACTTCTCCCTTCTGTCCTTTCTATTGTTTTGCAGTGTTGCTCAAATAAGGACAAACAGTGATTGCATTAGGATTTAGCAACAAGCATCCTTGCAGCAAAGTTAATTTCTCTACCGCTGCAATGAGCAAACAAAAACTTAGAACTGACTTTTCTGCATGTTTATCATAAAGCAGAAAAGTGTTAACCATTTAGCCACCTTGTGATGTAAGCAGGAAACATAAGCGATAAAGCTCCTACTGAGCTGCCTTTCCAGGCTCAGCTGGGGCCCGCCATGTAGTCAGTCATACGGCCTGCAAGAGTCGCAGCGGCTGCTGCAGCTCACGGCTCACGCTCTTTGGTGAGCAGAAAAAGAACTTGCTGGAATGCATGGTTTAACTTCCTCCTCAAAACTCTGACCCTCCTTCTATTCTTTTGTGATCTCACCTGACTAACATTGAATTTCCAGAAAGTTAACATTTGAACTTTGCTGTTAAGTTTCCTCTCTACTAACGTCCAATAACCCCCCCCCCCCCCCGCAGTGGCATGTTTTCTGAGCGTTCCCACTTTAAAGTACAGAATATATAGGTGACTGGGAAGGTGTATATGCCTACCTGAGAAAATGAACCTGTTTCAGAGCCACATTGTTACAGTGGAAGCTTGACAAAACTCACCCTTCCGTCCTTTTTATTTCTTTTCAATGGCATTTTGTTTGAATAGTAAAAATAGTTTACAGGTTTGGAAACTTGCATGACATGGAGCCCCCTCAGATGTCACTGCAGTTTGGAGATTCATCCTATAGAAGTGAGGGACCGTAAACCTCTTAGGGGTAGTTTAAGCAGGCACCAGACTGCGTCAATGTGAATATCACATTTCAAAACCATGACAAGTGAAATCCCTTTGTAAAATAAAAGTTGTTGGCTCTTTGTCCATGTGTTCAAGAGGACTACGAAGTCCCTTCTCTTGTGATTCCTAGGAGGTTTCCTAGAGAGCTTAGCTCTCTCTGGGGAAGTGGAGCAGCCGCTCGCCTCACAGTTTGCTTCCCTGAAATTGTGGGATCACCTACTTATTGTATTCTCCATGATTACATTACATATATAATGAGAAAATAAAGTAAACATGTAAGGATAATACTTCTTGTAGAAGTGGTTGTAGACACCGATGCTTCATTTCTGCATTCTGTCATTAGCTGTTATCATCTAATGTTTCAGTGTACCCTTACAGAAATAAAGCAGCATAGAAAGAAAAAAATGCTCATCATGGAAATTATTTTAAAGTAAGCTCACACTTTCTGACTGGGAAATTATTTTAAAGTAAGCTCACACTTTCTGACTGGGAAATTATTCTAAAGTAAGCTGACACTTTCTGACTGGGAAATTATTCTAAAGTAAGCTGACACTTTCTGACTGGGGTTAAAGCTGTGAGCACTCTTCCCATCGTGTGCCCAGCCAGAGCCTCCTGCCCATGCTCCGCAGGCGTGCCTGTGGCCGCCTGGACCCGAGGACCACTAGTCTGCCTGCCTCAGTGAAAGCTGCACACCAAGAGAGCTGGGTCTCAGCAGTGGGGATGAAGTGGCACATGGTGGGAGAGTTCAGGGACAGTAGGGCTGCAGTGGCAACTCCACTGCAGGACAGAAGGGACACACAGTGAGGACACAGCAAAGACAGCTGGGACACTGTGGACAGCCAGGCCTCGGCGGGCACACACTGGGACACTGTGGACAGCCAGGCCTCGGCGGGCACACACTGGGACACTGTGGACAGCCAGGCCTCGGCGGGCACACACTGGGACGGACACTGTGGACTGCCAGGCCTCGGCGGGCACACACTGGGACGGCCACTGTGGACAGCCAGGCCTCGGCGGGCACACACTGGGACACTGTGGACAGCCAGGCCTCGGCGGGCACACACTGGGACGGACACTGTGGACTGCCAGGCCTCGGCGGGCACACACTGGGACACTGTGGACAGCCAGGCCTCGGCGGGCACACACTGGGACGGACACTGTGGACTGCCAGGCCTCGGCGGGCACACACTGGGACGGACACTGTGGACAGCCAGGCCTCGGCGGGCACACACTGGGACACTGTGGACAGCCAGGCCTCAGCGGGCACACACTGGGACACTGTGGACAGCCAGGCCTCGGCGGGCACACACTGGGACACTGTGGACTGCCAGGCCTCGGCGGGCACACACTGGGACACTGTGGACAGCCAGGCCTCGGCGGGCACACACTGGGACACTGTGGACAGCCAGGCCTCGGCGGGCACACACTGGGACACTGGGGACAATCAGGCGGCAGCTCCGCCTCTTCTTTCTCATCCACCCAACTCTTCTCCTCCCCCTCTTTCTTCCCCTCCTCCTCTTTCTTCTCCTTCTCCTCTTCCTTTGTTTTCTCTTTTCTGTGTTCAGTCTGCTTTTTTCTTTCTTCTGACACCTGCATGCCCACCACACCAGGGAGGAGACACAGACTGACAACTCTGGGTCAGAAGGACTGGAAAATGAACGAGAATCTGACACAGACAGTACCAGCTCCACCACCTGCAGACACCTCTCTCAGAGAGCCCCAAGGAGGCAGTGGACAAAGGACTTCACACCTCTCCCTCCTTGGGGGAAATGCCACAGGGACTCGAGGAAGAACAGTGCTGACCACCACCACCAGCTCTGTTTACTCTCACCTCCCCACTTCCATCATGACTCCACTGGACAGCCTCTACAAACCTCAACCCAGATGTGTAAACCATGATGAAACATCACAAATTCCTGAACAAACAAGACAAGAGGCCACTCTCAAAATCTAAAAACCACACAGGGAAGACTTAAATGAGAGTGAAGAAGAGATGGTAAACAAAAGAATCATCAAAGCAATGATGAGAGAAATGGCCAATGAAATAAAAGAACAGATACATGAACCACTAGAGCACCAAAGAGAAAATGGACAAGAAGATTTAATTATGAAGAAAATGCAGCACATGAGAAAGGGGGCCATCAAGGAGACAGAAACTATGAAAACTTCCATGAAGGGCAAGAGAAACAGCATCACTAAAGAGCTTGGAACCAGGAGGAGCTCTGTCACCTAGTACAAACCGCAGCTGAAGGCACAGGCCACAGAGCAAAACAGGTTGAAAAGAGGGCGTCAGGAGTTGAAGATAAAGCAGAGGAATTAGAACTGTCAAAGGCATTGAAAACACTGAACATGCCAAAGGGACATTCAAGAATTAGCAGATTTGGCCAAAGATCAAATCTACATATAATCGCAATAGATGAGGGAGAAGAATTCAGAACAGAAGGCCTTGAGAACCCATTCAACAAAATAATAACAGAAAACATCCCCAAGTTAAAGAAAGATAATCTTACTCACATGACAGAGGCATACAGAACTCCAAGCAGACAAGACCAGAAAAAAAAAAAGACTCCTAGACACATTCTTGTAAAGACTCTGGACTTAAACAGGGAATTACTTTTAAAGGCAGCAAAATTAAAGCAAGAACTTTATTACAATGGAAAGAAGATTGGAATAACTGCAGATTTCTCAACACACACTCCGAATGCAGGAGAGCCTGCAGTAGTATATAACTCATCTCTCAATGGCAACAGCTGCCAATCTAAACTAGTGTGCCCAGGGAAGCTGCTGTCCACAGCCGTCTGGCATCTGACAAAGGAGCCAAAGATGCCTCTTTAATAATTGTTGGAAAACTGGACCTCCCTATGTAGAAAACTGAAATTGGATCCATTTGTCATCTTGCCCTATGATCAAATCAATGACAGTCCTGAAACTTTGAAACTACTACAAGATGAAGTTGGAGACTATTACAATTTATAGGCATAGGCAGGAACTTTTTAAAGAGAGTCCCAGGGTCACAGCAAATAGGATAGGGACGATATAAGGCTAAAAAAATTCTGCACACCAAAGGACATCGTTACTAAGCTAAAAAGATAGCCTACAGAGTGGGAGAAAATCTTTGCCATCTATACATGTGACAAGGATCTAATATTCAAAATATAAGAAGACCTTAAGAAACTCCCCCCCAATTAATAACTCAATCAATAAAAGGGCAAGAGTTGGGGGGAGGGAAAGTGGGAGAAAAAAAAGTGGGAGAGGAGAAATGGGGGAGAATGAAGGAAGGGGTGACATTGTCAAGAAGCACTGTACTCATACCCTGACTTATGGAATGTAACCCCTTTGTACAACTACTTAATAATAACAATAAAAAAATGAAAGAAACAAAAGTCAACAAGCAAAATGACATATCTTTGGGCTGAATATAGGTTAAGAAGCCATCAATTTTATCAGATGTATATAACAGAAAAGAAAAGAAAACATAAAAGAGAAAAACCACCAGACCTGGATGAGCACACAAGCTGAGTTCTCACTCGGGCAGCAGGCCAGATTTTGTCTTTATTTGTTCACCATGGGTGTTTTACTTGTGCTTTGCAAAATAAGTCACAGGGCTGAAGATACTGCTAAGTGGGTGAGCTCCTGCCATATTTGGGTATTAATCATAAAAAATTTCCTTCCTTCAATAATTTTTTCAGTAAGTAAATATTTAGAGTGACCTAAAGACTGAAAACTATTGTTTTAAGTAGTTCAGCTGAACTAAAAGTTAGCTAATATTCTGTTTCTATTACACTCTAGGTTTCTATTTTACTCTATTAGCTTCAAACAGTGATACTGTTTTTAGTTCTCTCAATACTTAATATCTCTTTAATACTTAATATTAAGAAGTATTAAGCTAATACTCTTAATATTTAACATAGTTTTTCATTCTGAAATGAATTGTTTTATGTGTATGTTTTCCCCCAGAGATTTATATCTAAGAATTACCTTATAATCCAAGTCTTCAAAACAGCTGAACACTACACAGTGTTTACCTAAGGCCTGGGAAACAAAAATGTTAATCTTACTATAGTTCTTTAATCATGACAGCAAACAAAAACATTAAATGTTCCAGAGCAATAAAATGTCTGTTAAACTCTTGAGAAAAGTTTTGCAATCAAATACCAAATCAGTTTCACCAAATTCAATATAGTACAAAAATACATATACTGTTACTGACAGTTGATCAGTTCCTACCTGTTAGGACCTCAGCCCCTCCCTGCCCCGAGTCTTCCCCCCCCTTCCCCCCTCCCCCCGCCCACCCCATAGCTGGCCACTCCCTATCTCCCCCAGACCCACATACCTCACTTCCGCCCTCACCTCTCCCAGACCTACCTTCGACTTGTATAGGGGCAGACACCCCTCTAATAAACCTTATAAGAATCTTTCTCCTCTGCCTGCCTGCCTCTGTGTGGTTCCCTGGGATGGTCCCGAAGGATCCTTTTAGTACCAAATCTTTACTCAAATCTTCAGTTTAAAAAAAAGAAAAAGAGCTGGGTGTTGGTGTCTCACACCTGTAATCCTAGCTACTCAGGAGGCTGAGAGATGAGGATCATGGTTTGAAGCCAGCCTGGGTAGGAAAGTCCGTGAGACTTATCTCCAATTAACTACCAGAAAATCAGAAGTAGTACCGTGGCTCTAAGTGGTAGAGTGAAAACCTTGAGCAAAAAAGGACAGAGACAGTGCTCAGGTCCTGAATTCAAGCCCAGGAATGGAAAAAAATAATCATACTAGAGTCACAAACTATACTTTCTGCTTCTATCAGTCACCTGCTCTCCATACAAATGATGTTCACCCTTCATGTGCCAGGCAGTTCACATAGTAATATTCCACACAAATACAAAGCAAATGTCCTCTCATTGAGACCCCAAGTCCTCCATCCAACAGGAATTCAAAGCTCAATCGCTGAAGCCTGGTGCACATCTGTAATCCCAGTGACTTGGGAAGTGGACACAGGGTGAGCTCAAGCTCTAAGACCAGCTTGGGCAAAATTGGTGTGACCCTAGCTCATTCCTCCCTCAAAGAAAAAAAATATTGGGAATATGGCTTAATTGGTATAGCACTTGCCAAGCACGTATAAAGCCCTGGATCCAATCCCCAGTATTACACAAACACACACACACACACACACACACACACACACACACACACACACACACACGCGCGCACACAAATGGATGAGTTGTGTGACCTAATGAAGGTACTTGCTAAATGCAATAAACTGTAGGAATAGTGCAAGTTAAATTTTGTGGAACAGGATAAAAATTAAAGAAGAAGCTTTACTTTGGACACAAAAGCCACTTACCTTAGCCAGATCTTTAACAGTTTCCGTTTTTCCTGTTCCAGCAGGGCCAGCAGTGCAGCCACCTAGGTTCAGGCTCAGTGCTCCCAAGAATGTCAGCCAGCACCTGTCCGTGAGGGGTGTGATGACCAGCCTTGGGGTACACCCCAAGTACTCGTATCCATAAGTAAAACTGGTGTTGCCTTGCATAATGTAACACAGCTTTTGTTTTTCATTCCATTTATACTGCAAATGTCTGAAAGCAAAATATTTGAATGCTCATATATTATCTGGGTAACATTACTTTTTTCACACAAATAAATCTAATAGAGTTTAAAAATGGGGAATTTATAAAAAAACAAACAGAAGTCAAAATGTTAACACAAATGAGATGTGATATAAAATTCACCAGTATATGACTATAAACATATGGGCTACTTTGTTTGATGTCAACCCCAAAGAAGGATTTATGAGGGTCACCTCCTATTTGAAGGTACTATATAGCCCACTAGTTTCCAATAGGAATGTGATCAAACATATTGTTCATTACAATTTAATTCTTACGAGGGAACTGAGAAATAGTTATTTAAGAATCAAAAACCTGGGCTTGGGGCTGGGGGCTGAGGGCTGATGCCTACATAATCCTAGCTACTGAGGAGGCTGAGATCTGAGGATCATAGCTTGAAGCCAGCTGTGGCAGGAAAATTCATGAGACTCATCTCCAATTAATCACAGATAAAGCCAGAAGTGGCACTATGGCTCTAGTGGTAGAGTGCTAGCTAGTCTTGAGGAAAAGAAGCTAGGGACAGCACCCAGGGCCAAGGGGGAAAAACAAGTAAAAAACAAAACAAAACAAAACCCTGCACTTTGGACCTATCCTGTGAACATTGTGACTTGTGTAGCTGAGGATAAGTGTTCTCAAGGCTCTGAGTGCAGTCCGAGAACCACAGGTGGTTTTATGAAAATTCATGCTTGACTGCTTTATGTGCCCACCAGTACCAATTCATTTTCAAACACATGTAAAAGATTATTTTGAAAGGAATTATCTTTAAATAGTTGTACAGCAGGTTTTCAATGCAACCTGTCAGATTGTGAGTGTAGTGCACCTCTGGCCAACGTCACCTCTGTCATTGCTTTCCCCATCTCTTCCAACCCTACCCTTTCCCTAAGTTCACCTAGTTCAATTTTCACACATATACATTGAATATTACGACTGCTTCCTCCCACCCTTCCCTCTCTATTTGCAAGGACCATGTTTGGAATATATTTTACACTTGATTGTTTTAGTAATTAACACAACGTCATAGGAAAAATCACGTGTCTACGTTTCAGTGCGGTTAGAGGTTCAGGTAGTGCCATGCACCCCACTGAAGGCCTGGCCCAGCACGGATCCCCTCTGCCCCTTCTCCTTCCACCTGCGGTGTGTTGTCATGGAGTCTCTTATACATCTTCACAGACCATTGTGAGGGCCTGTTCCTCTCTGGGGTAACAGGGAAGATTATAAAGAAATCTTAAAAAAAACACACACAAACTTCTAAACAAAAGTTAAAATAAAAGTCTTTTAAAATGTGTGCACTGCAACCTTGCAAAGGTAAAAATAATCATCAGCAAAAACAGATGACAACCTTTAGAAAGAAATAAAAATGTGAAATCTCACATGTAAGCTAAGACTAATGCTCCACCACAGGCAGCCTCTCTTCTCCTATGTCTTCATATCTCCACAAGGAGCACAGGAGGTACTGGCCAGGGAGCTGGCTAGACGTCTTCTCGGACTTGTTTTGAGAGTTGATACCACGGGGAAATTAAAAAATGTTCCTCGGATGAGTGGCAAAAAGAACACCATCAGATTAGAAACACAAAGTGCGAAGACGTGAAAGTGATAGAGGGAGGAGAGAAGAGGTAAAGGCGGCAGTGCAGGAATGTGGTACAAGGGGGCGACTTGCTTTGAATTTTGGCAAACTCCTGAAAATTACAAGTTGATATTTACCACGTTTGAAGCAGAGAATTTATTTACCTAATGATGCTTATGAGAGGTTATTACACATAGTTTATCTCCCTACCTTGACCACTCAAAATCCTCTGCATTGAATATATTTTTAAGTAGTAAATCCATCACAATATCTCTGCTGTGAACGTAGTGGGTAAGCAATGCTTCCAGCACAGTTTTTGTTCGAGAATTACTAGTATTCAACCCAATCAGCTCTGCAACTTCTTTCAGATGCCAAATCACAGCAACATGGACTTTCTCCAACTCTTCTCTTGGATTAGAACTCACAAAGCTTCTGATACAATCATTATGAAACATGATCTGGCCCTGAAAAAGGCAAATGAGTCGAAATACATTTCATTTTAAATTAAAAAACTTTTTTTTTTTTTGTCGGTCGTGGGGCTTGAACTCTGGGCCTGGGCGCTGTCCCTCAGCTCTTCAGCTCAAGGTGAGCACTCTACCACTTGAGCTACAGCGCCACTTCCGGTTTTCTGGTGGTTTATTGGAGATAGGAGTCTCACGGTCTCTCCTGCCCGGGCTGGCTTTGAACCGCGATCCTCAGATCTCAGCCTCCTGAGTAGCTAGGATTACAGGCGTGAGCCACCAGCGCCTGGCTAAATTAAAACACTTTTATGAAGTACATGTGACATTTGTATAATGTATACTTGCGTGTGTGTGTGTAAAGGAGAGAGCTTGAACATATATATTTGAAGACTAATTGAAATCCAGTCAATGCTTTTACTGGATGGGGTGTGGAGAGACTTTTTCCTTTATGCCACGGAACTGCTGTTACTTAAAGCCATTCTTCAAGAATGGCCACGGTGAGAGAGACTGTGAGACGGGTTTTAAATTTTTTATTTGCTTATTTATTTAAAGAATAGTGATACTATTTTGTGTCAGTGGACACTGAAATTCTCACAGTGGCCAATGCATAAAAACACCCCCTGGTATGTACTCCTGCAGAGGTCTTTACATCTCCTAAGAGACAGCTCCTCTGTCTGTGTGCCACACACAGACAGTGGTTCAAGACAAAGGGAAGTGGTAAACTATTCCTGGAAAGATGAATCAGCATCAGTAGGGCACATTCCGTGAAGTACTTCTGGAAATAGAATGCCAGTTTCTTATTGTTAGACATGTTTGGAACACCAGGAATCTGGGGAAGACCCCTTTCTAATGCAGCTTTGATTAGTAGAATTTACTAGAGAAATATGGAGATCAACTCATCATTATTTTTGTCATCTTTGTACAGAACTGCTTAAAGAAGTCTTTCAGATGAAGATGGGATTTGTTCAGGCGAATGGACTAAGTAGTATAAAGGACAAAGAGATTTAACAGGAATAATTTCTGCCTACAGGTCCAGATTAACTTAGAAAACTTGAATTGTAGTAGATCAAGCTAAAGTAAGAAGATGTGAAATTATTCTTACTTCATTTTTTAATTTTTGTTACCAGTACTAGAAATCAGGCCCATGCACTTGTCCACTCAGCTTTACTCGGCCCTAACAGTTAAGTCATGCCCCCAGCCTGGCTTTTGCTAGTCATTTTTGGAGATGGAGTCTCAGGGACTTTTCTGTTTGGGCTGATAGTAGCCATGATCCTCTAGATCTCAGCCTTCTAAGTAGCTAGGGTTTCAAGCATGAGACACTGGAGCCTTGGTGTGAACTTATTTTTCAATGAGCTAGAAATCCATATTTAAAAAATACTTGCTAGTAGCAACTTGTGGCAACATGGTTTCTACTATTACCACTCCAGAAAAACTATTTTTAATTAGAGGTAGAGCTCAAGAGGCTTTAGCAAGCTTGAGGCCAAGTAAAACCCCACTAAAAACAAAAAATGAAGGAACAAGCGCAGTCTTATGCCTGTAATCCCAGCTACTTAGGAGGTGCTGATCAGGTGAATCATGGTTTGAGAACAGCCCAGGCAAAAGGAAAAATATGTTTGTAAAAATCCTATCTCAAAAAGTAAGTTCAGGGTTGTGGTTCACAGCTGTGACCTCAACGATGTGTGAGGTATAGGTAGGGCAATCGCATAGCAAACACAAGTCCCTAAGTTCTAGCCCCAGCAGTACCAAAAGACAAAACACAAACCAAAACCAAACCCTACTCTCATAATGAGCTTCATGACTAACAGGTTATGACGATCTTTGGAACTCTCTAGAGCTTTTAAAAATTATGACCACCTCATTTTTTAAATAAGCAATTCTTTCTAGGGAAAGGTCAAAGAAATGAACAGAAAGTGTGTCTTCCTTCAGCTCCAAGACAACTCTCATCCAACTCTCCTCCCTCCTGCCTTCCTCCACCTCCTCACCTCCTCATTTGCCCCCTCCCTCCTCCCCTGCCTTCCTCCACCTCCTCACCTCCTCATTTGCCCCCTCCCTTCTCCCCTGCCTTCCTCCACCTCCTCACCTCCTCATTTGCCCCCTCTCTCCTCCCCTGCCTTCCTTCACCTCCTCACCTCCTCATTTGCCCCCTCCCTCCTCCCCTGCCTTCCTCCACCTCCTCACCTCCTCATTTGCTCCCTCCTCCCCTGCCTTCCTCCACCTCCTCACCTCCTCATTTGCCCCCTCTCTCCTCCCCTGCCTTCCTCCACCTCCTCACCTCCTCATTTGCCCCCTCCCTCCTCCCCTGCCTTCCTTCACCTCCTCACCTCCTCATTTGCTCTCTCCCTCCTCCCCTGCCTTCCTCCACCTCCTCACCTCCTCATTTGCCCCCTCCCTCCTCCCCTGCCTTCCTCCACCTCCTCACCTCCTCATTTGCTTTCTCCTCCCCTGACTTCCTCCACCTCCTCACCTCCTCATTTGCTTTCTCCTCTCCTGACTTCCTCCACCTCCTCACCTCCTCATTTGCCCCCTCCCTCCTCCCCTGCCTTCCTCCACCTCCTCACCTCCTCATTTGCCCCCTCCCTCCTCCCCTGCCTTCCTCCACCTCCTCACCTCCTCATTTGCTCCTTGGCATTCTTGTTTTTCTTGTTCATTTCTCCCTGTGGCTTTCCTTTTGTCCACTCATTAAATATTGCTGTTCCTTGGGCTCTTTCCTTACACTTACTTTATACATTCTGCTTGGAAGCCCTATAATTCCTCTAGCTTCATCAAAACAACTGCCAATTCAGACTTTCTGGACATCACCCAAAATTTCCCTCTCATTCTCTTTTAGTCTCTAGGAAAACTAATATTGCAAATATGTGTGCAGAATCAAGTGGGCAGGTTACATAATGACTTCACACCGAGAGGCCCCACGGCAATCCCAAGAACTGGCGGCCATGTCACCTGTGAGCACCGAGGACTGAGGGGGAGGGCTATTCTGGATTATTTAAATGAGTTCAATCTAATCACGTGTGTTCTTAAAACTGGAAAACATGTTCTACCTTTGAGTTGGAAGAAGGCCAGAGAGAAGCAACCGTGCCGGCTTTGAAGATAAGCACAGGAATAATGAGACAGAAAGCCCAGAGACACCGGACATTCTGGTCTCAGTGCAGAAGACCTGATGAAGCCTTCTGACGCCATGACCTCAGTGTGGGGACCCCACACTGTCTTCTAACCCACAGAGCTCTACAATGACATTATCTACACCTGTCAATTCAGACTAATGGCGTCTTATTTTTAATGTATTTCCAAGTAAGCGACAAGTATTAGTACTCTTCATAATGGCTCCTTTGCCAGGTCTTGGTTTTATCGATGGAGCCACACACTGAACTCTCCTCCACACACTCAGAGCAGCATGACTTACCACCGTGAGCACCACCTGTCCTGGATGAGACACCGCCCACAGGGAAAAATCCTGCTGCATCCAGTCTTCAACCCCTTGACTCACAAACCTACAAACAAAAACGTATTTGCATTATCTGAGTCTAACCAGTGGCCACAGCCATTGAGTGACAGCTGACTGCTTTGTTCACCTGTCTGTGCAGACTGCAAATCCTTTATGTGGCTCCTACCACGTTCTACTTAGTCATTCACTCTCTGAGGTAGTAAAAGTACATACTAAATTAGAAAAACACAAATTGTAAGTGCTACCAAGAGCAAATATATAATACTTTGTACAAATTTCAAGTGAATCTTCATAGTAGAGCCCTGCATTTGGTTTTTGAAAGTAATTATAATGGAGAAGACAGGTGTGTGTGTGTGTGTGTGTGTGTGTGTGTGTGTGTGTGTGTGTGTGTGTGAGTGGGAGGAGTTCCTGGGACTAGACCTCAGGGCCTTTCCTCTCACTTGGCTTCTTCCCTCAAAGTTGGTCCTCTACCACTTGAACCACAGCTCCACTTCAGCTTTTTTTTGGAGGTTAATTGGAGATAAGAGTATCATGGACTTTTCTGCCCAAGCTGATGTCAAACCTTGGTTCTTAGATTTCAAACTGCTGAAAAGCTAGAATTGTAGCTGTTAGCCACCAGTGTCCAGCCAGGGTAAGTTTTATTAAATAGATCTAGAAAGTTTTATTTAGACCTGAAGTAACATATGCCAACATTATGTATTTTGATAGTCATGACAGGTTTTAATAGAGTAACTTTAAGTTTCTTTTATCAGTATTTTACCTTTAATTTATCACTACCATAGATTACAAATTCTCAATACTAGCTTTCATTGACTTTTTTAATTGACTTTCTAAAGGACTGCAATACCTTTATTGTTTTACATTTTTCTTGAACATTGAAATGAAGCATTGATGCTTTTAAATTTTACTGTGCTTGTCTATCATATCTATTATTTGTATTATCTTTTTTGCTAAAAAGAAGCATGTCATACAACTTTTTTCTTTTACACAGGTTCACACTGGAAAGCCCACCCAGACTGGCCCTTCCTTCACGATCCTCCTGCTTCCATTTTCCAAGTGCTGGGGGGTTGTGGATGTGGTCACGAAAGTGACTTTTTATATGCATAGTGCGCTTTATATCCATGAGTTAAAACCAACATCAGATTTTTAAAAAAGTGTCTCTACTTAATACATTCTTATTTTTTTCTGGTAATTTGTCCCTAAACAATAGAGTATGATTACCATTTACATAGAGTATTGGGTATTATTCTGTTGGTATGGAAAGACACAGTGGCATGCAAACGTGGTTCTATTTTATTCACAGCACTTGAGCATGTGCGTATCTTGCTGCTCCTGGGGGAAGTGAGTCCTGGAACCAATCCCTGGGGACATTGAGGGATGACAGTATTTCAAAAGCATTATCAATAGCAGATATATCTTTACCAATTAATTTTTATTTTGTATTATGCCATTGGTGCTTCATTTTATTCTTAAATATGGCTCTTGCTTTCAGGGCCATAACATGTTTTACTAAGTGTAGGCTTCAAGAAAAATAGGATTCATAAAGTGTTACAATTTTACTAGTATCCAGTAGAAGATGTTTATAATTGTCATACAATATGCCCAAAGAAATGAATAATCTAAAATAGGAAGTAAAAATATCCATTGACCCCAAACCACGAGGAAATGGAAAGAATGAGTCCACATGTGATGGTAATTTCAGTGAGTGCTGAAAAGCCAGCACATCGATTCTTTTTTTTTCTTTTTTTTTTTTTTTTGGGTCCGGTCGTGGGGCCTGAACTCTGGGCCTGGGCGCTGTCCCTCAGCTCTTCAGCTCCAGGCTAGCGCTCTACCACTTGAGCCACAGCGCCACTTTCGGCTTTTTTCTTTTTGCTTATGTGGTGCTGAGGAATCGAACCCAGGGCCTCTGGCATGCAAGGCATGCTCTCTACCACTGAGCCACCTTCCCAGCCCCACCGGCTTTTTTCTTATGTGGTGCTGAGGAATCGAACCCAGGGCCTCGAGCATGCAAGGCAAGTGCTCTACCACTGAGCCACCTTCCCAGCCCAGCACATCGATTCTTGTATGAGCAGGAAACTCCCTTGAGCAGCAGTGGATTATCATAAAAATGAGGTGGAGGACTGAGTCAGAAAAAAGTAGGAAATCTGAGCAGACAATGAATATAGCGATTAAATCCTATCGAAGAAAAGCCTAGCACCATGTATTTTCACTGCTAAATTCTATCAAACATTTAAAGAATTAAAACCAATTTTTCGCAAACTCTTTCAAAATATTGACAAAGGAGTAGTTGCAAACTTATTTTTCAAGGACACCAAAGCCAGGCAAGGACACTATTAAAGTCACAGGCCAGTATCTCTAATGAACATAAATATAAAAACTCTGAAAAAAACACTAGGAAAATAAAATGGTATATTAAAGAACCATTTTCCAATTATATTAAGTGAAGTTAGCCAGACCCAAAGAAACAGGCCCCATGGTTTCCCTTATTTGCAATAACTAGTATACATCTAGGATAATCTTACCAGACAAGCAGGAAAGGTCAAAGCTATGTACATATGACCACATAAGATGATGCTAAGTGAAATGAACCTCAAGATAGGGGCACAAGAGGTTTTATCTTTGTCACTGTTGTTTTTAATGTACTACGTGATTTTTTTTTTGTTTCTTTTGAATGTTCTTCCCCCACGGTATAACCCCAGTTGTTACTGTATTTGATTCTGGCGCCCTGCATCTTGTATATACATTTTTTTCTAATTTGGGGAGGGGAAGGGAAATAACAAAATGCTTAAATAAGGATACAGGTTGACCCCTTGTAACAATGAGATGTACAAGACACTAGGTTGAAAACGAACTTTACAACTTGGGGGGGGGGGGGCGGGCGGGGAGGAAGGAGTTGGGGAAGGAAAGGATGGTAGGGTTTAACAAAGGAGGGGGGTAACAAAGCTGGATAGGAAATGTACTCATTACCTTACTCATGTAACTGTAATCCCTCTGTTCAGTATCTTTACAATAAAAATATTAAAAAATTTTAAAAAAAGAATCATTTTCCATAATCTAATAGGATCTAAATGGGATTCAAAATGGTTCATATATACAAATCAATAAATATGATCTATGATTTCAATAGAATGAAGGGAAACTACAATTTCAACAGATACTTCAAAAACTACTTGATAAAATTCAACATCCTTTTCTGGTAAAACTAAAAAAATTGGGCATAAAGGCAATGTACCTCAATACAATCAAGACTACATATGAAAACTGTACAGTTAATATAATAATAGTGAAAAGTTGAAAATGTTTCCTCAAATCTCAGTGACAAGACCGGAATGCCCAAACAACTTTCAAAATCAGTAGTGTTTCTTTATATAAACAACAAACTTTCTGAAAAATAAATTAAGACATCAACACATTCACAATAGCTACAGAGAAAATATTCATAAGTCAATTTAATTAAGAAGCCCCAATGTGGGGCACACAGGCAGCCAAGATGGAAGTTGAGTGGGCAGGGCCCGATTTGTTTACCTTCAGTGCATAAACAGCTCCTGGAAGCTTAGGTGCATGATAGGGTGTGACCTTTACAGTGATTGGTTGGTTCCATTTCCTCCCCTCCCACGTGATCTTTTGCTTCAAAAAGTGCTTGCTGTGTGGTAATGAGTTCCTGCTTGACTTGACTCCCCGCTGCATCTGATTGTCTCCCGGGCTAAGGGAGGCTGGGTGGGAGACCCTATCCGGATCCCGACCGTCCTTTGTGGGACAGACGAGGACCCGACACCCGGTACTGGCACACACAAGAAGTGTAGAGAAAGATACTGGATTATTATTATTATATTGGCAAGTTATAATGTCTCCAGGGTTCTTTTTTTCTTTTGTCAGTCATGGGGTTTGAACTGGATGAGACTGGAGGCTGAGGGTGAGGTACTTGGAAGCAGGCAGAGACAGACATCTGGCCACTCTTCAGGTGTCCATGAACTCAAAGGGCACAAAGCCACATATGCGCCCTCTACCAACATCCTTTCCATTTATCTTAGCAGGTAATAAAGTACGTGTCTATATGTGCATGTGTGTATATCACAGAATTTTAGGATCTGAGTGTTATACTCACTTTTTCACCACATCGAACATGCTTTTCTCTACATTTAACAGCCATTGTTCCACAGCACTTCTTACGCGGATTTTCCTATGTATTTCAAAAACAGTATTATTATATAATATTATGAATCACATGAATTCATTTGTATGTCAGTCTTTTGATAAACTTATAGACTGTTTTCTACATATTTATATTACTTATGGACCAGAGGAATATAATTCTATCATATTTTCTGGTTTCTCTAGACTTTAAATTAGAAAATGATATTGAAAACATACTACCTAGCTTCAGGAAATGTTGACATCAAACCTATGAATATACACAATAATTAGGCAAATAGGAATTTGAAAATAGAAATGCACAAAATAGACAAATTGTACCATAAAATATTTTTGGATTGCTCATGGTCTTTTCAAGTGGCAGAACTGGTTGGGGCTTGGGAGGGTTCTTAAAGCATGCTGGGAGGTGGGGACCCTGTCTGGGGCCCTTGCTTAGGCTCCATGGACTAGAACCCTAGTTGTCCTGTTTTCCTGGAACCCCAGAATGATGAAAACAGAGGCTGGTGGAGGCAGTGATGGTAGTAACCTTAACAACTCAAAAGAGTAAATTTTCTTCCCATCTATGCTCATAATAAAACTTGGAAGTAAACATAAAAAAGAGTATGAAACTAAAGCTGAGTTCAATGATAGAGCAAAAGACAGGCACAAATGACAGGCCTGCAGAATTCTGAAGATTACCTTTTAACATTAGGGTACAGCAAAGAGGCAAAGAAGAGAGTGCTCTGTGTTAAGAAGAAGACAGTGAAAGCCTTGGAAGAAACACTTCACATGGCAAACTCCTATCAACTACTGAGAACATCTAAGAAGAAATTTCAAAATAAGAAGCTTCTAAGAGGTTTGGCCATGAGCCGGTGGCCAACTCTCATACTTGGGCAGCAGAAGACCCTCTCCTTCTGCAGATATGAGCATTTTTACAGCAGGGGGTCCGATTTCTTCTTTCCAGATCAATACTTGTTTTATATTTTCAAAACATTTCACAAGATGAGGCTGTGGACCAGAAAATAATGTTGGTAATATTGTAAAATCTTGATTTGGTTAGGAAATAACATTGCTAACAGAACGCTCCTGTTACCTGCACAGACTCAGGATTCCTGCTGTCAGCCAGTATATCGAGAAGCTCAGCATTGCTGAGAAAGTAAAACCTTGGGAAAATCATTCTTTTAACTTCAAGGTAATCCTGTCCAGAACCAAAAGAAATGCAGTTCAGAAGATAAATCTATGATAGGGGTATAGGCCTACATTACATACAAATATCACAGTGAAAGCTGTTGTCAGTCAAAATATTAGCCCATGAGTAATGAAAGCTATGTTTAAGTTGTGAAAACATTTTAAATAAAATAGGAAAACCAAAGTCCAAATGAAAGCAAGCAGAAAAGTGCACATGTGCACACTTACTCTCAGTCAGTGAGACGCCCTTGTGGTGTTCCCACACGTGTGTGTGCTCTAGCTGCTCTAGTTCTGTGTGTCGTCCTCACCTGAGAAACACGGCCTCACTGCACAAATAACCTCACATTCTCCTTACTCAGAATTCCCCTTTCCTGCTCCACAACTTCACACTAGTTAGTGTATGGTTATCCTTCTTTTCAGTAAAACAGATACATTGTTTGCGGATGGCAGCCATTTTCCTACTCTCCTATCTCTTCAATCTTTCCCTTGCAACAAACCTCCTTATTAAAAAAATTTGAGACCCCTTCTTCTCCCTTAATGCTCTGGCAATGTAAAAAGCATAGGGGGCCAATACATTGATTTAGGAGCTCATCAAAATATTCTAATTCAGCTGGGCGCTGATGGCTCACACTTGTAATCACAGCTACTCAGGAAGCTGAAATCTGAGGATCAAGGTTCAAAGCCAGTCCAGGCAGGAATTCAAGACTCTTCTCCCCAATTAAATCCACCAGAAAATCAGAAGTGGCGCTGTGGCCGGAAGTGGTAGAGCACTCGCCTCGAGTAAAAGAGCTCGGGGACAGTGCTCAGGCCCTGAGTTCAAGCCCCAAGACTGACAAAAATAAATAAATAACTTGAATTCAGTTTTTGCTAAAACTACAATTAATAGTGATGCTATTAATACCTATTAACTGTAAGCGCCAGGTCCTGCGCTTTGACAGCATCCTCTCCTTCCCTTCTGCTCCCCGGGAACCACTGCCTTTGCTCTCAACCTAAAGACAAGGGGTCCTGGGCACAAAAAATCTTGAATCTTGGGCTGGGCACGTGGCTCAGTGGTAGAGCGCTTGCCTTGCATGCATGAGGCCCTGGGTTCAATTCCTTAGCACCACATAAGCAAAAAGAAAAAAGCCGGAAGTGGCGCTGTGGCTCAAGTGATAGAGCGCTAGCCTTGAGCTGAAGAGCTGGGTGACAGCGCTCAGGCCCAGAGTTCAGGCCCCATGACAGGACCAAAAAAAACAACCTTGAACCTTGATACTATGCCTGAAGGCCACTGAGATCAGTTGTCCTTTTTTTTTCTTAATCCTATTTTCAGGACCTCCAAAGTTCGTGAGTGTGAGAAGTGCTGGGAGTGAGAGAGAAAGTAGTAAGTCCGCGCTAGTGCTAGCTGCACGTGCAGTGGGTCTCCATGCCATGGTTGTGCAGTTACCTCCAGACTTTTCTTTATAGTCTCAAGATGCATATTGCAGTTCTGCAGCACCTCCAGGACTCCTGCGGAAGTGGTTATTCGCAAGGCCTCTAGCTTGTTCTGCACTTTTGACATTAATTCCTTCCACATGGAGATCACCATGGAGAAGTGCTTTGTTTCTGCTGGGAGCTGCCTTTAGAAATAAAATTAGATTTAACCGTTTTTTGAAAGCACTATCATTAACATAATAATCTAAATGTATTTGTTACAGAATACTGTGGTATTTTTAAAACAATTTTGATGTTTTTTTCTTGATCATTTATGAATTATATATTATATATTAGTTTTATATACTTATATATTAATTATATCCACTATATAGTTACTTATGTAGTAGCTAATATATAATTATATATAATAAATATATTTATTAATTACTATATATTACTTAAGTAATGTATATGGTAAGAAATGTATACATAATGAATAAATATAAGAGTGTAATATATGTGTATAATGTATATGGTAGGTAATGTATATGGTAAGAAATACTAGGAAAATTAGACATATAACTATCACTGAACTGAAAATTAATTGCACTTGACAGGCATACACTACACACACCATACACACACACACACACACACACACACATCTCTAAAATCACTCTTGTTGCAGGGAGCTCCTGGTCTATAACAACCATGCACCCCTGTACTCCTTGTTGATCCTGTTATTAAAGACTGCTTTAGAGCTGTCCATGAAGGGGCACCCCTGTTGTTTGTTTTGTTTGTTGGTTGTGGGGCCTGACCTCTGGGCCTGGGCGCTGTCCCTCAGCTCTTCAGCTCAAGGCTAGTGCTCTACCACTTGAGCCACAGCACCACTTCTGGCTTTTTCTGGTTATGTGGTGCTGAGGAATGGAACCCAGGGCCTCATGCATGCAAGGCAAGCGCTCTACCACTGAGCCACCTTTCCAGCCCAGCCCCCTGGTTTTTAATGCCCCCACATACTAGTACAAAAAAAAGTCAACGTCTCACAAGAACTCTCTCACTATCATGCTCCCCATCTCTGAAGTGCAGCAGAAATCCTATCATAGAGGACAGACCAACTCTACTTAGTGAAACACACCCTCCTTCTGGAAGGTTCTAGTGTAGCACCCACTGGATTCTTTATTCTTTACTTCCCATCACAGAGTCTTCCTGTCCCACGAGCCTCTTGTGACTTCACCTTTCTCTGAGAGCCCCTGTTGGTATTGTCCTATCATCTTTCCCCTTTACTTAGAGGTCTATTGCCAACTCATTTCCCCTCATCCGCAGACTCATCTCATCAGTGCTGTTACTATCTTTCAATTCGTATTTCCTTTTACAATCTCACCAAATTTTGTATACGGTTAACTTAGTCATATTTTTTCCTCTTTTATTTAGGAGTCTGATCTATTAATAAAAAATATCTTTAGTAAAAAGTAGTAATGATTTGAATTTAAGATTCAAAGTGAGCGCAGCCATAAAGGGTGCGCTCCACGGGTGTGCAGTCTCACCTTGGAAGACTGTCGCGAGTGAGAGTAGACATGCAGCGCCCCAGACACTGCTGAGCTACACAGCATATGAAAAATAAGTATTGTCCCTACTAAGCAAGGCTTGTACCTGAACAGTTTTCTTTCTCCCCCCAAATGAAGTTCCAAGTACTTAACCTGAAATCCTAGGCTTCCTAGCACCCCATAAAGTCTACAAAAAGACTACAAAAGCTTGCATTTTTGTTGTTGCTGGGTTTTGTTTGGTTTTATTTTGTCTTGTTTTGGTTCCCATACTGTGGCTGGAACTCAGGGCCTTGTGCTCTCATTCAAACTTAACTTCCTAGTTCAAGGCTGGTTTTCTACCACCTGAGCCATGTCTCCAGAATGGCTTTTTGCTAATTAATTGGAGATAGAATCTTACAGGCTTTTCTGCTCTGGTTGTCTATGAACTACAGTTCTCTAGGTCTCAGACCCCTGAGTAGCTAGAATTGTAGGAATGAGCCTATATGCCAATAGTTTCAATTCTTCCTAGAAACTTATTTCTGTCAACTTAAACATTCTTAAGACCAATCACTTAAAAAAATTAAAGTCAGCTGGAGTGCCAGTGGCTCACACCTGTCATCCTAGCTACTCAGGAGGATGAGATCTGAGGATCATGGTTCAAAGACAGCCTGGGCAGGAAAGACCGTGAGACTCTTATCTCCAATAAACCACTAGAAAGCCGGAAGTGGTGCTGTGGCTCAAGTGGTAGAGTGCTTGCCTTGAGCTGATGAGCACAGGGACAGCGCCTAGTCCCAGAGTTCAAGCCCCACAATCAAAAAAAAAAAAGAAAAACCAACCAACCCCCCCAAAACCCAATTAAAATCAATTAATCCTAATGCTATGAATGAAAAAAGGTAAAATTTTAATAACTGATAAGGTGCTCTATTAATCTACCAAATTCAAAGCCAGAAATTATCATTAATATATGAGTGCTACTACAATCACATTTGTGCAACATTAAGGCCATACTAATACCCTGGAACTGAACAGATATATAATTTTGTAGCTTAATGGTTATCATGATGTATGTGACATCTCCTTCCCAGATTTTACATCTTTATATTATCATCAGAGAAATTGGACTTTTAAAAAAAGATGATGGTTGTAATCTCTTATGAAAGAAAATGTCACAATGAACCAGCAATTTATATTACTGTAATTATTATATCTCTAGGTGGATAGTTTGTTGACATGATTTCTCAGGAATTACAGAAGTAAAATTCTCCATTATGCATTTTTTTGCATTTTTACCTGGAAATGGTATATTTTGGTATTTTTTTTACCTTTGTATTTCTACAGAATGAAAGATTGGTTCAAGGTAAAGCCAGCTTCTTTGACAATTCACCCATTCTCCAAGAGTATAAGAAAAGAGATTTAAATTTTTGTCCCATTTACGTACAAGATCCTAGAAGGCAAAAAAACAAACAAAATGTATGAAACTTCTCTATAAGAATCACATACTAGAACCCAAATGTGAAGGGTGATCTTTTAATGACACCCAGAAAATCATTAATGGTTACATGAATGAAAAACAAACTATATTTAGTTTTTGAAGTTTTAAGATACCTTGTTTAATTTTGTTTATATGATCAACAATTTTGGTAAAGCCTTAACGAACACATCCATCTATAGAAAGTAACAGGAATGTTCCACTCAATACTTATTTCCTATTCCTTTTGTAGAAGAAGTGTAGCATTTGTAAGTTTGGTAAGCATTTTATTTTAGTCCCTTCTTAGGCATTTCTATACACATGTAAATGTATTGTACCCATTGTCCTGTAATCTGCTTTTTAAAACACTGACAATGACTTCTCTTGCCTTGCAAAACTATCCAGGGATTCCATTTGCAATTTACCCTTCCCCTAGAAAACCAGATGGAACTGGACACCTGTGGCTTATGCCTTTAATCCTGGCTACTCAGGAGGCTGAGATAGGAGGGTCACAGCTCAAAGCCAGCCCAGGCAGGAAAGTCTGTGAGACTCATCTCCAATTAACCATCAGTAAGCCAGAAGTAGTAGTGCTATCCTTGGGCAAAAAAGCTAAGGGACAGCCCAGGCCATTAGTTCAATGGCACATACATACAAAAAAAAAAAAAAAAAGAATATCATGGGAAAATGGTTTTTAAAAATCAAGGCTTGGGGCTGGGAAGGTGGCTCAGTGGTAGAGCTCTTGCCTTGCATGCTCGAGGCCCTGGGTTCGATTCCTCAGCACCACATAAGCAAACAGAAAAAAGCCGGAAGTGGCGCTGTGGCTCAAGTGGTAGAGCGCTAGCCTTGAGCTGAAGAGCTGAGGGACAGCGCCCAGGCCCAGAGTTCAGGCCCCACGACCGGACCCAAAATAAATAAATAAATAAAAATAAAAAATCAAGGCTACAATACGTCCTTAAAAGCCAGGCCTATTCCTGACTGCCTCCTGAGGGAAGGGACCATGCATGAATCATATTTGTTTTCTGCCTAGGTTCACTTATTTCTTACTTTCTTTTACATTTAAACTGTTTATTAAGTTTAGCTTATTCTCATGCCTGTGAGATGATCACTACAATCAAGAAGTCAACACATCCATTTTTCCTGAAAGGGAAAGTCTGCGAACCCATCTCTCCAGGCTAAGTTCTCTCAGGTGGTTGGTTCCCTGGTCTCTGGCAGTTCCTCACAGTCACATGCCATTGACTGGGTTGGGCCAATACATGAGCAGGGAGGGCCCTTACACAATGCTGATGTTCTCTAACAGGTCACCTCTGGATGAACTATCTTCTAGGCTTTATGCTCGCTTGCATCTCCAGATGTTAAACAGCATCTCATGTCAGGTCCTGCCTGGCTTCTTTGCTTTCCCCCCAACCAAGGTCTAGAAATGCAAGGTGGTGGGTTGGTGTCATCGCAGGGCTTACCTGTGTGCTTCTCACATCCCAGACATCTCCGTTTGTGTTCTCTGATGTGCAGCGTCCTGTAAACCACCATCCCATATGTCCTGTCTGGTTTGGGTTGGGTGTTTGGGGCATGATTCCATTTTGCTTTGAAGGAGAAGTTTGTGTGTGCATGTGATGTTCTCTTGGCTTCCTGAGAGTTTCACTCATTTGTTATTTCTTAATTTCATTCTTTACTTTTGACAAAGGCATTTAGTGCTTTAAATATTAATTTTCATAAGGCTGTGGTAAACTGTGGTAAGGTTTTTTTTAAAAACTTTTTTTTTGGGGGGGGTCCGGTTGTGGGGCCTGAACTCTGGGCCTGGGCGCTGTCCCTCAGCTCTTCAGCTCAAGGCTAGCGCTCTACCACTTGAGCCACAGCGCCACTTCGGGCTTTTTCTGTGTATGTGGTGCTGAGGAATCGAACCCAGGGCCTTGAGCATGCAAGGCAAGCGCTCTACCACTGAGCCACCTTCCCAGCCCTGTGGTAAGGTTTTATATGTAATCTCTCCTTATGTGTTATTTCTAAATTTTAAAAACTTGAATTGCATTTCCTGTTTGATTTTTATGCAAGTATTCTGCTGTTCTTTTTTTATTGTTATTGTTACATCACTATTTTATTGTTAAATTTTTTTCTTCTTTTTCATAATTTGAGATTTTTCTTTAAAGCCTATTTAAATGAAAGTCTCTAAATGTTGTATATTTGCAAAGAATGTGGCTTCTACGTGTTGAATACACACCTCTGCAGCCATGTGCATTCCACACGTTGAATACACACCTCTGCAGCTACCTATGCATGTGTACATATGTGTATAGTCAACTATATTAATTTTGCTATTGAGCATTTCTCTATTATTACTTATCTTACTAACTTTGCTAAAATTAAAAAATACTTCTGAGGTACATGGTTGGACATGGAGTTATGTAATCAGGGATTATTAGGATATAGCAAACACTTCTGGTAAAAGTCAAGGTTTATAGGTCATATTTTCTATGCTTTAAGTTTATGGTATCTGTCCAAATTAAACTTTCTGACATTTCCTCACAATTACTGTTTCTTTAAAAATTGTTCTTAGCCAGGTTGAATAAATGTATATCTGTAAGGGCAGCATAGAGAAACTCAGCAAAGCTGATGATCAACAGAACAGGGAGAAGACAATGAGACTCTGGAGGGCTGTTGGGACCAGCAGGAGGGAGCTGGTCTGGTGGGGAGGATACAGGAGATTGAACACTGCTGAAACAGATCATCTGCAACTATGAAAACAGAACGAAGAAACCTGTTGGAGATGCTAGGTTTTTTGGGAGGGAGGGGGTGGGACAAAGAATGTGACAGAGGGAATAAAACTGGGGTGCAGAACAATGTGCAATGAAATATAGCTGATATAAACCAATATAATTATTCTTAGCAATCAAGGCATTACGTATTTAATCTTATTTCTGTGTAACTATACAAAGTATTTCATAGAATTCAAACACAAAATTATAGTAAGTAATTTGGGAGATGCGTGCTAGGACTTGAGTTGAGGCATTATCCTTTAGGTTTTGTGCTCAAGGCTAGCGCTCTACCACTTTAAGCTACTTCTCTACGTCCAGTTTTTTTGCTGGTTAATTGGAGAAAAGAATCTCATAGACTTTTCTGCCAGGGCTGGCTTTGGAATTATGATTCTCAGATCTCAGCTTCCAAAACAGCTAGGATTGCAGGGCAGGAGAGAGCCACTGACAACAGGCCTAGAAAGGGATAAACTGTAGAAAATTAAGATATTTTCTCTGTACTCATGAGGCTGAGGTAGGTGGATTACAAATTTGAGGCTAGCCTGGGCTACATAAGCAAGATCTTGTCTCAATCAAATCAACCAATTAAAACAAATAAAACAAATAAAAAACCATTGTTTCTTTGCCATTATATTTACCTTAATTGGTTCAAGATAGGGAGATCCTTTAATTGTTGCAAGAATGACTTGAGATTCTTCTAGCTGAGCTAGAATATCTTCCACAGATGAGATTACCAAGATTGAGTAAGTCTCTGAGTGGTGCATCACTAAATGCAGAGGTGTTGTGTTCCAAAGATCAATGATCTTATACAGCATCTTTTCAAGAGCAGCTTCATTAGTTGCTGAGGTTGATATTTCATTTATTTCACTTTCATACTGAAACATCTAAAACGAACAAGTTGTTTTTTAAGACGTGGTAGAGCAAACAATTTTGAAAACATTTAAAATGGAAGATTTAAATGCATGGCTTGAAAGGTTTATCAGAAGGACGGGGACCGGTGGTCTGAGGCCAGCCTGAGGCCCCAGTCCCCACCGCTTATCCTTCCTAACAGAGCTCTCTTCAGGTTTATCGTTATTATGAAGGTGTTGCACAGCAGGGTTACCATTTCCGAAGTCGGGCAGCCAGTCCATTTCTTGTTTTGGACAACGTCGCTGCTTCTTTTGCTCTCCTCCAGTTTTTCCCTCCTGTCCTTGCTCACAAGTTGCATAGCATTTTCCACATCACGTGTACTCACTATCACTACCTTACATGCTTCCTGTGCAGTGGCAGGAATGGTGGTTAGAACCATCATATGCCCGCCTGTGTATGTGCAGATGGTGTTATTTCTTCAGCGTTCTTTCCTCTTTACTAATACTTACTGCTCAACCCTTATGTGGCATGCTTTTACTCTCTTTAATCAGCCCTGGAGTACATTCACCTGAGAGGATGTAACTCCCCTTTCTTTGCCGTATCTCCTTAAGTACACCACATGTCTCTTTGAAGTGTTGGTGATGCCATTCACCAGAAGCCGGATCTAAACTTCCCAGATGCAGTTAACAGAGACGCACTCAGAGCTAGTCACATCCAGCCTGTACAACTGGCTGGTTAGAAAGAAGGATTTACAGCTCTTCCCATACGTCCTCTTCATGGAGCTAAAGAACAGTGTTTAACTATATTTCGGTAATCCAGCTCCGTGAGGACTATGAACAGGTTGACTTATCTTTGTTATTTTTCATGACATGTCAAAGGTGGGTGGGTATGAGGATGGTAGGGTTAACTGGACGCTCACAGCCTTAACTGTTTTGAATACCCGTTCGGGCTGGAAAGGCAAGGAGAGCTCCCTGGGGCCCTCTGAGGTATCATGGACCTCTACTCAGGTAGGCTTCCAGCGGCTACCCTTTTTTTTTTTTTTGTCTCTTCTGATTTCTATTGCTTACTGCCAAATTCTCACCCTCGACCTAACCTGCTCAGGAATGGTTCCAATAACCCAGGAGTTTCAAAATGGAAATGATACTGTGCTTGTTTTGTGAACTTGAACAACTCAGCTGTTGGCACCACCTCTTACGTTCTGCCATTATGTAGATAGCTGGCACAAACAACAGTTAAAGAGGCTCTGGCCATGATCCAGAAAGGGTAAGAGACTGAAGCAAGGTGAGGAGAGCTGAAGATTAGAAGACTGCCATCCTATGGTGGTCAGTGTACGCAGCTAATAGAATGGAGCTCCCACTAACTGAGATGAGGATGGCTGAAGAACAGAATTTGGGAAATAGGGGATAAAAGGTAAACTTTTTTGACATATTAATTTTGAGACAGCTTTTAAGATAATCATGGAGATAATGAACAGGAAATTAAATATATAAGTTTGCAGTTCAAGAGGAAGGTTGAGATGAGGACTGGAGATACAAAAGAATCTAAGTTTAAAAGTCAATTAAAGTTGTCAGTAAACTCTTTTTTAACTATTTAAATATATCTTCGTTCATTATAATAAAATTATTTATGAGAAATGATGATTTGGGTTATATTAGTTATTGTCAAAACACTACAAAGAAAGCTTATTGTAAGTTAGGCAAGAAAACATTTCCATGAAAAAGTAAGAAATAACATGCCATTTTTAGTCAATCAAATTGTTGTCAATTAGTATTTTAAATATGATACCAAGTCATTGGTAGGATTTACACCATGTTCCTAATATATTTTCTTTTTATATATAACAGAATAAGTAGTTCTAAATTTTCTATTTCTATAAAACATCTCCATAAGAAATAGCACTATGAGATAATGAAACGTCACATGTAAAAAATATTGCTAAGAACCTATGCAATAGTAGTATAAGAGCTAGCTAACTCTTTCCTTCTACATTTGCCTGCTTAACAGTGCTCTCTCCAGGATTTCCACCTGCTTTTTTCAAGTGCTTTCTGCTTACCTTGAGGGCTAGCACGTTCTCCACGGTGCAGTTTTTATCCAGGGACCTCCCCACCACCTCCTGCAGAGCCTCCCAGTGCCGGGGCTTCAGACACGGGTTCCCCAGAGCTATGATGATTGGCAGCTCTTGTTTAAAATCTGTCACAGATTGCTTCAGGTGTGGCACTATGTCGTTTTTAGGTAAACCTATTAACAACAAATATACAAGCTTACAATGTGTTCCTTATATTTTTTAATCAACCAATTGAGAAAATACTAATTTTTCTTAAAATTTGCTAATAATTTAAGACTGGTCTGTCAATCATTAGCCTGCATTATAACATAAAGTCGTGACCCTTATCGATGTCACCTTTCCATAAGAGTCAGCTAAGGATGGAAATAAAGAATAATAATAATCAGGTCTGACAACTGAAACACAAACGATCAAAGCCAAATTATCTTGGAAAATATGGCGCCTGGATGGCAGTAACACTGCAAGACAGTCGGCATGCAGAGCGCAGAGCTGGGGCGCGGGGCGCAGGGCGCAGAGCGCAGAGCTGGGGCGCGGGGCGCAGGGCGCAGAGCTCAGAGGCAGGGCGCGGGGCGCAGAGCGCAGAGCTCAGAGGAAGGAAGGGCGCGGGGCGCAGAGTCGGGGCGCGGGGCGCAGAGTCGGGGCGCGGGGCGCAGGGTGCAGAGCTCAGAGGCAGGGCGCGGGGAGCAGAGCGCAGAACTCAGAGGCAGGGCGCGGGGCGCAGAGTCGGGGCGCGGGGCGCAGGGTGAAGAGCTCAGAGGCAGGGCGCAGGGCGCGGAGCGCAGAGCTCAGAGGAAGGGCACAGAGTACAGAGACGGGGCTCAGAGCGCAGAGCCGGGGTGCGGGGCGCAGAGCTCAGAGGCAGGGCGCGGGGCGCAGAGCGCGGAGTTGGGGCGCGGGGCTCGGAGCCAGGGCGCGGGCGCCTTCTCTCAACACCAGCAGGATGCTAAGCATTTCTTGCTTTTGTTGGACCTCGCTGACTGAGGAGCACCGTCGAGGTGCCCCCCCGCCACTGAGGAGCACCGTCGAGGTGCCCCCCCCCACTGAGGAGCACCGTCGAGGAGCCCCCCCCCCCGCCCCACTGAGGAGCACCGTCGAGGAGGCCCCCCCCGCCCCACTGAGAAGCACCGTCGAGGAGCCCCCCACTGAGGAGCACCGTCGAGGAGCCCCCCCCCCCCCCGCCCCACTGAGGAGCACCGTCGAGGAGCCCCCCCCGCCACTGAGGAGCACCGTCGAGGTGCCCCCCCCACTGAGGAGCACCGTCGAGGTGCCCCCCCCCCACTGAGGAGCACCGTCGAGGAGCCCCCCCCCCCGCCCCACTGAGGAGCACCGTCGAGGAGCCCCCCCCACTGAGGAGCACCGTCGAGGTGCCCCCCCCCCACTGAGGAGCACCGTCGAGGAGCCCCCCCCACTGAGGAGCACCGTCGAGGAGCCCCCCCCCCACTGAGGAGCACCGTCGAGGAGCCCCCCGCCACTGAGGAGCACCGTCGAGGAGCCCCCCCACTGAGGAGCACCGTCGAGGAGCCCCCCCACTGAGGAGCACCGTCGAGGAGCCCCCCACTGAGGAGCACCGTCGAGGAGCCCCCCCCACTGAGGAGCACCGTCGAGGTGACCCCCCCGCCCCACTGAGGAGCACCGTCGAGGTGCCCCCCCACTGAGGAGCACCGTCGAGGAGCCCCCCACTGAGGAGCACCGTCGAGGAGCCCCCCACTGAGGAGCACCGTCGAGGTGCCCCCCCCCACTGAGGAGCACCGTCGAGGAGCCCCCCCCCCGCCCCACTGAGGAGCACCGTCGAGGAGCCCCCCCCCCCGCCCCACTGAGGAGCACCGTCGAGGAGCCCCCCCCCCGCCCCACTGAGGAGCACCGTCGAGGAGCCCCCCCCACTGAGGAGCACCGTCGAGGAGCCCCCCCCACTGAGGAGCACCGTCGAGGTGCCCCCCCCACTGAGGAGCACCGTCGAGGAGCCCCCCACTGAGGAGCACCGTCGAGGAGCCCCCCACTGAGGAGTACCGTCGAGGCGCCCCCCGCCCCACTGAGGAGCACCGTCGAGGAGCCCCCCACTGAGGAGCACCGTCGAGGAGCCCCCCCCCCCGCCCCACTGAGGAGCACCGTCGAGGAGCCCCCCACTGAGGAGCACCGTCGAGGCGCCCCCCCCCACTGAGGAGCACCGTCGAGGCGCCCCCCCCCCCACTGAGGAGCACCGTCGAGGCGCCCCCCACTGAGGAGCACCGTCGAGGCGCCCCCCGCCCCACTGAGGAGCACCGTCGAGGTGCCCCCCCCACTGAGGAGCACCGTCGAGGCGCCCCCCCGCCCCACTGAGGAGCACCGTCGAGGCGCCCCCCACTGAGGAGCACCGTCGAGGCGCCCCCCGCCCCGGGAGGCCTCAGCGCGGCCGGCCATCCGCAGCTCCGGGGCCGGCGGCGGGGCGCGGGCGCAGGCGCAGGAGGCGCGGACGCAGCCCTCCGCTCTTCAGCTCCGGCCCGCGCTCTCCCGCCGAGCCGCAGCGCCACCCCCGGTTTTCGGGAGGCTCGCTGGAGATCGGAGTCTCACGGACGTTCACGCCGGGGCTCCCGGGCTGCCGGGCCGGCTTTGAACCGCGGTCCTCAGCCTCCGCCAGCCGCCGGCGCCCGCTTGCCTTGGTTTTCATAGCTCTTTTGTGCCGTCTTGTGTGAGTTACATCTCTTGCCCAAATCGTTGCTTATTTATAAACTTGGGTGGCGCGAAGGATCGAACCCAGGGCCTCGGGCGTGCGCTCCGGAGAACACGTTCCTGGGAGGTCTCCGGTGCGCGGGGGCTCCGCCCGCCCTGCCGCCAGAGGGCGCTGCCCAGCGTCCTTCCCTCTGAAGCGTCTCTGCAGAGCCCAACTCCCACGTCTCTGCTCATGGCTGCACCGCTGGAAACGCTTCAGCAGACATCGCCCGCTCACCACCCTGCGGGGCTGTCCCTCCAGAGATGCCACGGGACCGCGCGCCAGCACCGCGCGCCAGCACCGCGAGCACCGCGCGCCAGCACCGCGCGCCAGCACCGCGAGCACCGCGCGCCAGCACCGCGCCCCAGCACCTTGAGCACCGCGCCCCAGCACCGCGCCCCAGCACCTTGAGCACCGCGCCCCAGCACCTTGAGCACCGCGCCCCAGCACCTTGAGCACCACGCCCCAGCACCGCGCCCCAGCACCTTGAGCACCGCGCCCCAGCACCGCGCCCCAGCACCTTGAGCACCGCGCGCCAGCACCGCGCCCCAGCACCTTGAGCACCGCGCCCCAGCACCGCGCCCCTGCACCTTGAGCACCGCGCCCCAGCACCTTGAGCACCGCGCCCCAGCACCGCATGCCAGCACCTTGAGCACCGCGCCCCAGCACCTTGAGCACCGCGCCCCAGCACCGCGCCCCAGCACCTTGAGCACCGCGCCCCAGCACCGCGCCCCAGCACCTTGAGCACCACGCCCCAGCGCCGCGCCCCAGCACCTTGAGCACCGCGCCCCAGCACCATGCGCCCCAGCACCGCGAGCACCGCGTGCCAGCACCGCACCTGCACACCATGCGCCCCAGCACCGCGCCCCAGCACCGCGCCTGCACACCATGCGCCCCAGCACCGCGAGCACCGCGTGCCAGCACCGCGCCCGCGCACTCGCGCGCAACCTCGGCCGAGGGAGTCCGCGAGAAAGACGCTCACCTTTTTCTAGAACGAGGAGGATGTGCAGCCACTTGGACACCGTTCTCTGTACCAGTTCCACATCGATGCTCTGGAGGGAGTATTTCCTCCACTCCCGGAAGAGCGTCAGCCACTCTTCGTGCGACTCCCACAGAATTCTCCTCAGCGTCAGGTCCCAGTCGATGTCCGCCACCTCCGAGAGCACGATGCGGGTAAGCTCCTCCACGTTCAGACAGAGCATGTGCGACTGGCCGTCCTCGAAGTGGTCCTGGTAGCTCGAGTACAGCTGAGCCTTGTGGGCCAGACCCGCGGCCTCCTCCGAGAGGCCCTGGATCATCTCCATGGCCGTGGCCGCCCGGGTGCGCGCGCACAGCAGCACCGGGGTTCTTATCTGAGAACCACAGCGAGACCGTCTCAGAGGCCAAGGGTTGGAGCCCAGCGCGCTTCACTCACACACACAGCGGGGCCCGGCAACGCTGGGGCCGCGGCTCCCCTCACGTTTGCCCGGGGTTTCCCGTTTAGCGCCAACACCCTGGCAGCACGTGGAAGCCCAGGGTAACTTACATCCCCGGCCCCACTGCTGTTGTTGGTTACCTACTTTCAGAGAACATTCTAGGCACAAAGGTTCCTGAAAATGGAGATGTAGTTTTATTTCCCATTCAAGTTCACAAATTGCCAAATTCTGTCTATGGATACAGATAAAAATATTTAAGACGAAAAGCCAGGCATGGTGGCTCACCCCTGACTCCGAGCCATTCAGGAAGCCGAGGTCAGGATGGTCCTGGTTTGAAGCTTTCCGGGAGAGCAGTTCCCAGACCTCATCTCAACAGGAAAAGCTTTTCATGGTGGTTCACACCTGACATCCCAGCCACAGTGGGAAATGTACATACAAGTGTGGTCTAGTTTGGTCCAGGCAAAAGCAAGATCTTATCTCAAAAATAACCAGAGTACAAAGGGTTGAAAGTGTGGCTCAAGTGGTAGAGTTTGCCTAGCAAGCACGAGGCCCTTGTTGTAAACCTTAGTACCACCACACCAGCAAGTGAGGCTCCTACCTGCATCCCGGCCACTCAGGAGGCTGAGACCGGAGGGTCACGGTTCCAAGCCACTGGGGCAGGAAAGGCTGGGCGATGACTCTCCTACCCACCTAACCACCAAAAGAACCGGAGGTAGAGCTGTGGCTCAAGGGCAGAGCGCCACTCTTGAGCAAAAAGCTAAGGGACCCTGAGTGCCAGCTCAAAAAAAAAAAAAAAAAATTAGCCACGACTCTACAGACAGAAAATATCCATATGCATGGGACTGAGAAAGGTTTTCATAAGAAAAGTGGGAAACACTTACTTTAGCTTTTAAATCACTCACATCCACCCGTAAACCAGTGATGTACGCTTCCAAGTTGTTCCTGAACTTGTTGACTGTTGAGTATCTGTTTGTTGCGCTCAGCTTCAGAGATGTTTTCAGTTGGGCAAACTTCATAGAAAGAAGTTTAGATAGGGCTTTTTGTTCTTCTGTAATATCAATTTGGTGATACTTCACAACAGAATATAGCTGAGAAATTGTCAAGTACTCTTTTTCTAATTTAGATATTTCTAAGGACATTTCCTCCAAGAAAGTGAAGTGGTCCACAAATTCTTCTATTTCGGTGGGATCTCGGTCTAGCTTTTGTAATGATGATTCCACAACCTGAAATCATCCACATGTTCATTATAATTACAATGACTTTTCCTGGAGCACTGTTTTGTAATTTCTCTTTTATAAATATAATTTAAAAATAAAGATATCACCTCAACATAATTCTAAGTATTATTTAAGTACCAAAGCACTAACACAATCCAATCCTTCTTTTGTTAACTGCACTTGAATAAATCTCACATCCGAAATAAATGCTATTGAAACTTAAAAGAAGTTCTGTGAATAATTTTTCAAGAAATGATTGCTGCGGCTACCACTTTGTAAGGATTTATGATCTAGGATCTAGGTTCTTTAGTGTATGAGCTCACTTAATGTCAGTTTTTGTGTGGACTTGTACTTATTTCTCACGTGTAAATAATGAAAATTAGGATTGACAGGTCAAGTAGGAAGTGAATGTTTCAAAGTAATTGCCGTGTCAGATGCCAGTGGCTTACCTTATAATCCTAGCTACTCAGTAGGATCCTAGTTCAAAGCCAGCCTAAGCAGGAAAAGCCCATGAGACTCTCATCTCCAATTAACCATCAAAAAAGCCAGAAGTTGAGCGAGGAGGGGAGACGGAGCCAAGGGGCCCTAACAGTAGAGCACTGACTCTGAGCACAAGAGCTCAGGGACAGCGTCCAGGCCCGAAACTGAAGTCCCACAAAAAGCAAAACAGCAACAAGTAACTGTCAGTGTGTTAAGGTTACAATGCCACTTTTTCAGTCTTGTGGGATGTCTGAGAATTCAACCCTCATTTTCACTGTATTTGATTCTGGTGCCCTGAATCTTGCCTATACATTTTTCTAATTTGGGGAGGGGAAGGGAAATAAAATGCTGAAATAAGGATACAGGTTGACCCATTATAACAATGAGGTGTACAAGACACTATGTTGAAAACGAACTTTACAACTTTGGAGGCAGGAGGAGGAGATGGAGAGGTGGGGAGGGAAGAGATGGTAGGGGAAAAAAACAAAGGAGGAGGTAACAACGCTTGATAGGAAATGTACTTGTTACCTTACTCATGTAACTGTAACCCCTCTGTACAGTATTTTTACAATGAAAAAAGAAAATTCTACTTCCTTGGCATCCTTGTTAGCAGTTGGCACTGCCATTCTTCTTACTTTTAGCTGTTTTGGTGGATATGAAGCAGGTTCTTGCTATAGTTTGACTGTGTAAAAACTGTAGTAAAATTCTAGTCTAGATCACCAGACAATCATGAAACTCTCATCAAAATTTCTGAAGTTTTTTCCTCCCTCTCCAAGCTCTCTTTCCTTTCCCACAACCCGCCACCCCCCTTGTCTTTTGAGACAGAATATTCCTATGAATCCTAGGCTGGCCTTGAATTCTTCTTCCCTTCTTTTCTTTTCTTTCTTTCTTTCTTCTTTTTTTTTTTTTTTTGGTCATTCATGGGGCTTGAACTCTGGACCTGGGTGCTGTCCCTGAGCTCTTCAGCTCAAGGATTAGCACACTACCACTTAAACTACAGCCCCACTTCCAGTTTTTTTTTTTTGTGGACTATTAGAGATAAGAGTTTCATGGCTTTTCCTGCCTGGGCTGGCTTTGAATCATGATCCTCAGATCTCAGCCTCCTGAGTAGCTGGGATTACAGATGTAGCCACTGGTACTGGACTCTTCCTCCCTTTCTAAAAGGACTCTGCCCTGAAAATTTCATCCATCTTCTCCCTCCAAGCAGACATCTCTCATTTGTTTATCTTATTTCAAAGGCAATACTCTTTCACTCCGTTACCCAACATCTGAAAGTATTTCATGTATTAAGGTTTTAGTTTTTCATGGAAAGAGTCTAAATCTAGTCTGCATTTCTCCATCATGGTTGATTGGAAGTTCCCCCCATATAGTTAAATCCAAATGGACAAGATGGACATCCTGGGAGTAGACAAGTTGTATGATACAGAACTAAAAGTATGAAATGGTCTCACAGCAGACTTATAGTTGGTAAGGGTGTAGAGCTGTATTACTGAAACCTATCATTTCTTGAGGAGGGGATTGTTAGGAAACATACAATTTTTAGGTTTATTTCAAAAGACTGGGGAAATGATGAAGATAAATACAACCTCTTACAGAGCAAAATTAATGGATACATTCCTAGATGCATTTGCCCTACCAAAACTGAACCAAGGAGGATATAAACCTCTTAAAGAGAATCAGTAATAAAGCCTCCCAGCAGAAGAAAATGTAGGACCTAATGGATCCTCTACTGATTCTACCTTCCCTTTTCAAGCAGAGCATCAGGGTGGTGCATAGTGATGCATGTATCAGGAGGACTGTATTTCAAAGCCAGCCAGGTCAAAAGTTAGTGAAACCTATCTCAACCAATAAGCCAAGAGAGGTGGGAGGTGTGTGCTTGTAATCCCAGCAGGAGGCGTAGGTAGGAGGAATGAAGTCTGATGTGGGCCCAGGCAAAACTTTAAGATCCTATCCAAAAAATAACTAAAGCCAAAAGGGCTACAGGTGTGGCTCAAGTAGCAGTACACCTGTCTAGCAAGCAATGAGTTCAAACCCACTACCACCAAAAAAACCCAAAACCAAAAACACCGAAATACTTACTTCCAAGAGATTTGCATTCTTTTTCTCAATAACAGATCTTAAGAGGTTACTGCTTGTGTGTATGACATTGTCAACATATGGTAAGCATTCTGACTGAAAATTCAAACTAACAACGTTGAAAATACCAATGCGTTTTTCAATAGCCATAGTTACGATATGTCGAAAGTAGGTTCTGAATTTATGCAGTACAATTTTAAACTCTGTAGAATTTAAATGTCTAACAGATGATATTTTCATATTCATGATTTTGGCCTTCTCTACCATGGTGCAAAATTTTAGAAACTTGAAGCTGTAAATGCTAACTAGGCCCATTGAATTACCGATAATAGTCAGGAGACTCACAATCTGCAAATAAAAATATTAAAAAGTTAGAATTTTTATTATAAGAATGAATAAAGGTATAGACTTGTAAGTTAATAGTGTCTTAAAATTAAGCAAGAGTTTTATGTGGAGCTCATTTTGTTCAGAACCAATTAAATATCAAGATATGTTGAAAGATAAGATTAAGAAAATTAACTAACCCTTTCTAAGATTTTGATTTTATGGAAAGGCCTACTGAGTCCTAAACTTTGTAGTTAATAGGCTTGTTTCGAAGCACATTCCCTTGCCAGATCTCTCTGCCATCCTCAGAAAGGCCCATTCGATACCTTATCTAACTCATTCAATTCCTAATTTGGATAGGGTAAAATCCTGACCCAGCTAGGCTAATTATATTCTCTTGTTAATTTGGGGAAAATACGTAGTTTGACAGTGATGGAAGAGTGGGGGGAGCTAGTACTGGGAGGGACACCTAAAGGAGAAAGCTCATTTCACGGGGGAAATGAGAAGACACTGCAGAAGGCAGGGTGGGAAGTGTGAGAAGACAGAAGGAAGCTGGGGCTGGTTCTCCAGCTGCTGTTGATTTTACTGGTAATTCTTCAACAAACCATTTTACATAAGCACTTCAGTGGCACTCTGTTCCCTCAGCTAAGATGTTTCTAAACTTACTTTATTTTGATAGACAGGATCTGTTTCAAAAAGAATCTGAGAATCTGGCCAGTTGGTCTCCTTTAAGTTCATAGTACTTTTGACATTAGGTGATTCCATAATTGAAATTATGTCAGTAAAGTTAGACAGGCGAGGATCTTGGTGAAAAGGGGTAATTGAAGCTAAAATAGATAATTCAAAAATCAGTATTTTCAGAAGTCCCATTGAAAGCCACACTTTAACATTATCCATGCTCTCTAGAACTACTGAAAATTGAAGCTGCTTTATTATGAGGGATAGACAATATTCTACACTGACAGACAGACACAATTTAAAAATAAATGTAAAGCCTTGATTCAAATATCACAGAATAAGGGAAAGCAAAGGAAGAATGACATTGACCAAGAAGCACTGTACTCATAACCCGAATTATGTAATTATAACTCCTTTATACAACACCTTAATAACAACAATAAAGACTATAAAAACAGAGGTAATATTTATAGTTAACCAGGTGATGGCAGGAGGATGCATGATTAAACACTGAGAACAAGTCCTTCAGTTAAGCAGTATTTTAGAATGTATCTGCTATGTGAAGGGTATTATGCCACAATGAGTGTTCAAAGATTAGCGCCTGCAACCTCAACTGTGCAGAAGCACAGCTCGTCAGACATCTAGCTATCCACAGGCCAAGACAACATAAAAACAAAGTCACTGTGCACCCTACTCCTAAAAGTGGAATACAAATCTGGAACTTGTCTAAGAGAAAACCAGTATAAACTGAGTTAGGCACCATTCTTAGATATAAAACCAAAAAAGCACAATCCATAAAAGAAAAAAAATTGATGGGCTGTGCTCTATAAAAATTTAGTTTAGTTCTCAGAAGGAAAATGGTAAGATGAGGCACAGATTGGGAGAAAATGTTTGCAAATCAGGTATTTGATAGAGGACTTGGTCCATAGAACATATAAAGAACACAACTAATCAATAAATAGACCATCATCCAAACTTCTAAAAATAGGCAAAAAACAAATCCCAAAGAAGATATTTTACAAAAGAAGATATATAAACAGCACATTAGGAGAAGAAAATGTGAGTAACATTGCCAATTACTAGTGAAAAAGTAATTGCCACAATGAAGTATCAGTTAAACTATCAGAACAGCCACTTCAAAAAAAAAAAAAGACAAAATGAACACCTGGAAGCTGAAACATGTTTTTCTGGGGGTAGGGTCAAGGGGGAGGGGCCGATCAATGGAGGGGGAAAGAGTGGTGAACAGGTCATCACATTCAATACACAGAGGTGAAGAGGAAGCCATGCAACCTGTGGGCGTGCAAGGGACTGGGACATAATCGAGGGGTGGCACTGATCAAGACGCAGTGCACTCATCATCGACTTGTTGAGTTGAAACCCCTTTATATACCCACTTAACGATAATAGTAACAACAATGATAATATATTCCCCCAAATGACTGACAGTTATAAAACTGAACCCAGGGGCTGGGAAGGTGGCTCAGTGGTAGAGCGCTTGCCTTGCATGCATAAGGCCCTAGGTCCGATTCCTCAGCACCACATAAGCAGAAAATGTTGGAAGTGGTGCTGTAGCTCAAGTGGTAGGGCGCTAGCCTTGAGCTGAAGAGCTGAGGGACAGCGCCCAGGCCCAGAGTTCAAGCCCCATGACTTAAAAACAAACAAACAAACCACCTAAACCCAGAATGTAAATGTTTTGGTATATAAGTTTTAGAAAGTTAGCCAAGGTATTGGAAGAACTCAAGATGAAAAATAGATTGTGACAAATTAATCTAATGAACTACGTAACTTCTCCGACAGGAGAGAGTGAGAAAGAAAGGGGTTTGCCTAAGCGACTTTAGAAACAGCATTTAGACTACAAACTGTAAGCTGAGCTGATGAGGAAGAAGGAAAAGGCACTGGTGAACTAAGCAGAAGGAAGAGGGGAGGGAGGCCAGAGGAAGCAGGGAAGACAGAGAGGGAAAGGAAAAGAAAGGAGAGCAGATAGGGAGGAGGAAATGGAAAAGATGAAAGGGGGTGAAGGCATCAGAGGAAGTGGAAGGCTAAGAGCAAAGAAAAGCTAGAGTAGGAAAACGAGGGGAGAAGATGAAGGGAAAATGGGGAAAGAAAAGGAGAAACAAGACATGGATTTGTGTCTCACGGGTTTCTGTAGTCATTCTAAATTATTTCAAAACTATAACAAACTAAATTTCTGGTTACATCAGCCAGATGTTTTCACGGTAGGAGAAAGTTACATATAAAGAGGGCTAGAATGACTCCTGAGGTATTGAATTGGGGCAGGATGTATCAGTACAAATGCATGAGTTTCAGGTAAGAGTAATACATAAATCATAATGGTACAGCATATCTTAGAGCCCTGGGTTCCATCTCTAGCACCACAAAGAAATATATTTGTATAATGAAATTATACAAATTCGATTAGATTAAATTAGATTAGAAATATATTTGTATAATGATACAAGCTCACCCCTAAAACTTATTAGTTATAAGAGCACAGTAAATTCATAGTGGAGAAATTTGGTAGACACTGCCCTTAACCAAGCTGTCACAGAGCTATCTTTAAAAAGATGTATCAGAGCCTGGTGCCAGTAACTCATGCCTATAATCCTAGCTACTCAGGAGGCTGAGATCTGAGGCTGAGATCACAGTTCAAAGACAGCCCAGAAATCTCTCTCCTATGAAGTTCTTATCTCCAATTAACCACCAGAAAAGTGGAAGTAGAGCTGTTGCTCAAAGTGGTAGAGCACTAGCCCTGAGCAAAAGAGCTCAGGGACCGCGCCCAGGCCCTTAGTTCAAGCCCCACGACTGACAGAATGACCGACAGAAAATAAAAATTAAAAAAATAAAAAGTTATACCAGCACCACAGCCACCTAATGTGATGCAGGAAGAAGAACAAACAACCACTGAAGAGTTATTTCTCCAAATGTACAACTTTCAACTTATTAAACCCCTGACAAAACTGATAGTCTACAGAATAATGAGTCAGGACACTTCCATAAGTAGAACTGACAGATTTATACAAGAGAAGCAATTTACAGTAGCATCAGATGTCCCATCTTTAACTCTGAGAACTAGAAAGCAGTGGAACAAGTCTATGAACTGTTGGGGGAAAGAAACTAAGAAACCACAGCTGTTTGTAATGTCTTCAAATATGTAACACTACTGAATGTTCACATCTCTGGATTTTGCTCAGCTACTTGATTCATAATGGATTCTGTAGGCATTACTAAAACAGTATTTCTCCATTTGCATGTTTCATTTAAATATAATGCAGAATTTAAAATAAGCATAAGCTTTCAAATGACATAACATATTCCTATTTCAATAAATTCTATAGTGCATAACTGAAAATTTCAGGCCTTGAGTTATTTTCCTAACTCCAGTAGTTTATACACTCTATGTACATAATTCATCCTCCTTCAAATAATTCCAAGTTCACATTAAGATCTCAAACACTGTGAATGCATGACCTGCTAACACTCTGTGCCTGTCATACCACTGGCTAGTAGCTTCAGGTGCTTGAATTTAAGAAAATATTGCTCAGAATATACTAAACATTTTAAATACTTACTTATACAATTTTCAATATTAGCTATCAAATTTTGAATTTTTATTGAAAACTCCAATCGGTTAGGCTGTATAAAGAGATTTGTAGGAAATTCCGGAACTCTAGAGAGAAAATAAAAGAAAGTGTAGTTTAGGATAATACAATGACTTAAAAAAATACAATTGCTTGTAATGTAAAAAAAGTCTAATACTTACTCATACATGTGTTTATTCTCATATGCTGTTGTGACATCGGTGTTTATTGGAATCCATTGGAAAAAAGAATAAAGAAATCACTGAGATTTATAACTGCTACATAACTACTTGATATATGACAAGGCTCTCCCAACACATGATAAATAAACTGCCGTGGTTATGTGAAGGGCAATACTCAAGCATCTCTAGGTCCTGAGAAAGGTGGTTTAACAGAGGAAAGAGTGTGCCTTTCTTTCTTCTTTTTTGTGTTTTGGGTGAAACCCAGGTCTTATGCGTGCTGGCTACTCTCCTAACCCAAGAGTCTAAACACCTGACAGATTTCTAGGTGGCATCATTCTCATGAAGAAGGTCATCAAATCCTTTTCCCAAGTGAGAAACTGTACGTGTAGAGAAACGCGTATAATAGCTTCAGGTGTTTTAACTTAATAAAGACTGTCAAATGTTCATTAAGCTTCTTATTTATACAATGTCCAATATTAGCTAACAAATTTTGAAATTTTATTTAAAACTTCAATCTGTGGGATTTTACAAAAAGATTTGTAGGAAAATTACATTCACATATGCCACAAATAATTCTGTAAGTTTATTGCTCACTTTTAGTACTGTTTACCTTAAAATTTGTAAAAATCAATGAATATATAGTATGCAAACTGTTGAAAGTTTTTCTCACCTATCATTTTCCAGATCTTAAAATATTCTTCAGTTTTAATAATCTCATCATCTTACCTGAAGGAGCAGGTTCAAGGCTGGCATCAAGTGTTTTAAGTTTATTGGCTTCTAGGAGCAGGTCTGCACTTGAACAACTTTTGACTACATTTTCTCCTTCTTCTGACATTTCATCATCTTCACATATCATACAGTGGTCAAATCCGTCAACATTCTCTGCAACATTTTCTGAAGAATCACTCTCAGGAATTCTCAAGCACAGATTTACTTCAAATACTGGTGCACACATCTTTCTCAAATCCTTCTCTACTTTACTGCTACTCACAATCTAATGTAACAGAAATATTAGCACACCAGTGACAGTATAAAACTAATACAATGTGTAATTTAGGATAATAAATTTAAACAGCAAATTATAACTACATTTATAAGTTAAAGTAAGTGAACTGTGAAACAAATGTCAATGAGAAATTTGAGGTAGAAATTTGAGGTAGGTGTCATAGATTTTTACAACAGAATAAATGTATGTACAGATGTGCACATGTGTATATGTGCAGATGTGTGTATAAAGTGTGTACAGCTGATCAAAGAACTGTTGTAATCATGAATCATATTTTTAACTCCAAAATTTATTATCCATCTTAGATTTTTAATCTATAGTTATTTTTAAGAACATCTTACCTTGTTAATATCAGTATCTACCTTCACTCCTAATTCTTGAACAGAATTTGAATCAAAGAGTTCTTCACTATTTGTCATCTTTATTGTGGAGGAATAAAAGTCATTTTTCAATGCTCTAGGTTGAAAAACAGGAGGAAGTAATCTTTTAAAATCATGTATCTAATTAATATAAAAAGTATACCGCTTGCCTTGCATGCATGAGGCCCTGGGTTCGATTCCTCAGCACCACATAAGCAGAAAAAAAAAGCCGGAAGTGGCACTGTGGCTCAAGTGGTAGAGCGCTAGCCTTGAGCTGAAGAGCTGAGGGACAGCGCCCAGGCGCAGAGTTCAGGCCCCACGACCGGACCCAACCCCCCTCCCCAAATATAAAGAACTTCTATAACTCAAGGACAAAAACAGTTATAATGTTTAAAAAATATCTGAATGGACCTTTTTTCCAAAGTAAAAATGGATAATAAGTACAAGAAAAGATGATTAACATCACTAATCATTTGGAAATACAAATGAAAACCATAATGAGGTATTACAATTAGAGGTATTATTATTATTACTACTAATGAGGTGTTACTATTAGAATGGCTATTATTGAAAAGAAAACTAAAGTCTCAGAAAATAATACATGTTGGAGAGAGCATCAGAGTTTGGCTGTACTGCTGGATGAAGAGGGCACAATCTTGTGAAAAGGAAGGACGTTTCCTCAAAAAGCTGCACATGGTATTGGAGAGGCTAGCATCAGGAGGGTTGTGGTTCAAGGCTTATAATCATGTCATGAAGTAAAAGAAATCTTGGGATGGTAGCATGCGCCCATGGATCCTAGCTAAGTAGTGAGTCATAAATAGGAGATTGCAGTCCAAGTCACTCTAGGCAAAAAGGAAGACAGACTCTATTTGAAAAAATGGAAAAAAGGGCTGAGAGCATAACTCAAGTTGTAGAGCATCCGCCTAACAAGTGCAAAGCCCAGAGCTCAAACCCCAGATGAACTAAAAATAAAAATGCCAGATGTGAGCCAGGCATAGTAGCTCATGTTTGTAATAGTAGCTAACATTAGCTACTTAGAGTCAGAAATGGAAGAATTGTGGGTCAAGGCCAGCCTAGGCAAAAGCCAGTAAGATCCCCTCCCACTCAATGGAAGGCTGGTGGTTACCCAGCAATCACAGAGTGTAAACAGGAGGGCTGGAGTCTGGAAAGGAGTGCAAGACCCTATATTACAGAAATGGGTCAGGGCAGGGCTCCGCTGTCTGACAAGTGCAAGGCTCTGAGCTCACAGCTCAGCAAAGTGGAGACACGGAACTGTCCTGAGATCCAGCCTAGGTATGTGTGTGCCCAAAGATATTATAAGCAAGAACCAAGGAGGCATGTACACACACATATTCATAGCAACATTATTCACAATAGCTAAAAGGTGAAAATAACCCAAATGTTTTCCAACAGATCAGTAGATAAATACAGTATGCTATGTATAGGTAATAAAATATTATTCTATTATCTTGAAAAGGAAAGAAATTCTGATACATGCTTCAACGTAGATGAACCTTGAAGATACTATGCCGAGTGAAATAATGATACAAAGGACAAATCTTTTATGATTCCATTTATATGAGGTACACAGAATAGATGGAGGAAAATATTGTAGAATTATTGTTAATGGGTACAGAACTTCAGTTCAAGGGGAAAAAATGGAATGGACAGTGATTATGGTTACCCAATGTTATGAAGGTACTTAATGCTACCAAATCAAACCTTAAAATTGTTACATTGATATATATTGTTATGTATCTTTTAGCCTAATAAAAAATAGCCAGTGATGCCGGCCGCCAGGTGGCTCACGCCTGTAATCCTAGCTACACTAGCTACTCAGGAGGCTGAGATGTGAGGATCGCAGTTCAAAGCCAGCCAGGGCAGCAAAGTCAGTGAGAATCTTATCTCCCAATAAACCACTCAGAAAACCAGAAGTGGCGCTGTGACTCAAGTGGTAGAGCGCTAGCCTTGAGCTGAAGAGCTGCGGGGCAGCGCCCAGACCCATAGTTCAAGTTCCATGATCAATTAAATAAATAAAATTATAATAAAATAAATATTAAAAATTGCCAACCAAACCCTCTACATTGAACAATTGATATTTTCTAATAAAAATGTGGGAAAAATTGCATCTCATTTCAGTGGAATCAGGAAAAGAATATAACACTATTTTCTAAGTTCTATTTGGGGAAAGGGATAGTAAACAAAAGAGACTGTAAAGTATGGAAAACAAATATATATTCAAGGGAACTTTCAAGCACTGGTGGCTCACAGCTGTCATCCTAGCTACTCAGGAGGCCAAGAGCTCAGGATTTTGGTTTGAACCAGAGCTAGCCCTGCTGGGAGAATCTACACACAAACATAATGGTTATTCATCATTGCAAACTGACCCTGTCTCTGCTTCCTGGCCACTATGGTGTGAACCACTCTGCCCCACAACACACATCTGACCATGATCGACTGAGCCCTCTGAAACCTAGTTAAGGTAAATGCTTTCTCCATCAGGTGTTTGAAAATCAGAAAACTGAGGCCAGACAAGTCAGGTCATTGTAACTAAAATACCCTTGTGAATATCAGGCCTGTGCCTCAGGTGAGCTGCAAAGGAAGAATTTACAGGCAAAAATTGGAAGGGCTTGGAGGTAAGGGCTATTGAAACTCGAGGATACTGTAAGTACAGCATAATAGACAGTTCTGGTAGGAACACAGAAGGCCAAAAGCTGATTTAGAAAACTATCGACAATGAAGACTGCCACTTGTGAGGCTTCAGGGCCTTGCTGAGGGTCAGATGCCACTTGTGTTGCACTATGCCAAAGAACATGTCTATATTTTGTTTGTGTCCTAAAACCTTGTGGGAGGCTTAAAGGCAGTGGACTAATAAACCGAATAATGTATTAGCACACATACAGGATTATATGCTATAGTATACAAATTATTGATATTTATCCCAAGAATGTAAGGCTAGATCAACTAATAAAAATGTACACATGTAATATATTAACATAATATATAGTTATGTCAATAGACACAGAAAAAAAGCATCTGACAACAATTCAACCCCATTTCATGACTAAAAAGACATCCAACAAACTAAAGATAGCAGTGAACTTCCTCAACTGATACAAAGCACCTGTGAAAGGCTCCTAGCTAATATAAAATAAAGAACAAGATACAGATACTCAGTCTCACCACTGCTAACATTGTACTGCATAATATACCAGTTAGGGTAATAAGGGAACAAAAACAAATAAAAGATGTCAGTTTGGAAAGGAAGGAATAAAATTGTATTTTCAGGTAATATGGAGAAAGCAAACAAGTCATTCAAACTAGTAAGTTCAACAAGGTGTCTGAGGACAAGGTCAATATAGTTAAACTAGTTTTATTCCCAAACATAAACAATGATTATCCTAAAATTTAAAAATAACTCGGGCTGGGAAGGTGGTAGAGCGCTTGCCTCACATGCTTGAGGCCCTGGGTTCGATTCCTCAGCACCACATAAGCAGAAAAAAAAAAAGCCGGAAGTGGCATTGTGATTCAAGTGGTAGAGCGCTACCCTTGAGCTGAAGAGCTGAGGGACAGCGCCCAGGCCCACAACCGGACCTCCCCCCCACACCACAAAAATAACTCCATTCGGATGAGGCAACAATGCTCAATAGGGAATGTACTCATTACCTTGCTCATATAACTGTGACCCCTCTGTACAGCATTTTTACAATTAAAAAAAGTAGAAAAAAATTTAAAAAATAAAAATAACTCCATTCACAATAAAATAAAAAATAAAATACTTATAATGAAAGTAACAAACTAAGGCATGCACACTAGAAGTAGAAAATATTTCTGAAAGGAATGAAAGACTCCCTAACTGGGAGAGACATCCCATGTTTATGGATGGGAAGACTGCACCATTCCGATGAACATACTCCCAGCACTCAGCGCACTCACCATCAAGACCGAAGCTGTTGCTAGACGCTATTTCTCACTGGTGGCAGTTTGGACATATTGTACTACTTCAATTAATATTCATGTTCCACAAGTTAATATTGGCTACATTCATGCTTTGTTTGGTAATAGTACTATTTATAATAGCAGTATTTAATAGGCCTGATCTCCAATTAACCAGAAAAAACCCAGAAGGAGAGCTGTAGCTCAAGTGGTAGAGTTTTATACTAGAGAAAAAGAAGCTAAAGGATAGCACCCAGGACCTGACTCCAAGCCTCAGTACCAGCACAATAAACAAATAAATAATCAAAATATTTTCAAAGACTCTCTTAGCTGAGGAAAATATCCAATAGACAGCTCTTAGAACTAAGGCAAGTTCCAGTGGAACTTGCAGCTCACATATCTTTAAGAATTGGTTCTGAACTTTAAAGATACAGTATATCAATACAAGGATTGCCACATTGAACAAATGAAAATACAGGGCACTCAGTGAAATTTCTGATTTATCTGAAATTCAGAAATTCAAATAATTTTAGCATTGGTAATGTTTGGAACATTTTTATATATAGAAATTATTTGTTATCTGAAATTCTGGTTTCTCTGGGCATCTTGTATTTTTTTACAACAACTATATCTATGTCAAATGTAAAGGAAAATGGGGATTACTTTCTTAAATTTCATGGAAAATATTAAATTATTAGTAATTAATAAGCTCAAAGAATTACAAAAATAAATATATCTGTTACAAAGGGGATTTTCACATTCTAGCTTTATTTAATTTATGGGACCCTCTATTTTATTACCTGATGAGATTTTCATTCTTTTTTTCCACTGAGAAAGGCACTCTATCAGAATTACTGAATAATTCCAAAAGTTGAGTGACTGCAATGTTCGTAAGCTGACGAATGAGCTCCTGAAATATGTAGTCAACCAGGACCAAAAACCTCCGGTTTGTTTCTAATAAGCGCCGAAGCTTAGGCAGCTTGAAATGTGATGTGTCAAGAGTGGACAGCTTTTCCTCAAAATATTCTTTTATGTCTTTCTTCTCTGAAACCTACAATTTGAAGACATGATGAAATCATGATTTGTAGTTTACAATATTTTATTAGCCCGAATAATAGAGTAGGACAAGACTTTATCAACAACTTTCATTCAAATTTTACTTCTGGAGAAGAGTGAGGCTGAAATCAGAAAAGTAATTCCTTTTGTAAATAGCCTCAAAAAAATACCTAGGAATTAACTTAACCAAAGAGGTGGAGGGCCTCTGTATTAAAAAAAAAAAAAAAACAACTTTAAAAACTTGGAAAAGGAAATTAAAGCAGATTTAAGGAAGTGGAGAAACCTCCCATGCTCCTGGATTGGGAGGATTAATATTGTGAAAATGGCAATACTGTCATAAGCTACCTACAAATTCAATGCAACACCCATCAATATCTCAACAACATTCTTTAATAGTAGAATTCCAAAAATTCAAATGGAATAATAGAAGACCCCAAATAGCAAAAACAATCCTCAGCATGAAAAACAGTGTCAGAGGAATATCATGACCAAACTTGAAACTCTATTATAAAGCCATACACACACACACACACACACACACACACACACACACACACACACACACACACACACACACACACATGCACGGCAGCTTGTTACTGGCACATGAACAGGACTGAAGACACAGAAAAGGATCCCACACACCTATGGCCACCTAATCTTTAATAAGGAAGCTAAAATCATCAGATGGAAGAATAGCAGAATTGGCTATCCACATGTAGAAAACTGAAGTTAGATCCTTATATAACACCCTGAACCAGACTCAACTTGATACCCTGAAACTACTATAGGAAGAGATTGAGGGAGGGGATATACTATGGCTCCTTGTTACAGGTCAAAACTTCCTAAATAAAGATCCAGAAACACAACAAATGAAAGAAAGACTGTATAAATGGGATTGCATTCAACTGCAGAACTTCTGCATGGAAAAAGGACATAGCTAGCCAGATAAATAGAAAGCCCACAGATTGGGAGAAGATCTTCACTAACCATACAACAGGCAAGGGCCTCATATCTAAAATATACTTAGAACTCAAAGGAACAACTGCTGCATTAACAAGTGAGCTAAAGAATTGAAAAGAGACATCTCTAGAGAAGAATAGCCAGTAGACACATGATGACATGTTCAACAAACATCTCTGGCCATAAAAGAAATGCAAATCAAAACAACATCAAGATTTCACCTCACCCCAGTTAGAATGGCCATTATCAAGAAAACAAATAACAACAGATGTTGGCAGGGATGTGGCCAAAAGGGACTGCTACCACACTGTTGGTGGGAATGTAAACTGGTTCAACAACTCTGGAAAGCAGTATGGAGGTTCCTCAAAAGACTATACGTAGAGGTCCTCTGTGACCCAGCAATCCCACTTCTGGGCATTTACCCAAATGATCACAAAAAGGCCACACTAAAGCTACCAGCACACAACTATATTCACTGTAGCATTATTCACCATGGCTAAGACATGGAACCAACCCAGATGCCCCTCAATAGATGAATGGATCAAGAAAATATGATACACACACACACACACACACACACACACACACACACACACACACACCCCACACACACACAGTGGAAGTCTATGCATCTATCAGAAAAAAACAACATCACCCCACATACATAAGGAAATGGAAAGACTTGGGAAAAAAATCATATTAAGTGAAGTAAACCAAACTCAAAGAAACATAGGCTCCATGGTTTCCCTCATTTGTAATAATTAGTATGTCTAGCATAGTCCTAGCAGAGGATCAATAGCTCAATAGCCATATCAAATGATGGTAATCAAAATGAACTTCAAGATATGCAAACAAGAGGTGTTGTTTTTTTTAATGTGCTATGTGAAGTTATTTCTTTTTTCTTTCTTTCCTCCCCCCTTTGGTTTATTCCATTGTCACTGTTTTTTTTATTTTGGTGCCCTGTGTCTTGTATATATATTTGTCTGATTTGGGGATAGGAAGAGGAATCACAAAATGGTAAGAAAAAGGACAAAGGGTGAACCAATGCAACAGTGATCCTCACAAGATACTATGTTGGAAATGAACTTTACAATTTGGGAGGGAAGAGTTGGGGGGAGGGGAAGTAAAGTGGGAGAAAAAACACTGTTTGACAATATGTAACTGTAGCTCCTATGTACATCACATTTACAATAACATTAAATTTAAAAAAAAAATAAAATGAAAGAAAAAATTTACTTCTGAAGTTTGCAAGTTCATGCCTCACTCCAAGGAATTGACTCAAGTTTGGGAAGTCACACAAAGAAGTACATATTAGTGACCAGTATATACAATAAGAATGTGTCAAAGACATCATTTATTATCTTCTTTATAAAATCCTTTGTAAAGTTTTATTTCATCTAGTTGTGTTTTTCCTGAGCAATAGATTTTTCTTTATCTTATGAATGCTGTAAACTTTATTATTAGTATAGTTTCCCTTTACATTGCCAGCTCAAGATAGATTCTATGCTTTAAGGTTCATGTATAAATATACATATATAGGTATTCAGACATATATCAACAAATACATACATATTTCTTTGCATATTCTGTAACATTTTGGAAAGTTCTATTTTTTCTTTTGCCAGTCCTGGTACTTGAACTCTGAGCCTGGTCACTGTCCCTGAGTTTCTTTTGCTGAAGATGAGCACTCTACCACAGTGGAGCCACAGCTCCACTTTCGATTTTTTTGAGTAGTTTATTGGAGATAAGGGTCTCACAGACTTTCTTGCCTGGACTGGCTTTGAACCATGATCCTCAGATAACCTCCTGAGTAGCTGACAGGCACGAGCCACCAGCACCAGGTTAGAAAGTTCTTATACATACTACATAGGTAGTATCAGTTGGTCAGTCAACTGCCCATTCTGTCCAATTGCCCATTTCCCAAGAAAACAATTTGGAGTAATGCTTCAGGCAGTACATAGTAAGAGTTACCTTTAAGATTGTGCTTTTTATCTTTAAAATTGATTTATCCTTGATGACCTCCAGTTGTTTCAGAGCCCGCACACCTTGCTGCAACTGTTCTTCATAAAATTCATCAAGAGAGTATGTTTGAGAACGATCCAGCTAGTTAAATGAGAGTAAATACTGAGTGTCAGAAAATAAAAATTCATTCATAAAAATTAGATATTTGGTTGTCTTTTCAGGTTATTTACAAGAGCACACTTTATAATTTCTCCTTTAAATGCTTAATGCTTTATATACTATATGGCTTACATGTTATTCAAATTTAAATAGCCATAGTTAAATCTACCTAAACATTGATACAAAGAGAGAAAAACACATTTTTGAAATCATAACCATGATTAAAGTTGAAGATATTTTAAGTATGTTGAAAAACCTACAATCCTAGAAATTACTTTTACTTTTGAAATTCCAAATGTTTATAAAAACATAAACATGAAATACAGGATAGAGGCTAAACATTAAATAATAAAGAATAAGATAAAATTTACTCATAATTAATTCTGGATCCAGTATAGAGAATTTGTATCAAACATGCCATTAATTCTTTGGGGTAACATCGGAAAAGAGTGTTTCATCTATCATACAATTGCTACCATTCTTCCTCCCTTCATTCAGTATTTTCTTGTTTTTCCTACAGTGAAATTCTTTTGCTGCATTCTCATCAATAAATATGCAGACCTCTGCATCTCTAGGTATACTGATAATAATAATTAAATATATAGTCCCCAAGCAAACAAGACCAAACAGCCCTCCTCTCACTCAGCATTTGGATTTACTATTTCTCCTTCTCCTGGCCTCACAGCTCAACACTAGGCCCTGATTTTCCCAATAAAACACGTCTCAAAATCTTTCTTCTTCTTTGCTCGTACCACCAATGTTATAATTCAGTCCCTTGTGAATTATATTTACACTTGCATTGTTTTAGTAGTGTAATGATTCCCTCAGTATCTCTTTATTTACAATGTTTTCCCTCAAACAACATGTTCAGTTATTATTCTTTAAAAATAGCTACTCAGGAGGCTGAGATCTGAGGATCTCAGTTTGAAGCCAGTCTGGGCAGGAAAGTCCCTGAGACTCTTTTTTTTTGGGGGGGGGGGGGTATCTGGTCGTGGGGCCTGAACTCTGGGCCTGGGCGCTGTCCCTCAGCTCTTCAGCTCAAGGCTAGCGCTCTACCACTTGAGCCACAGCGCCACTTCGTTTTATTCTTTTTTGCTTATGTGGTGCTGAGGAATTGAACCCAGGACCTCATGCATGCAAGGCAAGCAGGCAAGCGCTCTACCACTGAGCCACCTTCCCAGCCCCTCCCTGAGACTCTTATCTCAAATTAAGCACCACAACAAAGGCAGAAGTAGAGCTGTGGCTCAAGTAGTAGGGCACCAGCCTTGAGTGAAAAAGCTCAGGGACAGGACCCAGGCCCTAAGTTCAAGCCCCAAGATCAGAAAAAAAAAAAAAAAAAGTTTGGAAATTCACCCCAGGTAAGAATCAAGAATCAACTGAGGAATTTGTTAATAGGGCGGGGGGGGGGGGGGGGGGGGGGGGTCGGTCGTATGGGGCTGAACTCTGGGCCTGGGCACTGTCCCTCAGCTCTTCAGCTCAAGGCTAGCGCTCTACCACTTGAGCCATAGCGCCACTTCCGGCTTTTTCTGCTTATGTGGTACTGAAGAATCGAACCCAAGGCCTCATGCATGCAAGGCAAGCACTCTACCACTGAGCCACCTTCCCAGCCTGACTAACTTCACTCTTGGCTACAAAAACTGATCCCGTGTCATTGCTGTACCTTATTCTGAGAATCTGGGTAGGTGGTGACCTGTAAAATGCACGTTGTTCAGTTGAAAGGGAAATTTGAATAAAATGAGCAAATATGGGTTAACTTTCTAGAAATTTTACACCATTTAAAGGTGTGCTTTTGCACATAGGAGGCAAAGGTTTGGGGACAGTGAATTTGAGGCTGGCTAACCTTGTCTCAAAAAAGCCAAACAAAGTGTGCTTTCCTCCAAAGAGAGTGTTCTGGTACACTCACGATGCCATCCGTGGTGTTTACTGTAAGACCTCATCTTTCATTAACTTGCTGCCTGTTTATCTCCTCACCCTCAACCTCCCGCATCACCTGCTCCATCCCACCCTGCAGCCTTCCAGTTCTCATGAACAAGTTGCCCCTTACTGACTCCTCATCCCAGGCTTTGTTTTCCTAACTACACATCTCCACCCTTCCTATACCTGACCTGGCTTTTCCTTAAATCTCAGAAACTTCAATTCTTGCAAACTTTTCTCTAATGTTACTAAGATGGCCTCTATCCTTTGGGGGAGACTTGGATCCTGTTTTCCCCTTATTCTGTTACTGAGGGCCTAACATTCATGACCCAATCTGACTTTCGAATCAGACATATACTGAATGGCTTGTTAAAAATCAACTGTTTTTCCGAGTTTCTATACCAGTACTGGTATATAGTAATATCCTTCTACTCACCTTCACAAAACACACCACGGGTGGCTTATCCTTACGTTTTTTATTATTATTGAAATTCATTGCATCTTCACAAAGTCCCTTTATATGTAGTAAACAGTCTTGGAAAAACTCATCAGCGAAAAAGAGATGTTTATACAAAAATATCCTAAAAGTTAAAATTTTTCAGACATATTTCATTCCAAATACAGAAAATGTATCTAGAGGTAACTAGCAGAGTTTATTTCACATAGAGGCAAGCTGGCACTGTACAGAAAACACTCCTGTAACCCTCTATTGTCACACAGACCACATGTTAGATAATACGATCAAGTAAGCACTAGAAGGTGTTGCATGCAATGTTCTGGGTACTGGGTATGTTGAGTAAAAAAGCAAAACAGAAGAGAAAACACACAGTATTATTCTGTTATGCTGTTGAATTCTAATAATTTTGTGATACCAAACAGTTATATAAAATAAATTATATGCTTTCAATTTACAAAGTAATAGCTGAAAACTTCCAAAATTGGGCAAAAGACAATCATAGACTATGAGCCCCATTAGACCATGAGGCTAAGGGAACTCAAAATAGAGACAAACAAGACATATCAACATTGTCAAACTTCTGCAAACTAAAAAAACGTTGAAAAGACAATGCTAAGAAAGCAGCCTGGGTAGCATGTAGTTTCATCAAAAATGTGTGCGGCAATGGCATACCATGATGACACTTTGGGGGCTGGAGATATGCTCGCATGGGACAATGCCACTCCTAAGCAAGCCATGGCATCAAACCCTGGCATCAGCTTTCATAGTACACTTATATAGCTTTCCTTTGAGTATCTTTGGTACCACTATTGGGGCTTGAACTCATGGTTGGGTATGCTGTCCCTTAACTTTTTCAGGCTGGTGCCTTACCACTTGAGCCACAGCTCTACTTCTGGGTTTATAGTGGTTAACTGGAGAGAGTCTCATGGGCTTTCCTGCCCAAGCTGGCTTCAAATCTTGGTCCTTAGATCTCAGTCTCTTGGCTAGCTAGGATTTCAGGTGTGAGGCAATGATGCATAGGTACATATAAAATTTGTATAAATTTGGGCTGGGAAGGTAGGGCTGGGAAGGTAGCTCAGTGGTAGAGCACTTGCCTTGCATGCCTGAGGCCCTCGGTTCGATTCCTCAGCACCACATAAGCAAAAAGAAAAAAAGCCGGAAGTGGCGCTGTGGCTCAGGTGGTAGAGCGCTAGCCTTGAGCTGAAGAGCTGAGGGATAGTGCCCAGGCCCAGAGTTCAGGCCCCACGACCGGACCCAAAAAAAAAAAAATTTTGTATAAATGTATTGCATATCAAGACTTACTTGCTCGTCTCTGTCTTAATTCTCCTAACATTCACTTTCCAGGTAACAAAAGCCTTATTAATTCTGAAAGGAAAAACACTTCTTACATTCTATGTTTACAAATCATATGTTTATACAGAATTTAGTAAGAGCTTAACAGTATTATAAAATTCCTTACAATATGTTTTACTTATCCCAAAGGCATTAAAATAAATATTAAATGATATAAATTTTCTACCAAACTGTCAACAGAATATACAGTAAGAGTTAAATGCACTTGAGCCGGGCGCTGGTGGCTCACGCCTGTAATCCTCTCTACTCAGGAGGCTGAGATCTGAGGATCGCAGTTCAAAGCCAGCCCAGGCAGGAGAGACTGTGAGACTCCTATCTCCAATAAACCACCAGAAAACCGGAAGTGGCGCTGTAGCTCAAGTGGTAGAGTGCTCGCCTTGAGCTGAAGAGCTGAAGGACAGCGCCCAGGCCCAGAGTTGAAGCCCCATGACCGACCAAAAAAAAAAAAAGATAAATGCACTTGAAAATCAGACACAGAGTTTACTTAGCTGCAACATACTAGTAAGTATCAAAATCTCTAAGTTTATTACTTTCCCTTATACAGTAATTGGCTTACTATTTTGAAAGCTAACTTTTAGACCAAGAATAGTCAAAACTCAATTTTCAGTGACAATGAAATGGTAACTGATAAATAAAAATCTTTGTAGAGTACTGAATAAAAATTAAGATGGTATATGTCATTTTGATATTTTATCATACTTACAAAACACAGATTCATGTGCCGTCTTAAAGAACTCAAAAGAACCACATGAAAGAGTGCTGATAGGTTTCTTTGGTGATTATTTATGTTCCATAATATGTGAAGTAGACATGCCCCTCTCTGATCTGTCGCCCAGACTCCCACTTTGTACCATCGAGGTCTAACTGACTAACACCTCAAACCCCCCTTCCCTGGGGACACTGCCTCTTGAGGAAATGGTGACCGTTGTGACTTTTACATTCTTAGTAATCCTTAAGTAGCAGGTGAAAGCCATTGAGGAAGGGACACAAATGCCCAGGAATCCAGTTGGATGGTCAGTCTTGGCCACAACCCTGGCGTTATCTAAGCAGTCCAAGGCCATCTCAGGTATTCTTTAGAGACACACCTGAGACCTGAGTAATCAGTCACCTCACACAGATCTAGCAACCGCACTCCACATGAGCAGCCTTCCAATGACATTTCACAGGAGTCCACACCCTCTATGCCAGTTACTCAGGAATCTAGAAAATCCCTCACAACCCAAGAGCACTGCACTGACCCTGCAGCGGGCACTTGCACCAGCCATGCACCAGTCCACAGAACACAAACAGCGCTCTGCACCAGGCACAGAAGCCAGCCCATCAGAACAGCCTGAAGCAGCCACACAGACCAAGCCCCGCCAGCTCTGGACCAGGCGCACACACCAGTCCACCACAGAGGGGCATGCCAGCCACGCACTGCATTTTACGAGAAAGGGTCTTATCAGGCACGCACACCAGTCCAGCCAGAAACTGCACCAGCCACAACATGGTCCAAAAGAAAACTGTCCACCAGACAAACACATCAGTGTAACTCAGACAGACCAATAAAGACACAAAACCTGTGTACCAGCCACACATACTGACCACTAGAAACTCCTAAACCAGGCATGCATGCCATTTTACCAGCAAGCTCTGCATGAACTACCCAACTAATTCATCAGAAAGCTCTGCACCAGACACATAGAATCTACCTCAAAGTTCTACGTTAAGTGAATGTATGAGTTCACCAGAAAATTCGCCAACAGCCACACACCAGTCAGCCAGAAAGCTCTGCTCCAGGCACACACAAAGCCCACCAGAAGCCAGGTTCCAGTGGCTCACTCCTGTAATCCTAGCTACTCAGAAAGCTGAGATCTGAGATCATGGTTCAAAGCCAGCCCAGAAAAACACATCTCTGACACTTATCTACAGTTATACCAGCAACAAGCCAGAAGGGGAGGCGTGGCTCAAGTGGGAAGTGCTAGAAACAAACAAAAACTTGGGTAAGAGTGCAAGGCCTCCAGTTCAAGTTTTTGTACCCCAGTAACAAAAAAAAAAAAAAGGATGAAGGCATAACCCAAGAGGTAGAATTCCAGCCAAGCAAACAAGTTGAAGAACTCCAGGGCCCTGACTTCTTCAAACCCTGGTACCAACAAAAAAAAATTTCTAAATTAAGTCCACCAAAAAGCTCTACACAAACCACACACACCAGTGTGCCAGAAACAGAAATACCAGCACACAACATAGCCTGATCCATCACAGGGCTCTGTGCAAAGCAACAAACAAAAGTCCACCAAACTAGATGTCCAAAGGGCTCTCCAAAGACACTTATCAGCACCCCCAACACCAGCCAACCACAAGTGCCAGCACCAGGCACAAACACCAGTCTAACAGAAAGTTCCATACCAAGCATGCACGGAGGCCCACCAGACAGATCTACACTTCTACACAGCGAATCCCACCTGACAGCTCTAGACCAAGGAACCTACAACTGACCTGAAAGTTCTGCACCAGTCCAGTAGACCAATCCAATCCACCTGACAGCTCTGTCCTAGACACACAGAACAGGTAGTTGTGTACCCTACACTCCCCCAGAAAGCTCTGCAACACTCTATCTCAAAGCACTGCACACACCACACCTGACAGTCCATCAGAGTGCACTGCACGAGCCAAACACAGAAGCCTACCAGGAAGTTTTGCACCAAGCATGCACACCAGCCCAGAAAGCTCTGCAGAGGTCACATACACTGTCACCAGAAAGCTCTACAGCAAGCACACATACTACTGTACCATATAGCAATGCACCACCTCACCCCACACACACACACATAAAACCAGTCCATCACAAAGCTCCTCATTGGCCACACACAATAGTCCACTGGACAGATCTATACAAGCAACAACCAACAGCCTGTGAGAAAGCTCTGTCACAAGGCATGCTCAAGAATCTAACAGGAAGCTCTGTACCAGACAGACAGGAGTCCAGCCAAAAGCTCTGCAGCACACATGTACATGAGTCCACTCAAGGGTTAGCCCAAGACACATATCAACCCACAAGAAAGCTCTATGCCAGGTACACACTTCACCAAAAAACTTGACACCACCCATTCACACCAGGCACACATGCTCGTACACTAGAAAGTGACACACCGGGCATGCACACCCTCCCCCAGGAAGCTTGGCACAGGCCACAGTCAAATCTCCTGAGTGCTATGAAGCAGTCGCACACATGGTCCATCACGTTCTGAAACTGACACCACCATCCACCAGGAAGCTCTGAAGCAGATACACATCCCAGAAAGCTCTGCGCTAGTCACACACAAAAGATGCCCAGACATTCACTAGTCCATCAGAAAGTTCTAGACCACTCAAATAAAATTTCACCAGAAAGTTTTTCACAAGACAAACACACCACTACACAGTGAGCTCTGAACAAGGCAGAGTCATCAATCCATCAGAAAACTGCTCCAACCACACCCATCAGTCCACCAGAAAGCTCTGCATCAGGCATCCATGCCAGTCTACCAGAAAGTCCTGTACTAGCCATGCATACCAGTCCACAAGAAAGCCCTACAACAGGCACTCACCATTCAACCAGAAAGCTCTGACCAGCACACAGCCCACCACCTAAAAGCCTAGGATCTAAGCCACATTGGGGCAGGTGGCTGAAATGTCTTATCAAGGATATGCAAGCACTACCTACTTACCATGTAAAACTAATTATCAGCTTAGGATATCATATCGAGGACAGTTTTTGGTATCTGTTCACTTATATATACATATATATTTATATATTTTTCAATTAGTACACACTTGGAATACAAGAAGCTTTGTATGGCATTTCCATTCATTCATATAATGCATTTTGGACAAATTCACCCTTCCACCATTTTCTGTATATTTAAAACTGCATCAGCCAGCTGCCCCTGGCTCATGCCTATAATTCTAGCTACTCAGGAGAGTGAGGGAGATCTGAGGATTGCAGTTCAAAGCCAGCCAGACAGGAAAGTCCATGATACTCTTATCTCCAAATAACCACCCAAATGTAAAATGCTGGAAGTGGAGCTGTGGCTCAAAGTGGTAGAGCACTATTCTTGAGCAAATAAACTCAGGAACAATGCCAAGGCCCCAAGTTTAAACCCCAGTACCAGCACCAAAAGCAAAAAAAAATTTACAAAACAGCTGCACCAGTGTTATTTCCAACTGTTATTCTGGCCTTGTAATGAATCTACAGGTCCATGCATTAAACATTTTGTGGTACTGTGTTTGAACTTAAGATCTTATACTTGCTAGGCAGACATTCAACAACCACTTGAGCAATGCTCCAACCCTTTTCTTATACTTTATTTTCCAGAGAGGGTTCTACATTTTCTTGCTCATGTGTGGAGAGCTGCGGGAGCCGCGACCAAAGACGGCCCGGCGCGGCCGCATGGCTGCGACCAAAGATGGCGCTGGCTCCCGCCTTCCGTCTTCCCGGTGACGAGTGCTCTCTGTAAGAAAAACAACTCCTTATATGGCTATGACTTGGCTCCTAGTTTGCTTCCGTGTTTGCAGCCCTATCGGTATATGCCACGTAGCACTTTGGGATTGGCCATCCAGGAGGCTTATAACTGGAGCACGGGGGGGGGGGGGGGGGGGGGGGGGGGGGGGGGGGGGGGGGGGGGGGGGGGGAGAAGGAGAAGCGGGAAGAAGCCAGCGGGAGAGAAGCTTGTAGATAAGGTTCCTGAATAAACCGCATTGAAAAGAATCCCGGGTCGCATCTTCCTTGCTGGTTGAGGTGGGCACGACACTCATGACCAACTTCAGACTGCAGTCTGCCTCTCACATAAGTAGGATTGTAGTGGGTATATACTACCATGCCTAGCATTTATTGAACTTTTCAAAACCACTCCAAATTCAAACAACACCATCTTTTATGACCTTTGCCATCAGTAAGTCCACATTCAAAATGACTTTATGAATTTTGGGAACAAAACTAAGGGCTATGCACAGGGCAAGAACATACTCCACTCTTAACACCAATTAAGCACCAAAAGCTGCAAGTGGAGCTGACTCAAATGATAGCATAGAGGGGACAAAGGTAAGGGTCAGTGCCCAGGCCTTGAGCTCAAATCCTAGTAATTGCGCAGACACAAAAGTATAATAAAAATTTAAAAGAACAAGAGTTTCCTTTCCCTTGTATATAGAACATCCCATTCTGCTATAGTTCCCAAGAAACATGGTCCCACCAACATGAAATGCAGATGTGGCTCAGGCAACAGAATCAACTATTGAAAAACTGATTTAGTTTCATTTGTCTTACCGAAAATTGGAAAATACTTTAAACTGCTGTAAGAAATAGTACTGTTGTCTCTCTGATAGCCATTCTAAAGCAGGTATGAGCTCCACGTCTTCTATGTTGATGCCTGTTTTAGTAATCTGTAAGTGCGAAGTACAAAAAGATGACATATATTTAGGAAATTAAAGAAGCCTACATTTGGCATAGGCTTAGCTTCCTAATCAAGCTTTTTTCAACTCACCTAACACAGCTCCCAAACTTGCCATTTTCTCCTGATAGCCTCGTATGTTACACAGAGAGGAGAAAAGATACTCCATAGAGATGACTCTCTACAAATAACTATTAAAATTTTGAGTCTCGAGACTTTTATATGTTCTACAAAAGCGGTGTTAGTGAACTCAGTTAGGGGGTGTGACTCAGTGGTACAATGCTTGCCCCAAAGGTATTAGGCCATCAATATATATCTATATCAATAGCTATAGCTATATCCCTATCTATCTGTAAAGAGAAATGATGGTATGTTTTAGATAGGTAGATCATTTATAAACTCAACTCAAAATGAACATAATAGTTCATTTATAATCCCAGGGTCATTTTGACATTCAAATGCCCTTTATCAAAGAATTCTTTCTCTTCCAAAGTCCCTCCCTCATCCAAATTAACATTTTCTTTCAGAAATAAATGCATGTCTATGTCAGCATCTACATTATGCTTTTTTTTCCCACTCTACTACTTGAGCCACAGCTCTACTGCTGGATTTTTGGAAGTTAACTGGAGATAAGAGTCTCATTGACTTTCTTGCCCAGACTGGTTCCAAACAACCATTCTTAGCTCTCAGCCTTTTGAGCAGCTAGGATGCCAAGTGTGAGCCTCTGGCTCTGGGCCTACTGAGATTTTTATTAATATAGACATCTCCAACTTCATTCACCATTGCATGTTGTAGACATTTTACATCTGCACACACAGCTGTATTTCATACAGAGATGGTCCTGCCCAAGCAGGAAGGCGAGGAAAGCAGAGGAAAAATAAACACATGTCAAACAACTGATCAAAACAAATAATAGTGCAATTGTATCTTATAATAGCTATCTAAGTGCTACGTAAGAGTATACTAAAGAGATTTCTGAATGTAGCAATGAAGTTTCTGACAACATGCCAATAAAAGTAATCTTTATTATTGTTATTCTTATACCAGTAAATGCCTATGTTCAAGTTCTTCTCTTTAAAATTTACACCAGGGGCCGGGCGCTGGTGGCTCACGCCTGTAATCCTATCTACTCAAGAGGCTGAGATCTGAGGATCTCGGTTCAAAGCCAGCCCGGGTAGGAGAGACCTTGAGACTCCTATCTCCAATAAACCACCAGAAAACCGGAAGTGGCGCTGTAGCTCAAGTGGTAGAGCGCTCGCCTTGAGCTGAAGAGCTGAGGGACAGTGCCCAGGCCCAGAGTTCAAGCCCCACAACAGACAAAAAAAAAAAAAAATTTACACCAGGGGCTGGGAAGGTGGCTCAGTGGTAGAGCACCTGCCTTGCATGCCTAAGGCCCTGGGTTCTATTCCTCAGCATCACATAAGCAAAAAAGAAAAAAAAGTCTGAAGTGGCGCTGTGGCTCAAATGGTAGAACGCTAGCCTTGAGCTGAAGAGCTGAGGGACATCGCCCAGGCCCAGAGTTCAGGCCCCACAACGGGACCCAAAAAAAAAAAACAAATAAAAAAACAAAAAACAACAAAAAGACACAATGGACACCAAATATTAATAAAGAAATTCAGAAGTGAAAATGTTTCTTAAAATCTAACTGTCAAGCTGGGCAATGGTGGCTCATATCTGTAATTCTAGCTACTCAGGAGGCTGAGATCTGAGGACTGTGATTCAAAGCCAGCCTGGGAAAGTCTGTGAGACTCTTGTCTCCAATTAACTTCCAAAAAGCCAGAAATGGAGCTGTGGTACAAGTGACAGAGCACTAGCATTGAGAAAAAAAAGCTCAGGGACAGCACCCAGCCCCTTAGCTCAAGCCCCAGTACCAACACAAAAATAAGAAAAATTAATTGTCAAACCTAAATCTGTACAGAGAAGAAAAATATCACTATTAAATTTCTACCAAGGAGATTATTAAATGTAATCTTCTCCTCAAATAATCAGATTTCTCCAAAGCACAAAGATAAATTTCTGCAATTAAATTCTAAATTAGATATTCATTTGAGACAAGGTCTCACTGTGGAGCCCAGGATGGCCTCAAACCCTTGACCCTCCTGTCCCAGCCTCCTGAGTGCTGTGACTGTAGGTATACACTGATACAACTGCTTAAACAGGATATTTTTCTGCCATAAGTATGAAACTTGAGGATATTCATTATATACTACCTTTGAAATAAATGAAGCAGAGACAGTCCAAAATTCTTTGCATTTCCTAGCTGTATGGGCAGAGACTATCCGAAGATCATATGGATTGCAAAAGCCTTTATTACTAACTCGGGGAAGGCAATACACAAATACACAATCATCTTTCAAAGGTGCCTAATAGAAAAAAAAAACTTAAATGTGGTTAAATTGTCTAATAAAAATGTTTGAACTTATCACCTATTGAATTGAAACTATTTTAATATGGATTAAAAATAGGCATAACTAACCTCACATTGTGTCTAAATTTTAACAAGATTAATCTTATGAAAGATTTAATATATTTAATTTTCATTCCTTAACACAACATAGTGATAAAACATTCAAAAAAAAGTCCCATGTACCTACTAACACCTGCTTCTTAACCCAAGGAGCTTGATGGCACATATGCCATCTCCCAGAGAATTTGTCTGCCAACACCAGGAACCTTCCAGGCACACAAAATCTATCACTTATTTTGATAAACATGGTGCTTTAGTATTTTAGTAATAATTCCTATTATTGTTAATAAATGTTTAGTAAGTAATAATATGTTCAATAATATATTATGTAGACTAATAACAATGACTTTAATATCTTAACTTTTATCTCTTAAATTTTAAGGAATTAAAATGTGATATTTTTAATCTCGTTATACAGATATGGAATCATATTTTCTTACATTAGGGAATTTGAGAAAGGTAACAGGTTCAAGACTTGGCAAATAACTGAATTGAATCCAAGTCTGACTCTAAAATCCTGTTCAAAGCTTCTGCAATAAAATATAATTTCTCAGTCATTTCCTTGGTGTTTTGAGAAACTGGCCATTCTACATGAAGCCTTTTTTTTTTTTTTTTTTTTTGCTGGTCCTGGAGCTTGACCTCTGGGCCTGGGCGCTGCCCCTCAGCTCTTCAGCTCAAGGCCAGCGCTCTACCGCTTGAGCCACAGCACCACTTCCCGTTTTCTGGTGGTTTATTGGAGATAAGAGTTTCACGGACTTTCCTGCCCTGGCTGGCTTTGAACTGCAATCCTCAGATCTCAGCCTCCTGAGTAGCTAGGATTACAGGTGTGAGGTACTGGCGCCTGGCTTCATCTGATCCCTTTTAGAAAAATTTTCTGATCCCTTGTTTGATGCAGTGGTTCTTTACTGTGCATCAAAATCATCTGAGAGCTCAATAAAATAGATAGCCAGCTACCCACTTTCAGAGTTTCGGATTCAGTGGGTCGAGGATGCCAATGAGAACATGCATTTCTAACTGGTTTCTGAGATTACCTCCTTTTTCTCTTTTTCTTTCTGACTCTGGGGTTTGAACTCAGTGACTCATGTTCTTGCTCATCTTGCCTGCTCATGGCTGGTGTTCTACCACTTGAGCTATTCCTCCAGTCTGGCTTTTTGCTAGTTAATTGGAAATGAAATCTCATCAACTTTTCTGCCCAGGCTGGCTTCAAACTTTGATCCTCCAGATTTCAGTTTCCTGAGTGCTAGGACTATAGGCATGAGTGCCTTTACTTGCTTCACACACACAAAAAAAATGATATGCAAAAACAAAAAAGTTGATTTTTAATTTGAGTCAGAAGGTACCCTGGAGACACAGTCAGCTAGAGAGAGATTTTAGAGGAAACAGACACAAATATTACAATGTGTTATAGTCTTAAAATGTGTATATATGTATAACTACATATATATGCCTTATCCATTTTCATTGTTTATTTTTTATTGTTAAATTAGTCAAATAAAATCATGAGAAATATTTTTTTTTTTAGTTATGGGGCTTGAACTCTGGGTCTGGGTGCTGTCCCTCAGCCCTTCAGCTCAAGGTGAACACTCTACCTCTTGAGCCACAGCACCACTTCCAGTTTTCTGGCTGTTTATTGGAGATAAGTCTCACCGACTTTCCTACCCAGCTGGCTTTAAACCATGATCCTGAGATCTCAGCCTCCTTAGTAGCTAGAATTACAGGCATTAAGCCACCAGCACCCGGCCATGAGAAATAATTTTAAAAGCATTTTCCATGAAATAATTGCTGTACCTTAATATTAACGTAACATCTTTTATTGATGTTAACAGCTGAAATGATTTAAATAGATAGTTCGTTAAGATAGTTTCAAAGTCATCTTTATAGCCCAAAACTGAATAAAATGGAATACCTTTAGATCATTCTGAACCAAAACCTCAGGACAATTATATTTCAGACTCTGGTTCCATAATACAGTTGGCCATCCAAGCTTTTCTCTTAGCTGAGTAAGAAATCTTGTCACCTCATCATCCTGTGGTTCTGGTGTCAAAAAAATTTTTAAGTCCAATATAAATGTAAATGTAAATACCATATCACTCAAGGATAATATACAACATTTCTACCTAAAGAAAAAAAATTAACATATGCAAGCTAACACAATGACTCTCCCTAGTCTCGAAGGACTACTCTACCCTCTGTTGGTATGACATGAACCCTTCGCTTCCACTAAAGGAGGAGGACATGTGGCACTCATCTCTCTGCTCCTGGCTAAGTTCACTTCGTGTGATTTTCTCCAGCCCTGTCTATCCATGTTGCCACAGTGACAGGATTTTTATTCTTTGCATTCCACTGTGTACACAGACCACAAGGTCAGCATGAGCTAAACAAGAAGATGTAGTCTCAGAAAATCAAGGTATAGATGTGCAGCTGAGTGGTGGAGTCTCTGTCTAGTGTATGTAAAGCCTTGGGTTCCATTCCCAGCATAGCAAAAAGAAATAACCATCAAGCTTTACTGCAAGCCTAAAACAAAACTATACAATTTCTCTTACATAAAATTTCTAAAACAAACCAGAACCTCTTGACATTATCATTATTTTAAAAACTGAATTGTTGAACAGTCTATAAATTTTCTAATTAATGATATTTTAATTTTCAAAAATAATTTAAGGATTAGCAAATGGGACAACTGGTTTCTAGGTCCCACTGCTCATTCTTCTGAGTGGCCTTTACTTTCTCTTTACTAAATAAACTCTTTAAAACTGTACAAAAACAATAACAATTGCTTAAGCAATTGAACATAAAACATTCAGTAAGATTGCTCTTTCCCACTAAAATCAGTATCCAATATAAACACATTACTACAGAAAATGTGAAAATGTGTAGTTTTCTAAACTACTGGTTTAGCATGGTATGACATACCTGTTCTATTATACAAAAAGTGTCGGCCTTTCCTGTCTCCTGGACAAACATGAATTTGTTCCTCTTCCCTCTTCGATTTCTCTTTCTTCTCATGGGAAATTGGTTCTGGGGCAACTATATGTTGTTGAATTATATTTCCTTGAGGGTAATCTGAAAACATAGCCATTATTAATGGAATAAGTAGTATGTGCTATAAATAATACCTCAGTTGTTGGACACACCAAGTGACTCAGTCTTTATATAAGGCACTAAAACAACAATGCACTAAGGAGAGACTCTAGTCAAAGCCCCCAAGTTCCATGCTAGGAGAAAAGCTTAACACCCACAGTTCTTTTTGCCTTATGAGTTAATCATCTGTCTGCCTTACCTGCCCTGTCTGTGCAACAAGGAAGTGGGGTGAAGCCACACTTAGGGAGTAACTAGGTTATTAAATCCCACAGACCATTCACACCAGATTGGAAAGTTAGCTCATTTCCTCCTTCTAATTTACCACTTCCCCAATATTATAATTTGCCCTCTTGGAAGAAAAATGACACCCTACTTTGAAGCTCATGACTTTTTTTTGGGGGGGTGGGGATCTGGTCGTGGGGCCTGAACTCTGGGCCTGGGCGCTGTCCCTCAGCTCTTCAGCTCAAGGCCAGCACTCTACCACTTGAGCCACAGCACCACTTCTGGCTGTTTTTCTTTTTGCTTATGTGGTGCTGAAGAATCAAACCCAGGGCCTGAGGCATACAAGGCAAGCCTCTACCACTGAGCCACCTTCCCACCCCCTGAAGCTCAAAACTTTTTACAACATCATCAGTTCACCTCGCTTGCTTGGTCACTCAGCTCTACTGCAACGTGGGCACGGGGGACAGCTACTTTCTCCACATCTTCCAGCATTTGGATAACTCCAGTTTTTCTGACTTTAGATCTCTGAGACACACATCCTTCCTCCTTTTGCAGCTATTCTTCTATCTCTAATCTATCTCAGCCAATCAAATCAAGCAACGATATACCCTATCTACAACGTCAGTTTTATTATTTTGCCAGACTGACTTCAAGAAACATACTCAGCAACATCTAGCTAGATCCGTGTGGATGACATCCGTCTCAGTGTGTGACGTCACTTACCCCTCTGCCCCAGCCCTTCCTGTCACTCTCCCATGCACTCCCTCTTTTCCCCATGTCCAGTTCAGACTATGTTGTCTTTCTGCACACCCTTGCCAATATCCAAAACTTCCTCTTTCTTTTGATCTGTATGGCAAAAAACAAGCCTTGGGCAAACCCAGCTGGCTATGCTTTTTATACCACTGTCTCACAGCCCCCTGAGAAGATTCATAACTGTCCAAATTCACTTAACTGACCACAAATAGACCCTGAACACAAACTACTCTCCTTTTTGTCTGATTAACTTGCTCTTCAACTCTCTCACTGGCAATTCCAAATCTTTGAAATGTTATATCTTCCAGTCTTCCCTTCACTGATCTCAGTGTCTACTTCCCGGGAATCATAAAAGCATTTGATGAGAATTCCTTCAACCTGCTATTCCCAAAGAAACCAAGCAACCCACATTTGCACTCAATGTTTGAACTGTGCCTCCCAACCAGAAACCAATCCTTTCCAGGTTTTGTTTGATCCCATCTCTTCATGTGTGTATTAGTAACTATTCTTTATTCTTTTGCATATCAGCTCCTACTTAAAGTTCATTCTGTGACCATAGCTCCCTCCAATGATCACTTTATTTATATGTTGCCTTTATTCATAGATGGGCCATAAGGGTCACTATTCTTTCTTTAGTACTATCCATTTATATATATATATATATATATTATTGTAAAAATACTGTACCGAGGGGTTACAGTTACATGAGTAGGGTAATGAGTACATTTCCTATCAAGCGTTGTTACCTCCTCCTTTGTTTTGATTCCCTACCATCCCTTCCCTCCCCACCTCCCCAACTCCTCTCTCCCCCCGCACCAACATTGTGAAGTTCGTCCTGTACATCTCATCGGCACAATGGGGCAACCTGCATCCCCATTTAAGCATTCTGCTATAACCCTTCCTCTCCCCAAATTACAAAAATATATATACAAGATGCAGAACACTGGAATCAAATACAGTGAAAACAGGTTATACTGTGGGGAAAGAACTTACAAAAGAATCAAATAGTGCATTATAAGTACATTAAAAACAATAGCAAGAAAGAAAAAACTACTTGTGTCCTTGTCTTGGGATACATTTTGCTTAACATCATCTTATATGGTCATATATACATAGCCTTTGACCTTCTCTGCTTGTCCTAGACTTGTACTAGTCACTGCAACAAAGGGAAACCATGGGACCTATGTTTCTTAGAATTCAAAAAATTAAATCCCCCAACAACAAATCCTCAAAGAAACAACTGCCCAATTAATAAGTGGGCTAAAGACTTAAAGAGAGACTTTTTTGAAGAGGAAATAAGAATGGCCAATAGACACATGAAGAAACGCTCAACTTCTCTAGCCATAAAAGAAATGCAAATCAAGACAATATTGAGATTCCACCTCACCTCAGTTAGAATGGCTATAATCAAAAAATCTAGTAACAACAAGATGCTGGAGGAGATGTGGCCAAAAGGGAACCCTTCTTCATTGTTGGTGGGAGCATAGACTTGTTCAACCACTTTGGAAATCAGTATGGAGGATCCTCAAAAGACTCCACATAGAGCTCCTCTACAACCCAGCAATCCCACTTTTGGACATTTACCCAAGTGATCACAAACAAGGTCATACCAAGGCTACCAGCACAACCATGTTTATCGCAGTATTATTCACCATAGCTAAGATATGGAACCAATCCAGATGCCCCTCAGTAAATGAGTGGATCAAGAAAAAGTGGTGTGTATATATGTGTGTGTGTGTATCAAGTGGTATATATATATATCAAGAAAAAGTGGTATATATATGGTATATATATATATATATATATATATATATATATATATATATATATCAAGTGGTATATATATAGATCAAGAAAAAGTGATATATATATATATATCACTTTCTTGATCTATCTATCTATGTATCTATCTATCTATCTAATGGAAATCTATGCCTCCATCAGAAAGAATGACATTGCCCCATTTGTTAGGAAATGGAAAGACTTGGAAAAAATTATGTTAAGTGAACTATCCATTTCTTAATCTACTGCAGTCTTAAAATTCTACCAGAATGGCACCCAAGTGACATCTGATGTCAGTAAATTCAATGGACTTATTACAGTCCTGATTTTCCCTGAGATATCAGTGTGATTGATAAACTTTTCCTTTCTGACAGGGTGTTTTCTTTTGTATGACACCACACTCATTCTCTTCTTCATCTCCCTCTTTGAGCCTGTTCTAACCAATCCCCTATCCATTGCAACTGCCTTCTTTCTCTGACTCAGGACTGCAATTGCTTTAGTTTCATTTTATACAATCCCCTTAACTTCACCATGGCTATGGTCCAATCTTTTACCCACCAATTACTCCCAAATATACCATCCACTTCAGTGCTGACATCTCTGAGCTCCAAAAAATATGCTCAACAGATATTCTTCCTCATTGAGATAGATCAAGATATTCCTAACTCAGCATGTCAAAAACTGAACTCCTGGCTTCTCCCTCAGACCCCACAAGTCCTGACTCGTACACGGCACCACTATTCATTAGGTTAAGTGATCCAGGGACCTAGGAACCGTCTTTTGAAAACTACTTTTATCAGCATACATCCATAGTACAAGGGGCCTTCATTGTGATGATTCCATTAGGTGGAGCACATACTTTGAACAAGTCTACTCCCACTATTATATTCCTTTAACTTCTTTCTCCATCCCTTTTAAAAGTTAGTGGTGAGCTTATTATGCCATCTTTATATACATATACACACACATAATATATGTAGACTTGGTATTCTTCTAGCCTCTCCATCTCAGTATAAAACAAAATAAATGAAAAATCTTTCTGCGATTTCTATCTTCAAAGTACAATAAGAAATTCCTTAAATTATTCCTTAACGAAGCAAGTCCTTGCACTGCTACCCAGTCTTAAATGTATCTTCTCTCTTTCCTGAGGAAACTAACTAAAGGATCAGATTCAAATAGTCTCGCTCAACCAAGGTCCTAAGTTCTGGAGGTCAGGCCCTTTTAGGAAATCAAACAAACCAATCTTCAAGCAGAGGCCGAAGGCAATGGAAAAAAAATGGGCTAAATGTTGTTTGGTGTGTGTATTTCATACATACTACAAGAGGAAATAAACTGTCTGAGGTAGTCAAGGTCTACTCTTGTTTCCAGGGGAAAAGGGATATTATTTCTGACAGACCTTAAAAACAGAGAAAACAAATTCAAAAATGGTAGTGGGCTACTCATGGAAGAGGCTAGAAAGAGAAGATAGAAAATAGGCAAGCAAGATGACTTGGTCAACAGTGTTCTTCAAGAGTCAAGGGAGATAAAAGTGAGTGGTCAAAGATTAAAATGACACAGTAAAATAAAGATTATTTTTTGTAAATTTATCACTTCTATAAGGATTTGGCTGTGAGTAAAGATCTCATGAACACAGAAAAGTCCAATCAGTAGAGCAAAGGAAGCAGGAGCCAGATGAAGACTGAATTAGAGGTGAGGAGTCACAAACTGAATGTTGGGAATTCTGGTGATAGTGGTACTGTCAGAAGGAAAACAGGCCTCCAGGTGTTTGGTGTGGTTTTGCTTTGTTTCAGTCACACAGGTAGCATGCTTGTGTGCTTAAAAGACCACACAGGAAGATCTGAGAGAAGACCAGATGGCTCCTGTTGTAAGGGTGTGGCAGAGTGATATTTACCATAAAGCACAAGGGGCCCAGCCCTCCTCAAGATCAGTTCTACAGAAGGGGCAAGGCTTATAAAAGGAAGCTCTGATTTGGTTTTGTTTTTTAATGAAATTACTGGAAATAGAATTTGAGCAAGAACAAAGGAATACATTTTTAAAAATGGAGATATGTGGAAAAATACTCAGGGCACGAAAGGGTGTCACACAGTCAGAAAGCCCTGGACACTTGAGAACATGCCAACCTCCATAAAAAAAATGGTATGTATGAGACAATACATAGGCAATACAAAATGTAAACTGGCAGAGAGATATTACATTCTTGTAATGTTAGTGGTATCCACGTTTTTATCATCTTCCTATTAGTATTTAGATTGTGTTCATTTAACAAGCAAGCTTTGTATTTGGAGACACTGCTAACTACTATTGAGTTGTGGAGTTAAATATCAAACTTCACATTTTTAAAGTAGGCTCTACCTAGTTTTTTAATCTACTTCAGTTGCTCTCATGTAATGCTATGAAAACCCATTTTCCATTTCCATAAGAGAAAATATAAGTTAACATGCCTGAATGGTAGTCTGGATAAATTTCTTCTGTTCTCTCTTCTTTCAAGAGTGCGGAGAATATTTCATATTTCTTCATTTCTTTTACTGATACATGGGATGATTGATTCTTTCGTAGCACATTTTTGTACTTCTGTTCTTTATATTTCAATTGTCTAAGATGACAAAGAAAAAATTCTAAGAAAATGAATAATCACACCAATAAAATGTAAGATGTTAGCATATTATCCATTATTTTGCATTTGTAATTGAAATAGATTTTTAAGTTTGATAAATGATACAATTAACACCATAAATCAAGATGAACTATCCTGTACTTTTTAATACAATGTAAACCATGATCAATTGATAGAATGTTAAACTTTGCAACTATGCATGGTATGCATGGGATGTGTGTACATAGGTTGAGCCTTGGTAGGAGTGATCACGGCTACTACTTCAATAACTTCAGTGATTCACCTTGTTTCTTAAGTCCGTTTTGACTATAGTTTAAAAAATTTTATAGCTTGTACAAATTTTCAACTTTATTGTCATTAAATAGTTTTAAATCCTTTTACTCACAGATCCATTTGTATTATTCTTCCTTTTCCAAATATAATTGGTTATGGTGCCAATGAACAGAACTGCACTGTGAATGATGTGTAATGTTACTTCTGGACTTTATTCTTGATATTGTCAACAATTGGTTTTACTGCCGTTGCTTTTAATGATCTCTATTTCATCTTTAATTTCTATTTTGTTAATTTCTGGTATTATTTTCTCCTTTTATTAAAGTCTATTCTGTTCAGTTCTCTTCCTAATGTCTTTTTTTTATTCTTCTATAGATAAGGTTGGTTGGTTGATGATAGTACTGGGCCTTGAGCTGGTAGGTAGGTGCTCTACCACTTGAGCCAATCCACAGCCTTGTTTGTGCTACTTTTTGTTTCTGGTGCCAATACTGGGGTTTAAACTCAGGGCCTAGGTATCTGTCCTTTAGCCTTTCCACTCAAAGCTAGTGCTTTACCACTTGGGCCACAACTCCACTTCTAGTTTTTTGGTGGCTAACTAAAGATTACAGTCTCACAGATTTTCCTGCCTTGCCTAGCACTGGACAGAAATCCTCAGATCTCAGCCTGCTAACTAGGATTACAGGCTATATTCGTTATTTTTTATAAAGGGTCTTACTTCTGTAGCTGGGGTAACAAGCATATACCAGTGCATACTTTTTTTGTCCAGGCTGACTTCAATCTGCAGACCTCCCAATCTCACTTTGACTGCCATGGCCAGCAGAGTTATGTTTCTGATGCAGAGTCTCTTTTTTCCCTAGAGCCAGTTTTAGATTGCAATCCTCCTGTCCGGCCTCCTGTATAGCTGGATTCACAGGTGTATCACCAAGTTTAGACTTTTGGATTGTTGGCTCATTAATTCTTATTTTCTTCCTTTTTAATGTAGGTTTAGATTGTTATACATTTCTCTCTAAACAATGAATTAGCTAAATCATACAATTTTCAATAATACATAATAGTTGTATAGTAGTTTAAGCATTTATTCTTTTTTTTTTTTTTTTTTGGTCAGTCATGGGATTTGAACTCTGGGCGTGGGTGCTGTCCCTCAGCTCTTCAGCTCAAGGCTAGCGCTCTACCACTTGAGCCCCAGTGCCACTTTTGGGTTTCTGGTGGTTTATTGGAGATAAGAGCCTCATAGACTTTCCTGCTCAGGCTGGCTTTGAATCTCAATCCTCAGATCTCAGCCTTCTGAGTAGCTAGGATTGCAGGCATGAGCCATTGGTGCCTGTCAGCATTTATTCTTGTGTCTAATATTTTCAGTTCTAAGATATTTTTTCCTAATTTTTTTCCTGTATTATATTTTAATGATTTACTTAGAAGTATTTTCAAAATACTGTTTCATTTCTAAATATAGTGAAGGTTTTCTAGTTGATCACTTTTACTGATTTCTAATGTAATTAAAGAATAGATGGTCTATACTAATCATAGTGATGTTTAGAAATTTTGTTAAAAATTTGTGTATTTGCACACTCAAGTTTCCATGTTAATTGAAAATATATATCTTGTAGTTGTTGGGTAAAAAGCTCTGTCTACTTTAAAACAATCTTGTTAATTTGGTTGTTCGTATCTTCTATATTCTAATTTTTGTGATTCAGAGTGATTAACTGATGAGAGTAATTTATGAAAATTTTCCATTATAAAAGTAGATTTGTCCACTTCTCCTTCAGTTTGTCAACTTCTGTTTCAAATGAGTTAGAACAGTTATAGCCCACTTGGCTGAACATTCTATCTTCAGTTACAGTTACTGTATGGATTCTTTTCCTGCTGCTGTGCTATTTTGATACTACAGTATCTTTGTCTCATATATCTTTCCATATTTTTATCTATTCGTATATCCAATAGACATTCCCACTGGCATTTACTTATACCATTTAACTCTGCTCATCCTCTATCATTCCTTATTCAACTAATCCTTCCCAGCCCACCTCCTCCTCACAAGGAGTGATTTTTGTCCTCCTGCCCGTGGGCCCTGCCTCATTCCTTCCCTTTAACCACCTGGTATTGTGCCGACAGGGAGAGACTGCTCAGGGCACGCCTGACGACTCACACCCACAGTTACATATTCACTCATCCCATCAGGGCCAGGGCTGAGTGGTGAGGTATTGATTTCTCTCCATCCTCCGGCTGATCATGTTGGTGGTGCGTCGCTGTGGACTGCGATGGTGGCAAGTGCCCCAGGGGTATGGAAAGGAACTAAAGGATGCAGCCTTCTCTCCATCAGTTGTGGTGTCATTTTCTGTCTATAGTTGGCACCTTCCACCCTTCTCCTACCTATAACCTCCTTTCTCCTCTCTCCCCCTCTCTTTAGCACAGACAAGGCTAATCTGCCTATCTCGTCAGGAACAAAATTTCTGAAGAAACATTTATAAACTCCAGAACCATCCATTGATCATCTAAACTTCAATCAACCATCACATTACATGTGAGATGTTTCACTTAATGGTTTATATTGTTGAAGTCTTACTTTAGGAGAAAACTTCATTTTTTTTACTTTATTCTATTTTATTGGCAGCACTGGAGTTTGAAATCGGGGCCTCAAGCTTGCTAGGCAGCAATCTGCCACTTCTGCCAGGCCCCCTCCTTCATGTCATTATAGCTTATTTTTACCTTGAATTTCCGTGGTTTTCTTTCCTGTTCATCTCTTGACTTCCAGCTGTCAAAGCAATGAGTACAAATGTCTCCAACTTTTATATAAAGAGTTGCTATAAAAATATATTCACATTATCTTCTTTAATACAAAACAATTTGACAGCTATGAAAACTAGTATTCAAATCTGCATACATAATTCCCAACTTCTCACAAGACTTTACATAACATCCCAATTACCACAAGCATTTTTTGTATACAAAACGATTTCCAGACTAATCACTAAGCTAGTTACCCTTTGCAGGGTATTCTGTATGTTACCTTCTCCCCTAAGGTAATGTTTTCCTTCTTATACCGACACATTTATGTAAATACAATCTTGGTTCATGTTAACTTCTACAATAAAGATTATAAAAAAAAGTCTAAGGCCAGGTGCAGGTGGGCTCATGTATATAATCCTAAATACTTGGGAGACTGAGATCTGAGGGTTGCAGTTTAAAGCTAGGGTAGTTTGTAGGAATCTCATCTCCAATAAACTGCTAACAACAAAAAAAGAGGAAGAAGAAGAGGAGAAAGAAGCAGAAGCAGAAAGAAGAAGGAAGAAGGAAGAAGGGAGCAAGAGGAGGAGAAAGAGAAGAGGAAGAGGAGGAGGAGGAGGAGGGGGAAGAAGAGGAGGAGGAGGAAATAGCAGTAGTGGTGGTGGAGGAAGTAGAGTTGTGCCTCAAGTGGTAAAGCACAACCTTGAGCAAAAGAAGCTCAAGGACAGTGCCTAGGCCCTGAGTTGAAGCTCCAGGACAGATACACAAAAATTTAAGATTTCTTCCTCAAACTGAGCACTAGTACTCAGAAGTCTGAAACCTGAGGAATTCTGGTTCAAAGTCAGCTCAGGCTGAAGAGTCCAAGAGACTCCATATCCACTCAACCAGCAAAATACTGGACTGGAGGTATGGTTTAAGTGGTACAGCTTTTTTATTGTAAAGCTACTATACAGAGGGTTACAGTTACATGAGTGAGGTAATGAGTACACTTCCTCTTGAACATTGTTACCCCCTCCATTGTTTTCCCCCTACCATCCCCTCCCTCCCTCCCTTCCCCGAGGTTCTTTTTTTTTTTTTTGATTGTGATTAAATGATTACATAATTTCAAAGTCACAAGTTCATTCTAACTTCCCTGGAGCAAATTGTCTGCCACAGTCTGTAATATATAACAGTGTTCACATGTTATATACCATATTTGTGATCAGCAGCATGGGGATATTTAGTAGTGGTTCAACCAGATGAGTGGGAGTTCTTTGTTTCTTAAGTCCTGTTACTTTTGTCGTATCACCTAACCTTTTGGATTTAGCATCCACTTACCAGGGAGACCATGTACCGTTTGTCTCTTCGTTCTTGGCTTGCCTCGCTCAACATGATTCCTTCTAGCTCCATCCATTTCCCTGCAAATGCCATTATTTTGTCATTTCTAATGGCTGCATAATATTCCATTGTGTATAGATACCACAATTTTTGGATCCATTCATCTGTGGTGGGGCATCTAGGTTGTTTCCATATCCTAGCTATTGCAAACAGTGCTGCAATAAACATGGAGGTGCACGTGTCCTTGTATATTGGTTCTTGTTGTTCAGGGTAGATGCCTAGAAGTGGTATGACTGGGTCATAAGGGAGGTCAATCTTTAGCTTTCTAAGGACCCTCCAGACTGCTTTCCAAAGTGGTTGTATAAGTGTACATTCCCACCAGCAGTGTAATAGGGTTCCTCTTTCTCCACATCCCCTCCAGCATTTGTCATTGGCTGATTTGTGGATGTGGGACATTCTGACTGGGGTAAGGTGGTATCTCAGGGTTGTCTTTATTTGCATTTCCTTCACCACCAGGGATGATGAACATTTCCTCATGTGTTTCTTTGCCATTTTTATTTCTTCATTTGAGAAGTCCCTCTTTAGTTCCCTTGCCCATTTAGTAATTGGTTTGTTAGGTTTGGGAGGGATTAGTTTCTTGAGTTCCCTGTATATACAGGATGTTAACCCCTTGTCTGATATATTGCTGGTAAATATTTTTTCCCAATTAGTTGGTTGTCTTTCTAGCTTAGTTGCGATAGATTTAGCTGTGCAGAAGCTTTTTATTTTAAGGTAGTCCCATTTGTCGAGTCTCTCTCCAACTTGTTGCGACCCTGGGACTCTGTTCAGGAAGTTCCTTCCTGTGCCTATTAGTTCAAGTGTCTCTCCTACTCTGTCCTGTAGTAGTTTCAGAGATTCAGGTTTAATGTTAAGGTCTTTAATCCATTTTGAGTTGATGTTGGTGCATGGTGATAGGCTGGAGTCCACTTTTAGTTTTCTGCATGTGGCTGCCCAGTTTTCCCAGCACCAGCAGTTGAAGAGGCTGTGTTTCTTCCATTGTATGTCTTTGGCTCCTTTGTCGAATATCAGCTGGCTGTAGGCCTGTGGATTTATATCTGGATCTTCTATTCTGTTCCGTTGGTCTTCGGGTCTGTTTTTGTGCCAGTACCATGCTGTCTTTGTTATTATAGCTCTGTAGTAGAGTTTGAAGTTCGGCATGGATAGCCCTCCCATATTGTCTTTATCCCCTAGAAGTGTTTTGGCTATTCTAGGTCTTTTGTTGTTCCATATAAATTTTTGGACTGTTTTCTGTATTTCAGTGATGTACGTCATTGGGATTTTAATAGGAATTGCATTGAATTTGTATATTAGTTTTGGAAGTATCACCATCTTTACTATATTAAGTCGGCCTATCCAGGAGCATGGGAGGTCTTTCCATTTCCTAGTGTCTTCTGCAATTTCTTTCGTTAACTTTTTATAGTTCTCATTAAATAGTTCTTTTACATCTTTGGTTAGGTTAATTCCTAAATATTTTATTTTTTGGGAGGTTATTGTGAATGGGGTTGCTCCCTTTATTTCCCTCTCTTCCTGTACGTTATCAGTGTATAGGAAGGCAACTGATTTTTGTGGGTTTATTTTGTATCCTGCTATTTTGCCGAAGTGACTTATGATTTCTAAAAGTTTGGGGATGGAGTTTTTGGGATCGTGGAGGTATAGTATCATGTCGTCTGCAAAAAGGGATAGTTTAACTTCTTCTTTCCCTATGCGGATCCCTTTAATGTCTTTTTCTTGCCTTATTGCCCTGGCTAAGGGTTCTAGGACTATGTTGAAGAGGAGTGGAGACAGTGGGCATCCTTGCCTTGTTCCTGTTTTTAGGAGGATTGGTTGTAGCTTTTCCCCATTAAGTATAATATTGGCTATTGGTCTGTCATAAATGGCTTTTATTGTTTTTAGAAATGTTCCTTCTATTCCTATTTTCTCCAGAGCTTTTAGCATGAATGAATGTTGAATTTTATCAAAGGCCTTTTCTGCATCTGTGGCGATAATCATGTGATTCTTGACCTTGGCTCTGTTGATATGCTGGATTACATTTATTGACTTACGTATGTTAAACCATCCCTGTGTCTCTGGGATGAAGCCTACCTGATCATAGTGTATTATTTTTTTTATGTGTTTCTGGATTCTGTTAGCTAGAATCTTGTTAAGGATCTTTGCATCTGTGTTCATCAAGGAAATTGGCCTGTAATTCTCCTTTTTGGTTGGGTCTTTGCCTGGTTTGGGGATGAGTGTGATATTGGCTTCGTAGAATGAGTTTGGGATAGCTCCCTCCTTCTCTGTTTCTCTGAAGAGCTTGAGGAGTATGGGTATTAGTTCTTCTTTAAAGGTCTTATAGAATTCTGCTGTGAATCCATCTGGTCCTGGGCTTTTTTTTGTTGGAAGACTTTTGATAGCTTCCTGTATCTCATTATAGGATATTGGCTTATTTAATTGGTTAACTTCTTCTTTGCTCAGTTTGGGTAACTTGTATTTCTCCTAAAATGCATCCATTTCCACCAGATTTTCTTCCTTTAGAGAGTATAGCTTTTGAAAGTAGTCTGTTAGAATTGTTTGGATATCTTGGGTACGTGTTGTGATGTTTCCCGTGGCATCCCTAATCCTATTAATATGGGTTTCCTCTCTTCTTTTTTTAATTAATCTTGCCAACGGGCCATCAATTTTGTTTATTTTTTCAAAGAACCAGCTTTTTGTTTGGTTTATTTTGGTTATGGTTTTCTGATTTTCTAATTGGTTAATCTCTGCTCTCAATTTGGTTATCTGGCTTCGTCTAGTAGCTTTAGGTCCCATTTTTTCTTGTTTTTCTAGCTGTTTTAGTTGCAACATGAGATTATTTACTTGGTCTGTCTCCATTCTCTTGATGTGGGCACTGAGGGCAATAAATTTGCCCCTCAGGACTGCTTTTGCTGTGTCCCACAAGTTTCTTTGTGAGGTGTTTTCGTTTTCATTGAGTTGTAGGAAATGCTTTATTTCTTCTCTGATCTCTTCTGTTACCCAGGCCTTGTTAAGGAGTGTGCTGTTCAATTTCCATGTATTACAGAAATTTCTGTGGTATGCTTTGTTATTGAGAGCTAGCTTGATTCCACTGTGGTCAGATAGGATACAGGGGATTGTGTCGATCCCTTTGTATTTGCTTAAGTTCCTTGCATGAACTATGATATGGTCTATTTTGGAGAAAGTTCCATGAGCTGCTGAGAAGAATGTGTACTGTGTTGTTTTAGGGTGAAATACTCGGTAGATGTCAGTTAATTCCGCTTGAAGTATGGCCTCACTTAATTCGGTAGCTTCTTTGCCAATCCTCTGGTTGGTAGACCTGTCCTTTGGTGAGAGTGGCGTGTTAAAGTCTCCTAGTATTATCGTATTGGGATCTATTTTATTCTGTAAGTTTGAGAGCATTTGTTTAACATATCTGGGTGCACCGATATTTGGGGCATATAAGTTGATGATGGTTATATCCTCCTCTTGGATTGTTCCCTTTATTAATATGTAGTGTCCGTCCTTGTCTTTCTGTACTGATTTTAATGAAAAGTTTATTTTGTCAGATATCAGGATAGCTACACCTGCTTTCTTATTGGGGGAATTTGATTGGTAGATCCTTTTCCACCCCTTCACTCTGAGTTTGTTTGTATGTTTGGCTGAGAGGTGGGTCTCCTGAAGGCAACAGATGGATGGGTCTTGTTTTCTGATCCAGTCCTCAGTTCGTTTTCTTTTAATTGGCGAATTCAGCCCATTTATATTAAGAGAAAGTATAGAGAGATGCATTGTTGTCCCTGCCATTCCGTTTTCCTAAGTTTTTCTTCTTTCCTTTCCTCCTGTGCTTGCTCAGTTAGACTTTGAGTAATGCCTGTTTGGGGCAGGTCCCAGTTCCTGGTTGCTTTCTTCAGGTTGTGTCCCCCCTCTTAGAATTCTTTGTAATGCTGGCTTAATGTTTATGAATTCATTTAGTTTTTCTTTGCTATTAAAAGTTTTCAGTTC